GAAGCGTATTGCCAAGATGTGTGGGATTTTGATCTGATGGAGGTGATCCTTGGCGGCGATTGTAAGGCAGACGAATAGCTTATCCAGGGTGAGTCATGCAAGATGATGATGGTGGTGGGTGGGGTGGGGGATCTGAGGAAGGTACGTTTCAATCGCGACATGTTCGTGCTTCCGCGGTGCAGATGCTTCCTTTTGCAACACCACGCAGATTCCGTGATCGTCTTCAAAGCCTTTGCCAACGGTGATGCTCGAAGGATTCGATACTTGAGGGTAATGAGTGGGGTATGTGTGCTGACGTAGATGTACGACATTGCTATGCATCTCGCTCCGCGGTCTTGCATGCTGACTGACGGGATGAGGGTTGCGACAATGCTTGAGATATGATAAGCTTTCTTAGTGCACCTGGGGGCGTGAAAGAGCTGTAGGTGCTGACGCTGCAGCTCGAAGATCTGTCGCCAGACTGTCGCGAAATCACGAGATTGATATATCGCAAGGCTGTCAATGCAGGCAATGACCTAGGGAGTCGAAGATCCATACGGAATGTGAGATGGCTCTTTGATGCACTCGTCCGTACTTCTCAGCATACAGGAAAGACGCCCTTGGCAGGCAAGATCCAAATGAAGACATGATCTTCCGCTGGCTGTATCTTCTGAAAGGAAAGCAGCAGACACATCGATTCTGAAAGCTTTACTTTGAACATCATCCTACCAAAACTTACGCTTCAACACACACCATGTCTGGAGGGCTGTTCTGTCCCCCAACCCTAGACGCCGATTCCCTCCTTCACAACTCCCACAGAGAGGCTCTTTTGGTGAACATACGGCTTGAATGCTGACGGCGTACGAAAAAGATTGTGACTCGTGTGACGGAATGTCCGCCGTTATTTGAAGACTGGTAACATCGCCGAGTTGACTCCGTCAAGTACTTTAATGGCGTGTTCCCTTCTCCTCTTCACCTCCCCGCATGCCCCATCAACCAAGACCAAATTAACAGTGTAGTCTTTGCGAGTTTTCAGATCGGGAAGAGAGGAAGACTTTATACCTGCGACCACCCTCGTTTGACCAAGGAGCCCCATATTCTACTCATGAATACACATCTAGAATGACTTTTCACGAACCTGTGATGGCACAAACAAGTTTATCGCATACTCCTTTCGAAGCTCATCTGGTATCATCAAGACCTGGGTCTTGCTGAGCCATGAAACTCGAGATCAGTCGGTTTTCGACGACCGAAGTCCGACCTGTTCGGCACGATATAGCTCCTCTCATGAACTACATCGGAAAAAAAAATCAAGCAAAGCGCAGAGCAAGTCATGTATACCTATTCGCACGATTCTCAGGCAGACGGAGACAACACGGCCCTAGTGCGAAGCGTCTTTGGTAACCTTTTTGTTCTTGGCTCTTTTGATGAAGAATGAAGCCATTGAAAAGGCACAACACTGAGCTGTTAGAGGCGTGAATAGTCTGGAAGGTTGCCAACAAACCAGCTAACATCATGCAGGCCCGGCGACAAAACAAACATGTGACAAGAGCTTGGGATTTTGATGTTCGGTAAAGACGTATAATGGCTAAGGCTGTACTGAGATGTGGTCGAGAGGCAAAGCGGCACATCGTTTCGAGGTTTCAGCCCTTCCGAAGAATCGACTCTCCGGACTAGAGGCATGATTATAGTCAAATCTGGCTTTGGATCATCTGGATTGCAGCGGAAACCTTTGCAATAACCCTAGAACAGGCATGTGATCGTCGGCTTGTAATTTTAGAAGAGTACAGAGGCAGCCATCAGCTTGTTCTCGTCGGCATTTGAAATCACTGGATATGTTTGTGACGTTTCGCAAGGTCACCATGAACCTTTTCTTGACATCAGTTAGCTACTGACGACCTCTTCGGGAAGACGAACAGCAGGAAGGTCATGTTTTCATCTCTTGAAACATTTGAGAGGAGGCTGAAAGAAGCAGCACATGAAGTGTTCTACTACAGCTTTGGGCTCGGCTATTCGAGGGTATTGTAAGAAAGTGATGCAAACTTGGCACATGGAAGACTTATGTATTCACCTCCACATTACATCCCCGCACCTCTAGATGATTTCCAAGTTTTTATGCGCACCCGGAATGCACATACGGTCCTCCAGTTGCATATACCGGATGACAAAAGCATCTTTGTGAAGAATCTGGAGAAAGCCCAAAACACCATGCACCATCTGCTTGACGTCTTCACAAAACAAGGAAGGGTCAGACGTCGCATGCACGTGGACGGGCTATGATTCGATTGATGCGCAGCTCAGGAGAGAAGGCAGATCGTCGATAGGTAAAACACGGAGTTTTGAATACGACTCAAAGTGGGTGAGATACATTCCACTGCTCTTTGCGGCTTTTCAGCGGAGTCAAGATGACAGAAAGGACATTCATGCCCATGGTTATCCTTTTGGTGGGAAAGAACTGGGAGAAGCAAGAAGGAAACGAGCAGATACGCGGTACTTATATCTTCGATGATGACGAAGTGACCGCTCAACAATGCCCTCTTACCGGGCTAGACGCAGCGAATCTCACGAGTGGCTGCATGGTTGGTCGAATTCAATTCATCTTTCTCATGGCATCCGGCGAGGTTGACCAAAGCAGGCATGCCCAGGTGTATCTTGAATCAGATCGTTTGAGACTCGGACAAGTATAGAACCTCTGGCAGCTGTCAAAGATATACGCATTCTCGGAAACATGCTTAGTTGCAGGCGCAGAGAGGACATGAGCGTTCCAGATCACATTTTGAGAGGGCTGAGGAGGCGAACAGGACGTGATCTCGGAGCACAGAGAAAAATATGACTTCGTTGGTGTCGCACTTCAGAACAGAACAGCTAGCACGTTCGGTTGCTTGTTGCAAATTTTGAGAGCATGTTTCCTTAAAGGGGTGTAAGGAAGGTGTAAAGTAGGGAAGGCACAACTTATATACTTGTAGTCGGCAACCACGATACTTCAGAGCAGAAAGTGCGGTATTCATAAGTGAAGGCATTCCTAATTCCTTTCTTTATATCGGGAGAGTATGTATACGGGTTGAGTTTTGATTGGTTCCAATTACATACTGCGATGCGCAAATGACATTGTTTTCTCGGCCAGTGACACAGACACACATGCGAAAGTTGTCTAATGTCTTGCAGACAACTTATCTGCTGGATATAAGACCACACTGTCTAAGTTTTTGAGATTCTGGAACGACTGAAGTAAGTAATGTGTAGCAGAAAGTAAGTAGAATAGAATCGGAGGCATTAAGGTGCCGAAACAAGCTCTGGTCATGTCTTCCCTAGTCGCTTTCTGAGGCACCAACAATCGAGCAGCGCACATGAGTAGTGTCATTGATAAGAAATGCAAGGCAAGGCATAGGCAGCATAGGTGCAGCCTTTAGCAAAGCAACAACGGTATGACTTACACAGAATTCGTTTTTGGTAAGTCGACGGCCGCAAGATTTTCCTGTGGAGAAAGCAGGAAGAGGTCTGAATGAGTAAACATACAGTCACAATCCCATTTTCCAGTCATACAACGTACCCTTTGTTCTTCCGGAGGCACACTGCTCAAAGTACAAGCACATATACCTTGAGACAGACATGTTTGGACGAGTGGTAATCGTGACATCTTTGTGAAGAAGAACGGGAGATGCCAATGGGCTAATGTATGGTAATTTTGTATTATTCGGTGGGTGAGAGAAGCTCACATATAGAAGCTGCCAGTACTATCACGCGGCTATCGGGGGATCCTTCACCTCCGACAGGAGAAAACACAGCAGATATGTTTTATGGTCACAGATAGTGTCTACCAGCCATATGAGTATCCATCTCTGTTCTCTAGGAGAGGTGTTGCTCAACGCACAAGCACATATCCTGTTGCAGTAAATGCAATAAGTGAAGGTGTAACCGCGCAGGGCAGTAAGTCAGGGGTAACCGCGCGAAGCAGTAAAATCAGTATGTTCTGTTGTTCTCTTGTTCAGTGTTCTGTCTCTCTCTCGACCCCCAGCGGGGTCTGTTTACATGACGTATCTGTTGTTCAGATAGAAAGTGCTATTGGAACAGGCAAGAGCACTGCACCAGCACACGTGGCAGACATGACCGCTTTACTCCATAAACCGTCACATATCCAGTGTGCTAGATCTTTCACTCGGACAGACAGCAGCAAAATATCCACATTGAGTTCGAACTTTTTCACAGAGAAGCACATGTTGCGTAAGGAAGAAGGAAGAGACACTAGTCAATGTACCTATAGTCTCATATACAGATCGATACCCGTATCACAAGTATCTTGTCGTTTCGATAGAACAACAACCAAAACCCCAGCGCATGTAGTAGCTGGGCCATCCTTTTAACAAGGAGCACAGAGCAGAACATAACATATCCTTCATCGAATTTCTGAGACAGGAGTGGGCAGAAAATGAAGTACCCAAACGCCTTTACCTTTTTTGAATCTTCGAAATATGGAATTCAAGGTGAGGGAGATGGTAAACGATGTGTAGGAGATGTTATTGTATAGGTTCCAGATACCAGCGCGCCATCACCTAGTCGCCAACTCGTTTTCAAAGGCACAGCTCGTCCATAACATGGTGAGCGGTGAAGCCGATTTTGATGGACAGCATCGAAAAGAACATGCCATCGTCCTGGCTCTTTTTCGGAGCAGAAGTGGTTCATAGCCGAATTTCGGGGCAAGAGCAGACGACACATACAGCACATCCGGACCTACTTTGACATTAAGGTTCAGTGCTTGGGTTTGCTAAGAAGATAGTCATAGTGGAGGTTGACGATGCTTTATACCCAGTCCGCCTTCCCTCAGTCACATACACGGTACCCAATGGAACTTCTTGTGCTCCTCATACTGAGAAGCGCTCCGAGATTTTGTGGACAGCGCAGAACAGATCATTGCCAGCTTGTGACAGCAATTTTGAGAAGAGCCGCAGAACATCAGATAATCTTCGAATACTTTCAAGAAGGCAAGCGCAAGGCAGACATGTTCGCCGATCTGCCAACTTTGTCACGGTTTGGGGTTTCTCCTGCACTAACGCCCTATCGCACCTCACCCCATGGTGAGAGGTTGCTGCCTTTTCCCACTAGCGTTGTTTACAGCCACTCACCTACATGTACTGTTCGTAGCTTCATACAATACAACTGCAGTACAATCCTCAACTTCTTCCCTTTGCGTACAGTTCACCAACTCCAACAAACTTTGAGGACGGACACAGCAGAAGGAGCATGCGATAATCGCTCTTTAGTTCTTGGTGTTGGAGGGTAATGCGCATAGAGTTGGCACACTTCTCTTCATCATGATGTTGGTGTAGGTTTTGGAAAGGAGGGAGACAGCCGACATGGTCGATCTGAAGGTTTCTTTGGAAAAGAGAGGGAGCGGCAGACATAAAGCCTTCGTCACCTATTTTTAGGAAGAAAAGAGGACTTTGAAGTTGGTGTATGGGAAGAATGCACGACCGGAACTTGAACGGCTTTATACCTGAGCTGTCGATATCGAGCCATGTGATTGACCCTTGTGCCATGTGCACCGTACGAACGCCAAACATGCAAATGATGCAAATCTCAACATGTATCATACATCTTCGCTCATCATCCTCACCCTCTAGAATCCCTTCCCCACCCCTGCAGTCCTCTCAACCCCTCTACCCCAATCCCACCAGCTCCCAACTCCCCATTCAACCTCCCCAAAACATCCGTCGCCGTCTTCGCCCTCTCCCTAACATCCAAATCTGGATCCCTCGTCAACGCCGCCACCGCACTCTCAAACCCCATATCCCTCAGCACCCTAGCCCTCTCCCTGGTCGGCCCCTCCTCCGTATGATCCTCGACCCAGACAAGGTTAATAACCATCCAAGCGCAACCGAGCCGCACGTCGCGGTTCGGGTATGAGCATAAGGGCAGGATGTGCCGCATGAGGGTAGTTTGGCTGAGGAGCAGGGACCGATGGTGCGGGCGCCCATTGGCGAGGTGCACGAATATGAAGACGGCGGCTTTGAGGATTTCGGGGGAGTGGTAGAAGGTCCAGTTTGGTTGTCCTGGTGAGGAGGCGAAAGGGGGGCGTTGTTGGGTTGTGCCGGGCCAGTAGGAAGGGGTTGGGGAGTCGGTTTGAGACATGGTGTGGGAGGATGTGGAGGATTTTGGGCGGATTTTGGAGTCGAGCATCTCGAAGAAGCGGCTGTGACCGTAGGTTTTCAGGAGGTGGTCGATCATCTCGCCAGATTGCTTTTCTTCGGAGCAGAAGTTGCGGATGAAGTCGAGGGATTGCATTTGGATTGCTTGGTCTTCGCGCTCGAGTTTGATTCGCGGGTCTAGTTCGTCGTTCTTGATCTGCTGTAGGCGATCGCGGATATCTGTTGCGCTTGTGTAACGGGATCCGGGGCGTTGGTGCCGTCGCATTGATGGTATACTGTCGGTCATGGTGTCCTCGTCCTCGTCTGAAGACGGCTCCTCGTCCACATCCATGTGTGGCTCGTCAACAGCGTTCAATATGTCTACCTGCTCACCAGCAGCATTCGGTGTGCCCATTGCAGGCTTGGTAGGTTCACCACTAAGCGTTTGCATGAGGAAGCCAACGCCCAACTCGTCTAGGCACTGTATTTTCATAGCGTACGGTATGCCGAGGCAGAGGTGCTTCAGAGCCCAGAGACTGCCATACCGAAGATCGAAGCTGGCCGATCTGCAATGCTCACAGAGCGTCTTCATGATCCCGGCTTCGATGATCTCCTGCAAGTTGGGTCAGTGTTGTGCGCATTCAAGTTAGACAGACCACTTACAGTGCGCATAGGTGATACCTCCAGAACCAAGTTAGTGATCACCTCCGTAGCCGCAATCTGCACCTTAATACTCTGATGATTTAGCAAATCAAACACCGGACTCGCAATTCCATGATCAATTAAGCTCGTCCTGAGCACACTGACGGATCTCGATAGCGACCTCGTAGCATTGCAAGCCGCCTTGAGAACAGCATCAGGATTGCCGTCCTTTTCGCTTGACTCCGAGTACGGGACCAAAGACTCAATGATTTGCGTCGCAGCACCCATTTCGATGACAAGCTTTCGGTACCCATCTTGATCGCCAGCTATCGCTGCCAGCGCGAGCAGCGCACTCTCTCTATATCTGAATGCATGCAGGATATCAGCGTTGAGACCTGGTCTTCCTAATGTGGAAGACTCGGGATCAATGGCCTGGTCCTTGACCTCGTGTGATGCCGCTCTCGGTTGCCAGAGGGATTTCGCGTTCGTTGTGACTCGGTCGAAGGACTTCTTAAGGATCTGGACAAGCGTAGGCATAACCCGCGCATCCACCGCAGCAGTCTGAAGCACCTTGTTCCCCGTCACCAGCTCGGCTAGTACAAGGGGCGAGCGCTCGAGCACGAAGCGCATCTCATCTCTCGCCGCGGGACTGAGAGTGTGTGCCTTCTTCGCCTGTTCCGAGGACTCCTCGACCATCTTGACGACCAGCGGTATGACAAGGTATGAAAAGTGGCGTTCCCGCGTCACCCTCGAAGGATCGTTCAGCGGCCACTTCTCGCCAAACCTCTTAAGCAGCGCCAGAAGATAGCACGCAGACAAGCGCTCTGCACCCTCACCACGCCTGGCCACATACATCAGCCATATGAACAGCGGCGATTCAGACTCGTCTGTAATGATACTGCGGCTGGAGCTCTGCTGTAGCGACTCCATGCTGGGTAGCCGCGCGTAAGCCTCCCCACTCACTGCAGTATAGGAGCCGAGTGCGGGCCACGACTTGGTGTACGGATCGGTCTTGCTCGTTATTGTTTGCACGCGCGGTATTAGCTTGCCCCATGACGACTGTCTGGAGCTGCTTTGTGCGCCGTATGCGGTCGAGATGTGCTCTTTCGGCCAGCCGAAGAGCTGCTGTATGGGTTGCGAGTAGAGGAAGCGCGCGGTGCAGAAGTGGGAGCCCTTGATAATGGCTGCGATAGCCTCCATGATCTCAGACAAATATCTTGACGGAACCTCCTCGCGCTGCGATTGTGTCGAGTCGGTCTGAGGAACCAGCTCATCTGCCGTCGCAATGCTCGCCAGTTTCGCGGCCAGGAGGTCCAGTATCCCGGCGTCGACAAGCATTTTCCTGTGAGCATCCTCCACGCATGTCTTCGTCAGGATTTGTATCGTCAGTAGAACCTGGTGATTGGCCTTGGACGGACCAGCCGTCTGCGCCAGTATCTCCGCCATATTCTCGACCACCGAGCGTGTGTATATCTGCTCCCTCACAACCGCTGCAAGGCTCTGGCCATTCGCGTCCGACCCCGGTTTCTCCTGCGCAACAGCATCGGCGATCTGATTGAGCGTCATGAGCGTCGTGGTGAGGAGTCGAGTCGGCGTCTCGCCCAGTCGTAGTGTCTCGAGCAGCGGAGGAAGGACATGGCCTGCGAGCAACGGCGCTGTGAAAGCTGGGCCACCTGTGCACCTCATATCAGCCATCTTGTTCCCAGCCACTCTTGTAATGCCATGTCACATGCTCACCGTTCGCAAGACTGCCAACTACTAGCGTAGCCTGGAATCTGAGTTCGTCTTCTTTTGTCCAGTCATCTTGCCCTTGCCGTATCCGCGACGAAGGTGTGGATCCGGGCGAAGGTGCAGATCTATTGTGCGCTTCTTGTGATGCGCCGTTGCTGTGCCGCCTCTTTCCTCCTCTCCTAACACCCTCTCTCAACAGTCCGGCGAGAGGTCTGATAACGCCATGTGTGACAGCCAGTTCCTTTCTCTGCTCATGTCCGACTATCTCGTTCTTCAAGTTCCGTAAGGCGATGACTTGCGCCTCAGAGCTTGTTGGGTTTGAGAGCTCAGCGAGCGCGGATGGGATTGTGGATCGGCCCATCGTCCGTGAAGGAGGAGGCGAGAGGAGGAAGGTGGTATGGCGGGTGTCAAAGTAGCGCGTTAGTTGGCGATTGGTCTGATTGCAGAGAAGCTCAATGTGTGAGTGAGGTAACTGGAAAGTTGGTGGTGATATTGCGGGGAGATCTCCGCATTCGTACTTTGGTACTCGCGATGGACGACGGGTAAGCGACTCTCGATCTGTGTATTCGTCTGGGTGCTAATTTCAGGGGGAACAGACAATTATTGCCGCGGTTTCTGATACGCGCAGGCAGCTGCAGGATGTCGTCTCGCCCGAGTACTGACTTGCTGCGCGTCGGTCGGCCGCAGCCATCGCCGCAATGCCTCATACGTCACGCACGTGCCAGCCGCCTTGCTAGCCTCGACGTTCTGTGTCTCTTGGCTACAACGCAAGACGTAGCCTCCTGAGTAAGAGAGAATCTAGCAACTGCGGGGACGTCAGCACCTTGAGCTCGTCTCATCGTCAACTGAATGGACCCAAGCCTATCGGTCGACCCTGAGAGTGCAAACCACAGCAACGGGGAAGCAGATGATATAAAGTTAGGCCATACATTCATAACACATATCTACATAACCATATCATGGCCACATCCGTATCTCGTAAATGCATCCCAGCTGCTTCCAATCCGTCATGCAATGCAAAGATCAATCCACCTCCCTCGCCACCTCGATTCCCTTCAAGAATCACTCTCCCGCTCCTTCCCCCCTTCCGTCAAGATAACCACACACACACACGCCGCATACGCCTCCCTAATTGCACAAGCCATACACGTCTCCTTAATATTCGCCACCACCGCACTAAACCCATGATGCGCGCACCACGCTCTGGCAAAGACCTCGTTATCACTAACGCCCAGCGCCTCGACGGTAAGGACACGGTTGACCTGTTCGTGCGCAGAGACTGTTTCTTCGAGGGCTAGGTTCTTGGGTGAGGAGCGCGGGCTCGGGCGTTTGATGCGCCCGGTCTGGGTGTGCCAGTCGTGCAGGTCAACGAGGCCGTCGTCGATTTTCATCGCGGTGTAGGCAAAGTCGTAGAACAGGACTGTTTGGCGTTAGTTTACCATACGGGAAGAACACAACTTAGGAGCATACATACCGTGCGGACCCTGATGGCAGGGAAATGCGTTGATGAAGCTGACATCGTACTTCAGTCTCAACGGCCAACTACTCCCGCCGCACGCGAAATGAATCGCAGCATCGAAGAGCATCGGTGCGCCTGGGAGATTGCGTGTCGAAGAAGGCTGTTCTTTCACAGGCAGAAAGGCGAGTTTTTCGATCCGAATGAGATCTGTCACGTCCTCTGTGTCTGGCATGGGGACTTCGTAGTCATCCACGGGATATGTCTCATCGATTGGGCCCAGAGGATTTGAGCGCTCGTCCATGGATAAGACATCAGCCTTGGTCAACCGCGGGTCGGGAGATTCGTATTGCTTAACTTTGACGCATTCAGTGCGCTTAAGATCTGGAGTGTAGATGCAGGGTCCGACCCAGCCGGCAATCTGCTTTACGCCCCGTGCGGCGCCGAGGACTTTGCCGACGATGCAGGATGTGGACCAGTATGTGTTGGCGCGGTATTGAAAGCCTGATGCAGGTTGCATGTGTGTGAGATACTTTAGGGCATCGCCAGTGTCGCGGTCGCAGTCTATCAAGCTGTTCATAATCAGCCATGGTAAGGTTCGCCCGGGCAGTATAATGCCGGAGAACCAGGACATGGCGTCTGCAGAGCGGTCTTCAAGAGCTCTCTCGTTCACGTCTTCCTCGTCTAGGATGTACTCAACCTCGTCCATGTTAGGCCATTTAAGCGTCGCTGCAAATTGCCGTAGAGCTTCTCTCTGTCTGCTCTTGCTTTTTAGTCGAAAGTTGAAAGTGCTTTGTGTTTTGGACTCGCGCTTTTTGGTGATTGACATGTTCTCCAACCAACGCTGGGCCACTGCCAGGTCCCAAGCGATCGTGGGGTGCAACTCTAGTATAAGTTTCCGCTTATGCTTGTTGTTGTGCTGTTGGGAGTGTATACGTAGATACAGTTCAACGGATAGTAGCAGCTGATGGAAGAACTCCTGCTTCTTGCGATGGTCCGGTGAATCAAAATACTTAGCCACAACCTGATTCCTCGGATTCGAGAAGTCCAGCCACTGCGGATTCAGCAGGATATCGATGAGGTCCTGGATCTGCTGCTCCAGACTCATGAAAGGGCGGCCATTGAGGTGTGCAGGGTCTTCAATAAGCGTGCTGTAGAGGTACCGTTGCATCTCATCCGGGCTCTGCCAAATTAAATGTTAGGGCTTTGTTCCAAAATTTGTCCTTGAGGCGGAATTGTAGACTAACATCTTCTCCGGGCCCTCCTTCCAGATTCTGTAGCCGATCCAAAATCTGCAGTAGCTTCATCTTCCTGGGCACGGCAGTGCTAGTGCGCTCGCTTTTAGGTGGGTTAATCGAGGATTTGCTGGCCCAGTAGTTGAGTGTAGTTGTTCCCGCACTCTTTCCAAACGCGTATGCCATACATGGCTGCTCTAGAGACAACCATGGAAGCTGACTCTCTGATGCACCTGTCAAGTCGAGCGATATATATCGATACGCATCCTTCTGGAACGGCGCGCGATCCGTCCTACTCTGATGCTCGCTGTCCATAACAGCATAGAAGCGATTATACCCCGCCGGCGCACTGTGTACCGCATCCCCATAGCCCTTGAACGTCGACGTCCCAGCGCATATCAGCTCTTCAGCTTGCTGTGTATAAAGCGCATCGTCCTGCCTATATCCGCGTGGGGGCCATTGTCTTGACCCTCGAAACTCCTCGAGAGGGGTGGGCTGCGAGTAGGACGTTGAGCGGCCGGAGGAGGCGAAGGGTCGGTGTGGGGGCATGTTTGCTTCCCCTCCGCTGGACGACGGTCGTGCAGGCCCTTTGTGCGAGCCATGGCGTATGATCTTGGTACGCGTAGCTATGGGGGAGGTGCGTGTCTTGGGTACCTTCCTGAGCGACAATTGATCGAATCCCTCGGCGAGGCGCGAGACAGGCTGCTCGGGAAACGCGTATGGTAGAGGCGCGTGGGGTACCTCAGGATATTGACTGCTCCATCTGTTATCGTATGGCTGCTGGCTCAGCTCCCACCTGGCTACATTCGAGTTCATGTCTTTGGCATAGCAAGGTTGGTGAAGTTTTTATGTGCGACTCTGGTCGATGTGTCAGCGGGATATTTGCGGTCTGAAGAGGACCGAGGCAGGGAACATGGTGAGGGCTTTCGTGATTTCACTCACTCTCATGGTCTTCGTTGCGCCGTTGCCACTGTTTAACGATGGAGACGCGTCTACCGCAGCTTACCAAAAGCGCCGGTCGATGTGTACGTGTGAAGTTCTTCAAGTTAAGGTGAACGCTACCCCTCCAATGTAATCCAGAGGTAGATCGAGCGCGGTGGGGTTGAAGGGGGCTGTGGTGGACAAATGGGTTTCACATCAGGTACTAGGTAAGCCGACGCCGACATCGTCTGTGGACATTACAGACGTTGCGCGTGTCATTCTTCGGTACTGACTGCCAGCGCTGCAGTCCTCACTGCGAGAGGGAGCGAAAGGGATGCAGAGAAGAGCCATGGAATGTGGAGTCCTAGCCTCACTATTGTGTTGCGGTACGGGCCCGGCCAGGGTACGATTGTGCATTGGCTATTGGTGCTCCACGTTGATCACCACCGACGTTTGTTAACTGCTTGAGGATTTGGCACTGCACAGAACAACACCACTTCGGTCAATCGGAGGATTACTGTCAGTTCACTAGTACTATTTATCCAATCGCTGTCTTGAGCCATGCAGATATCTTCTGCACAATCCCTCAAACTCATGTCGTGCTATGCTCACATTTTGTAAGCTAGCCAGCGATTGCGAACTCTCTGCCTTGTGCTTATCCATGCATGTACGCCGTTAAATGCTTTTCGCTCGATTGATTCGTGCGTGCATGATACCACCAACCGGAAGCATGCCACAGCGTGCCACATACGTGGAACACCTTCGGATTGCTGTCGTAAACCGCATCCCAACTTTCGCCATCTCAAGTCATGGCGAGTTGTATCTTCTTTCGTAGAGAGCTTCCTTCGTATAGTGACAGCTGGTCCTCATACCAGCCTGCCAGCAACCTATACGGTAGCCTTCCTCTTTTGTATGTTACAAAGCGTTGACGTAAGTACAATCGTCCAATGGTGACGATGCCGCCTACCCTCATATAGTCCCCTGGTTGTGTGATCCGAACTCAGAAAGGCAGGTCGACCGACATGCGTCGAGACATCCAGCTGGCACATGGATGGAAGCATACTGCCGAGCGGCTACTCCCGTGTGGCTGGAACTTCATTGGCTGGTGTGGATGCCCGTTGCTGACCCTGTAGGGCTTGTCACCCGTTCAAGGCTGGGGTTCGGGGCCGATTCCGGCTCTTTCTCCATGCTATATCCATTGCCTCGTTCTACCAAGCCTTTGTAGTAATCTACCAGAACTTCTGGTTTTGGCACGATGCGCCAGTCCAGCTTCCTCAAGAACTCCAGCTCGAGAAGCGCCAGTTCCCTCACGCTGACACCACCCACTCTTGCGTAGAGTGTGTTTGTCCAGAAGCTGTCCGAGAGTCCTTTCGCTGCCACAGTTGCTGCCGTTATGAGGAATCGATGTACTGTCAGACTGCTGATAGTGAACGCCGGGTATGTAGCGCACAGCTTGTCGACATAGAAGACCATAGCAAGCAGGATCGGCGGAGACAGCGTAGCGTGCACAATGAGACGAAGCAGGTAGTCGCGGACAGATATGCCTGGCGGTGCTCTGCGCAGAGTGTCAGTGCCTTGCACGAAAGCCAGGCCTTGCGGACCTCAACATACCTCGAATGGAACCTCGTCAGCTGACCGTCGCGGAGAGGATAGCCGTCGTTCAGACGCACCAGCTCCATGAGCATGTCGGAGATGAGCACGCCCAAGTCCTTGACGTCGCACGTCTCGTACTTGAGCGGCATGACCTTGACGGTGGCTTCTGGCGGCCGCAGCCGTTTGGCGGGAGATGAGGGCTCCTCCTCCTTCGATGCAGTTGCTCCATCTGTGGGCACTATGCGCTGCTGATGCTCCACCCGCGGAGCTTCCCTCGGCGTTCTCCGGCTCTGAGGCTGGGCATTCAGCAGCTGCTGCAATGTCGCAGGTGACGGGTCAGCCGGCAACGCAGGCTCGGGCGGCGCTGGCTGCTCCGCGGTGGCAGTCGCAACAGAGGCAGCGACCAGTGCCCGCTGTGTATCCACGATGGCGGGCGCGCTGAGGGCAGAGGGTGCGGCCTGGGGTGCGGTCGAAGGTGACTGATAGGTGGGGGGGAAGCCCGCGGGCGAGTACTGGGTGCCGGCGTCGGCGTAGGCTCTCTTCGTGCCCTGCGGCGAGGGAGCGAACAGCGGCACGGCCTTGGGGGTCTGCGGCGTGTCGAAGCGCCGCGCTGTCTGGGAGCTCACGGCGTGGAAGCGGGGGGAGTTGGTGGAAGAGGCAGAGGTGCGGCGCGAGGCATGATACGACGAGCGGTGCGAGTGCGCGGCGGCGGCGTGGTGGAAGGGGGTCGAGGGCGAGGACGTCGCTGAGATGGTGGGCGAGGACGAGGTCAGCATCGCGAGGCACCACGGCAGGAGAGGTTTTGGTGGTGCACGTCTAGTTCAGTTCCTACGTGCTGGTGTAAGGATGCGCCCGCAGCAGTTGCCCAATATCATCGTATCCAGTATAGCGCACCACGTTGACGAAGAGGGTAGGCGTAACGGGCGGGCAGCTGCGGATCTGGAGAGGAAAGAGCCTCTGCCGTGCGGGCGTGCTGGCGCAGTGAACGAGAATTGCGCTGTCACCATCCGCCAGGCTTGGCCGGCGTGCGCATGTCAGGCAAAGTCACAACCCGCCAGAAGCCAGCTGCACGAGAGCACCACGAACGTGTCCGCGCTGTCCCCTGCTATTGGGCACCTCCCCCTTGCTGCTGTCCACCCAGAGGTCCATGACACATGATTTGCATCGCTCCGGTTGCTTTAACTCCAATTGCGCGGGAACCGGCAATTTACACCGCATTTTCTTTCACCAAGCGCGGCTGCTCGGCGTCTGGAAGCAAACGCTGTTCGTACGAAGTCGTCATAGGTGCCCCGCTAGGTGCAGCACCAGTGTGTTCAGCCTTACGGCTCAGAGGGCAGGCCCTCGATCGTGCGAGTACCTTGGCTCTGAGGTGTGCATTCAGCCGCTGCCCGCAGTTGCAAAACTCGTAGACGGTTCCTAGTTACTTCACGATCTGCTGTCTGGATGGAGTAAAGTCACATTAAAGGTGCAGATGCTAATTGTCGAATCTTGGCACGCCGTTAGGCCAGGCCTACTCGGAGCAGTCGAGCCTCATCTAGCACTCCGTGCGTGGTATCGACCGCATCAGGAGATAAGCTGTCAAAACCCTCGTCCACTATCAGATCTGCTGGGCAAGAAAAGATGGAAACCTCCGACCAGTTGAAACGACGCGATCTCTGTTGAGCCAAAAGAAAATCACTCAAATGTCAGCCGAGTGCAGTAGCTGCATCCACGTCAATGACAACGGTTTACCTTCCATCTCAGCTCTGAACAACCCTTCTAGCAGAGCTTAGGCTCACGCTGTGGCCGTATCGTGAAGTATAAATGCCATCGGCGTCGTGATGCGTTTCTGCATTGCACAAATGAGCTGTCGAGCTGCTCCCATGTGTCTTACTAACCACGATATCAGAGAATGGTACAATCATAGTCGCCCTTGACGCCGTCGAAGACTTCTCCACAATTTCAGTCTTTTTGAAGACTAGCACCGAGCAAACACATGTAGGGGGCATTCAGATACTCCAATCGCTGGTACCTATGGTAGAGAGATAGATTTTGTAATTATGCACTAGTGAGCGACACTCGTCTCAATCTCTTCTCGAGATGTGGTATCAAAAAGGTCACCGAAGCGAAGGAAAGCAAAACCATGCACATCATAACACCCCGTGCAACACCCCGTGCAACACCCCGTGCAGCACCCCATGCAGCACCCCATGCAGCACCCCATGAATCATATGTACTCGAACAAAAGGCTTCCCTCTCCAAGCTAGAATCCCCCAGGGCGACTCGCTCCGCTGGTACAGTCCAACGGATCGACAAGGTCCGTTTCAACATTGATGCCTTTTCCGATGTCGTCGGTTTTCCCACGGCAAAGTCGTCAGTCAAGGTCATACACCCCAACTCAATTCCTCGGCGGCTTCTGCGCATTATCAGCCAACTCAGCCCTGAACTCCTGCTGTCCCGGCTCCGGCGAATGCAACTCAACAGGCGTAGGTTGAATATGCGCCTGTGTCTGCTTATAATACTCCAATCTACATCTCATTAGCACACCACCCTTCGTCTCAACGCAAGCAAGAAGCCAACTCACTGTTCCTGACTCATCCCACTTATCTGACTCTGCATACTCAAATGCCCCTGATGCATCTGCGGGCTTCCGTGCCACCCACTCGGATACTGCTCGCCCACACTATGCTGCTGGTCATGCGGAAAGTATCCCATATCCGGTCCCGGCGTCGACGTTCTATTGGCATTCGCACTCGCCTCCTGGCGTTTAATCACCTCTTTAAGGCTCTTCGAGCGCCCGACATAGAAAAACAGCGCTGCGCAACAGACCAGGAATGCGACGGCGCCGATGACGATGCCTGCGATGGCACCGCCGGAGAGGTGCGTGCCGCCTGGGGATGAGGAGGGGGTCGAGGTCGAGGTCGAGGTCGGACCGTTCAGTATGGTGGAGGTGGCTTCGTTGGGGACGGGGTCGCCGACTGCAAGCTGGAAGTCTGCGTTCTTTGCGGCTTGGATTTGCGAGGCGAGGGTTTGGGTTGAGTTGGCGTTTATGGCGCCGACCATCAGTTCGCCGATGCAGGAGTTGGGGGCTGCGCAGTAGAAGAATATTGGGGCGGTGTCGTTGATAGTGATGTTGTAGTGGGTGATCTGGAATTGGTTAGAGGTTGCTCGTGAAGATATCAGATAAGGTTGAGGTGGTGATGACCAGTGTTGAGAGTCAGTGAGAGTGTGTGATCACTTACATCTGCAGTCGTGTTGACCCATTGTGTCTCTGTCCAGAAGCCTTTGCCAGCATGGTCTTTGTCGGCGTAACTGTATGGGACACATGCACTGCCAAACTCCGCCTGTATAACTGAGTGATCTGGAGGGTAAAACTCAAAGGTCACTGTGTCGCCGACAGATACATTGGTCAACTCTTGCGGCGTGAACTTGAAGCCTCCAGATCCGACCTTGATAAGATGGACCTGTGGCTCGCTGGATGCGCTTGATGTCGCCGATGAACCTGATCTTGTAGCAGAGCTCCCGAGGCTTATTGGGGTAGGCGCTAAGGTCGCCGAAACGAATCCATTCTGGGATGAAAGCGACGCTGATACCGATGCCGATGTAAATGTTGCTGTGGACTGTGCTGAGGTCGTTGATAGAAGCTGACAAGCAGCGACCGCCACAGCAAGCCTTGCGATCTTTGAACGAACCATTCTCTCCGTGTATGCAAGGGGCCGTGCGGCGTAGTTTGGACCAGAGTAGCGATTCGTCGAGCGTGCCACGGCGTAATTTGTCGATATAAAATCCCAATGCTGCCCCGATCTCAACCTTCTCAATGATGATATTATTCTAGGTCATCGACGGGCGTCGAAAAGGCAGGAACAGACCCATCGCGTACGGCTGACCCTCCGCTTATGAACAACCATGCTGCATACCCACCTTCAGGTTCCCAGCGCAGCATGCTATGCCCGTCAGCACCAAGTCTCCACACAGCCTTCCCAGCTTCAGGGATCACCGCTCGATAGCTGACCGACGAGCCTCTCAGAACTCACGCTCTTCACCCCGGAAGCCAAGATCTCATGCTCAACCTATCGGTGTTGCGAATTATCCACTGCACGACGGGCGTTGGCTGAGCGAGCACGAGCTGAATGGCTTCGCTTGTTGTTGCGCTACATCGTCGACATGGGTCGCAACATGCGATTGGCTCTGGGCATGGATTTTTTGCCGCAGCGGGGCCCGTCTGTCAGCACGCGTGTGCTGGTCTTTTTTGAGATGGATTGCCTTGCGGGATTCTTACAATAGGAAGGCGGTGTTGTAAGGCTCGTGGATGCGCGTCCTTCATGCTACTAACAAGGGGTCATTCCCGTCCCCTGTTCCCAGCTTTTGAGGGTCCTGACATCCTCTTCAAACCGAAGGTCAAGAGCTGCGGACGGCAATATTAGGTAACTTGCACAAGCTTGAGGTCTGGATCTCGCTTCTTGGAACAAAGTACAGCTGGACTATTAGGTTGTTGTCGTAGTCAGAAACTCACACCGCATGGGATTTCAGGTGGACAAGAGGGTCTACTAGGACCGGAACAGCATAGCCCTGCGGTTAGCATTCACATCAAGCGAGATCGTCGGTCTTGGCTACCTGCCTCTTAGCTTACATATTAGCACATCGCAGACGAGCTTTGGGAGTTGTGGAAAGTCGCCAGCCAGGTACACAGGTGCGATCGTTCGGATGTGCCTGAGATTTGATTGTCTGCCACTTGGTTGTGGTGGTATACGTATGCAAGCTGCATTGACAATGGCGATCCGTTTCCCGCAGCGGAAGCACGTTCTAATAAAGGTCTGTCAGTGAACAAGGCGCATAATCGACAGCGAGATACGGCTAAGTATATGCCGAGAAGGTGTGGGTAGAGTTTACATATGGGCTGAGTATTTCCGCTTGCTGAAAGTGAATCCTACTTATCCCATCCAATGTCAGCGTGCGGCCAGCTTACACGCAACCTCGCTGATGTTGTCCGAAGCTTCCTCAATCCGTAAACTCAACAGCTGTGCCATGAAGGATGATAATATTGCGTCAGTGTTCCGGTCGAATGCTATACAAGCTAGCTGCGCTCAGAACAATGGCAGCGCATCGAAAGACCAAACGCTATGCCATGCAATAGAGACAGTACATATCGAACAACGAGGCCTATTCGACGGCACTATCAATACGGCCTCCCCATCGGGCTTCTGGGACTTCTGGGCACTGGACTGGAGAAGACACCAACAGGTGGTAAACCCCGCAGTCCATTAGCGTGCCTTGCATTTATCGCTTGTGTGTCAAGGCCTCGAGGAGGGCTTCGAAAACCGCCGTTTAGTGCCGCCTGCTGCTCATCGTCAGTAGGAGTAGAGTTCTCGGTTTCCTCCGCGAACTCGCTCTTCTTCTCCAATAACAAGTCCTGCACTTCTTTTCGGTGGCCGACCAGCATCTCATCTAATGTGTCCCAATCTGACTGTTGAAGATCTCCCAGCTTCCTACGCAGTTTCTTCGTCGTATTGCGATTGAAGGCGAAGTGACTTTGCTTCACGAAGATTTTGGTGTGCTGATAGGCGTAAGATCAGCAGATGCCCGGGTTGTGTGCGAGGTCGTTGTGAACATACGTAATAGTACCATGTGCCGACGTCGTCGTCTGTAGGACGCTTGACGGACTGTATAGCTGAATCGGCCACAAATCCTATGATGAGCTCTATCCTGCTGCCGTTCTCGGTAGTAGTTTCTAGCGCGGTCAGCCAACCATCAACAGAATGTATCGAAACAAATCACCATTGCGGCTTAATAGGTCAACCAAGCCAAGATAGGCATCACCTATTCCCATAAAGAAGACCTGTGTCGCCTCATTGGGTCTGCACATCTGTCAGTAATTGTTCTTGCGTTGCAGTAATCAACTAACTCAATATAGTTGGTCCAGAGGTAGTTAGCCATTTCGCGAGTTCTGTCTGACCGAGCCTTTTGGTCATCCGCTTTGATGAAGCCCAAATTCGACTGTTCTTTTGTTAGCTTCGACTGGCAATAACAGAAATGGACCAGCTTACCTCTTCACTCTCCACAGCCACAATCTGAGGAACATTCACGTCGATGACGGAAAAGTTGTTCGTTATGGCCCAGTCAATGTAGTTCTTGGTTACATCAGTCTTTAAGTTCAAAGTCAGCAGCTGTACAGCGCGAGACTGTAGTGGGTACTTACAAGCCACGTGTTGTGTAGCTCTCTTCGACCAGTGACCGGGTCTGCGTGATCCTGGAAGCTGGGAGGGTCATGAAAGATGACCAAAAGCGGCTTACGCTCCACGATGTCAGGCCTACAAGATTAGCTGGGCTATCATCTGTCCCAATACGCAGCACTTACGTTGCAAGTACGTTGTGCTCGAAGGTCTGCGAGAGTCCTGGTTGAATAATCTGCAAGGGTATCATGGCATGCTCTCTAGCGAGACGCTGGCTCTGCCATTCTCTAATGACATCGTGCAATGCATCTGTAGCGGCAAATCCTGGGTCGGTCCGGTCGAGGTGTTTCGGATACAAGCATTTCCAGTATTTCGAGTGCTGGCGCTTCACCTGCTCGATGGTACGGACAGCAGTAGCTTTAGGTGCCGGTAGGTCTTCGCTCAGTCGGTCTGGGGGCTCCTGCATTAACACTCTGGTAACCGCAAGTGCAGAACGTGCGATCGAGCGCAAGTTGTAGCCTCCTTCCAGACACGCTACAAGCTTACCCTTCGCTAAGCGCGAGAGCATGTGCGTCATATGACCGTAGCAAGCTGGGGTTACAAAGCAGCCGCCGAGTACGTCCCCTTCAGCAGCATCGAAACCAGCGGAAATGATCACCAAGTCCGGATCGAACTCGCTGGCTATAGGCATGACAACTTCTTGAAAGGCGCAGAGGTACTCGGCATCACCCATGCCATGTTCATCCCATGGTATGTTGACATTCTTACCAATACCATCACCCTCTCCGCAGAAGTTCAGGTCGCCGTCGGGTAGGTTTGGGTAGAAATTCCCGCCACGGAAAACATGCAACGATATGTAGAGCACATTTGGGTCATTGTAAAATGCGTGCTGGATACCGTTACCGTGGTGAACGTCCCAATCGAGAATCAGAACCTTTCTACAGGTCTGAGGATACGCATCTTGGCAAACACGTGTTGCGATAGGGACATTGTTGAAGATGCAGAACCCCGAAGGTTGGTCACTCTCAGCGTGATGCCCTGGTGGCCGAATGATAGCGATCGCATTGCGCACAGATCCTTGCACGACAGCTTTGCAGGCCTCAATTGCGCCGCCTGCTGCTAGTCTGGCACAGTCGTAAGTGGAGTGGTTGAAGTAGATTGAGTCTAGCTCCTCTCCTTTCTCATGCAACTCCTCCACAGACATGTCTGTGACGTTGGTTAGCTAGATTCAAATTCCTAAGCGTGCAGACATACGTTGTAGAGAAGAAACGAAATCATAATGCTTCTTTGTATGAATCGTCAGAATCTCATGTTCCTCGGCCGGCCGGATCCCGATTCTCCAACAATATTCATCATGTTCGTCGTTATCTGAGCTCTCTGGGCCGCGCACGAGTCCAGCTTCCCGGATCTCTTCGAAAATTGAGTGAATACGGCGCGGATCTTCGGGATGTATGTCATCTGCCCGAGAATCGTTGGGGAGTTCCGCATGAAATCGCATGCGAGGATCATAGACTAAGCCCGTTTTCAACGTTGCGTATGGCAGAGCCTGTGATCTTGGTTTCGGCGGTATTCTGACTTGTGGGCTTGGACGGCGATGCAGAGTGGTTCGTGTGATGTCCGTTTTGTCTGATCGGCCATCCACATAATGTGAGGTTGTACGCATAGACAACGCACCCTCATAAGGTGGTAATTGAGCATTCTTTGGTAGGTGGGCCATGTTTGGGTTTGCAAAAACATCGGTTGGTATAACAAACTCGGGTGCATAGTCCACAGGGCCATTGTTGAACTCGGTTGAGGCGATGATCTCGTCCTCCATCGGGACGTCCATATCGTTCATTTTGGCGCCTAACCAGCTAATGCGAGCGCCTCGCGCCTCGCAATGCACGAGTAAAGACCAGCAGCTAGAACGACTTGTTAGCATCAAGAGTAAATGGTAAGTAGGGCACAATAGAGAGAGGATGCTGAGACAGTATCCTCAAGACTTGAAGTGATAAACTACAAAGAGAGAAGCAAGCGACTGACTGGTCTCGTAATTGTTTGGCACATTATTCCGAGACATGGCCTGCGGAAGGTGAAGTTGAGATACGACATGCGAATAAAACAGAAGGACCGGGTACAAGAAGAGCATGGCTGAGCATTGACAGATTCTGAGGGAGATAGGAAATATAAAGAGTAGAGTTGACGTACCGATAGCTTCTACCTCATGGAGATGGAATCGAAGATATTCTTGGAGGTCGCTATTCTGTCGGGAACGTGCAGCGCAATTGATGATCGCGTCCTGTGTGGACTGGTGCACAGGTAGCGGTTAACGCAAGATTCCAGCGACCAAGTTCGTGCGATTCTGAAAGAAGTCGAGTTGTCGCTTATCCCGTGATGCTGCCCTTCACAGCGTGTAATGCCGGAGATAGTTGGGTTCGCGCGCGTAATCCTGCAGAAGGGTGTAAACTGTGGCAGGAGGCTCCCGTAGGTAAGGCAAGCCCAGCAAATAGCTGTGGCTTGATTGAAGTTAGTAGCGCCGAATGGGTACTGGATAGAGTAGGAGACAGTTGTGATCCATGGATGCTTGATCGCGCGCGCTCGCGCATATGACTAAGCGGTGCTAGCCCGATTAGCACTGACACATCCTACTCACCTACCTACAGCTCAATCACTCTTCCATTAGTACTTCGAACATTACCTCTTGTGATATATACAGGATATCAACTTCTCTCACTCTCATCGTGCTATCATCTGCGATATGCTACCCTTGTTTGGAAGCCAAATTGCTTGCTACGAGCATGTAGCAGGTGCTGCGCTGCAGTGTCTATGCGAATAAATGGGCAATGTAATGCCGCTCCAATCTTCTGATAGTCAAGGAGTTTCCTGCCGAAAGATGTTCCTGCCTTGAGCCTTGAGTCATAGCAAGATTCGTGGCATCTATGACTTTAAATGCCATATCGACCTTGTCCAAGAGGTGGCTATAAATGCTCTTGAGATCAGCAGAAATTCACTATTTCTGCAACGAAATTTACCTGAAGTTGGGTTTTATTCGATGTTCGAAGTCGTGTTCCCCCCCCCCCCCTTTGTTTTTTTAGATCAACAATCAATATAGCCGTGCAGTCGGAGACAAAGGTGCACTTACAAGGTTCCCCTACACTCACTCAGCCAACAACCTCTCCAAAAGCACGACAACCCACCACATGTGAAGAACATTCAACCCACACCCACCCAGCACTCCATCCTCAGCCACACTTCACCTCTATTCTTCCCCAGAAACCTCAAAGCCGGTTCTAGCCACGCCTCCAAGTCCCGAGCACTCTCCACCCGATTTGCTCCGGGACGCAGCCCCATATGTTCCCCGTACGTAAAACGAGCAACTCCACAGTCGAAAAGGGTCTGAATATCGGGAACTAACGCGGAATATACACATTGTGGTACTCCTCGGGAGCGCATCCGCACATGCTGCCCCAGATATGATAGCCTCGGGAAAGGCTGGTATGCGGACGCTAGACAATCGTCGACAGGGGTAGCTTCCGTTGGATGACGACCGTCGGCGGGTGAGAGCAGCTTCAGTTGCATATCGCGTGTCGTTTGCTAAGGGTCAGTTCGACAATCAAGATAGGTTCACGGTGAGGAAAACAAGTTGTTTGTTGTACTATTATTCATTGATTCATATCTGGCGTAAACACATGTTTGGTGCTGCAAACCCAGCGTATTTTCATCCTAGGAACTACTAACACAGTGGCTTTCATGTCCTTCCAACTCAGCTCTCAAAGCTTAGGCATAGCCTGGCTCTGTCCTGACTCCTAAGCGTTGCCATCAACCTTGGCAATGTAGACCAAAAGGTCGAGGACACGGCGGGAGTAACCCCACTCGTTGTCGTACCAGGAGACAAGCTTGACAAAGTTCTTGTTCAGGGAGATACCGGCCTTAGCATCGAAGATGGAGGAGCGGTCGTCACCGTTCAGATCAGAGGAGACGATCTCGTCCTCAGTGTAGCCGAGGATGCCCTTGAGCTTGCCCTCGGAAGCCTCCTTGACGGCCTCCTTGATCTCGTCGTAGGAAGCGCCCTTCTCGATGCGGACAGTCAAGTCAACAACGGAGACGTTGGAGGTGGGGACACGCATAGACATGCCGGTAAGCTTGCCGTTGAGGTCGGGGATGACCTTGCCGACAGCCTTGGCGGCACCGGTGCTGGAAGGGATAATGTTCTGAGCAGCGGTACGGCCACCACGCCAGTCCTTAGCGGAGGGGCCGTCAACGACCTTCTGGGTGGCGGTGTAGGAGTGGACAGTGGTCATGAGACCCTCGACAATGGTGAACTTGTCGTGGATGACCTTGGCGAGGGGAGCCAAGCAGTTGGTTGTGCAAGAGGCATTGGAGAGGACCTCAATGTCCTTTGTGTAGGTCTCGTTGTTGACACCCATGACGAACATCGGGGCATCAGCAGAGGGGGCAGAGATGACGACCTTCTTGGCACCACCCTTCAAGTGAGCCTTAGCCTTCTCGGTGGTGGTGAAGACACCGGTGGACTCGACGACGTAGAAAGCGCCGGTCTCGCTCCAGGGGATGTTCGCGGGGTCCTTCTCGGTGTAGAAGCGGATGGTCTTGCCGTTGATGGACAGGTTGTTGCCCTCAACCTTGATGTCGCCGTTGAAGCGGCCGTGCGTGCTGTCATACTTGAGCATGTAGGCCTGCAGTTCTGTCAGCTTCTCGCCCTCATCTGATAGTCTCTGAAGCGTTTGTATCCGTGCTGAGCCGGTGCTTCGAGTATTGGGGGGCTTACAGCGTAGTGGGGCTCAATGAAGGGATCGTTGACAGCGACGATCTCGACATCGTTGTGCTCGATGCTGCAAAACCATTATTAGCTCATTCACCTCATTCTGAAACTCACGAAGAGGTCTACTCACGCGTTACGGAAGACGATACGCCCAATGCGGCCGAAACCGTTGATACCGACCTGTCAAGGACGTCAGTAGCTGTTGGTAGCTGAAGAGGGGTAGCAGTGGCTTACCTTGACAACCATGATGGATAGACTTTTGTTCTGTGAAAAGTGTCAATTGAGAGGGAGTGATGAATTGGAAAGTCAAGAGGTGCTCACGCTTTAAAGGGATCTAAAGTAGTCTGGAAGCTTGGAAGAAGAGATTTGTGGTGGGCTGGGAAGGCGCGGTGTTTGTTGGGTCGTATGGTGGGGTGAGCGGGGCTAAAGTAGCTGATGAGGAAAACGTCACAGGTCAAAAAAAGTACTGTAATCTGATAGCTGCGACGCGGGCCGGATCCAATGAGTTCCTTTGAGCCCTCCCACACACCCGGCCGGCTGCGACGAGCTCGATGCCAGGCTGCACAGCTGCAACCGTACCTCGGGCGTTGAGCAGCCATCGTGAGAATGCGCGGAAAGCAACGGGGTGAAGGAGCTTCCCGGATGCGTCGAACCTGGGCTTAAAGTGTGCCCGAGGCCCTCTTTGCAACCTCGAGCTGGTGCCCACCTAGAGCCTCATTGCACTGACTTGTGGTCCACGATGTGTTCAACCGCTATCCTTGCATATGCACACTGCTTCACTTGGCTTTTGCGAACAGCCATACAGACCAAGCACGCCCAGCACCGCAGATGCACATCTCTAAACAGCTTACGAAATAAGTATCCGCACGTCTCGTAATGCTCGCCACGGCGGCATGGAGCAAGCTAGTTGGCAGAAGCATTCACTCAGCGTGACCGGCAATCTCTGATGTATCCAGGATCATCTGATCATTCGATAGAATAAACACAGCGATTCGACACCGCGGAATCGGTCAGCGCGGGGAGGCGAGCTTTTGGTGCAACCACCGAGATTCTGACCGCCACGCAAGTCGAGCACGTAGTCGTTGAGATTGACTGAGATGTGAGGCGTAACGCATCCGCGGCCGAGACTTGGGAGATGGGCTAGACGAGGGGTCAGCTAAAGCAGACCTGAACTCACCACCTGACAGTGATGTGCGACAACGGAGTCCAGAACTTCCCAAGGTACCTGCATAAAGGTTTGAGGGGCAACTTGGACGCATCTACGCGTGAGGCTGTGATCGAAGCCCCCAGCTCCGTAGGGCTGACAAGCTTGAGCTCGAGCTTTGAGGCTATCGCCAAGCTATAATTATCTCCACCACGAAACGCCCTCGAGCAGCAGACATGAAAGAAGGTTTCGAGAAACCAGTCGCCCTTGCCAGAATTGATTTGGTTCCTCTGATCAAGCACTACGAAACTCTGTCCCCTCATTGCTTTCAAGGACTACTGAATATCCTGACTAGAAGCCCCACGGTCATGTGACTATTTGAAGCGCAGCCGCACAGTGTACAGGTAGACAACACAACCATCTTGAAATAGTTCTATGAGGCTTGAACTCTTTCAGGGACGTGAGCTTCTGTGGTCCATTTGTTCTACACGTGGCTTGTAAAGGATATGGAGTGACTGTTGTCCAACTACTCTGGAACCGGTCGTCCGGAATTGAGGCAGTTTGCGAGCTTTAGCAACGCGATCTGCGAGGTGCTACAAACGCATTGCTCATGTGCAACTAGAGCTTAAGTACTATATAGGACATCTGAACCCTCATAGCTGCCAGCACGTCCCAGCAACAACGCTCTCGATGCATACTCTTTCCCCCTCAGTGGCTGCCACGATCGAACGTTGAGCCCCTTCACGAACAGCCATGAGCACGCATGAGCAGCAACGTGTGCGTTTATCAGTCCTGCAGATCGAGCTACAGCTTTCACTGTGCCATTGGCTATCTGAGAGCTGCTTAACACACGCCGTGCCGTTCTGCAGCAGCGGTGAGGCTGCAGTGCTCGCTCTTCCCATGTTGATCATGAGCGAAAACGTGGAAAGAGCGATACAAACAATCGCTTCCACAGCTCACACCAATTGTTCAAGGTCTGGGCATACGAAGCGCACACATTCACTTGAAGTTGCGCAGCCTTGCTCTCGTTCATGAGGGTGAGTTTCAACGGCGCGTTCATTGGGCGCCGTCCCTGGTGTGGTCTGTGTCACCAGTCGAATGACTTTCGGTTTTTTGCCAAGCCTGCCCACTGCAAGCTCGACCGTCTCCTTGTACCATCACCACCGTCATCACCAGCACCCATTGGCAGCTCCAGGTCCCTCGAAGGGAAGCTCTCTCCGTTCCATTCGCAATTTTCGACTCTCTCCACTCTACCGCCGCCATGATGCGCACTTCGATCGTCCGGGCGACGCGCGCTGCTGCCGTCCCCAGAACCGCACCCGTCACCAGCCAGCTCCAGCATTTCCGCCAGGCACACGCTATCTCCAACCCTACTCTCGCAAACATCGAGCAGAGGTGGGAAGAGTGAGAAAACCACGTGACTACACAGCAATGGAGTTGTTGCTGACAATCCGCAGCCTTCCTCCCCAGGAGCAGGCCGACCTTTGGATGTCGCTGAGGGACCGCATGAAAACCGACTGGAAGGAGTTGACTCTGCAGGAGAAGAAGGCTGGTGCGTATAACCCTTCACAGAGCCATTGAGCTTCATGGACAGGCGCATGACGTACCCGGGGTCGATAATGGTGCACCCGAGTTGGCCCGTGGCATTGGTGCACCCAGCGTGACCTCCCACAACGCATCGCACACTCATTTATAAGGATTTTCTGCTAACCACGGTTCGAACCTATAGCTTACTTCATTGCCTTCGGCCCCCACGGCCCCCGCCGTCCTCCTCCTCCGGATGAGGGCCGCAAGGTTCTCTTCCTCTCCGTCGCTGTCTGCTTCGGTGCTCTCGCCGTCTTCACTTTCACCCGCATGTTCGCCAGCCCCATCAGGCCCCGCACCATGACCAAGGAGTGGCAGGAGGCTACCGAGGAGTACATGAAGGTGCGTAGCATCAATGCTGTGGTGGCAGCATTCCTCATGACGCAATATGTGCTAACACATATCGCAGGCCCAGGGAACAGAGCCCATCACTGGCTACAAGGGCATGATGGTCCAGTCGGTCTCCGAGAAGAACCTTCCTCCTGGCCAGAAGCTCAACGACGAGTAAACGAATGGTTAAAAACACCACATCAAACGCACAATACCAATACCAATACCAATATCACATTTCCTTGGGTCAACTTTCCATTTGGTACTGTCTGTGTCAGATATACAACAAGATCGAACGGGTTACGAGCCTCTGCTGGATTGGCCCCTGTCATATTAGTTCCTCCGTGTACAGAAATTCTAGAGGCATTTGTGATTCTTTCTCTACCTTCTCCACTACGATCTTGTGTGTAAAGCACAGTGTACGCATAACGAGCTCTCCAATACATGCGCTCTGCTCTCGATATTGCTCGCCTGCATACTCGTGCGGGCCGTTGACAAACTGCGAATAGCTTTATCTGGATTGGGCAAAAGCCAGGGTGAGTAAGCAGTGTCAGACCACAATCTGCTAACAAATGCTAGAATCGCACGATACATTCTGCTTCAAAGGATCAATGAACGGCAATGCGAGGAGAGATATGGTGATTCCAAAAGCAGCAGACCAACCTGTTCGCCAAATACCATTTGCTCACGCAACTCCCAGCGCAGCCCAGATCGAGCCACAACAAGGCAGGCAACGCAAATTAGGAAGCACTACATTGCGCATTAGGATTGAGCAACTAGCCAGCTCGTTAGCCTTAAAATCAAGTCCATATAACTAAGGACCAATAACGAAATACGACCACGACTTCTACACTTCACAACAGACGAGAGTATCGAACCACATCGAAAACGCCACCTCCGACCCTACTCTTGCAAACGTCGATCAAGGTGGGAAGAGTGAGAAAGACCACGTGACTACGCAGCAACGGAGTTGTTGCTGACAATCCGCAGCCTGCGCAGCAGGCTGGCGATCAGAGTTCGTCATGTGTTACAATGTAGCTTACGGTCCACATTGAAGGACTCGAAGCACATCCGCGGCCGGACATCACAGACATCGCCACCAGCTGATCACGAACTTCACGGCTCACGACTGCTGAAGCGCGGCCGATGCCTGTATGCGGATCCGTGTACCGCGCGCGGCAAGACCTCACGGTAGTGGTCTATCTCAGTACGGCCACGACTGGATTTCCAATCGGTAAAGCACCATCAAATGGAGAGCCTAGTGGCGATGATGATATTACAAAGCAAATTTTGAAAGCTACATGACACCCTGCAGCGAAGCAACTGGTACTAGCTCTTCGTTCATGAGCTCTCAACCGATAGTCCAGATCCTCGGTCTACTCCCCGTCCTTGTATGTGTGTACATACGCCCTGCAGCGCCGCAGTCCGTGTATAGACCGCCTGCAACGATCGCATATGCTGTTGCTTGGATTCGATTCCGCCGAAGATGGATCCAATCGCGGTTCGCTACGAGAGCCGTCGTGGATTAGTCTGTGTGGGTCAAGAGCTGTTAGCAGAGCTCGATAGCATTGAAGGGAAAGACTCACAGGACAAATTCACCAGAAGGTTGTTTGCCTGTTTTAGCATCATGCTCGCTCGACAAGCATGAAGGTCCTACCCTGACCATGTGGAGGACGAGCATTTCAGGGCTTGTTTTTGTGGAGGTTGTCACCTCCGAAACGCGTCTATCTGCCCTCCCTCTGTTCTTGGACCTTTACCTTGACCTCTTTCTGGGGGTCATCGTCCTCATCAGCCTTGCGTCTCACCGCAGGCTGAGCAGGAGCAGTGCCAGCTGATGCCACCAAACTCTCGTTCAACCAAGCCATCTGCTCGTCTTGTACATGAACTTGATTCTCTTGCGGGAGTGCACGAAAGTCGTTGCTCTGTACGGCTTGGATGTACTTTTGAGCAAGTTCTTGAATGTGGGCATTCGGGGGAGTTGCGGTTGGATTCAAGGCTCTGCAGATCAGCTCCGAGAACACGGCACTCTGCATATCTGCAGGTAAGCTGATCCGAGCAGGATTGATAAGGATATCAGCCATGCTGTTGACTGCTCTACGCTGTCGCTCGTCGTGAGTGGTGCCACTCGCACGAACGACCTGCTGTTCAGCCCTTGCCATTCTAGGCTGGGAAGCAGGGACAGAAGTAGGGGTAACGGCCGCATTGTGCTGCTGATACAGGTTCAACATTTCCTTACCGGACACGTACGCCCTGGCAAGGGCCTCACGGTTGATCTAAGGCGCAACGTGAAGATGGCTGCATGTAGTGCAGACTACACGGGCATCTCCAAGAGCTTCGTACTCTCGTCTTGCCGCTACGTGCTGATCTTGCTTGGCCTTAAAGGCTCCAGCTCGTTCTGCGAGAGGGAGGTTGACATCGCCCCACGGTGTGTAGACGGCAACGTCAACTTCCTCCAGAAGATCTCGTTCACCTTTGGTGACGCGGGACGGCTTCACTGACTCGCGTGACGCAACGCCAGAAGAAGCTGCATTGGAGCTGGCCCCTGCAGCGGTCGAGAGACTTCTGTTGCGCGAAAGCGTGAGTTCGGCAACGTCAGTACTCTCGAAAGACACATGGCTTCGCGACCTCTGGGAGAGCTTGCCAGTGCCGGCTACGACCTCTTCAGTTGTAGATAAGACGCGTTCAGCGCCGGCTACCGTAGTAGATAGGACAGGTCTAGCCATCCTGCCAGAGCTGTCGGTGAGAGTGATCTGCTGAGCGGGCAGCGCAGAGGTGCTGGTCTTGCCCATGACAACGGCTTTGCGAGCAGAAGGCATGTTGGTGAAGGTGGATGGAGAATACAAAGTGTTATGAGTGTGTGCGGTGCGAAAATGATGCGTGGGCGTTGTGGTGATTCAACAAGAGCCGGGAAGGAGCGAAGGACCTCCAAGGTCCATGTGCCGGTGAAGGTGAACATGAAGCTTGCCACGTGCGCGACGCGTTGCTCGCTTATACACGCTGAAGCACGCTGAAGCACGAAGAAAGCGCAAAATAGTTGGATATAGCGGGATTCGAACCCATTCCTCCTGACTTCCCGATCGCAATGGGCAAAGGTTCCTGTCAGGCTATGCTCTTTGAGCAAATCGTCTTCTTCGCCAATCTCCGACGTGTCTGGGCGATGACATGCGAGGTATTTCACCAGTTGCACTACATACCCGTTTGATGAAGGACCCTGGAGTTGCCACTCACTTGTGAGCGATGCTTCCGACATGTCCCTTTCACCTCATCCTCCAGATCTCTTCCTGAGCAGATTGGTCCTGTCTACGTCAACGCCTGTGTCCATTGAAGAGCTTTCCAAAAACCCTTCTGGATGCAGTCACATGTGTCAAGAGTCGAGTAGCAGAAACAGTCAGCTCGTGCTTGCATGTACAGTATCGGCGGACCCTCATGCTTACTTTCGATCTTTCCGTCACCCTCGCTTTGCCCAACAATACATGCTGCCGTTTAAAAATCCAAAAACCTCGTCAAGAGTGTTCATGAAAAGTGCGAGACGTTTGCAGAAAGGCTGAGATGACGAATTTTTTGCGGAAAAGTTGCACGACTTCCACAAACCAAAAACCGCATGGGAAACAAGTATACGTGCGTCTCTTTGCCTCCTACAATAAGCCTGGAATACACTAAAAAAGAAAATGGAAGCATGCATGTTGATCTCAAAGGAGGAAAATATCAAGTCATGTCGCTTCTGGGCGCTGAACGTGCTTGAGTGTATAAAACTACTCTTCGCTACCTCCAAGTCTTTATCCTTTTTCACACCGTCAGTCCGCTAAACCAAACATGCGGAGCTGGTTCCTATGTTTTCCGACCCGAGAGACTTTGATACATCATGAGCTTTTACTTATGCTGGAAGTTTCAAATTGCTTTTCTCTATTCTTCAGGTTTGCTGCTTTCCTCTCCACCTAAAGTACCGAAAGCGATACCCGATGAGATCGAAATGACTGGATATCTGCCCATAGCTCTTGTGAGAGCTGTGAAAAGTTCATTCTTATCAAAAAGAGTAAATCAAATAAGAACAACTGTCTCCGGCCCCAAGATTGTTAACAAGTGGCTCGATGCTAGCCGTTGTAGCCCACAAGTAAAGGCATCACTTCCCAATTATCATGTCGCAATGTTTGAAAGTCAGTCAAAAAGAAGGCATGGGATCAGAAAACATGTGCTTACAGCTCATGTTTGCTTGACGTACCGAAAAGGAAAGCAAGCAGATACATCAGTGTTCTGGCTGCCGTCTCACAATGGCATATATATGCCATTTCGCTATCCAGCCTGCCATTACACAGCACCATTTCTGCATAGCCTGTACCCAAAAACGGAATACCAACACGCCGTAAAGTGTTCGAGTTGCTCGTGTCTTACCGAAATTGGATAGAGGAGTTCAACATGTCTGCTGCTCTTCTCTGTGCGTGAATAGCAGCTCCGGAAACATCTCTTTCGATTAAGATTCTGCGCTCCGACCTTGTATGCCTGGCTGAGCTATGGGCTGCGTTCGCGAACACATGGCTATTGAACCAAAACAGAACGACCAAGATGTCATGTCGCAGTAGTTCTAGCACCAGTACAATAGGCTGTCTGATGCATCCAATGACTTTTAGCAGGGCTACATGTGAGTCTGTCCACCTCCCAACTCCTATAAAGCCCAGTGTTTCTCCTATCCACATCGTCCTCTCCACAAACTTCTTTTGCTAAAGCAATATTCAAACACCAACATGGCTGCCCGATGGAGTTTCGCGCTGTTTGAGCCACAACAAAAACAGCATCTCGAAGGTTAATGTCTGCTCGTCGGGCGGCTCTTTCTGTCATCCTCTATTTCTGAGACTCTCTACATCTCTCTCGACCTTTCCACTTTCTCTCGTTTCCAACAGCGCCAGTCATACATGGATTTCAAATCGCCGAGATATGCCCTCATGGAGTCATCGTCTGTCTTCCTGCTATTTAATCCAACCAAAAGACAACTACCCAGGTCCCATGAGTGCCTCCTTCTATGCCTTAAAACGATATGCTCAACCATATATGTTTGTCTTTGGCGTCTACATGATTCTCGCATGATCAAAAAGATCGAGGTGCAGACGCATGGTGGTGACAACGTGCTGAGCACAGGTGAGTGATACGAAAATGGCGACTCCTTCCACTTCGTTCTGGGGAAGTATAAGGCCTGCCTCCTCTGCGGTCGTCTCTTTCCGCGCTGGTTCTTTTGCATCCTCCTTTAACAAAACGCCTTCTTCGAGAACTGATGGAGTCTACGGATTTTCGAGGCTCATCAAAAAAGGACCTTTCTTCTTACCATATTTGTCTCTTTTTGCCCGGAAGTCGATGCTTCAGAAGATAAGATGTCATCCGTCTATGTAAGCCCGCTCAAAATTGCACCATCGTCAGTTCATGTGCGCGGAAGAGGGGAGCTTGGATGACAGCCTCATTTCAAGATCCAACCCCAGCTTTGACACGTCTTCTGTGGCGTCTACAACAACCAAACATCCATGAACTATTAACCAAAGAGGCGGCAGTGATACAAATGGAGAGGCTGCCGCTCTGGCCCGTCTCAAATTGCTTTGGGTGTTGTTGTGTCGTAGATTGTCTTACAGTATATACACTTCGCCTATCTTACACCCACTCCTTGGGGTTCTTGAGCACGTCTATGAGGCGCTCTTCCCTGCTGCCCTTTTCAGGTGCGTGCATGTACTCCCACCTCGATGTGAGTGGCAAACTCATCAAGATACTCTCCACCCTCGCACCCGGTGTGTTCAAGCCAAACGCTGTGCCACGGTCGTGGACCAAGTTGAACTCGACGTATCGCCCTCTCCTGATCTGCTGCCAGTGCTTCTGAGCTTCTGTAAACGGCATGTCCTTCCTCCTGTTGATGATGGGCAGGTACGACGGCAAGAAAGCAGACAAGCAGTCCTGAACGAAGCTGAACAGCTGCTCCTGATCCTTCTCTGTCTCATCGAGATCGTCGAAGAAAATACCGCCTACACCGCGTGTCTCGCCACGGTGCTTGTTGTTGAAGTACTCGTCGCACCACTTCTTGAAGCGTGGGTAGTATGCCTTGTCGTGCTTGTCGCACGCCTGCTTGATCTCGCTGTGGAAGTGTATCGCGTCTTCGTCGTAGAGGTACGAGGGTGTAAGATCGCAGCCGCCGCCGTACCACCAGGCGTTGGTGTTGCCAAACTCGTCGGCGGTCTCGAAGTAGCGGTAGTTCAGGTGGACGGTCGGAGCGTTGGGGTTGTGCGGGTGCAAGACCATGGACAGGCCTGCAGCGAAGAACTCGAGGGAGTCGACGTCAGGATCGAGTGCTTTGTGGTTCACGCGCATCTTCTGGATCGCAGCGCGAGGGAGGCGGCCGTAGACTACTGAGGTGTTCACGCCGGCCTTCTCGAAGACCTTTCCATCCTGCAGCACGCAGGTAATGCCACCACCGCCTTCTGGCCGCTGCCATGAGTCGATTGTGAACTTTGTGCCATCGACCTTCTCCAACTCAGAGACGATCTGCTTCTGGTGCTGCTTTATGAATTGTTCCATTCGTAGGCGCATGGGCGATTGCTCGGACACGCCGTTTTCGCGCTTGAGGAGGGCATCTTTTTGGGCGATTGAGGGCGTCTCGGTCTTCAGCGAGTCCGACTCTGTCCACTGTATTATGTAAATTCAAATCCCAGCTCCTATGCAATGCGTACACATACCATAGAGTATATGATAGCGCCCACGAAGGGCAGCATGAGCAGCCGAATCCTGTTCGGCCACTTGCTCGGCGGAGGATTTCGCCATTCTTCCAACGGGTCTGGCTTGATCTTGTAATTGCGAGGGAATTCACCCATGCGTCTCCTTTGAGTCTGTGTCTGCCTGCTCTTTAGACAATTTGCGCGTAACGATGGGCGGGGCGCATAGCAGGTGGGAAGCTCGAGAGCTCTGGCTACACGGAATGAAGGTCGAGGAAGCATTGTGGACGAATGCTGGCTTCAATAAGAATTACAAGGCTATAATACAACCATACAAGAAGAAGGGAATGCACGCGAGCCGATTCGATTTATATTGGATGTGCTGCGAAAAGAGAATCGTCTTGGAAAGTATCGAGCATATCACACCATGGTCGAAGCATCATATGTCGAGGCGCGCCCGCAGACTAGTTACTAAGCCGCCCTTCACTCATGTATCATGGTTGCTCTTCCACGCGCCTTGAGTAGGTATGCTCTTGGCAGACACGTTGCTCCAATGCAGGAAATGTAGTTTTCGACATTTACTTGTGTTGTCAGAAAGCTGATGGAACAGGGTACTTGCCTTGGGATTGGTGACGGGCCTTTTGTTAGATACTAGGCTGTACACACATCCTTGTTTGGGCGTCTATCGTGAATTTGAGGTCGTAAATCCGTATGCTCATCGATAGAATACTTGACAGTGCAATAGATTTGGGGAAAGCTCAAGTACCTGAGTGCTGTCTCAGACCTCTGTGGGTACCTCGGTGCAGATGACTCAAGGCTAGGCTGGGTCATAGGAAGCTGAGCAAGTGACTTGTGAGGCGTGACGCGGAGGCGGTCAGCACACCATACAAAGAATAGTCACCTTCACGAACGCAACAATGAAGGCGGTACTTCGCATGACGAGCGAGTACTTGGAAAGGCATTTGAAGTGTCTCGATCCAGAATGCGCTTGCCGATAAAGTTAAGTTAAGTGGCTGTTACGGTCACCTTCGTTGACCGCATTGACTAAGCCGTCGCTGGTGATCCTACGCGCCCCGCTTGTTGCCTTGAGCTCACCTACACCGCTGCACCTCCTCCCTAACTTCTGCCACGCCACACCACTTGCACAACTTTCTGCAACCACCTGCTGCTAACTTTACCACCGAAAATCACACCACAGTAAACTTATCGCCGTCAACATGCGCTCCAAGTTCAAGGACGAGCACCCATTCGAGAAGCGCAAGGCCGAGGCCGAGCGCATTCGCCAGAAGTACAACGACCGCATTCCCGTATGTCTGCCTACAGCCTTCTCTTCGCAAGAACGAGCAACTAACAGTAATAGGTCATCTGTGAGAAGGTCGAGAAGTCAGACATCGCAACCATCGACAAGAAGAAGTACCTGGTTCCTGCCGACCTCACCGTCGGCCAGTTCGTCTACGTTATCCGCAAGCGCATTAAGCTGTCGCCCGAGAAGGCCATCTTCATCTTCGTCGATGAGGTCCTACCGCCCACAGCCGCTCTCATGAGCTCGATATACGAGGAGCACAAGGACGAGGACGGCTTCCTTTACATCACGTATGTTCCCTGTACACTTCAATGTCGCTGAAGACAAGTGCTAACAAAGCCGCAGCTACTCGGGCGAGAACACGTTCGGTGAGGCGATTTAAGGAGCTCGCTCCCTCTTACTTCTTCGATATCATGCGGCACGGTGTACTCACGGGCGTTTCGGATCTCACGGGCTTTCTTCATTCTTCACTACAACAGGACAAATGGCTAGGACGACTTATGGACATCACGGCAGTCGAGGGGCGCGGTGGCTACTTCCTCGAGACTCAGCGCAAGGCAACCACAACTGGGACTGAGGAGGAGCTGGCTTCGGTTTTCTACGGCAGCGCGATGACTGGCTGTTACAATCCAGTATGATGCCACATTTGTGTGATCATAGCTGCGAGACCGAGGTCAGGCTGGTTGGTTGATTTGGCTTATCCCTCTGCGCTGCCACACTGTAATTTGATCATTACTTCCAGCCCAAATGCACCATATCTTCTTTTACGACATCATCTTCCTCTGTGTGACATCTTCAACCTGCCCCGTGAAGCTCTACGCGCCGCTGATAGTCCACCGTGACTTGCGGCTCAGCCGGCCTCTGAGACGATGACGCCATCTGGACATCGTCCACCTGACCAGCTATTTCGGAGCTAACGAACAGGAGAAGAACGCCGTACCTGACACTCACGTAAAGCGATGCAGGCATGGAACAGCTTATCGCGCTTCAGTAGATAGCTTGGGTATCGTATCAGCATTCACGTGCAATCGTGGGGCAGGCCGCGGCCTGAAGTGTGGGTCGCCGATCTTGGGGAAGTTTATCGATACTCGACACCACAGCATCAATACTGAATGAACACTGTCTCTTCCCTATAAACGTCACACAACTGAAAGTCCTACACTGTGATACCACACAATTGACATCAGTGTGCACTCAGCGCCAGATCAGCAGCCAACCCACAAGCGATCAAAGATTGAGCTTAAGAAGCCCGACGCAGCAAGCATGTACATCATATCAAAGTATGTCCTCACATGCCTCTTCAGCATTACAGACTCGTGCTCACTTTCGTTCGTAGAGCTCTCGATCCCCTCTTCGCTATCTCGATCGGTCTCGCCGCCGCCGTCACACGCATCAACCGCGAAGAGAAGGAAAAGGGTCGCTCGACACAAGAGACAATAGACGTGTTCAAGAGGAGATGGGCGCTTGCGTGGCAGAGCGAACCTACGACGGCAACAAAGCAGTAAGGTCAGCAATGGAAGTACGGTTGAGCAACGGTCGAGGCACCTACGTCTGGTTCGAGACAACAATGGTCACACACTCTAGCAATAGAGAGTGAAGCACGAGGGATGCCTTGGAGCGACAACTAGAATGACTGTCATCAAGGCACCGACATAGTACGAGCCATCGATATCTCAACATAAGGTGGTAGGAGACGGCGCGGAGCAGAATCAGACGAACGATAGTCCAGTACGACGAATGATACCCTTTCTTTGGCTTCAGAAACAGATACACGAGTAATCGCACTACCTCGATCCGTCATGTCGGCTGCAACACATCTGTGGCTACTTCTCTGACAACCATGGCAACTGCAAGAGACGACACCCACTGCTGTTTAGGCGAGAAAGAACTGGGTTCTCGACGAATGCAGGTATGTCTCCATTTATCAACAAGAAGAATATCATACAACTGTTCCTCGATCGCTTCTTCCAGGCCGTTGAAGTCCTTCATATGCTGCAATGCTCCTGGAGACATGTCTCTTCGCTGCTTAGCGTATATCGCAATGGCAAATAACTGTTGCTCTGGAAGTCGGTCAAATCGATGTGCTCTTCCATATCGAAGGGTTTGAGCCACTTGAAAGTCCCGTTAGCTCTGTTTTCATTGATACTGACACATGCGCAAGATCTGCGGTGCGGCTTCGATGAGGCGATGAGTACGGTGCTGCCTCAAAACGTGGCAACTCGGACAAGCCTGGTTCACGAGAGGTTAAAGGCCGTCAAGCAGTATCACGAACAAGGTTCCATGCAAATGGGTATGAACCTGACTTCCATAGCCCACTCCGAGTAACCAATGTTCGGAACCGTATACCGATGACTACAGGATTGACACTGGACGTCTGCATCAGGGTAGTGGATTGCAAAGAACGCTTCTTGCTGAAGAAACCTGGCAGGTTTAGTGATGTCCTGCATCCCATTGCTTAGCCAGGTCAGGAACTCTTGTGCATCACCTGTCATGCCATGGCTGAAGCTTGGGTCCTGAGCGGCCATGTTAGCAATTCGCAGCAACGCTTCAGTCGCCTGTACTGGATGTGCGGGTTTTGACTCGCCCCAGAAATCCTCCACGAGGTCCTGCAAGACACGTTGCATGCACGCCGCTGGGACATGACCTGGCCTCGGATTGTGGTCATGCGCCCATACCCACCGACAGAATTTAGGGACGTGCAGGAGGGATTGCAACACGACATCTTGATAATAATGTGACTGGGGATTGATGAGTCCCCTACCGTCGTAACTCGGTCGAGGCAGAGCTGCGCCGGTCAAGTTGAGCGGCAACCAGGCCATGAAGATATTCTGGACCTTTGCTTGTCAGTTACTTGCATTCGTCACATGGATTCTAAAGAGTTGCAGTTATCCGTTCGTCACGCTTGATTTGCATCGCAGTCTTAAGAGCCCACGCTGGCTGCTGAGGAACTGTTTGACGTGTTTGGTCCATTTTCAGTGAGGTACCGCAGACGAACGATTAGGACTATGTGACAGCACTGACGGAAAAACAGATGAGAGGCCTTGAATTCACGGGTTGCGAACATGCAAACCTCATGATGGACTCGTCGACCTGGCCAGTCCGGTTCTTGAACAAAGCCGAAGGAAATCGAGAACTCTTTGTGCTGGAGACCGTCTCTATAAGTTCGAGGATGAATGACCAACAAACAATGAGACAAACATGCCGCCTTTGTCACCACCATGTCTTTGTTCAACATGACTCCCCGGCCCCAGGACGACTCTCAATTTGTGCTCCAGAAAGCATTCGTCTACAATTCAACACGTCTCCCGCTTGATCACATTCCAGGCTTCAATATCGTATAATGGTGACTACACGCAGTCGCGGCGCTGTGGTGCTGGAAAGAACGGTTCTGCAACTCCAGAGAGACCACATCGTAAGTTTGCAACAGCCTTTGCAGGAGCAGGAAAAGCCAGATACAACAGCCTGGAGCCCAAACACTCAATATCGACCTCTGGAGGCCCTCAACGCTGGTAAAGGTGTCACGGGATATATACGGAATCTACTGCAGTTCTCTATGCTCTCATCAAGTTGCGAAATGCCTATAGGTCTGCACGGAGTACCTCCCAGATCCTTGTCAGACCTGCCTTCATATTCGACTTTTTTGGTTACTTGGTATCTGGTAATAGCGCATAGCTGACATCTCAATAAGCAGTGCGAATGAAAATGGGATGGCTTCCCCAGAACAGCAGGCCACATGTTCACAGTCGAGGTATGCTCAACGGTCTCTATCTTTGCTAACAAAGATCCGTTGTGCAGGCCTTGGAGCACCAACCACCTTTTCTCAGTTGGGTTCTTCAGCACAACATCATCTTCTGCTCGATACTCAGTGTCTCAAATGCCACCTAAAGCGTCTGGTACAGCAAATACTGGGGACCCAACGCCATGTACCCATTCCGCATAACAATATTTTGAAAGGCATTGCGCACATGTCGCACCAGTCACCGTTCTTTGAACTTGGTCAGCAAGAACTTGCGAATCCCTTCTACGACTCGATCACTGACACGCTGAGGGAGAACCTAGAGTAAGTTGCGCTCTACATGAAACTTGACGAAGCTCTTTGTTGACTGCAAAACAGCAGTAAGAACTGACAACGTCAACACGAACTGGCAACGTCAACACGAACTGGCAACGTCAACGCGATACCCTCTATGATCTAACCCTCCAACCCCACGACCGCTGCAAGGTATTCGGGGCGCCCCACGACCCGGAGGCGAATAACAATACCTCCATCAGTCTTGGTATTGTTCCGAGGCATATGGACATCGCTGAGACCATACTTGGCGCACTACAGCATGGTGTGAAACGACCTCCGTTGCGAGCGATGCGAGAGCAATCAGACGAAGACTCGGTGGATAGAGATCGTCGCTGCACCGAGAACATTGCGTATACAACTTCAAGTCTTGTTATACAACCAGAAGATCTTTAATACGTTGGATTATCCGGATGTGTTGGACTTGACGGCGCTTCAACAGAGACCCGGATTACCTCTGCGGTATCAGCTGAGTACGGAGGAAGCGAGATTCCCTAAAGTGAGGCAGTGGGCAAAAAGTCGCAAAGAATGATTGAGACTGCGTCACTGAGGTCCTCCAGGGAGGTGCGAAGCGGAAGCAAATTAAGAAGGGGTGAGTATAAATTTGATTGTTCTCGCTTTTGATTCTCGCTTTTGATTCTCGCTCCTTCAATCCATACTTTCTTTTGCGTTATTCGAAATACATTGAGGTTCCAGATCATGGGTTCTGTCTACCAAAACATATCGGAGACCACGACATAGGCTGCTTTGTGCTCTTCCTGCAAAAAAGACAGAGACTGCGCATAGGATGATGACGAGAATGAAAGCTGTGGACTCTTCCCTGGGCCCCGAATGAGACGAACCACAATGTCACGGCTGTCTCCAGCCTGCTACAAAAAAACACAGTCCGCCAAAAGATGAGGACCACCAATCCATGGAGATGAAGCTGTCTAAATAATAAACCACGTTCCTGGATCCATTCAAGTCCACGTTATATAGGGTCTTTGACCTACAGCTCCTGCATCAAGGACACGTTCCTCTTACTTTCCGCTTTCCAAAACTGCAGCAGCATTGCTCGATGCGGAGTCGTTGTCTCGTTCCCAAGAGATTGGTGTACATGGATGACTGCCCTCCGCTTCTGTCCCAGAAACTTGAGTAGGGGAAATACATGGATATATTGAACTTGACTTACTCTGAATTGTCGCCTCGAGTACCTTATGCTTTGGCTCTGCCTCTTTCCAGCGGCCATGAATGTGGCTGGGAGGCCGTACATATACAAAGAGTTGTGCTCACCAGCGCTTCTCTACCTTCTTCCTTCAATTCGTTCCACATTAAAAGGCTCGGATAGTGTCCATATGTGTCAGAGACCTCTTCTCAAAACGGCCGCTGAGATGGCTCATGTTGTTCCCTGTCTGCTTCTGTCCTTTCCAACGCAGTTTAACTATCTGTGTTCTCCAAACTCCTCAAGAAAGATCGAAAGACCTCTAAATCGAAATGAGAGTCATCGGATTCTAAAATCAAAAAAAGAGCATAGGTGCTTTGAATGTCACCCAGTTCGGCGGCACTCCCTCAAACGACCTGTCATACTGCTTTCCTCCACCAACACAGAAAGACTGCGATCGTTTCCTACACGTTGTTTCTCTGCTCCAAAAGGTACACTTGACCATTGTATGACACCTCCGTGCACCAGTTGTGCTTATAAATGCCCATCGATCTTCTTTCTCTGCCACAACATCCACTGATCGACCAATGGCAAAAGAAAGACCACGCGAGACATGACTTGATTTTGAAAGGAAGGAAGGAAGGAAGGAAGAAAGAAAGACAGAAAGAAAGAAAGGAAGGAAGACAGACATTAAGTCTCGAGCCTTTTCCGCCTTTACAACATCGAAACCGTCAGTCTCATGTTGTGCCTGCTCGAGGATACTGGGACGATGCCATGCGCAACTTCCTCAATTTAAAAATCCAGACTGTCACGAATGCCTCTGCCTTCTGTGCCAATATAAGCCTGCAGCCCGTAGAGCAAGGACTGGCAGTCTGGATGTCTTCGCAAAATTTCAGGCAATCGTCTAATGTAGTGAGGACATCAATCATGCTTTTGATGACGAACATATTAGGAAACACAAGATCACAAAGCGGGATGGAACACTTTTGAAGAACTAGGAAATGGTTTCTTTGCATGCAAGATAGATTACAGAAGCCACGATGCTCCAAGCACCCGCTCATAATCCCACATTTGGAGGTATATGTTTTGTACAAGTGAGACTACCAGCGACTGCCCTCGACACAGTGGCCGACTCTCATGTCTCGCCCACCACACCGCTCGCTTATGACTTCTCGAGCTCAGCAAGAATCTTCTCACCCTTGGCACGCGCAGCCTCGAGGTTACCAACCATGTAGAAGGCACCCTCGGGGAGGTCATCACCCTCACCGTTCAAGATGCCCTTGAACGAGCGGATGGTGTCCTTAAGGTCGACAAGAGCACCCTCGATACCAGTGAAGACCTGAGCGACAGCGAAGGGCTGCGACAGGAAACGCTGGATCTTACGGGCACGCTCGACGGTAAGCTTGTCAGCTTCCGACAACTCGTCCATACCAAGAATGGCAATAATATCCTGGAGCGACTTGTACTCCTGGAGGATCTGCTGGACCTTGGTAGCGGTGTCGTAGTGCTCGTCACCGATGATACGGGGGTCAAGAATACGGGACTTGGAGTCGAGAGGATCGACAGCGGGGTAGATACCCAACTCAGAGATACCACGGGACAAGACAGTGGTGGCGTCCAAATGGGCGAAGGTGGTGGCAGGGGCAGGGTCAGTCAGATCGTCAGCAGGGACGTAGACGGCCTGGACGGAGGTAATGGAACCCTTGGAGGTGGTGGTAATACGCTCCTGCATGACACCCATGTCAACGGCGAGGGTGGGCTGGTAACCGACGGCAGAGGGAATACGACCGAGAAGAGCAGACACCTCAGAACCGGCCTGGGTGAAACGGAAGATGTTGTCAATGAAGAGCAACACATCCTGACCCTCCTCGTCACGGAAGTACTCAGCGACGGTCAGACCAGTAAGGGCGACACGGGCACGGGCACCCGGGGGCTCGTTCATCTGACCGAAGACAAGAGCGACCTTGGACTCGCCCTCGAGCTGAATGACGGAAGTCTCCTGCATTTCGTGGTACAGATCGTTACCCTCACGGGTACGCTCACCGACACCGGTGAAGACGGAGAAACCACCGTGGGCCTTGGCGATGTTGTTCTGCCTCGCTGTTAGTTCATGTTACCGTCGTGTGCCTCGAGATCCTTACAATCAGTTCCTGAATGAACACAGTCTTTCCGACACCAGCACCTCCGAAGAGACCGATCTTACCACCACGAGCGTAGGGGGCGAGGAGGTCGACGACCTTGATACCGGTAATCAGAACCTCAGCGGAGGTGGACTGCTCGGTGAACTCCGGGGGGTCGGCGTGGATGGGAGCGTACTTGGTGGCCTTGATGGGACCACGCTCGTCAATGGGGTCACCAGTGACGTTCATGATGCGACCAAGAGTGCCGTGACCGACGGGGATCTTGATGGGAGCACCAGTGTCGGTGGCCTTCGCACCACGGACGAGACCCTCGGTACCTGCGATATTCCATCAGAACCATCCAAAACAATCAATTCCAGTGGCGAAGACTTACCGTCCATGGCAATGCAACGGACGATGTTCTCACCCAAATGTTGCTGCGATCCATCAGTATGTTGTTCCAGATATCGGTTTGCTTGGCGTCCTTACCGCAACCTCGAGGACGAGCTTGTTGCCGCCATTGTCGGTTGTCAAGGCGTTGAGAATGGAAGGCAGCTGCTCGGTGTCGAACTTGACCTGTGGTGGATGTCAGCGCCTGCTATGCTGATGCAATGCCGCTCAATGGCTCGGCGATCGCAAAGTTTTCGGGAAGGCACGAACGTCAACTACGGCTCCTGCATTGGTGTCAGTACTGCATCAACATCCTTTCCTTGTTTGACTGACCGATAACCTGGTGGATCTTTCCATCACGGGCGGCGTCGGTAGAAGCGAAGCGGACCGCGTGCTTGGAGATGGGAGCGAAGGCGCGCGCAGCCTGGGAAGGCTTGAGGGAGCGGAAGGACCGCTGGAACTGGCTGTATTTCATCGAATCAGCGGGCGTGCCATCATCAATTAGCTTCAGTGGGGTCGAGACTCACCTCCTCAACATTGTGTGAGATGTATGAGACGGTTGTGGTGGGTGGAGGAGACGGGTGTCTTCTTGAGAGGAGGGAGAAGAACTTGAAGCTCTGCCCGGAGGCGGCGCGCGGACCACCACGCTTACCGCTTTCGGGCTTCATACCAGCACAACAGATCCTGAGCTCTCCACAGCTTTGCACTCGCTGCGGATGATGTTCTTGATGCCCCAGACTTTACTATAGTCCTCATCGTGCCTGTCCTAAGCTTTTAGGAAGCTGCAATGCTCGTAGAAGCCATCACCGACACATGTCACGTGGAACAACATCCTTTCCGATTCCCTCCGATCCTCTCAGAGGCTGAAGGGCTTCAAACGTACCCAGACCTGCTGCATGACACAAGAGAAAGAGAGTCCAGCCCTCAAGATGCATAGAATGGAGAAGCTTGCATGATGTAGGAAGCGCAGGTCATAGCCAGTATCTCTACAGGCGGAACTGTGCAGTCTACAGAGCTTAGAGCTTCACTCATTCATCCGCCAACGCCCACTTCTTCTAGTGTAGGCTGAAGGTCTCCTTCAGACCTTTAGCGGTTGCTTAATACATTCGGATCAAGCCCTTGTGATGTCGTGAGTGTCTATGAACTGCAAACTTACGCCTTGGGCAAAGCCTGGCTTTCAAGGGCATCGTGATCGGCTTCATGCTCTACATTACACAGTATAATTTTCTCGATGGTATCCTTACATGGCGCTTGAGTGCAAAGAACGCTATTAGATGATCATTGGTCCTTTTCCTTGAGTTCTCAATCCTCCCTCAACCTCTACAACGTAGCCTCTAATGCAAGTACCTGCAGTATGATTAGCCGCCATTAATACACTCAACATTGCTGTAACGTACGATCGCACTCCTCGACGGGATGTACACCTGCAAGAAGTTCTTCCTGTCGTTCCACGCAAACGGCGTCGTGAAGAACCTCGTATCCTCAGCGACATTGCCGTGGCCACCAAACGCCTTGCTGTCGGTGCTGAGAACGATCCTATAGGTACCCTCCTGCTCAACACCAACACGGTAGTCAGTGAAGCTGTTGGAAGGGTGGAAGTTGAAGATCCACAGCAGACCAGCACGCTCGAACACGATAATCTTGTCGCCCTCGTGCTTCAAGCTGACGTACGCCTGGGGCGAGTGCAACCAGCCGTACTTCTCTTCTGTCCACTGCATCTTGCTGTCGAACTCGTTCAGGAACCTGTAGCGGAGCAAGTCGTCGTCGACCAGGTTGAACTGCCTTCGAGCGTAGTCGAAGCTGTTGCCGTTGCCTTCACGGGGAAAGTCTAGCCACTCTGGGTGGCCGAACTCGTTACCCTCGAAGTTCAGGTAGCCTTCGCCTCCCAGGCCATGGGTGATCAGCCTAATCATCTTGTGGAGGGAGAGTCCTCTGTCAATGACGGGTGTCAGCTCAGACAGGACAGACATGTTGGTGTACATCTGGGCATCGCACAGCCAAAAGAGCAGTGTCTTATCTCCAACAAGCCTGTGATGTGTTAGTAAGTCGCGACATTGTCAGGCATGGTAACGTACGCCTGGTCGTGGGACTCAGCATAGGCGATTGTCTTCTCGCCGTGCCGCCTATTCGTCAGCGTGAAGACGAGGTTGCCCATGTCCCAATCGATATCCTGCTTCTCCTTCAACCACTTGATGTACAGATCCGGTACAGCCATCGCGAGTCTGTAGTCGAATCCTATTCCGCCCAGAGACAGCGATACGCAGAGACCGGGCATACCGGACACATCTTCTGCGATGGTAATCGAGTTAGGGTACAGCTGGTGCAGCAGTTCGTTGGCGATCATGAGGTACACGACACCCTCCTCGTCAACACCAGGACCGAAATACTCGTGGTAGCCACCAGAGAAGCCTGTGCCGATACCGTGGTGGGTGTAGATCATGCTCGTGACACCGTCGAAACGGAAGCCATCGAACTGGTATTCTTCCATCCAGAAACGCAGGTTACTGAGCAGGAAACGGAGAACCTCATGGTGACCGTAGTTGAACAGCCTGCTGTCCCACAACACGTGACGTCCCTTCGCGCCCTCGTGGAAGTACTGGTGATCGCTACCGTCGAACATGTTCAGTCCGTCAAGGACGTTCTTCGACGCGTGACTGTGGACAACATCCAGCAGAACTGTGATGCCCATGCCGTGCGCAGTATCAACTAGCTCCTTCAGATCGTCTGGGAAGCCATAGCGACTGCTCGCGGCGAAGAAGCTGTTGATCTGGTAGCCGAAACTGGCGTAGTATGCGTGTTCCATAACAGCCATGAGCTGGATGACATTGTACCCCAGAAGCTTGATCCTTGGGAGGATGTTTTGTGTGAACTCCTTGTACGTAGCTACCTTGCGCTCAGGCGATGAGATACCGACGTGGGCTTCGTAGATACGTGCGCTCTCAGGCTTCGCTGGTCGCTTGTTCTTGAATTGGTACTTCTGGGGAGGGTTCCAGAAGCGCGCATCGTAGACAGGGGAGACATTGAGGTCTTGGGTCACTCGAGTGATCCAGGCAGGAAGACGCTCCTGGCGCGCGTGGTCGTTGGGTACAACTAGAGAGATCTGGCCCAACTGTCAGCTTCATATCTTCGTGCTGTACACCTCCAGCAAACGCACCTTGATCTTCGAGTCGTGGGGTATTGAGGGCTGGCCGTTCTTGCCAGGCACCGTCACTTCGAAGACACCGAAGTTGTTCTTCGTCATAGGCGTCGCGTCGCGGTTCCAGTCGTTGAAGTCGCCAATGAGGTATGCTCGCAGGGCATTCGGAGCCCACTCGCGGTACACAACGTCACCGTTCTGCTGGACCTGGAAGCCAAAGCGCTCGTAGCCCTGCGTGATGGTCAGCTATGCTACTGGCTGAGGCAATTGGGTCATGCTTGCCCTTGAGAACTTCTCCAGACCGCCTTCTGTTTCGTTGATCGTCTTGATCCATTGCTGGGCTTTGGCGTAGCGGCTCTTCAGCGCGCCCGCGAAGGGCTCCAGATAAGGGTCGAGCTGGACAATGCCTGTGAGGAAGCTGATCAGTCACTTGCTCTACATTGTGCCGTGATTGCCATACCAGTGCCATCGTTGGCTCCCTTTGCGGGGGCATCATTGACCGAGTTCGCTGATGCGTTGACGAGCTCCATGGTGGTTAGTGAAGAGCGTCCTGCAGTGGGAAGTTTGCTATCGAGCAGCTGTGATTGCAGAGGAATAGAGGCAAGTGCACGGTTTTCTAATCGCAAACAATGCACGAGCTCGCAATCAGACAGGCGGCAAGCAAGTGGACATTTGCGGGGTCTTCGCCTCAGTCTATGGCTGCAGCACTCAACGAGACCTTCGCAGCCAGCGATCCAACGTCATAGCTCTGGCACCTTTCTGGACTGGGCTGACCATAGCGCGACTCAACAGCGCGTATAGCAGGGTTCGGAAGGATTCACGCTGCAATTCATTGGAGATGACTTTTTCTGAGACTGCTGCAAGTGCAACCTGACACTGGCCGACTTGCTGGCTTGTGTGCTGCGAGGCTGCTACGGACTGTGTTCTGGTGTGCTAGCTGGCTGACAACGGACCGACATGTCTGGGGATGGCGGCATCTCCGGGGCTTTGCCCCGCAGCCTTCGGCCCAATGCGGAGAGCTGTAGCTCCTCACACGTCCACACCCGCCTGAGCACTATCGCTCGCTCGTGATTGTTGAGCCTCTGCTCTCGTGATGTGACACCCTCCGCGACTGCTCTCTCACCATGAATGTCCGCAAGCTCACCGTCGCCGTCTCGCCCCAAGCCCGCGCATCCTACCTCGCCCTATGCACCATCGGCCGCCGCGCATTCTATACCCGAGGTCCCACACAGTCTGCATACCACCGCTCTGACTTCAGCGGCCAGGGCTTCTCAAGCTTCTATGAGACCGACCAGCCAACACGTGGCCCGCTGGGAGGCACGTCCAACGTGGAAGGCAGTCACATAACGCCCAAGGCGCTGAGACAGCACCTGGATCAGTTCGTTGTCGACCAAGAGCGCGCCAAAGTAGTGCTGAGTGTCGCCATACACGAGCATCACCTGCGCATACAAGAGCTTCGGCGACAGAGGGATGAGCAAGCTAGGCTGGAAGCGCAGGCGCAGCGGAGAGCGTCAGCGTTCAAGCATCCCGTAGAAGGTAGTCCCAAATCTCGTTGTCTTGTCACCACAGGGTGCTTCTGCCGCCGATGAACCGTGACTGAGTACAACAGACGAGTTTCCAGGTCAGCAGGCAACTGTGCATGTCTTCAACCCTGCAGATCCACCGTCGTATAGCGATCCTTCCTTCACGCCGCATTCGTCAGCGCCGCCGGAAGCTGAACCCTTGCCAGAACCCTTTGCCGAACCGTTGCAGATAGACAAGTCGAATGTGCTCATACTAGGACCCACTGGCGTCGGCAAGACACTGATGTGCAAAACTCTGGCGAAGACGTTAGGCATTCCTATCTCCATGTCTGACTGCACAACCTTCACACAGGCTGGCTACATTGGAGATGATGTGGAACAGTGCGTGTCTCGACTCTTCTCTGCCGCAGGCCATGATATCGAAGCCACTGAACATGGCATCATCGTGCTGGACGAGATCGACAAGATCGCCTCGGCCAAAATGTCGTATGGGAAGGATGTCGGTGGTGAAGGTGTACAGCAAGCGTTGCTAAAGATCATTGAGGGCACAACCGTACAAGTGCGTGCTAAACCAGAGAAGAGCACTGGAAAGAGTCCCAGTAGCACAAGCGGTTATCCGCTGGACAGCCCACGAATCCCGCTTTCAGGTGGAGCCCCAGGCGGAGGCAAAGACGAAGTGTTTAACATACGTACTGACAATATCCTCTTCATATGCACCGGTGCATTCGCCAACCTACACAAGGCCATCTTGGACCGCAAATCGATGGGCGGCATAGGATTCGGTGCTTCGATTCGCCAGTCAAGCTCGGAGGCATCTGCTGATGGAGTGATGTTAAGAGGAGAGGAGGCGGCGCGATTTAAGAAGGACGCCCCCTTCTTCGTTCCTCCGGAGAAACCAAACCCATTTGGTGGTGTTCGGCAAAAGAAGCCTGAAGAGAAGGTCAACGTTCTTGATCATGTACAGCCGGTTGATCTTCAGAAGTATGGTATGATACCTGAGCTGATTGGACGAATACCTACTGTGTGTGCTGTGTCTGCTCTTGATGAGGAGGCGCTGGTTCGTGTTCTCACCGAGCCAAAGAACAGTTTGCTCTCACAAGAGCAACACAAGTTCTACCTGCGAAATATCGAACTGCGCTTCACCAGTGGTGCACTGAGAGAGATCGCACGAAAGGCCAGCAAGATGGGCACTGGCGCCCGTGGATTGCGACATGTTGTTGACCAACTGCTCCTGCAAGCCAAGTACGAGACGCCTGGTATGATCGTCCTATCCGCTCGCCCGCACAGATTACTGATAAGACTTAGGTTCGAGTGTCAAGCACATCCTAGTCACGCAAGATGTTGCCCTGCTCAAAATCGCTCCTCTATACTTCCACCGAGGTCAGGCTAGCGCGTTCCAGGCCACACTGACACAGGAGGAAGAGAAATGGGATGAAGAGCTTCGTAACAAGGAAGACTTGTCGATTGGCCATGTTCACTCATTCGAAGAGTACAGGAAGGCTGGCGCGGCAGGATTGTAAGGAAAGACTGCGGGCGAATTGACATGGGGTTGTCTCTTGTCGTCTGCAGGATCTGGCATTCCATCATTCAGACAGGGACTATGTTGGTGCGGAGCGTTGAAGCGGTGCATATATGCTTGAGCATATGCCGAAGCGCAATAAAGATGGTGTGTGGTCCGCGGCACCAGGCCGCTGCAGACGCCCAGATGCTATTCTTGATGGGCATATAGTAGCGTGGAGGAGGTCAGTTCGATTCGTTGTAGATAATTTCAACCGCTCATAGAGCATTTACGAAGTAATGGAAATGATTCACGATAAGGTTGCCGATCCCAATGAACTGCCGTTGAATGCTGCTGACCTGAGACGTGGTGAGCTGTTCCTCTGGCGATATACTCCGAATTTGCAGCTTCTCGTTACATTTGCGTGGCTCCGTAGCGAACAAACTGTGACCATGGTAACACGTTCGCTTGACGTCTCGATACGAACATCTGGATAGGCACCCATGCTGATGTTGAAACTTGTGCCGTGAGCCGCCAAAACGGTGCCGAAGCGAGAGGCTGGTCGCCTGTGCAAGCCGAACGAACAACGAGCAGCACAAGGGCCTCAGGCCTTTTGAAACTTGCCCCATGTCGTATCCTTGGCAATGTTTGCTTTTCATCGATCAAGCGCTGTGGGGCAGTGGAGACCAATCAAATGGGGAGAGTCTGGACTGCAGTGCATGCCGGGGTAGCTGCGAGCTCCTTGTTATCGAGGTTGTGGAAGACGGCTTCCTACCGATCAATGCAAGTCCAATTGAGCGAAGCGCAGCTCCTCCTGTGGTCCCGGAAGTGCGCCATGTCATATCTATGGGCGGTCAGTGAGTTCAATGGCAAGGTTCAGGTGAGATTCGTGGGTGAGGAGGTAAAGGCGTCTGACGGCCCGTCCAAGGGTACCAGAGACATTGAGCTGACTGCATGCATGCGCTAGTCCTTATATGTGTGGAGATGAGGAGCAACAACAACAACATCAAGATAACGAAATTTGTGAGAAGGCTGGATGCTAAGATGCGGGGTTGTGAAGTCTTCAGGAGGTGGAGGCAGGTGCTACGACATGCCTGCCTCGAGTTGCTCAAGCCAGCCCCTCACAATTGAACACGACGAAAGTTGCACAATGAATAAATGGCTGATGTATGGTATCTCTTTGATTGTTTCGTAGTCTATACGGCCTCATCAGAGGGCTGTGGTAACAGTAATGGAAGCAACAATAACGTTGGTCTAGTAATTAAAAGCATATCCGTCAGGGTGGTAATGGTATCCAGACTTGTCCATATGGACCAAGGTCGTAAAAACGCGGCGAAATCAGAACAAAACGCGCCATCTGCTGTGCGTATGATAAACCGTGAGCTGCAGTGCCCGTTATGCAAGCCCGCCATTCGTTATGCAGCCGCCCAGAACCGAATCCAATCGACCGCCAAAGAACGCCAGTTTAACTCCATGTCTCAATTTTCGTAATGCAGCGCCGAAGAATACTATGCTTGCCAGTTGCCGAACTCGTAAAAACCTGTTTCTTGTGGCGAGAACTGGGTATTGATCTGAGGAGGTTGCTGCGGAGGGATGTTGAAGTTCATTGCTTGAGGTGCTTGCTGAGGGGCAACGGTATAGTTGGGAAGAGGGTGCGACTGCTGGGCTGTGACGGGGTGACGAAGCGTCTGGAGAGTCTGCTGAGGATTGACTACTCTGTTCAGAGTCTGAGTGAGCTGTTGGGGGGCAACAGCGTGGCTAAAGTGAGAGTAGTTCCCGAAGTTGAATGCTTTCATAGTGGGGGTGGTTGGCTGTGAGTGGATCCCAGGTGAAGGAGGGCGTGAATACATAGGTGTTGGAGGTTGTGATTCCATGCCGAAGACTGTGGGAGGGTGGTTGTAGCCGTATGGTGTAGGTGCAGGTGCAGTAAAGTTGAACTGCGTCGACATTGGGTATTGTGAGTACAGTGAGTATTGCTGGAATTGCTGGCTTTGAACAGGCATAGAGCTTGGCAGGCTCAGGGAAGGCGACAGGAGTTCGGCCTGAGGCGTCTCCTTGTTCTTGTGATCATCAGTCACTTGAAGGATCTCAGACAGGCTTTGGGTGAGCAGCTCCCCATTAGCACCCCTGATTGTGAAGATGACTCTGTAGCCGACCGGTGTCTTTGACTCTTGATGTCTGCAGTAGCATGCAATGCGCATGGAGAACTCAATCTTCTTCGCGCCTGAGCCCCATTTGCTATCTGCTGCATCAGCGTCTGCCAATCGCTTGAATTCCTTCTCGTTAACAATGATGATGCGTTTGTCATCATATGTGCTCCACTCTTCTTCCTCTTCTTCGTTACGCTTCTTCTTGCGGCCAAATCGCTTTCTTTCGCGTTCTTGACAGCCGTTGCAAATGATGACTGCACCACCGTTCTGTGGGTGTGCTGGGTCATCTTTTTCCAACTCGGAGACATCGACACGTGGGATCTTGGTAGGAAACGAACCCTCGCCTCGAGCACGTGCCAAAGCAAGTTCCAAGTCCTTCGGTTCCTCCACCGCAACAGCACAGACGAGTGTGAAATCGATGGAAACAGCTCCGCCCTTCTTCTGATTCTCTCGAATCTCGTCTGCAGTTGCCAATTGCTTTGGTTTAGAGATCGTCTGACGAGCAAAGCGGGCCCACTCGTAAGTCTCTGGTAGAGGGTCCAGGATCATGGTAACTTTGGTTTGGGTCTCGGCACGTGTCTTGGTCCTGTCCATAGAGACCTTTAGCGAGAGGCTGTCCTCTGCCTGAGGAATGTGAATTGCTTCTGGGGATTGATACCCGTAAGCGGAGGGTGCGGTTCCAGGGGTGTAGGTCGACATGTCGTTGAAAACCTCAGGCGAGCTGGTGCGGCTCTCATCTCTAACAAATTCTCCAGGTGAGTTGGCAGTGCTATAGACGAAGTCAAAGTCAGCAGCAGGGGATGGTGTGTTGGATTCCGAAGAGTAGTTGTCGAGGAATGCGTCAAAAACGGTAGGCTCAATCTTCACCCTCTTCGCTCTTGTGGATGGATAAATTTGCTCTTGTTGAAACTGGTGAAGCTTAGTCAAGTCGACGGCAGAGTCCTTATGCTTATGTACCAGCTCTTCTTCGGCGGGTGCGGAAAAGTCAAAGGCCTCAAACTTTGTGGAGTTGGCTGCATTGAAGGGCTGCTGGGCAGTGCCGTCGAAGGTCAAGTCAGCCGGGTTGACGAACGTCGAGAAATCCATGGCGAGGACGTAGACCACGCCTTTGATCTACAATATTCCAGCTACGGAGTCGCTGTTCTTCACTGCTCAGACTAGAGTGCCGAGGCTACAGTGGAGATGTGGTTGCTGTTGGTAGCGGTCGAGAGTGGGTCGTGCGTGTCGAATGTGTGCTGTGCGCGGCCGTCTTGCAGTAGTTCAGACGAAAATGAACGTATGCGTGCAAGAAAGCGAGGGTGGATCGTGAATTAAGAGCGAGCGATACCAATAATTGGGGCTAGTAATGGGCCGGTTCCGTGGTTCAGGAAGATGTCGCGACCACGCAGTTGTAAAGTAGGGCGCTGTGAGAGGTGACAGAGGAGCTGGTGCGGAGCCGGGAGTGGGCCAATCACAACACGTATGATCGCCTACCGGGGCGTCCTCCTGGGCCTAGCGGGGAAAATGTTTCAGGGGAGGCCGCCGCGAGGTGTGATGTCGAGGGCAGCGAGCGACAGTTGCGTCTTCGTTCGGAAGTCGAGGAAGACACAGCGGGGCGGGAGGAGAAAAAGGGTGGACTGTGGAGAATGAATTGAGGTCGTATGGGCGACCGCGGGCTTGTATTTCTCTTGCTAACACACACCCCACTCAGCACAGAAGGCTCCGTCGCTCGTCGCCGCGCTCTAAGCAACGTCAATCCGCCAAGGGGCCCCTGCACTGGCGTACGAACACCACCAAGCATGGAGCGAGCGCCTTTGTACAGGTACTTTCGACGACATCACCCCTCTGTGCCCGCACCGGCTCACAGTGCCGCCCTGGCCCAAACAGGCGCCAATGGAGTGGAAATATGCCCTGGCCTGCGTGCTGCACCATTAAACTCCGCTTCGAGCCTGCCTATGAGCTTCCCTTACTGACTTCTTTGCGCATTCTCATCTCCAAAAAGGCAACACAAGCGTGCGGGAGATGTACCTGAACACCGACGCCGTCGCCATGCACGAGCCGGGGCACGGTTAACTGCACTAGCTGCAGCTGCCGTCCTGGGCTCTTTTATCGCGCGCTGCTGAGGCTTGCTCACACAGGCTCGCGGTGACAGGCGAGTGCAGGCCTTAACGGAAAGAGTCGGCTGCCTGTCGTGCAACTGCGCCGTTATGCTTTCATCTAAAACGATGCACTGCAGCCATAGGCCCATGCCATGATGCGAATCATCCTGCATGATGGACATCGAGCCAGCCATCTGCTGCGCCGCGCCTGTGCTCCGCTAGCTGGGCCTCCCAGAGCCCGCGGATTTGCATCCGGCAAACCGACGGCGCGCCACGCTTTCCTCGCCCAGGGCGCGTCTCCAGCGGCCTCGAATGGCCGTCTCTGCCAGCCAACTGCCCAAAGGCTTCGCAGGGCTGATCGTGCAAGCAGGAAGAGCAGGCCGACGCGCCGCCCACGCCCAAGCAGCGCACCAGGCACGACAGGCTTGCCAAACCACCACTGCACGACGAGGCCGCTGCCGCACGCTCTCCCGCCTGATGCCTGTCGACTCGATAAAACTCTGCGCCAGGCATCTTGCACTCGTTCCAATGGGTCCAACTCGCGCAATCTGCCGCGTAAGAGAAACCACCGCGCCATCAGCTCGATAATCCTGACCTGCTGTAATGCATAAAAGTCTGACCCCACGAATACTGCCCGCTAGCTAGTCCCCGCCTCCAGTGGCGATGCGCTACCGCTGAGTTTGTCGGAATGCAACGACTCACAGAGCGACTTCGGCTTTCCGACGACTTGACAAAAACCAATCATCTATTCCCTAGTCTCAGTCTGCACTGATTCGCTGCGTATCGAATTCCGGAACTGAGCTGGCGCTGCCAGTACGTTCAGCCTCGAGTCTTGGCTTGCGTTTGTAGTCATCGAGAACCTCACAGATTACGCAAGATATCAATGCTAATTATCAATTGTCACCAAGACTACTTGCAGTAGCCAGGAACAACGTTTGTGTCAAGATTGACAGGCCCTAAAAGTCAGCAATAAGTGTCACTACACGATCCTCGTACGCCATATCTGCGTGCAGCTGTCATCGAACTTGGTTTGCCACTTGTGCCCACATCGACAGAACAGGTGGAAACTCCCATTTATCGATCTTCAGGATCCCGGAATTTTGGACCGGAAACGGTGGGTCTTACGATATCCCCGCCATTTCAATTGCTAGAGTTCGATCTAGCTGGAGCAAATTTTGACCTCACCCTCTTGTGCTTCAGAGCTGGCTATCGATCTCAACTTGGCAACTATACACCGTTATCACGGAGAATAAACTTACGTTGCCTGTTCGAGTAAGCCTTCCCCGAAGCGGTATCTAAGCCTCCTATACATGCCGCTTCAGATGGTTTGATAAGATCACGCGGGAATATGACTAGTTGCGGGCTTCAACCATGTTTCTTCCTCGTTATGGCAGATCTCTACTGGCGTCGGTAGGCCACCCGTATGGTTGTCCACTTTGGGAACACTGCGGGTCTAAGTCCGTTTTGGGACGATCAAGTTTACGAACGCCTTCGAGACAGACTTCTTTGAACAGAGTCACCAAGGTCAGCACAGTTGTCGAAGACCTCTGGTCATGGTAAAGACAATTTAGACGGTGTTAGTGCAATCAATCGTCTGGATACACCAGCGACTTCATCACGTCTCAGCATACGAACCTCATGGCTCCAATATTCCCTGATACGGCTGTAGGTCAATTCCAAGAACTCGGAAACAATTGTGCTGCAGATCAACCCTGGAGCTATTCCGTCTACTCTCGTCCGATACTTCTTAAGCACATTGTACATCGACAATTCTGATCATCTTAAGATACCCTCTATCACATGCCACGTAACTTTACTGTGTCACGATAACATCATCGGCGCACCCCAGATCTTAGGAAGCTTGACAGACGGGTACTTCCCAGATCCAATTCACCCTGCAGATATAAGCCTGGAAGTTAAAGTCGACGTTGATGGTATTGCCAGGCGAGGGTGAGGCACTGTGTTGGCCTAAGGAGCCAGCTGAAACATCACCGGTTGATTCAATGGGCAACGATGGTTCACTCACAATCGACAGAACATGTACATGTCTCACCGAGCATGTTACCTGAAGTACAACGGCACGTAGCAGCGTGGTATTCTGTGGCCCACGCGGTGAACGTCACTGTCCCTCGTGCTCAGTCTTACAACTGTAGCCACAGCAGATGCAGCACCACATACCATGTACACGGGTATCTGCTTCAAAGACAGCTGTCACAAATATCCTCAATGGCTAAGGCAAAATTCTATCCAACTTCTGGATTACGTTCGCTATTCCGAAATCCCAATGTAGGTTGAAAACTACATTCACGTACGAACGTTGCTTCACATGACACACATGGCATATCGAACTTTTACTATCTCTCTCACCCATTAGACAACTCGCACATTCAAGATGGAGCTACAAATCTCGGTAGTGCCGTATGCCTGGTCGACACATGGACCCTGCGCTCGCTTCACACATGTTTACTTCGGCAAACCGGATGCCTATTATACCTACGGTCCTCGGCATGCCGAAGCTATGGCATGTCACCACCAGGCCCAGAGTCTATATTGTGGAGCTAGCTAACGTCCTCCCCTCGGTTCTTCACTTGTCGACATGCTCTTCAGGCATCCATTTCGAGATAGTGGAGCAAACAGCGCACAGGTAAGCACTGCAAGCGTCACCCAAGAGACGACATGAACTACTGCACCGTGCCGCTTATGGTCCAACAGTGTGCTCCATCAGAGGATGCACGTGCGTTCCTAGGTGTATACTACCCAATGTAGTAGTAACTGTACACCGGACGTCCAGCAGTTGCGGTTGGTCGACCTCCATGGTTCCTTCCTCGAGGCTCACCTCACCATTGCTAGTCTACCAGTCCCGCGTAAACCATACAACAGTTTTACCATCCCACGCCATTGTGTTAGACAACCAAGATACGTGCAAAGGTGCAATCCATATCTCGCCTACGGAGATCAACGCTACCGTTATGCACACCATACAACACAATCGCCGCCCGTCTACGCTTGCGAATAGGTTGTTGTTCCGCTGCACCACCTCCAGTCAGCACAACGCCTTTCAAGCTGCACCCAAGACTCGCCTACGCTGTGTCCTGCCCAATCGCTTTCCCTTGTTCGTCACTACGGACGGCAACAGCCGTATCGATTGGACATCGCGCAACGCTCTCGACTCCACATTTCGCCCATTACGACCTGTGAAGGATGCAACTGCCTGCACGACGGCATAACACGGGCTCAACAGCGACCAAAGATAGCATAAGAAGGCATGTTATAGGTATGAGCATTGATGTTCTTGGTACGTACTCCTCTTGTTGTCTGATTGTGGGTTTGCCCCTCATTCCTTTCGATGTCGCCAACTCCAGCTCTTATCAAGTTCGACCAGCTAGCAGCCTATCAGATGTGCTCTGCAACGAACCTGCACCTCATCCAATTCTGGACACACTTCAATGCTGAAACATATCTAGTGCGATTGATATGTCAATGCAGTACGCGTACTGCGAACATGAACAATGGAATCTTGGTCCGTCGATAGATCGCACAGCATACGACACCCGTGAGTACGAGAGGTTCTTGCCAAACTTTCTCCTGCATCGTGCTTCTGCCCCACCGGTCGGCAAGCAACGCTCATTGTGTGAGCCGCAAACCTTGGAACGTCCCATTCAGCTTGACTGCAAGCACACTCTAGCCCTGACCCTGCAGCTGCGCGGCTTGACCCGAACACCAGAAGATGAAGTCCGATATCCACACTTCGAGCTCTTGCTGCTTTCTCTCATTCCGGCGTTCTCCTCATGGTCTGAGCAGTCACCCCGAGGTTTATCCAACATCATGACCTGCCACATCACGCACTTGCAAAAAGGCGCATTGTGCCTCCTACCATCACATCATCAGTTGAGAGCCTGACCCACGATTGTAGCGCTGCTAAGCGGCATTTCCCTTCGCTTACGTTGTATCAAGCTTCAAATCGCCAAGGACGCGTTTCCTATTGATGGACACGGATCTGAAGCCTGCGAATGGTATCGTGAACGTCGCGGCCGCGGTTTGTGGAGTTCGTTTGTATCGGATCGTCGGACAGCGAGATCTGGCCTGAGTTGTGCGGCTCAAATTTGCGTGGGCCCAAGTGCATGCTAGCGGAGGCCCCCGAGCGCAAGTTCACGACATTGATGTTGATGTCAAAGATGTGTCCACAAACTGGTGTTCACCGTGCCGATGTATGGTGGTGCCGTGGCAATGCAACCTTCGGTAACCTTCATTCCCCAGTTGACTAACCGCGCGGGATTCAGACGCCGCGGCGCGACAGCGGCAATTGCAAGGAAAGACCTCGAATTTACGGACCCACAATGCAGTCTGGAGAACGAGGCGTTTGGGGCAAACGAATGTAAAGCTACATCTATACCTCAAGTTGAAGTACGTGTATGTAGACGGACGCGGGAATGAAGCTGCAGTTCATGCAGGGTGGCTCAGAAAAGTGGACTGAAGATGCTGTTGAGCAAAGGCAGCTAACGCTTTACAGTGCCCGTTGAGTGATCATCAGCACGATCAGCACGTTTAGCTTAGACAAACACCTTATCGTCGATCTTCGTGTCGACAACACGCCATTCTTGAGACGGTTTGGAGAAAGTCTTGGACAGCAGGGTCGGTAGGGAAAAAGGTAAATCGTGCGATGAGCTGACCACGCTTGGGGCTGCCTCGATACGAATGCTGTGCAATGCAAGACCTCCGCGGGTACCACAAGAACGGAAACTATCCGCGGCATACGCGGTACATGGAGTACATTCGGAGATTTATTTGGCGTCCGTTATTTGGCGACCCGACCCGGGGACGATTCGTATCAGACATCGTCTACTGACATGACGCGTATGCATTTTCAACCGGCATCCTAGCAATCTGCTCTGAGTGTCTTTATAACCTCCAGGCACCGCTGTAGGCAACATCATCGACCGGTTCGAACGTACAAGGCATGGCCTCGTGGGCCCGGCACCACGAGTATAGTAAGAGTCAAGAAAGGGGCGGATTCATACAAGATTCAAGGATTGACCACACAATGAGCATTCTAGTTCGTGCACTGTGTTGGATATCGGTCTTGGAGTAACCTCATGGAGTCCTTTAGAGGCGCAAATACAATGGCGGTCCCACAGATGTGCACATGGCATGACATGTGATACTGTCAGCCCGAGGCAAAGGTATACTGTGTAGAGGACGACGATTGACAGATGCCTCTTCTCGCCCAGAGAAACACACGTGCATCTGTTCCAGTCTCTTTCGATGGGTATAAAAAAATGATGTGACCTCTGCTCTACCACTGCTATGAGCCTCAGCTTGGCTTACAGAGAAACATGTGCGCACATAAAGATCATTTTGGGTACCAGAGGCGCAGCACAGGAACTTCACAGCAGACGGTCTGCAGCGTTTCAGTGAATCGCACATCGCAAAACATCCAGGCGGATTTGGCTTACAATCTTGGAAAAGAGGATCGAGCCACGAAATCAGACCGCCATGGAGGCATGCGAGTCCTTCCTTCAGAACATGTATCGCTTGATGTTCGAATTCAGAAACCGAGGCACAGAGAAGTCATGAGGGTACTGGGTGCCATTTTAGATTTGCCAGGACATCACGGTGCTGGAGGAAGTTTTGAGTTTCTGATAAATTTTGGTGAGAAGAGTGGTGCATGACAGATGTTGCTGGACAATTTGAATCCCAGGTCTCATCAATGTGGATGAAGCAGTGCATGAATATGTCTCAATACTTGAGCGAAATCTCACCAGAGGCTAAGACAGAAACCTAAGAAGCATTTAGAGTAGCCTTTGGATGTAGGAAAGATACTTTTTGCTGTACACATGGGTAGCCAGCGCTGGCATTTTGGTGAAAGTAATAACCTTCCCAGCTGGGAGAGAGCAAAGACATATTGTCATCTTCGATTTCTCTGTGAGGCCGCGCTGGACATGTACAAAGAGCTTCCGCCTCTCTAGGTCGCACTCAGCGAGCATGTTCTCGTGCCAACCCTCTTTCGGAACCTTACATGAGTTGCGAAACAGTCGCATATCTTGGAGAGGCAAAGAGCAGAAGAGACATGAAGTGACTTGTTGACAATCTCAGAACGGACGACACATCGAGTTGCCGAAGGAACTTTTGGTTCGCCAGAAAATTTGCGAACATGAGTTGTACACGGAGTGTGCTTCAGAACAGATTTTGTGCCAGCGGGTCGTCTAGGTCTCCTCAGAAAGGATCCAAGGACACGCACGCTTCGTCCATCGAACCAGTACACGTTGAATTACGAATAACAGACATGTGTGTAGTGAGAGTGGTATTTTTAAGTGTAGAGCTGTCTTCTTCCCGCCGTGCCCATGAATCCGACATGCTCAAGGTGCGACCGAGAATGGTCATGACGATCTGGAGGACAGGTACAACATGACATCTTGCAAAATGGCTTTGGTTGCTGCGCTAGACATATCGAGGAATGGAAGCTTTTGGTCCGAGCCAACATGGATTGGTGTTGACTTGATGTTGAAGAGTTTAATGAAGCAACAATATGCTACGGATAAGTCTCGAGAATCGAGAGGAGCTGATTCAAGTACATATGCCAAGTCCACCGACCGTCAAGATCCGCCCTGCCCAATAAACGCCCCAGATAGCCAATCGTAATCCCGACCACAGAGATCCGATGGTTGGACGCTCAGATGCATCTGTTTGATACCTCGCTCCGAGTCGTTCATCCTGGAATAGGTTTTGCGAACCGGTCCAAGGCAACACCAAACCTGTGAACCAACAACATAGTTCATCATAATTCGCTCACTTCCTCGCTCTGTGTCGGTGCTATTGGAATTGCTGTGGGTATACGTATGTGGGTGGCAGCAGGCTCGATCGTCTTGTGTGCTTTGCCGGCCATGAGGTTTGTAGTATGCATTGGTTTCTTCGCCCAGAAGTCGTCAACATCCTTAGAGGCCTTCTGCTGGGCATTCGGTATGGCGTTGGCTAGAGCCAATAAGACCAGTAAAGCGAGAGCAGGTGAGATCCTCGTATTGAACATGTCGCAAGGTCGAGAAGAAGAGGTGCAACTGTGAGTATGTTGTTGTTCAATGAGTAGTAAAGCTGCTCTGAACGTCCGCTCAAGGGGTATATATGTTATGAAATTCTCCAAATCTGAATGGTCTCCCTTGTCTCTGAACACTGTGACCGGAAGTTGTGAGATCCTCAATGATATCGAGGGAGTAAGTGCAGTTTGTTGAGGTCTTGCCAGTGAAGGACAGTGGAATTGAAGGAACAGGGACTGCAAGACGTCAAACAAGAGAGTACCTGCTATTTAACTTGCTTAATATCGATCACATCATGAAACGACGCTCAACCGAAGAGTCACCGTACGAAGTGAGGGTGGTAAAGCACGTTGGGTAGTGATTCCTGTCATTGGTTCACTAGCTTGGGTGATCGACAGGACCGTTCATTTAGTGCCGAGGTGCTTGTTTACCAACGTGCCTGTTACGATTGCACGCGACACTTCTGCATAGCACCTCAATTACGGTACAAATTGTGTACACAATGCTGTCGCTACCACTGATTGCTCCGCGGGCGGTACGTATAGTCCAAAGCTGTTCTTCAACATCAAAACAAACATTACAAACAACACAGAGCTCTTGAAATGCTCCAGTTCGAGTCTCGAAATACATACAGTTGTGGTACAGTTACTGACAAACTCACCAGGACGCCAGTCTCTGGCCCTCCCACCACGCAACCAACCCTTTCCCCTCAGACGACCTCTCAACCTCCCCTCCAAACGCCCCAGCACACCAACAAGCCCAGCAACGGCGCCCAACCCATCGCACATCCACTCTCCTCGCAACTCTCACCCAGGATGAAAACACCTTCGAGCAGCGCAAAGCAAACGTGCAACGCTTCGGCGCCGGCTGGATCCGGCCCCCCGGCGTCGCCAAAACACTGCAAGCAATCACAGACGAGGAGCTCGAGAAGCAGGAACAGGAAGTTATGGCGCGCCGCGAGCAGGTCATGATGGACCTTGCTGCTGCACAGCAGGAGGCTGCGAATGCAGAGGAAAGGCAGGATAGGGAGGAGATGGAGGAGGAGGAGAGGGATTTGGATGACGATGTGCCTGAGGCGGAGGCGAGCGCGAGTGAGCTGTCTGCGAGCGATGTCTCGAGTGATGAGGAGGGGAGTGTGTCTGACACTGAGGATGGCGCGCGAGAGCAGGAGAGTATACCGTTCAATGAGGACTCGTTTATTGAGGGGAGCATGGTTGAGGCGGAGGTTAGTGCGATGCTGGAGCAGGAAGAAGCAGAGATGGCAGGTGTGCTGCAGGACGAACGAGATTTGGACGACGATATACCGGAGGCGGGGAGCTATGAGCATACCGACTCTGAATTGGAGGACTCGAGTGATGACGATGCGGCAAGTCGACCGCCTGGGATGAGCTCGGTGAGAACGACGCGCTCGATGAGACGGAGCTCGGGGTTTCAGAGTGCGAGGCGCAGTTCTGGGAGACGTAGCTCTGGACGACGCAGCTCAGGCCTTCCAAGCACGGCAGGCGCACGGCAAAGCGTGGGCTTTGCACAAAGTATGGGGCGGGGTATCGACCTCGGAGCGAGTCTGGGCAATGGGCGCAGCAGCTTCGGTATTGATGGCAGCAGCTCCATCCTTGAAGGAAGCTCGTTCCTGAGGAGCTCGCCAGCTGCACAAAGGACGAACCTGAGAGACCAGTTCCTGAGGGCTGCGAGAGGAGGTCGAAGAGGATGAGAAGACGGGATAATGTGGTACGATTGAATGAAGCTATGATTATGCATTGTAGAAACAGCCAGGAGGTATTCACGTATACCCAACCTCCTTTGGCGTCGATAGAAATGGAAGAAACTACTCATCAAGCACCTGAAAAAGAGAGATCCTACGCTGAAGGATTTTACGTACACCCAACCTCTTTTGCCATCTACAGAAATGAGAGAAACTGTCCATCAATCCCACACTGGAGGTATTCGATGCAGGGACTAGATGCAATATGCTCTTAGTCAGAGCATGGTGCCGTCCCTGCTAGGTGGTGATAAAAGGGAGTAAAAGCCGTTTCCATATTGACAGGCTTCAGCGCTGGGCGTAGCCCGTTGAAGAAGCTTGTGATCACGGGTCTGGCAGGCTCATGCCTGGGTGTTGCATCAAGATCGTGGGTGCGAACGCTGAGCCCGGAGGCTCTCAGCAAGCGTTTGACGCGCGGCGACTGCGTTGTTTGAAAGTGAATTGGAGACGTGCTCGTCGAGTGTGCAGGACTAGGCCTAGGAGTATCTGGCCTGCTTTCTGGCTCAGAAGACAAATTGCTGAAGGTACTCCGGGCGGCTTCGATGTCCCACGGAGATAGTATGGTGGTCCGACTATCTGTGTCTGAGACCTCGCAGTCGTGGGCAGTTGATATGGCACTCGAAACTGGCTCCGAATCTGGTGAGATGTAGGCCCAGATGTCGCGGAGGGTGTCTAGGTCAATCCCAAGGCCAACCCTGGAGGTAGTCGATGTGTTCTTGACGGGTTGAGGGTTGGATGCTTCGGCGTTGTCGCAGGGGATGGTGAACATGGCACTGGGGAAGATTATAGGCCATTGTGGACGTCCGAACGTGATTTGGTATGAGTGGGAAATGCAGCGTGTATGTGTGTGATTGTAGAGTTTGAGTGATGATGAAGAAGAAACCGAGCAACGAACCTCTTTTTATTGTTTCTAGAAAATGACTTCTTCGTGACTTTTCAAAATGAACCATAGTTGATCCTGATGTTCTCTTGATATTAGTGGTGTTGTAATTGCGCAACCATCGTTCACAGGGCCTGAACCGTGGTTCATGGACCCGTTCGCACAACGGCCACAAGCAACGAACAGGGACAATTTTTACTTGCCTTTGAAGGATGCAAAAGCTCACAAATTGCTGAATACCTCCAGCGCGTCGCCAGACATCTCTCAGTTTGAGAGCAAATACTAGAGCACTATGCTTCTGCGTCGTAAGCGAATCCAAAATATGGAGAACTGCAATTTTAACTTCAGAATTCTTGATTGTCGTATCCCGGGTAATATGTACAGAACTAGTGGGTAGCAAAAATGTTCTTCGTCCTCAGGTGGACGGGTGTCTCGCCCTTGGGTGCATCTGGAATCGTCTTCTCGAGTGACTGCCTTGGTCAGCAAAGGAATTACGCGGTCGTGATAGGCCTATACTCACCAGCTTGTCAAACACGCACTTGTTCAACCTCCGCTCCTCCGACCTGCAGTTCCAGAGTTGCTGGTTGTGGTTCTCGAGGCACTGCCAGTGGCTGCGGAACTGGTCAAGACACTCCTTATTGATGTCACTGATACTGCAAATTGTCAGCGCTTTTTCCTGCCTACCAAAACCCGGTTGCTCTTACACGCTCGCCGCACACCTGGTGACCTTGCGACCCTCCTTCATGCATTCGAGCTCTCCCCGGCCGTTGGCCTCAGTCTTGCACATCATGTAGTCATCATTGTAGGCCTTGCATCGCGCGCCGATAAAGAAGGAAGCACTGAGAAGGGGCGCAGAACTAGCTCCGAGCTCCTTGACCTTGGGGATATCGTCGGGCAGAGGGGTGGTATCGATGAGGGCTTGCTGGTTGAAGCTGGACAGTGTTAGTACCAGGATTTCGCCATAGGTTCATAGAGAGAAGTATACCGGGGCTGACGCGATGACATTGTGGGTGTGAGGTGCCAATGGCAGGCGAATTGCTCCCAAAGTGATCTGAGGTTGGAGCTGGTCGTCACTGCACTTTCCGGAGGTCGCAAGCCTTGGCGTGTCCGCACGCTTAGCTGCACGCTGATTGGCTATGGGCCTGAAGCTTTCGACAATCGACAAAGCAGCCTGCACCCAAACATTGCACCCATTGCGGTTTCGCATCACCGCAACGCCGTGCGCAAACCTCAAAGCCACTTTCACTGTCGACATGCAGACTGATTGAGCTTCTCATTCCCTCACTACCACGTCCGCCCCTTCCTCGTTGCTCAGCGCGTACCTGAAGCGTGTTTACTCATAAACACCACACAACCGCACATTCTTAGATCCGCTCGCCAATATGTCTTTCAGCTTTGGAAACGCCGGAGGAGAGAAGAAGACAGGGACACTGTTTGGGAGTACAACTGCGCCAGCCGGAGGTCTTTTCGGCGGTTCGCTGCAACAACCACAGCAGTCGACTGCTGCGGCACCTAGCTTGTTCGGCACCAGCACAGCAGCGCCTCAGACTGGCGGTCTGTTTGGATCGACACAGCAGCAACCACAGCAGAACACTGTATCCAACTTGTTTGGCGGACAACTTGGGCAGCCCCAGCAACAGCAGCAGCAATCACAACAACAGACCTCAAGCCAGTGGGGCCAGACCCAAAATCAGCAGCAGCAGCAACAGCAACCCCAGCAACAGCAGCAGTTCGGCAACAGCTTGTTTGGATCCTCTCTACAACCTGCGCCAGGATTGAACCCTATTCAGGCGCAGAGCCTCCAGCAGACCCGCGATGGGCTGCCTCAGCTGCGGCAGTCAACAGCTCAGCCTTATGCTGGTGCATCAATTAGCGGTCATCGTACGTAACTCCATGATTTGGTAATTCTGGGCTAACTGGAATTAGGCGAGAAGTCTGTCCAGCAACAGATCCAAGTGTTGAACGGCAAATGGGACCCCGAGAACCCTGACTGTGTCTTCACACATTATTTCTACAACTCGGTCAAGCCCGAAGAAGCACCGTTCTACGGACCCCAGCCGGGAGAAGATGAGAGGAAGTGGGAAGAAGCTCTTTCGAAGAAGCCTGCCCCTGGCGCCATCCCTGTACTGGCGCGCGGTTTCGAGCAGGTAGCAGAACGCATACGCCAGCAGCAGATGGCTGTTACTGCACTTCGAACGCGCCTCCACGAGATCAACAATAGCCTTTCAGTGCTGAAGGACACCCACGAGCTGAATGTCGCATCGCGCATCACCGAGGCAAAGCGAAAGCACATTGTATTCACACAGCGGACACTGGCTCTCGCGACAAAGGTGCAAATCCTGAGGAACCGAGGATATGTCATGGACACACAGGAAGAGGAGCTGAAGAAGAAGCTTGTCGAGCTCGAGAAGAAAACCTTCGACCCTGTACTTGGAGGGCGGCAAGAGGAGATCTGGGCGCGTATGTCAGGCGTGCGCGAAAGGGCGCGGATACTGCAGGAGGAGACAGAGAAGCTGGGCAAGAATATCGAGAGCCAGCAGAACGGCGAGCTGCTTTCAGAAGAAGACCAGAAGGCGCTAGAGAAGGTACGTTCATTGCATATCCATATGAAATACTAGACTAACACTACGCGCAGCTCCTGAAAGACTACGATAGACAACTCGAACACCTTAAAAAATGGGTCGACGACACCAAACAAGAGTACGACGAGTACGAGAAAGTCCAAGAGCAGAAGCCAGCGACGCGATGAGTATAGAACATTGGCATGTACGATTGGAAGAGCATTTATCAATCATCTCATTGGCGAAAAGGTTGGCATTGCGGATACCACATTGTGGCTCATCGAGTCCATAGCACAAAGCTTAGTGCCATTACTTGCTCCATCTCTTCCTCGAATTCGTCATGAATCCAGGTGTTTCCTGATCTATCGTGCTCTCGTCCATGTCCACGAATGTTGCCCGGTACCTTCCATCATGTTGTACAAGCGCTTACATTCAAGCGCACTATGATACAGATCGCACGAACGCCGCCGAATGATCATACAGTTGTCGCAAGAAGTCATAGTTTCGATGCTCGCAATCGTTTAGATGAGCTTGTAGACGTAGTCGACAAGGAAAGGCGCTACAGTTATGTAAGCGAACGCTCGTCATACCCAATACAGGTACTGAGCTTACACAAGTAAAGAACAACAGCTGACGCAGCTGTCCACTTGATGTCTGTCATTGTCTGCGCCTCGGCGCGCTCAAGCTCCTGCTTGGATGGCTGGGGTGGTGCTGCGCATTGTCAGCGAAGCACATCCACTCCTGACTAGCATACTGACCTCCGAACATCTTGTGTATGTGTGTAGAAGTGAAGAGATGTAGTGGATCGAAGATCGGTGATGTGGTTGTACGGATGTCGAAGATGACGTTCACTCGCAAAGTTTCAAGAAGCATGTCGGCGTTTACGCAGTGTTTTGCCGATGACATGGCCGCTCAACACGTGCCTGCGTGCTCACCTGCATCTTGACCTGCCTTCTCATAATCTTACATCCTGCTCATGCAGGCCGTTACGTTCTTCTGATCATCTCCAAACGCGCATCTCATGCATCTCTACGTGGTTGACAGGCAGCCCAGTCCGAGGAAAGCGGACTCGTTTCCTGGGGTGAGCTGAGCACCTTCCTCAACTCTCTGAGGACGTGCACCCCTAAGCTCTTGAGCAACGCTTGTGATTACTCACACCAAATCACCGAGCACTCTCCATGACAGGCGATAAAAAATCTGGAGACCCAACGCGTCCTTGCCACAACACTGGAGCATGCACAAGGGATCAGGAGCCTGGAAGTCCCCAGTGTTGCTTTACCTCATCAGCATTGCACATAAACAGCACAGCTCTGAACATCTGATCAAGCCAGCCACCAACGAGGGTGCCCAGCCCCTGCAAAGGAGTGTTTCAGGTGCACAGCAGTAGCGAGGGGGGAATGCAAGCCACAACCTCAACTTGCAGCTGACTGCCCCATGGTGAGAGAGTTGTGATTGGGCAGACGCGTGTTCGTGGTGTGGTCCCCGCTGGACCGTCCACGGTTGATGATCCATATTCATAAGGCTGTGCAGATCAGCTCCTTACTTTTATTTATTGAACATGTGCGCCCACATGTGCTGATTTGGTTCGGGTTTTAAACCTTTGAAAGTCACGCACAGTCACTCTTTTTCGTTGTCAATTTGACAAGATGTTGCTGAAGGTTGTTGTCTTGGGTCTTACGACTTGCGCCTCGGCGCTCAACGCTCGCTCTTACCGTGTTGATATTCCTCACCATGGAGAAGCTTCCTCGAAAATCGCACAGCGAACGCTTCCAATTTTTTCGCCCTCAGGATCACTGAATATCTCCTCGTTGGCTTCGGATATCAACTCCGTGATTTCATCGAGTGTTCAAGTCACCTACACGCCTCGACCTACAACCATCAACCCAACCATCGCACCATATCCTACCAAGTCGAATGGCACCAGCACCTCTTCGGCGCCGTTATCGACTGGAACGTCTGAATCTTGCGCTCCTTACTGGCTTGAGAATATCAGGCATCAGGGCGTCGCTTCTTTCAACCCGAATTCTGACAACTACACTGTTTTCAGGAACGTGAAGGAGTTCGGTGCTAGAGGTGACGGAGTTACCGATGATACTGCGGCGATCCAGAAAGCTGTTACTCAAGGCAATCGATGCGGACCTTCCCAGTGCGAGTCTTCGACTAATACGCCTGCATTGGTGTACTTCCCTGAAGGCACATATCTGATCTCTTCGAGTATCATTGATTACTACTACACTCAGGTATGAAATCTTATGCGTTTTGCCGATAAATAAACGACTACGCTAACTCCAGTAGCTCATTGGCAACCCGAATTGTCTCCCAACTCTGCTCGCAACCTCTAATTTCACCGGTCTCGGTTTGATTGATGGCAGCCCCTACCTAGGCACTGGCACCCGTCCCGGACGAACTGGCTTCGGGCCGACCAACACGTTCTTCCGCCAAATCCGTAACCTCGTTTTGGACATGACCAATATCCCGGCAAATGTCTCCGCAACTGGTGTGCATTGGCCTACTGCGCAGACGACAAGCCTTCAAAATGTTGTTTTCAAGATGTCTGCGGCGAACAGTACGCAACACCAGGGCCTGTTCATCGAAGAAGGTTCTGGAGGCTTCATGACAGATCTGGTCTTCGAGGGCGGTAACTACGGATTCAATGTTGGCAACCAGCAGTTCACTACGCGTAACCTGACTTTTAACAATGTCGTTACTGCCATCAATCAGCTATGGGACTGGGGATGGACATACTCCGGTGTTACAATCAACAACTGCCAAGTTGGTTTGAATGTCTCGGCTGGAGGTCCATCGGCTGTTAATGTTGGCTCAATCACCCTCTTTGACAGCGAGATCAACAATACACCTGTTGGTATCATCACCGCTAGGACTGACAATTCCGAGCCCGCTGCCGCTGGAAGTCTGTACCTGGAGAACGTCAAGCTGAACAATGTCGGTGTGGCTGTTGCTGGGCCTAACTCGACCTATCTTCAGGGCACTGCCGGGTCAACCGTTATTGCTGCTTGGGCTGATGGTCATCGTTACTTGCCGGAGGGTCCTGTTGAGGCTCGAGGTCCAATCGAACCTAGCAAGAGGCCGGCTGAGTTGCTCGACGCTGCAGGAAAGTACTACACGCGTTCGAAGCCACAGTATGGCTCCCTCCCGCTGTCTTCTTTCCTCAGTACCCGTGACCTCGGTGCTGCTGGTGATGGTGTGACTGATGACACTGCTGCTCTGAACGCTGCTCTGCTGCAGGCTAAGGCAGAGGGCAAGATCCTCTTCGTCGATGCCGGCTTCTACAAGGTCACAGGAACGATATACATCCCGCCAGGTTCCAAGATTGTTGGTGAAGCCCTCGCATCCGTCATTCTCTCAGCCGGCGAATACTTCAACGACATCAACAACCCCAAACCCGTGGTCCAGGTTGCACAGCCCGGTGAGCAAGGCTCAATTGAGTGGTCTGACATGTTCGTCAGCACGCAAGGGCAGCAAAAGGGCGCCATCCTTATCGAGTACAACTTGGGTACCTATGACTCCACCCCAGCAGGCATGTGGGACGTCCACACTCGGATCGGTGGCTTCGCTGGCTCAGGTCTCCAAACCGAGCAGTGCGAGAAGACCCCAGACACTATTATCACGTCCGCGAACCTGGTCCAGGAATGCATCGCTGCATACATGTCCATTCATATTACCAAGTTCGCCGCCGGCCTCTACCTAGAGAACAACTGGCTCTGGGTCGCGGACCACGATCTCGACGACGCGCGCAACAATAACACCCAGATCACCATCTACGCAGGCCGCGGCTTGCATATCGAGAGTCAGCGCGGCCAGCTATGGCTGTAAGTACCATCTCCCCTTCCCCTCCCATGTCGATCGCTGCTAACATCAAACAGATGGGGCACAGCAGTCGAGCACCACGTCCTGTACGAATATCAATTTGTCGACACGCGCAATGTCTTCATGGGCCAGATCCAAACCGAAACAGCCTACTACCAGCCCAATCCGGACGCCACCATCCCCTTCCCACCCAACCCTGCTCTCAATGACCCCATTTTTGCCCCTTTTACCAATGGAACAGGCAACAACACTGCTAGCACAGCGAGCGGATGGGGGCTGCGCATCGTGCGGAGCAACAACATCCTTGGCTACGGTGTAGGACTGTACTCGTTCTTTGACAACTACAGCACGGCTTGCTCAGCAGTTGGTGCTGGAGCGGTTTGCCAGACGCGCATATTTACCATCGAAGGCGATAGGCTCAGCTACGACATTAACATTTACAACTTGAACACAGTAGGAGCTACGAACATGATTACGCGGGATAATGTTGATTTGGCAAGCAATGTGGATAATAACAGTACGTTTGTGGACACTATCAACTTGTTTAGGATTGATGGGTATGGGTCGCCGTCGGAGTCGGATGATGAGTAGTGTGAATACCTTGTAGAATTAATGCACCCTCTCTCCCAACAGCTTGCGCATCGTTCGTCAGTTTGCGAAGCTTGTATAACTCTGGAAGAGCAGGTTTCTTGGGACGATTTTAGAATATTTCCACATTGTTGAAAATATTACCCCCAATAATACCCACGAAAGCGTGGCGTCACATTTTTAAGTCACATCATCTCTCCTCTAGTGGCCCCTGATTAAATTGCAAGCCAGGAACATCGGAAGCTCTTTGTAACATCGAGAACGGAATGGAAGTTCTTTTTCCCTTCCTTTCTGCCCCTGATTGAGAGCGTTTGGTGGCCCAGGCAAGTTGTTGCTTTTCACCCGAGACATGCAAACGCTACCCATCGGCACTGTTTCACTCGACGGAACGCGCTCGCTTCCCAGCACCCACCATGATAGACACACACATCGTGCCTCGTTTCTTCTGCCCTTCTTCATCAGCTTACCTATCAACTACATCAACTTGCGAATTATACAGTCAAGAAGTTGCGAACCTCAGCGGCACAGGACACCACTACAAGCTCGACAACATGGCTATCGGATGGTCACTGCCCTTCTATCGGGAACTTACACGGTTCGAGGCCATTGTCGAAGGTGGGCTTCGTCAACTTCGCGATGTTCTATTCCAATTAGCCGATACGAATGATACACTCGCGCACTGGCTGAACCATCCTTATCATCAGCCAATATTAGTGTTCTATGGCATCATCGGTCTCAGTACCATCTTGATCGCGCGTTCGTACTTCTCGTCCTTGGAAAACACAGCGTGTTGAAGCAGCTCGAACAGATCCAACACCTACACCACAGGAGCGTTCTGATCCGAACTCTCGGTCATCCTCGTCAGCGCGCTGGTTCATCGACGCCAACGCCACGCCTCCGCTCGAGACTTCAGTCCAGCGTCAATCGACTTCGCATTCCGATAGTACTGGCTCGAACAACTCTCCTTCTGATATCATCAATCACATCCCTTCTGGAATCGGCAAACATCTCGATGGTCGTACCGGCCGCGTCTCCACTCCAGGATACCAGATACCCTTCGTCGCCAACTCCAGCCAACGCAACTTCTCGGGCCTCGCAAAGACTGCGCCTATTAGCACGATACGCTCCAACGTAACGGCCTGCTCGATGGAGATGGTACGCCAATCAAGGAAATACAGCCCTGGTGCGAGCAAGGGGCGCAGAGGCACGCTGAGCATGATGGGAGGATCGCAAAAATTCGACAGTCCTATGAGAACCTGGGGGAATAAGAAGTCGTCGGTTGATGCCGTAAAGAAGGTTCAGCACCAGTCGGAAGGTGTGGAGGTGTGCTGGGGTGAGGATCGGAATGGTGGACGGGTGAAGCAGTTCTCGGCTGCGAAGGGGAAGTGGAAGGCATCGTAGGTTTTCGTTGGTGAGTGGCACTGGGCGAATGTTGGGGGAACATATTGGATATGATACCAACTTAGATAGTGTAAGGCCTTCTTTGTCACATTCCATAAGTAATGGGTAGATCCAGGCTGGAGGTATAGACCGTAGACCTTAAACTGTGACAGATAAGACTGGAGGACAGAACGACGTACTACATCACTTGTGGTGTTGCTTCTTCTCCTACCGCATTCATCTTGAATATCTGGCCTTCATGAAGTGACCCTTATTCCGACTGAAGACGCTAACATTTTCAATCCGCTCAGTTCTGCAAAGTCAAAGTGTGGCGCTAGTCAGCAGACGTGCCTTCGTCTCCTTCACGGTGAGAGTAAACAACGCTTACCTGAGTCACCAGACCGAAGCTCTTCCACCTTGCCTCACCCAACACGATTCTCAGATTCACCACGTCTCCCGCAGCTCTATCCCTCTCTACGAAATAACTGTTTCTTACTTTCATGTCCAACTCTTTCCAGGCCAGGATGACAGTGCATTCTCCCACCGCACCTCCTGCAGGCGTAGCAGCCTCTGACACAGCACCAAATCACCCAAAGCCTCCAATCATGGACGTCCATAATGCTGCTGCCTCCTCCACGGCAACCGCTGCTGAAAGTGAAGCTGTCACACCACCACCTCGCCTCTTGGACAGCGACCCAAGCAAGTTTCGGTCTCTGAAGCAGGTCATCGTTGTCGGCCAGCCTGGGAGCGGTACTGATGGCGAGTTTTGTACAAAACGCGATCTGCGGTGCGGCGCTGACTTCCTTTCCAGGCGTTGGCGATGCACTCAAGAAACTCGGTTTCAAGGTCTACGACTTTCAGGCCGCTAGCAACCGATACGAACGCGACTTCCCTCTTTGGCTCGAAGCCGCACGCCTACACCAGGAAGGTCGGCCATACAACCAGTCCGACTACGACAAGGTGATTGGCGATCACAATGCCCTCGTTGGAGCCCCGACCAGCTTTTTCGACCATGAATTTATCAAACTGTACCCTAACGTAAAAGTTATACTGGTGACGCGAGAATCTAACTTGGATATCGTCGAGAAGCTTCTCGGGAAGGTTACGTCTCGTTTCTGGCAGCGCATTGATCCTGTCTACCACGGTAACATAAACCGGTTCCTCATGCTAAACGCTAAATCGGATAACCATTACTGTATGAAGAACGACCGAGTCATTCGCGAGACTGTCCGAGAGAAGAACCTTTTCGAGATCCACGACTTGATCGCATGGGTGCCACTGTGCAAGTTTCTTGGTGTTCCGGTCCCAGACGAACCCGCGCCAGAGCTTCACGACAACACAATCCAGGTAGAACTTGCTGCGCGTCCACAACGTGTGTTCCCAGAGAAAGCGAAAAAGACCGGCCGTCGTATGGTCGTGGGGCTAATGTACACCTTCACGATGGTCTCAACCACCTTGGTCTCCGCTCTTGCAGTCTTGCTCGGAAGCCTTGGCCTCTTCAAACTCTCGTCCTTAAGCCTGCAGCTCTTCAACTTCCTCGTGGCATGCTCCCAGGTCCGCGACATAACGCGCTTACTTGCCGGAGGAATAGCATCGCTCACTCTCGTCTGTGGCTTTGTTGCAGGATGTTGTCTGGCTCGTATGCGTATCGCCAACGCTGATACGGTTGCATCACCTCGCCGCGACTACCAGCGCAGGAACAAGAACGGCCGTAGGAAGGGCAAACAATGCCGTGGAAGGCAGTCTGAAGATGATGAGAATACCCGTCCCGAGCGCCCAACACACCCTAAGTGGAGCGGCGTACAGGAGAACATCCGCAAGGACGATGCTGAGGTGCGAAAGGAAGGAAAGGCGACCTTTGAAGAATGGAAGAACGGGAAGCATGTAGCATTTCATGTCACACACAAGCGCACTGAGAGTGGCCAGGGCCTGTTCAGCGGACCTCGCAAGATCTTGTCGGTTACGGAAGAGACGATCGAGTAGGTGGTGACGCGGACGAACGGCGGTGAGACTCCGGGTAAGGGATACTTCCATACATTAGAGCTCCTTTCTATGTGCTACAACCATGACCAAGCGCACACAGAACGATGCGCCGGACCAGCTTTTGGTGAAGGGGAGCAACATGTACAATACAATACTACGCGAAACGAACGCCGGCCCATGCAATGTATCTAAATGGGTATACACAGATCTTACAACGTTCAAGCAGTGCCGCCAATCTCCTTCCTGACCCAGTTCTCAAGACCACCGAGAGCAATAATCTCCTGCACGTTGGGAGGAAGCTCACCAACCTTGACATTCCACTTAGCACCGTTGGGACCCTCCTGGACATTCACAGTGCTTCTGCGAACATCCCACTCAAGCGTCCAGCCAGTCCTGCGAGTGAGCTGCTTAGCCTCAGCAGGCTGCGCAGTAGCAGCAGGTGGCGGCGAGTCAAGCGATTGACTGTTCTGGCTCAGCTCCTTAATCGCCTGCTGACTTGACTCGACGGCCTTGCTGGAGAACACCTCTCGCAGCCTGTTGGCCAGCTTAGGCACCTCAACACCCATCAACGCATTGTTGATGCTGTTCCTGCTGAAGATGTTGCCAAAGCTACCAGCAACGACAAGCGGGATGCCCTTCGCCAAGATAGCAGTTGCGGCCTGCTCACGACTGCTACCGCAGCCGAAGTTGAAGCCCGAGACGAGAATGTCGCCGGCCTTTGCGGTCTGGCCGAAGCTAGGGTCGTAATTCTCCATGCACACTTCCGCCATTTTCTCGCGGCTTACATCGTCCTGGTATGTGTACTTGCCGGGGTAGATACCGTCGGTGTTGATGTTGTCTGCGTCGCAGAAGACGATCTCACCAGAAATCTTTTCGGGGAAGCCGGGGAGGATCTCCGTGAGTGTTTCGGCTTCTGAGGAAGTTGCTGCGGGCTCGGAGATGGTTGGGTTCGCAATCTCGCCAAATGAATTAGCAGCCGCTTCTGCATCCTTGATGGCCTTCTCGATCATGTCCTCGATGGTCATCATGCGCTCCTCCTCGGGGATGCCGTCGCCTTCGCCGCGGCGGACGCCCTCGTAGCCCTCTGGGGCTTCGTACCACCCAGGGCCGGAGATCTTGCCAGAAAGTGCACTGGCGGCGACAACCTCGGGACTGGCAAGGTATGCCTTTGCGTCCGGGGAGCCCATGCGACCCTTGAAGTTGCGGTTGCTGGCGCTGATACCGACCTCGCCGGGCTCGAGAAGACCTGTACCGAGGCCAATGCAAGGACCACATCCAGAAGGCAGCGGCTGAGCACCGGCTTCTAGGAGGGTCTGCCAGTCACCAGACTCCTCTGCGGCCTTCTGCTCCGGGATCGATGCGGCGGCGATGTAGAAGTTGACGTGCTCAGGGATCTTGGGGACCTTGTCACCGTTGGCGGCAGCAGCCTCCTTGAAGACCTTCGCAGCAGCCGCAAGATCAGATGCGCGGGAGTTGGTGCAAGAGACGAGGTAAGCCTTGTTGACCTTGATGTCCTGGTTCTGAAGCTCGATGAGGGGTGTGGCGACCTTGACGGAGTTGGGTCCAGAGACGTAGGGTGACAGAGTGGACAGGTCGAGGAAGAGCTCCTTGGCGTAGACAGCGCCCTTGTCGGCGGCCAAAGCCGGCTTCCAGATGTGGCCGAGTTGTTGTCCAACGATGCCGGTGGCTGTGAAGAGCTCGTCGATACGCTCGTGGACGAACTGCTTCTGGTGGTGGTCCTTAGCCTCGCCCTCACCCATGGCGGCCAGTGTAGCCCGGGCTCGCAGCCAGCCGTGCAGCACGGAGTCGATGGGGAAAAGACCAGTCAGAGCACCCCACTCGGTGGTCATGTTGGCGATGGTGAGTCGATCGTCGACGGGGATGGTGCGCAGGGTCTCGTCGGTTCCGACAAACTCGATGGCGTGGTTGAGGACTTCGTCCTTGTTGAACAGACCGGCGAGAGCAACGATAACGTCCTTTCCAGTGACACCCTTGGGCATGGCGCCGCTCAAAGTGACCTTTGCAACCGGAGGGACCTGCCACCAGGTTTTGCCAGTCGCCCAGATACTCGCAGCATCTGTTCGGACCACCGGTGTACCGAGACATCCAATACCGCCGTACATGTTCGAGTGACTGTCCGAGGCCACAGCCAATGTTCCTGGCCATGCGTAGCCCTCTTCGACCATAATCTGGTGACCGATACCGCGTCCAGCGCCGTAGAAGACGACGTCGTTCTTTCCGGCGAACTCCTCGATCTGGCTGTACTTCTTCAGATTCTTCTCAGTCTTGTTCTGGACGTCGTGATCGAGGGTCATAACGATCTGCTTTGGGTCGTTGATCTTGGTAGCACCGATGGACATGAACTTGAGAGCAACAGGCCATGAGTTGTCGTGGGTCATACACTTCGCAGGCTGAAGGGTCACATAGTCACCTGAGCGAATGACCTTGCCCTCTGCCACGCCGACCGCATGGCGCTGGACAATCTTTTCGGTGAGGGTCTGGGGAGTCTTGGGTGCCTCCTGGAAGGTACCGAGGAAGTTGGCTGCTGGGCCCTCCCTCAAGGAATGGAAGACATCCGGGGTGTCATAACGGGTGGCTGTCGTGCTGAAGGCGCGTGGGGCGAAGTTGAGACGGGATGACTTCGTCGCGACGCGGGAAAGACGAACGCTCGATGGCAGCTGCAAACATGTTAGAATATGGTGGTGGAAATGGGGACAACGAGACGTACAACAGCCACTCGGCGACCCAAGAGTCGCGCAGCTCGCAGTGACATAGCCATTGCTCCCAAATTGACACTCGGCAGGAACGATGTGTCGATTCGCGATGCGCACCTTCCCCAGATATTTTCGGCCGCCAAGAGCCAACATCCGACTGCGCCGACACCGGCAAAAGGTCATCAGGGTCGCTCTCAATGTGATTGGCCACCGTGCACACGGTCAATCACTACTCTCATGTCCACCAGTACAACACACGGACAGCTGTCAAGAATGGCTGAATGTGCTCATGAATGTATTGCTCCTGCAGGTATTGAACGTCCTGCATGCTTGTTTGGTGGCTTGCAGCACCGAAACCGGACGACTCACTCTTGAGGAAGTGGCATTGGAGTCATTGGTATGACGCAAAGCTCAAAGAATTTACACTCCACAAACATAGCGTCCGGCCAATTGACAGTCTACTTTCTTCCCAGCTAACTTGCTATTGTTCCTCTTTCCCACCACTGCCCCCCTCACATCGTCGCCATGGTTCAAAGATCTGACGTCAACTATTTCGGTGCTGGCCCCGCGCCCCTCCCCACCGTCGTTCTCGAGAAGGCATCACAAGCGCTGCTCAACTACCAAGACAAAGGCCTTGGCCTCTGCGAGATCTCCCACCGTTCGCCAGAAGCCAATGCTATCCTTGCCGAGACCAAGCAGGCGCTGAGTGACCTGCTCGAAATCCCCGATGACTACGACATCCTCTTCCTGCAGAGCGGCGGCAGCGGCGAGTTCAGTGCAGTTGTCTACAACTTGGTGGCAATCTGGGTAGAGAAGAAGCGTGCTAAGATCGCTGAAGAGGTGGGAGACAACAAGGAGGAGATACTGAAGCGGCTACGGAAGGTCGTGGACGAAGAGCTGAAGGTCGACTACCTCGTCACTGGCTGTTGGTCACTCAAGGCCTCACAAGAAGCTGCACGCCTTATTGGTGCCAAGCACGTCAATGTTGCAGCTGACGCTCGCAAGGCCAACGATGGCAAGTTCGGCAAGATCCCGTCTGAAGACCAGTGGAGCCTTACACCTCGTTCGGCAGGCGGGCCAGCGTTCGTCTACTTCTGCGACAATGAGACCGTCGACGGTGTTGAGTTCCCTTCATTCCCCAAGAGCCTTGAGGGCGAGGATGCGCCGATTGTCGTCGCTGACATGTCTTCTAACTTCATCTCCCGTAAAGTCGACGTGAAGAAGTACGGCGTCATCTTCGGTGGTGCTCAGAAGAACATTGGCAACGCCGGTATCACAATTGCGATCCTTAAGAAATCGCTTCTTCCTCCTCAGTCGCCCTACGCTTCACCAGAATTGCTGAGGGAGCTCAATCTGCCCGTTGGACCTATCGTACTGGATTACCCTACCATTGCTAAGAACAACTCGCTGTACAACACTCTACCCATCTTTGACGTCTGGGTCGCTGGGCAAGTCATGAAGGCACTTGTCAACTCCTACGGCGCAAAGCGTATCAGCAGTCAGGAGGAAATCTCAGATGAGAAGGCCAACCTGATCTACGGCGTGCTCGACAAGTACACCGATGTCTACCGTGTCGTACCAGACAAGTCCGTGCGAAGTAGGATGAACATCTGCTTCAGGGTTGCCGGCGGAGATGCAGACAAGGAAAAGGCTTTCCTTGCGGGCGCTGAGAAGAAGGGCTTGCTGGGTTTGAAGGGCCACCGCAGCGTCGGAGGCATTCGCGCCAGTAATTGTGAGTAATATCTTCACCAAGCTGCTACGGAATGTCATCAAGCTAATATGATCTCCTTCAAGACAATGCTGTCTCTCTTGACGGCGCGAAACTGCTCGCATCTTACCTTGAGGAGTACGCTAAATCCATTTAGAAAGCGGTTTTTACCAACGAACTAGCCATTCTCAACGTGCAAATTCACATCTTTACCATTTATACCATGTCGCGCAATCTCTCCGAGACACTTGGAGCCACAGTGCAATTACATTCAACTTCTCGACCATCATGACTACATCGACTTCTTACGATTTGCTACTTCAAGTCACATCCTGACACGGTCTAGAACACACTCATTTTGCCTACCTGCCGGTAAAAAGCGAGGGCAAGCAGACTAGTACACCAAACGTTTTCGCTTTTTGACACGAGCTTTCCGTACCTCTCATTCGTCGTACTCGAAGCCCATTTCGCCAAGGGTGGCTTCCTGTCGTGCACCGCGGATGTCAAATTACGACAAGGTAGCGAGATGACCTTTTTCACTCCAGGATGGGCCACATGGTCTATAAGCTCCGGCAGTCAGACACGACGGTCACCCGACAGGCGCAACACATGTCATCGCTGCCGTTGGTCAATTTCACCGAGCACAGACACGGTCTATGCGGCCAGCAGATCTACTGTTCACAGCGCAAGCATGGTCTGCGATTCTGCTTCTGCTGCTTCGCACAAGCCGACAGATGCTGTAATGTTGCTCGGCCTCAACAATTCGAACTCGTCAGCCAAGCAACAAGACGACAGTTTTCAGAAACATCGGCCGCCGCTCTCCACACTCTTTTATATAATCTTGCATGCGCTATATCATTGACTTACTAGGGGAAGATCCATCGAAGTGAACGGGGTTCGCTTAGTTGACCAAAGTTGGCTTAGACTCAACGACCTCAGCCTTGCTGCGCCCAGTGGACTCTTTTATGCCTCTTTACTGGTCATACTCGAGGTCCCTGAAGTTATGCAATTTCCTCCGAACATACATAAGACCCCAGCATCCGGAGGGGGGTGCTTGGGGATCTGGCGTTCCCAGTGTCTCGGATAAGGCTGAAGCGAGGATCTGCGGCACAACCTAAACTTAGCGAGCACCAGAACGTTAGTTCAACCTGCCCAACCTCACAACGACAACGAACAATACGCCACGCGCCTACCTCACCGGTCCCGAAGCGGCAATAGGGACCTATGGCGACACCTGGCACTGCATGACAGAAACGAAACCTTTGAGCCCAGAACAAGCGCTCAACTTTGACAGGAGACAGCTCCACGCTGTTGGTAGTCTTCGACGTGCTGCAAAAGATTGTTAGGCACTGTCTACTGATTCCTTGACAGCTTCACAGTGTATATATCGTCCAGAGCATGTCACTATGAGTATCTAAACACGGGCAATGTCCACAAATTCGCTTCTGTGGCAGTCAAGAGAAGCTTGTCGAGACGGGTCAGCCTGCTTCCGCTGCCCAGGCTCCCCAGTGTGCGTGCAGTTGGTGAAACCCCACTCTCTCCAAGCAGACGAGGGTTCGGCCTCTAACATGATCCAATTCGAATGGCGCCCATGCTCAACCTCAGCGAATGGGTTGACAGACGCCTCAGGACCGCTGTCCCGAAACTCTGCGCTACTGGCACCCTCCCTTAGTCTCATATTTGCCTCCTTGTCCCACGCATCATGCTTACCCTCTTTTTCCCTTTCCTCGTTCTGCTGGCAGGCTCAGGCACCTCTTACTGAAGCTGACAACTACCGTTTACTTCGGTCAGATTGTCTCCATGAATATCTAAGCGTCATCACTTTCAACAGCCGCTGCTGGTGATCAGCGACATTCTTTTCTTCTTGTGTATTTTGTTGCGAAGGTCGACACGATGGAAGAATGGGTTGCTCATTTGCCTCTCCTTGAGGCCCGGTCGCACTTCAATGTGTCGCTCAACACCTCAGCCGTCAGCGACGTCTCATCGACCTCGACGAATTCGACAAGAGCCGTGATTGCGAGTTTGCAGTTGGCTCAAGTGCAAACGCTGCGCACAATGCATCTGGCTTTGGGCGTCTTCAGTCTTGCGCTTGCACTCTTGACAGTTCACCGAATCTTGTCAGACGCAAGGAGAGCGGCAGCACTGCAAGTCACTCTCCGAAAACAGTGAGTGGTAGATATCGAAGCAGGTTGAGCCAGGCTGACACCATCTAGAAGGTTCAACTCTCTCCAGAACGTCCACCCCGCCGAGACTTTTCCACTCGCGCTGGCTTGCGGTGTGGTCTTATCGCAAATTATATTCGTAGCAGTGCAGGGCACAACTCTCCATAGTGTATTATCTAGCAGCTGTCGAATGCTGGCCATGGTTACCTATCCTGGTATGTTGCATCTCACCAAAAGATGACGCAACGACTAACGAGTACAGCAATCTTCGCCATGGGCTACATTACTCTCGTCTTCGGTATCGAGACAGCTCTTCGATCCTTCAAATTCGAACGCTTTGCGCCCCGAGGAAGGTGGAACACGATCCTATGCATCGCTGCAGTAGCTTTCTTCCTCCTTTTGACCTGGATACCGACCATCGCGTGGCCTATGTTCAACACATGTTTCGGCAGTCTGATCTGGTTCCCGATGCGTTACGACCTTTTGACTCTCGTCCTCCTTCTCATCCTGGTTTCTTCACTCCTGATATTGGCTGCTGTCATCAGCATCCAGCTCATGCGAACTGCTGAAGTGGACCCGAACGAGCGTATCGCAGCATCAAGAATGTGCTACTACCTACTTCTGACTGCAATCATCTACGTAGGTACAGCACATCTAAGGGTCAGAGGGTATAGCTGATAGCTCACAGATCTTGGTTATCCCGGTCGAGGTCCAGTCTCTCCAGGAAAACTTCGACGCAGCGCTTGGTGGCTCACGCTTTGCTGAAGCATCGCTGTTCTCTTCTGGCATGGTCATCTCGTTTTTCCACCTCTTCCTTCGCACAAATGCGAACCGACTGGTCATTCGACCTATCGAGGAGATTAGATCCCAATCCAAACAGAAGCGACCAAAGATCCGATTTTTCGGACCCAGCGATCTGGAAATGAACATCAGCGGCCCGCTCGCACTACAAGGTGGACGTCGCCCAGATAGCAGACAAGGCTTGATTGATGTCGGCCCAGAGAAGAATCGATTCGACTTCGACCCCGAGTACTTCGAGCGACCAGAGAGAGCAATTACACCAGGATCGAAACCCCAAAGTCCGATCGACCCGACAAAATGGCCACTGCCTCCGGACATGGACGAGTCAAAGGAGGAGACGAGGAAAGGCCACGAGCGGAACAAAGCAAGCTATTCGGTCTTCCCGACTCGAGCCGGGGATGTTCCTCGCCTCCCTGCCACTGTCTACAACCCATCGAAAGCAGCCAAGGGTGAATCTAGGATATCAAAGCTTGCGGTGCGTCGATTCAACCGCCGAAGCTCAGTCACAGATGTCAGTCAGGAGTTTGCATCGATGGACAAGCCAAATCCATCTTTCGCGATGGGCAGGAGTCGACACGACAGCACAGATAGCAGTGCAACCGTTCAGATCGGTCTCCGCTTCTCCCTGGCCCCAGCCACACTTGCAGCAGTCAAGTACACTTCACCCACTGCTCCCAACATCCCCAAACTCAACCGCAGCGAGACCGAGACGAGCAACGAAAGCTTAGGCCTTCCTCTACAAGCTCCTTCGCCAACCGCAAATGCCGACGAAGTTCTCCTCAAACCCGCGGTATTTTCTCCACTGACACAACGCGCGTGGTCACCTGCAAAACCAAGCCCGGCTTGGACGCCAGCATTTCCCCTCACCCCTTCCCAGAACAGCAGCGCCTACCTGCAGGCTCAGCGTGAGAAGGTACTACCGCCCGCGCCTGCGTCCCGAGCCCAATCGCCGCTGCCCGCACCTGCAGTGATGAGTGGACTCCGCATGAATCCAGTCACTCCTGCAGCGTCAGTCGCAGCAACCTCGCCTACCATAACGTCACCCACATCAGAGCCAACAACATCAGCGCCGCCGACACCAGTACAACCGCTTGCCGTCTCGCTCGTGCGCTCGAACAGTGGGAGATCAGCCGCTTCTCCATCGCCCACGGCCAGGATCCCGCTTGGACAAGGTACCATGTCGCGCAGTCCTCCTCCGAAGGGCTGGCTCTAGACTGAAACCTGAGGCAAGTTGGTCGCGTATAGACCGGGAAGGCGTTACGCCGGTGTACAATACTTTGGGTCTGGTCCGGGGTTGGGTCATGGATCGGAGGATATCTGACGGCGTTCCTGTTTCACATGTCTTGGGTCGGAAGTATCAGCCTGCTCCGACGTCTCAGCCTGCCATCACATCCCGCCTAGCTAAGCTGGGAACATCGATGTGAGAGGGGGCAAGACGTCGGCGACTCACGAAACTCTCCTTGCTTTCACGACCCCCCGACTGCTGTGCAGCTACGCAACGCTACGCCCCGTGCTTGTGCTGCGCACATCCACTCTTTTGATGACTCGACGCATCTTCTTACGTCCTCTTCTTCGTTACGTCTCGTTTAGTATCATACCACTCCTGCGTCTAATGGCGCTTTCACTGTCGGATAGAGGGATGGACCTCATCGGAGGTCCAAACACATGTACAAACAATATCATCTATCATCCTCACTGCTTGCTATTCAAGAACCGCCGCTGCTCTTTGTGACTATAATGCAGATTGAACCGACAAAGCCACATCCTGGCCGCACTTCACTCTATTCGAGCCACCTTGACAAACATCTCTACATTCACGTCCGCCTTCGCTCCACTGACCCCACCACCTCGCCCCGCTCTTGACCACGCACCCTGGGCCCCATGGTAGGACCCTCCTTGCGCCTCCTCAAGACCAGCTTCTACGAAAGTTCTTCCATGCTTGCATCTATGCTCTGTCTCCACAGCGGCAGCACGCCTGGATGTCGCCATCGGTAGAGAAATCTACTTGCCTATGCTCCGTCGGCCGGCGCGGGTTGCAAACACATGGGTGAACGCAATGAAGGGTCCACCGATTGTTTGGGGGGAGTTGATAAACATCAAGTGTGGAGAGCAGTGGCGACACCGACGATGAGCGTCGGTCTGTAGATGACGTTGGCAGTGTACGTGTACGTGTCCCTGATGAGACCGTCTGGATGTGTTTATTTGTTCGTTGTCTCGTGCCTCGTATCGACATCAACATCATCCTCCTCGCGTCGTCCACCTCTTCCAAAACATCCACCCAACGTCCTTCTCGCTCCTACCCTCCATATTCCTAAAGCGCTGCCTCTCTTTCCCTCTCCGCCGCCCGACCCACGCAAACCACACCACCAGTCCGACTGCCATGAACGCAATGACGAGGAGCGTTTGCACCGGTTCTGCAAAGACCGCTCTACTGAGCAGAAATAAGCTGACGCAGCAGAAGATGATAGGCGTGGTGATCCAAGTTTTATACGGGCGTTCCAAGTCGGGCTCGCGGACGCGTAAGATGATCAGGCCCAAAACGGTCTGGAAATAGAACGTGTAGCCAGCGACGCCGTAGAAGGTGACGAGTGTGTCGAAGCTGCCGATGAGGATGTAGACTGCTGTGATAGCCGCGTTGAGCAGCATAGCACTGATAGGCGTGAAGAAGAAGCCCGCGTCTGGGTCGGCAAACCAGTCTACCATCTTCTTCGGCACCTTGGATGGGGATGTGGTTGAGGAGTGGAGCCGTATAGCCCTGTGGCTCTTGCCCAGCCCTATGGACCCGAAGATGCCGGGCAGATATCCCTCCTTGCCAGCGGCGTATACCAAGCGACCCGAGGTGAACGTGGTAGCGTTGAGTGCGCCGAAGCAGGATCCGGAGACGAAGAGGGCGAGGACCAGGGCGCCGACGGGGCCGAAGACTTGGGAGCCGAAGGCAACGGCGACGGTGTTTGAGGATTCTATGACGTGGGAGGGGAGCACGAGGAAGTAGGATATGTTTGCGAGGATGTAGCAGAGGATGACGAGGGGGAGGGAGGTGTGGATTACGCGGGGCAGGTCGCGGGAGGGGTTTTTGAATTCGGCGGTTACGTAGTTGACCTGTTCGCACGTTAGCGTGAGAGGAGATGGAGGGGGGGGGGGCGGGGGGGCATGGAAGCGTGGAGGCATGGAAGCGTGGAGGCATGGAGGCGTGGAGGCATGGAGGCGTGGAGGCGTGGAGGCGTACGTTGTCCCAGCCGTCAAAGGCCCACAGGCCGGCGTACAATGCGACGGCCCAGTTGCTGATGTTGTGCGAGGTGTCGTCGAACCAGCCCTGCTGCTTCCAGTCCTGGTTTGCGTCGCCGCGGTAGGAGAGGCCCGTTACGGCGACTACGATGCCGATTACGAAGACGCCGAGGAGGGCGAGGAACTTGAGGAACATGAAGACATCGGCGCTGCGGGTGCCGAGCTTTGTTGATACGCAGTTCAAAGCGGTGACGACCACGAGTCCGGCCAATGCGATGCCCTTGTTGAGCCATGCGCTGGCGTCCACTGCCTCTGCGCCGATTGCTGCGCGGACCAGGTACTCGCCGAAGATGATGGCGATGATGGCTGCCGAGCCGGGCTTGAGCACTGTCACCGCGCACCAGGTAAACAGGAAGCCTGCCCATTCGCCGAAGATCTTGGAGAGGTAGACTTGCGCGCCGCCGTTCAGCGGTATGGCGCCTCCGAGCTCTGCATAGCTGGCCGCACCCGTCCACGCCAACACGCCAGCGACCGCCCAGACGATCAACGACGCCCCAGGCGACCCGGCATTCTTGTTCACCTGCGACGGTGAAGAGAAGATGCCGCTCCCTATGATCAGCCCAATGACGAGCGACAGGCCGTTCAGGTAGGTCAAGCTCTTGTTCTTCTCCAGCGAGCCGCCGTTGAGCGCATTGGTCGGGTCGAGGGCGGGGTTGGACGGCGCACCCAGCGCTGTGTAGCCCTGGGCGGTGCTCGAGAGGGGGAAGAGGCTCGGCGCAAAGTCGAAGGCCGAGGACACGCTGTAGGAGCGATTGTGTCGCGGCCGGTTGCCCTCGTGCTCCGTCGACTCGAACAGGGGATCCTCGTCGTCCAGCGACAGCCTCCGCGAGGAAGGCGCGCCCGAGGCCGACGAGTCCTCGGAGCTGCGTCGCGAGGGGTGCGAGGGCGAGGGCGAGGGCGAGGACGAGGCCAGCGAGGCGAGCTCTAGGGAGTCGCGGGTGGGCGGCGGCGGGAGGTGGGCAGCGCGGCCGGCCATGGTGCAGAGTGTGCGGTGAGGGGAGCGGCTATTACAGTTTCCTACGAAGAAGCCATGAGAGCCGAACACGTAAACAGCAGAGAGACTGCAGGGGATCCAGCTAAATGCCCCCTTACTATGGCTACAGCAACACAGCGGTGTGTGAATGTTGACCGGTCTGGCATGCCGGGGACGAGACGAACTGCGCTTGCTGCACTTGCTGCACTTGCTGCACCCGCTGCACCCGCTACCCCCGCTGGGCCTAGCGTCCGCCTTTGCTGCGTCAAAGCTTCCTACCCTTGCCAGAAATTCCATCGCCGCCGCGGGAGTCTCGACGCGCAGTCTCTCAAGACATGGTTCCCTCAATCGGCCGTCCTTCATCGTGCGCGCACGCGTTTAGGTGATGCGAGGTCTCAGCGTATATCGCCTCGGCTGGCGGCCGGTCCCACGCCATGCTGTCCTACCCTGCGCTCGAAGTGCTTGCTCATGGCCTATGCCAATGAAAGCGCGCAGTCGCGCTGCATCTAAGACCAAGATTGAAGCCCTGACGGCCAAATGGCAGCCTCACTGGGACAGGCTGGCCGCCAGTGGGCAGGACCCAGAGCCGACCCAGGGCAAAGCATACGTTCTGCCCATGTTCCCATACCCGTCGGGCACGCTGCATTTGGGCCATCTGCGCGTGTACACCATCTCTGATGTCCTGGCCCGCTTCATGCGCATGCAGGGCTACAAGGTCCTGCACCCTATCGGCTGGGATGCATTCGGTCTGCCCGCCGAAAATGCTGCCATGGAACGTGGCGTTCATCCGGAAAAGTGGACGCTGCAGAACATTGAGGCTATGAAGGCGCAGATGATGGTCATGGGCGGTCGCTGGGACTGGGACGCCGTATGCAATGCGCGCCCATCGCTTATAGACCAAGCTGACCGTCTCCATAGGAAATTCGAACATGTGATCCCGACTTCTACAAGCACACGCAGCGAATCTTCCTCATGCTCCACGAACGCGGCCTGGCCTACCAGGCCGAATCCCTCGTTAACTACGATCCTGTCGATAAGACCGTCCTCGCCAACGAACAAGTCGACGCCAACGGCTGTTCCTGGCGGTCAGGTGCGAAGGTGCAGAAGCTCATGCTCAAGCAGTGGTTCCTGAAGATCAAGGAGTTCCAGGAGTCCTTGCTCAACGACCTTGACACACTGGCTGAGAACGGAAGATGGCCGGAGAAGGTGCTTGCTATGCAGAGGAACTGGATCGGCAAGTCCGAGGGCACAAAGCTCTGGTTCGACATCGAAACCAAGAATGGTCATGTGCAGTTCGACCCGGTCGATGTCTTCACCACACGAGCAGATACCTTGTTCGGTGTGCAGTACATTGCCCTTTCGCTGAGCCATCCCACTGTCCAGCGTTTGGCTGCAGACGACGAATCGCTCCGAGCCTTTATCTCACGTGCAAAGGACCTCCCTCTCGATACCAAGGAAGGCTATCGTCTACCGAACGTTGTCGCTCGCAACCCGCTCGCTCAGGTTACAGGCGCTAGTGACTCCGCCGTTCCCATCTACGTCGCTCCTTATGTGCTCGACGACTACGGCTCAGGTGCGGTCATGGGTGTGCCGGGCCACGACACCCGTGATCATGCCTTCTGGAGAACCAATGCTGGAGATGAGCCCATCAGGGTGGTCGTAACTGCGAAAGCAGGCGCTCCAGCTCCGCAATTGCTGTCCGGCAGTAGAGACGACCAGGTTATGACTGCAAGAGGGTTCCTCGCTTCTGACATCCCTGAATTCGCGAACCTGCCCTCAAAGAAAGCCGTGAAACTCATGGTCCAGAGGCTCCAGGAGTCAGGGCAGCGCGCGGAGCAGACTGCGAATTGGCGTCTTCGCGACTGGCTTATCAGTCGACAGCGATACTGGGGCACGCCTATACCCATCATTCATTGCCGATCTTGTGGTCCAGTGCCTGTTCCTGTCACAGATCTCCCAGTTGAACTGCCGAATCTACCTAGCAGCTTCTTCCAACGAAGGTCTGGTAACCCCCTCGCTGAAGATGAGAACTGGAAAAAGACGTCATGTCCCAAATGTGGCTCAGCAGCCGAACGCGAGACTGATACTATGGACACCTTCATGGATTCGTCCTGGTACTTCTTCAGGTTCTTGGACCCAAAGAATGCTTCCGCCATGGTAGATCCTCAGAAGGCGAACGAAGGAATGCCAGTCGACCTCTATGTTGGCGGTGTTGAACATGCCATCTTGCACCTCCTGTACGCTCGGTTTATATCGAAATTCCTTGCTACGACACCCTCATGGTCAAATGGGCACTTGGTGAAGGGTGAGCCGTTCAAGCAGCTCATCACACAAGGCATGGTACACGGAAAGACTTTCACGGATCCCGAGAGTGGACGATTCTTGAAGCCTGACGAAGTCGATACAACATCCCAAAATCACCCCAGGATCAAAGCAAGCGGCCTGACCCCAAACGTTAGCTTTGAGAAGATGTCCAAGAGCAAGTACAATGGCGTCGATCCAGGGGCCACGATCGCCCAGTATGGCGCCGATGCCACACGTGCGCACATGCTGTTCCAAGCGCCCGTTACTGACGTACTTGAATGGGACGAGAAGAAGATCACTGGTGTTCAACGCTGGCTTCAGCGAGTTGTTCGACTATCCAGCGCATTCTGGTTCCCTGACCAAGAATTGGAGAAGTTCCGGATACCGAAGAACATCGACGAACATCTCCATGGCATTGTCGATCGCTATTATCAGATCAAGAAGAAAGGAGCCAAGCTTGAGAACCAAGCAGAGCTTATTGCTACGCTTGAAGTTGACGAAGCTAAGCTATGGACCAAGACTCAGCAGACTATCGCGAGTGTCACCGAGTCCTACTCACAGTCCTACTCTCTGAACACTATCATCAGCGACCTTATGACTCTGACTAACCTCATCTGGGACGCACACCACTCCTCCGAGCTCATGGGCTGGCTGAAGTGGTCCGCTACCGTACATCTCATCCGCATGGTCGCTCCAATCGCCCCAGGCGTAGCCGAGGAAGCATGGCACAATCTGTACACTCACACCCGCCATCCCGGTGAGCGCACCGCCTTCGCTCCGTCTGTGTTCACCTCTGGATTCCCCACCGCAGACGTCGAAATCATCCCGCACCTCAACCCTTTCAAGACCTGCGTGGTGCAAGTAGATGGCAAGCGAAAGTTCGAAGTCGAGATCCAAAAGGCTCCCGCTGAGCGTCCGCATGGCCTGAAAGCAAGAGATGCTCTTGAGGTTGTAGAGCAGATTGCTCAGACGCCTGAGGGCAAGGAATGGCTGGATAGAGATGCTGGCAAGTTGTGGGCGATGAGTGACACTAAGGAGGAGCATCCGGTCCATCCTGACATGCCGAGCGATTGGAAGGTTGTCATCGTTGGGGGTAAGCTTGTTAACTTCGTCAGCCCGAAGAAGCCTAAAGCCAAGAAAGCTACGGATGGGCAAACGTAGACGGAAGCACTGGTGGCCACGGAGCAGCCCTAAGTGGGCTCGCAGTGTCAATTCTCTGCGGACTGATCGTGGAAGAGCAGGTATCGAACTCGAGATGCGGACACGCACGACCAGCGACACGGAATCCATTACAATAAAGACTACAGCCAAGGCTGGGAGACATTTCCGCAAGCATCTTTCACAGAACACTACAAGCGGGTCAAGAGCTTCTGAGTGGACTTCACATGTTGCCACCAAACACGGCAGCCCGCGAAGACACCTGCTGGCGACCAATCGCAGAAAGGACAACTGGATTGACGATATGTTTCCAAGAAGACGAAGACGTGCGGTAGACTAGACGATGCGACATTTGGTCATCGATGTCTCGTCGACCTTGTACAACAGTGGTGTGTATATCATGTACCGTTTGGTCGCTCAGCAAGACCTGTACAACATCTCAAGGTTTTTTTTTTTTTTTTTTTTTTTTTTGCATGGGCGGCCTTCCAACCGTGGTCCAAATCTCAAATGTATAGTAGCGTGTTGCGCATTACAACGCATCTCTTCACACATCTCGAATGAAGTATATCACTTCTCACATCATCTTCTACGTGCTACGGAATCGGACGTAACTCTAGGTAAATTTACCCTGACGGGTTACCAACATAGTACGTGTGCTGTATGTTGTTGTGTCTACGACCTCTCGATGCTCGTCCCAGCTCTGTGTTGTAATTGTGGAAATCTCCCAAAGACTTTCTCAAATGATGCTATTCATCAAAGTGCAACGTTGATTCATAGTCACAGAGTGGCAAACCCCGCAACAAGTCAACACGAAGGTCGTGTGAGCTGCTGAGTTGATGGAGACCGGGGATAGATTTGAGTACAAGAGAGGGGTGGTTGGAGATCTTCTGGAAATCATTGGGCTCGTGGGAATAGTTGAGCTAAAATGAAGGCGGATGGCTGTCTATGATAGATGGTATTTTTTTCACCGGCTCACGCAGAGTCTGTAATACGGGTGGTCAGGCTGGTAATTTCGGCTTGATCTCTATACACGCAGCTATGCCTTACTCTCCCAATGCCTGGCACTTCTCGAGGGTAGAGATGTTGGCTCCGCGATCTGGACTTTCGGTGGAATCCGAATTCGCCGTTGGCTTCAAAGACGTGCGGTTGAATAGAAAGTCTGATGTAAACAATCATGTCGACTACAACAATAGGGACGGCGGCCGAGTATTGGTGTTGTCTGGTAAGCTCCGAGTGACCAGGGGTCGAACCTCGAGACTTGAGAGCATCATTCATCGATTCATGTCAGTACTGCTTTCGAGTCTTTCAATCCTGAGAGCGATAGCGTCTTTGACGACTCGGAGGCCAGTGAGGGATGATGTGGGGCAGAAGGGGGACCGAAGATTTGGACGGCGAAGTTTGCGGGCCCCACCTCCGAACGCAAAATCTGCGATAAAATACCAACGCTTTCCGTATGCCATTGTGGCCTCCGTTGAAGATGTTCTCTGCTTGCTTAGCATATTTATTCGTGATTATAATAGTTATAACTAAACTCTCTTTCATCAATTAGTAAGCAACTAATTGGCCTAATGGCCCAATGGCAAGGCGCTTGACTACGATTAACCAGATTTCGAATCTGGTAAATCGGCTATCAAGAGATTCCAGGTTCGACCCCTGGTTAGGTCATTTCTTTTGCTTTTGCGACGTGTTTTTGGTCTTGGAGGTTGTCTGGTGTGGTGAAATCGACTGCGCAGGACATGGATGACTTTTGTGTGTTTATGTGGCTACGCGAGGAACGGCTCCTGCTTCTTTTTTTCGCATCGCAAACCTGATCGCCATCCCCATCTCTCGTGCTGCAGAAAAGTCGAATACAACAGTGACGAAGGAGTGGTCATAGTCCCGTAACGATTTATCAGGTTACAAATTGCCTTGAAATCTGCTCTGGATACCTCCCACATCTTGAGGAAGGCGCACTGGTATTCTGCCTTTCCTACAATTGCAACTTCAGAGGCGAAAGACACCACGCGCACTGCAACACCAGGATTTGGAGCATCACCATGACGAGGCCAATTGCTTTTGGAGAGGTCTGCAGATCACTCCAAACCTGAAACTGCACCCGCTCGAACCGAGCCGCAATGCAGTTTCGCATTCTGCATCCGCCGAGCCTCTTGAGCATCATCCGCTGAAACAAACTTGAATCACCATTCCAGCTTTGCCAAGCCTAGCCGTAGTGAACCACTTATGCGTGGTGCATTTGCGACCTCGGCGCTGCTTCTTCGATACAGCTTGATCCAGTCAAGCTCGCAAACCTCAACCGTATACACAGTATTGGATTTCGGCAATTGGATCACCGAAAGCAAAAGTCTCGCGGCGACGAGAGTACCGGTTGTAGTGCTGTTTCGGCACGATAGGCAGTTGTGTTGATCCCCACTGTCGGTCGATGAGATGGAAGATGTTGGTGTATAAAGAGGGAGGTGATCGAGCGAAGATAAGACAGCATAACGAGCGCGCCGTCCGCTATGTCTTTGGACTCGAGGCGAAGCGCTGTTCAAACTTTCAATACCAGTAAAGGAATCTCTGCTTCGACAACTTTCACTCACCCGAAGGCGAACCTCCGCCTCATAAGATTCCGGCAGTCCTGGAGGCTTTGCTGAAGACGTCGTAGTCGAAAGCACCGCTTCCGTACCGTATGAGCGCACTGCGATGGACAACGTCGCATTCGAAGCACTTACAGCAGGTTCGAAAAAGACTGTTGTCTTTCCAAGAGCTTCTCAAAGTCTTAAGCGAGCACTGTCATTGTCAAGAGTCTATGAAAAAGCTTGCTCATCTTTTGAAAATATTGGTGGTCTCCGACAACAGAAATGCTTCTCCCAGACACATGCACTTGTACAGCTTCTTGATAGGCAACGGAATGCATGATGTCATTACACTAAAGTGATCACATTAATGAGAGAATGGTTGCCCCATTTTGTAAAGGTAAGACAATGAAATAACCGAACGCCATACCCTCCATACTCGTACAAAGATCGTGGCTTTGCGCACCATCATAGGCGGGGCAAGAACCACAGGGTATGGCAACAACAAAAGAAAGAGGCATGCTCGGTTGAGACATGCCAAGATCGTGTGGGTCTTGCGTTAAAACTCCTTTGCGACAAGAGACCTCTCCAAGCGTTGCAATCTGGTCTTGGCAAGCTGGCGGCAATGCTAAGTAGCATGGGTTGCTTAAGCAAATGCTCCTACGATGGACATGCTATTTAGAGTTAGCTTATCAATCAGAAAACGTTGGGATGGGAACCTTACCCAGCAGCGCCCAAGAGAACGTAGATGAAGGCGCATGTCTTGTCTTTGCCGGTCAAGTTGTGGCTAGCCTCCTCGGAAAGGAAGTCCTCTGCGAGCAAGTCGACAAGTGCAGCATAGATCAGAAGTCCAGATGAGATGGCGTTGAAGACACCAACAATAATGAGGCCGAAGGCGCTGTTTGGATCGTACGAGCTGCGCGTGACGAGACCAATGGCTTGACCAATGGGCGCAGTAGTACCAAATGCAACCACGAGCGCCCACGGCTTCCAGCTGCCGTTGGGATAAGGCACAGCTGCGATACGAGATCCAAGACCGAGACCCTCAAACATCTGGTGGAAGACGATGGCGATGAGCAGGATGATGAAACCTTCGGCTGTGATCGAGACGGTCATACCGACGAAGACAGAGTGAAACAAGATACCACCTTCGATGAGGGTGATCTGGAGAGACTGCTTCTTGAGCATAAGAGGATCAACGGCCTGCTCGACATCCTCATCAAAGTACGACACCTGTGCCTCGAGACTTTTCTCCTGAGGATAGCTAGGCAGAGCAGGCATTGCGCGGTTGACCATGTTGACCATCTCTTCACGTTGACGCACGTACTGCTCGTAAAAGACAATGAACCAAGGAGGCATCTCGGAACGTGGCTCCATCTCGTCGTGATCCTTGGGGAATGAAAAGTTGCCAGCTGGGTATGTGCTCTCGACCCAGCCCTTCTTGTCGTCACGAATGGTCAACATGGTCCTTTGAGAATCGTAGCTGCTCCTCTTCTGCGTGGCGTTGTTCATCGCAGCCTGGATGCCAGGTGGCAGTGCACCTCCAGCGAACTCGTTGCCAGTAGCGCTTCCGTGCGAGTGGCCACCAGTCTTTGCGTTAAGCCACATTTCGACCACAAAGAGGATGAAAAGCGAACCCATCATGATGACACCAGGCAGAGCGGGGTACTTTTCGGTGAATAGATCTGGAAGACATGGATCGTTGAGAGACTGGAAGGCTGTTGGAAGAAGCTAGATATGTCAGATAGCGTCGAGTTATTTGAGTTGTTGCGCTTACATGGACAAATGCTGTAGCGATCAGAACACCAGTACCGAAGTGCTTGCAGAAGAAAAACACCTTTGGTGGTATCTTCATCCACTTGACTTTCTTTGCAACTACTGGGAATCCAGCACCTCCAATGGAGGCGATGAAGACGATGACTGCACAATTGTCAGATAATAGCACACGGCAGCTCTGATGAGGCCCACTTACAGACTGCAGCCACGTGCAATGGAAAATCATACACAGCGCCATCTGCCTCACTCGCACATACTGGCTTCTCCATGGCAGATATTGTGACAGAAATTACTACGAAAAAAGATACCCTAGAAAAGAATCACAGACCCTAATCCAGAACTGCCAGCAGCCTTGTCGCCAGCGACGGTGAACGAAAGAAATTGAAATGAAAAATGACGAACAAGACTCTACCAGGGAGCGTTGTAGAATGGTCGAGCCCCAGGTTGAACGTATGGCACAGGCTGGGCATGAGGAGCTCAAGGCTATATGTTCGGCTTCAGAATTTTGCCCACAACAGAATCACTAACCGCATCCTGGCTAATCAGCATGCCTCTAGAACAAATCAGGTGGAGGAATCCATGATGCAGTGGTCCCTGCTACAGATCTCGTGTTAGGATAGGTGCCTCACATATGAACGCGGAAGTTCAGACTTTGCCAGGAAGTGCCATTAAAGCTTGTTCCAGGAACGCGAGGACCACAAATACAACAGTGATATGAGGCTGCAAGGCTGCAAGTGGATATCGCAGCTTGCAGTGAGACCCAAGGTTATTGGCAAGCGGCTGACATGCTAGGCAAGTTGGGGAGGCGGCTGGGCGCGCCGCAGGAGGATCTGGGGAAGGACCCGCAATCATGCGGCTTGCATTGTTGCGGCTCAAGCTTGTTTTCGCCGAGTGGGACAGCTTGCGAAGTGTGGGAGCATTGATGCGTCGACAAGCCCTTCTGCTGCACTCCCAGTTCGAGAACCTCGGTGCACGAACTCGGCTAAACCAATGAAACGTTTCGCGATTGCCCTGACGTGACTGGCCAAGACCAACTGGTTTCGCACTGAGTATGGCTGAGGAAGCTTGAAACCTGGATTAGCCTGGCTTCGGGATGTGAGGATGGTGTCGTCCTCGCGAACGCGCCACAGACACTCATTGAAAACCGCCGTTGCCCTTAGCGGGTGACGTGATTGGTACACCGTCAGAGGGGGCAGGTATAGCCAAAACTTGCACCCGCGGCTGCCCAGATGTCACACCTTACTGCCAACCTGCAATATATCCACTCTTCTTGCTTTTGTCTCCTCAGAAGCCTCTATCGGTGCGATTAAGCTTTTCTGCCACTCGTACTTGACGATGACTAAAGTCTTGGTTCTCTCAAAAGCGGCCGCTACCCCCCACTCCTTCGCACCTGCAGCCTGCCAAGCACGTTGGAGTATCAAGATCAGGCTAAGGATGCCTTAAGGTTATCATTTGTAGCTACATGATTTGCTTGAGCAGGCCTGCTGGATGCTTAGCGAGTTTCAAGCTCCGCCTACTCCTTCCTTCACTGCACAGATTCACGCAGGATCACAGAACATCGCGGCCTCGAAGCGAAGCCGCCACAGGATATGAATATCAGACTCGAACACGAGCCTCTTCAGGGCGGAGCAGCGGACCGTGGCATACTCTCTGGTTGTTTATTACTTCGCTGTCCCAGTACTGCGATGGGTGCCTTCCTTTTATCCCACAGCCTACCCAGCGATCAACATACGTGTCTGGCAAAAGGCATCACACCATCGCCCGGAAACAATGTCTCCCGAACCTCAGAGTAAGTCTCAGGCAGTTACCCAAAATTTTGCCTCTGACAATTCCCTCAGCCTCTGCCAATGAGCAGCCCCAAAGCCAAGTGGCCGATCAAGTGCCCGCTCCAGTCACCACTTCTACGGCACCAGTAGATGTCATTCAACAGCTGTCACGTACGACAACGGCTTCCACACAGGTCGCCAAGGATAATGCCACCGTCACTGTCAACAGTGCCGACCCACTGGATCTTGGCAAGCACCGCCGATCAAACGTGACCCAGGCACAGATGAAGGCAGATTATCCTCAGGCTAACAAGAAGCGCATGAAGGTATGTGATATACATCATGCTATCCAATCAGTGTTGACCAAAAATAGAAATTCTACACAAGGCAGAACCAACTGATTGACCAGTTCCTCCAAAGTGGTGACGAGGAGCGGTTAGCTGCTCTCGACACTGTCAAGAACGGACCGAAAGTGAAGTTTGCTGTCAATGCTTCCTTCATTGTTAACTTCTGTCTCTTCGTGATTCAGCTGTATGCTGCAATCTCAACAGGTTCGCTGTCCTTATTCGCAACCGCAGCAGATGCCTTCATGGATCTCGTCTCCTCCTGCGTCATGCTCGTCACCAGCCGGATGGCAGTACGGCCAAGCGTCTACAAGTATCCTGTCGGTCGTACCAGGATAGAAACCATTGGAATAATCATGTTCTGCTGTTTGATGACCACTGTCGCCATTCAGCTGATCATCGAATCTGGAAGAGCACTAGGTGCCGGTGCTAAAGAGGCTGAAGAGCTCCACATCATACCCATTGCCTTTGTGGCAATAGCCAGTAAGTGACACGTTCTGCTAGACCTGTTGTGCGGTACTGACCAGTACAGTCTTCGCCAAAGGTTCGCTGTGCGCTTACTGCTTCATCTTCCGCCGCTACCCTTCGGTTCATGTCTTCTTTATCGACCACCGCAACGACATCGTTGTCAACGCCTTCGGCCTTGCCATGTCCATTGTCGGAAGCCGTGTCGTCTGGTATGTCGACCCTATCGGTGCCATCCTCATCGGTCTCTTGATCCTTGTCTCATGGGCCGCGAATGCATTCGATCATGTCTGGCTTCTTGTCGGCAAGTCAGCTCCGAAGGAATTCCTGTCCAAGCTCGCATACCTGGTGGTCACACATGACAGCCGCATCGAGAAGGTCGATACCGTAAGTTTCATGTTACCGTGAGCTTTTGGCCTGCTGCTAATTAAGTTACAGTGCCGTGCATACCACGCTGGGCAGAAGTACTACGTTGAGGTCGACATCGTCATGGATGAGAACTTGCCTCTCAAGATCACTCACGACGTCAGCCAGACTCTGCAGCGTAAGCTCGAAGGGCTTGCAGATGTAGAGCGAGCCTACGTTCACGTCGACTACGAAAATGAGCACGACATCAAGGAGGAGCACAAGCCCCTGTATGAAGTAACACAGCAGCGATCGATCAAAGAGCGCGTCAAAGCGTTGAAGTATATCTTCAAGAAGAGTAGCATAGCTTGAAGGTCTTCGAGCTCGCTCTCTTCTTCTCGAACAGCACCCCAATTGGTGTTCAGCACGAACGGAGCTCTGCAGGCAAGCCCTCGCTTCACAAGTAATGTTTGTTTTGTAGTCATTTTTATTGTCAATGGCGGCATAATTAGATATCCAGCTCAGTCTATGACTGCAGCTCAAAAGTACAAGAACACAATGATCGATATCATCTCATCTCTTTCTCGACTTACCCTTTCCTTCGCGCCACCCGCCTGCATACCCGGATTCCGTATACCCCGGAGGCTTACTTTCACTCTTGTCAAATGACTCTTGTCTTCGCAAACGTACAAGTTCGTCACTTTCCGCCGCCATCTTCTTCACGTTCTTCTCTCTGCCGTCCCACTTACCATACGAGTAAAGGGCTTCTATGTCTCCGTGTTGTGGCGTCCAATGCCATGAGTCCGTCGAACCTGGTGGGAAGAGCCACGTAGCAGGGAAGATGGATTTTTTTGGGGACGAAGACAGAGTGCCGTCGAGAGGGTCCCGTAAGCCGGCAGAGATGAAGGGACAGGAAGGAGGAAGAAAGGAAGAAACGAGAGGCGGGAATGACGAGCGAGGAGGAGGCTTGTGAACAGGCTTGTAAGCCGGGGTAGGAAAGGTATCGATTCTTTCGGAGTGCTCGGTCGCAGTATCTCGCCGCTTTCTGGACACACTTTTCCGTGTCGTGCGAAGTTCCCGCCCCAGCCCGTACTTCAGATACCGCTCCTCCAGAAGCCGTAGGATGTATCGTGGCTCACCTTCCATCTCCTGAAAGAACGTCCTTAGATCAAAATGCAACTTTCCCTCCGCATCAGCATTCAAAATGTTCCACGCCATCATTTGCAAATACTCGTCCATAGACTTCGGTATCCATTTGGCGTCTTGGTATGGACCAAGAGTGCCCCAGATCCAAAATACATCTGCGGGAGTGAGGGTGTGCGTTTCGAATACGAGCCACAAATGATTCAAGAGATCGTGAGCTAGATGGTGAAGTTCGAAGAGCTCGAGTATGACGTGCAGTTTGATCAAATCCACTGTGTCTCGGGGCAGCGCTCTGAGGTCCAGGTCGAAGATCACGCCCGCGCGATGCTGGTGGAGAATGGAGGAAGTGAAGTTCAAGAGGAGATCTTTGTCGATTGCTTCGCTGCGAGGGAAGACGATGCGTGTACCGTCGATAGTGAGGTATTGAAGAAGCGCAGGTGCGACGTCCTTGAGTGGTTGAAGGGGAACATTATCCCGAAGCACTTCACCGCGGAATACGTGCGGATGTTCCATCGCAATTTGAACAAGGATCGGAGCCACGGATCTGGAATAGTGCCATGTCGAAAGTAGATTATCGTTAGTGTTGATATTCAAAAAAGAGGGCCTACCCGCAAACACATTCATATTTGCGTGAGTATGTGAGGGCGTAATGGCTAAGTCTGATGACGGCGGAGGTGTTGACACTGTCAGATAATGCAATAGTGCTTTCAAAAGGGGTGACTTCTTTGTGATGAGTAACTTCTTTGTGATGGATAGAAAGGGGGCTTATGAAGGCGCTGTTGAAGACAAAGTTAGCAACGATATTTGAACGATGTCTGAGAGTGGTGAAACATTGAAGCATGTACAGGAACTGCATCGTTGGTGGCCAATCGATGCCTGAACAGTCGGCCTTGACACGAAGCGTATTCATGCCAGTGCCTAGCAACGACATGCTGACCCATGAGATCATGGTGTATCAAGAGTCATCAGACGGGAAAACCAAACGCTGCCCTTCACTTCACTTTCACCTTCGCCATACAAACCAATTTTGCAACCATGACATACTCCACAGATCTCCATCTCATCTCCTTGACACAAAATGTCCCACCTGCTGGAGTTCTCTCCGACGCGCCCGCTACCACATAACATCAACTCGCCGCCATACGTCGTCTTTGGTATCTACGGCCTGGACATCACGTCCTCGCTTCCTCCGCACATCCCACTGAACCTTGCCCTCCACTTCGCGCCCGCGCTTGGAAAATGGACCCTGCCTGTCCCAGATCCCACATACCTTCCACGCTCCGTCGCACGCCAGTGTCTGCGCACACCATACATAGGCATCGACATTTTCGCCTCCATAGAAGCTGTAGGTCTGGGTTGGATCATCATGCGAATGCTTCACCTCGGCGGCCGCAAGGTGGGAAGAGATATGTTCGGCGTGCATCCCGACCTCGCGACCTCGCTAGCTATACACAATGCATGGCTTGCGCTTGAGCTACCCATCGAAGGACTGCGCGGTCTGCATATGCACATCCATGCCCAGCTCATGCTAAGCTCTCCGCCAGTCTCTCTGTGGGATATGCGTATGCTGTGGGACACCTTTCCGCATACCTCGGAGATCGTGAGGGCGATGGGTCTGAACTTCATCGAGGGGTACGTGAACGTGGAATACAAGGTTAATGAATCTCTCGAGATCGTGGAGTGGTTCCAATCTACGCCTGAACTATACGCTTTCTTCAAGAGTCTGCAGGACGCGGTGCCGGAGGCCAAGGAGAAAAAAGTTGAGACTGTGACTGTTCCAGCGGCGGAGGAGAATGAGAAGGCATTTGGTACCGGGTATAAAACTGTCGGCAGAAAAGCGGGGAAGGCAATCAAGGCGGCTCTCGCCAAGGAAGCTGCAGGACAAGTGGGCATCATGGAGCGAGCTGCTACGTGGAAGGTCAGTCCGCAGGAGAGGCAGGAGCGGGAAGCGAGTGACTTCGAAGCCATGAGGATGAGGCTGAGGAGAACGAGGAGCGATGATAGTCTGAGATCGGTCGATACCGCAATCTGGGACCCGCAGACGCCGGAACAGGAGATAGAGGAGGAGGATGTGCTGGTCAGTGACGACTTGAATGACCCCAGTAACTACTCTGGTGGCTTTTTCAGCGTAGCGCTCGCCAGAACTTTGGAGTCGATCCGGATCAGGCGCGAAGCTCGAAATCCAAAGAGCAAGGCATCGGCCCAACCACCAACAGAAGGCCTTGCGTCGGCGAATCTGATGCGGCACAGTGTCGAGAATCAGCCGGTCTTTCAAATCAGAGCGGCCACGACACCGCAAATCCTCCAGCTCCTCAACGACTGGGAAGGAATGCGGTCTGTCCATCGCCGACCTGGAGAAGCAAATCCAAGTCCTGAAGGAGAAGTAGAACATACTGGCGCAAGAAGCTAAGGAGACCGTGGACGATGGTGCTGTTTCTGACTCTGATTCCTATCATGATGATGAGGGTGATATACTAGAGGGTAGCTTGGTCAGTGAACGAGAATCTACGTTTACGCGTATGGAACGGGGGTTTGAGCGCTAATACACAAGTCGCTACAAGGTGATCAGACCTCCACGAATCGAACAGTAACTCTCACCACTGAACGCTGACAAAACTGTGGAGGAGAGAGACGGCTTCGAGGAAGATGCTGCGTTCATCGAACTCGAGGAAGGTTCGGAGTGAGACATGTGGGATGGAAGTGGCTCTCTGGTGATATAGGGCAGGGTTTTTTTACCATTCTGATTGGGACTAGGGCCAATAGCTTGTATGGGCGGTCTCTGACCCAGGTTTCTAAAACGCACACAAGAAACACAATCAACCGAGATCATATTTCAATAAGACACAGAAGCCGTCAACAGTGTACGCAAGAACGTTGGAGGCTGTTGGTGCTTCGAGAATAGACAAAGCAGGCCTGTACCATACCAGTGAAAGTCGACCACTCGAACACTTCTTTGCCAAGCCTGTGACCTCTCAGCAGGACTCAAACCTTGACCCAGCCCCCTTCATCGCCCTTTCATCGGCACCGCGGCGCCTCCATCACCGCGTTGAATGGCGGCGTCAGACTTCCGCTGACCGACGTCCGTTGTTGCGGGTTTGTGGTTTAAGGCTGTGATGGCTGCCTTACCGGAGCGGCGCCCACGGATTGCGCTTTCCCGTGCCAGCGCGTGAACGCGCCATGCCTTGGCGTGAATACAAAAAGCGGTGTATACCATGGCTCGATCCAAGTCAGCACAGCAGTCGACGGTTACACAAGAAACCAATTGCACACACCTTATGAACAATCTGGTTTGAATCCTATAAACCAACCTTCATCGAAGACCTTCATCGAAGAACCCCATAAGAGCGTCGACCTCCTAAATCTACTTAACATTACATCAACCCAACGTCGACAACCATGGGCCTCTCAAGACACCCCCTCCTCCCCTACATATCCACAATCTTCGGCACCATATGCCTCGGCTTCGGAACAACATACATGCTATACCCACGTGTGGGGTACTCTCTCTACGGCTTCTCCAGTACGCCAACGAATCCACTTGACTGGGCGATCATGGAGCGCGTCATGGTGTTGTATGGAGCCAAGGACATTTTTATCGCAGCTGCGATCTACGCATCGACTTGGTTCGGCACCAGGAGGAGCGCAGGATTTATCATGCTGGCGGCAGGACTGTGTGCGGGGGTCGATGGGTATGTGGTCAAGGGCGAGGCGGGGATAAATGAGTGGAATCATTGGGGATATGGGAGTGTGATGGGGGTTGTGGGGTTGGTGATGGCTGGGTTGCTTGGGTAAAGACGGGTTGGGGATACGTTGGATTGATGCCTGTTTTGACTACTCTGGCTATACCTCTTGAACAGCAGGAAATTTAAGCCCGAGGTTTGCGAATACCTCAAAGCGCATCCTTGTAGACTACCTCCTGTCCAGCAAAGCCGCGCAACACCTCATCAGCCGCTGCAAGGCTGGTGGTGCGCATGTCTATCCTCCAGCCTTGGTTCTGGTACGGCTTGATAGGCATATTGCCGTCCTTGGCATCGAAGTCGTACACCTCCAACCTTGCTCCAAAGACCAGCATGCCATGACCCTTCTCAACCCCACCTGCAACCCCAAGCAAGTCACTGAGGACGTCGCCGCGGTGGTTCATATTAGCTCGGGACCAGCGCTGAAATGTAGAAAGATCGTCCAGGATGATGACGAGGCAGGTGTGCGTGCGATAGGTGACTGTCTCCACACCTTCATGCACTTCCGGCACGCCCTTCCTGACGACAAAAGCGGCCATGTTCTCGGGCTCAATGTGATGCCAAGGCGCGTCGAAGGAGTAATGAGTATTAATCTTCCTTGCCGATCGCTTCTGCTTCTTCGGTGGAGGAGTGTCTGGGTCAGAACCAGACTCATTGCTCTCTTTGAGAATGAAGTTGATGATGCCCTTAGCAGAGTATGGACCCAGAGCTGCCGGCTCGACTAAGTAGTCCTCAGACTCGGGGTAGTGGCGCTGAAGCAAGGCGAGGGCAAAGTCTTTGGCCTGCTGCATGTGCGCGGATGTCTCGTTGATGGGAACTGCATAGCTGGTGTGGTAGGTATCATACAGAGTCTAGATACGGTCATCGAGCGGCGAGAGGGACCCATCTTCTTTGGGGGGCTGCTCGACAGGGACTGAGTCCTGTGGCGTATCAGTAACCCCGTTGGACCTATCCGTAGCTTGGGCATCATGCTCTGCTGCGGTCACACCTTCAAAGGGATTTGTCCAGCTAAAGTTGAAAGGTTGGGCGGGTTGGCTTGAATCGCTCTCGAAAGGACCAAAGAGACTCTTCTTCACCCTCATGCTCGCGTAAAGGGTTCTCCAGGCCGAAATCGCTAGGGAGGTTGTGAAGATCCAACCTTGGTGCGGCAGCTAGAGTATGTATAGCAAGCGTTGTGGCTTGCCCAACTGTATCGAGCTCAACTGTGTTTGGGCGGAGTGTTGAGTGGATGATTGTGTGTTGACTGGCAAAGTCGATGATGATAGGCAAACCGTCCAGATTCCGTGAACCGCAAGTGAAGGCGTACCTGGCGCGAACAAACAACCTGCGAGAACGCCGCTCTTGCCTTCCCACGATAATGTAGATGGTTGGGCCTGGGATATTTTCACCACAGGCACCTCTGCCGCGAGCTTGCTACGAAGATCACAGACCTATAGCCCAGCTTTGTCACTATGCCTTCGAGGCAGGGCTGTGGCCGCACAGACCGTCGAATCGAGGGTTTATAAAGCTCAGTCCTGCATGCTTGTATCCGCCTCGACTTCTGCCGGCTGACTGTTCCTCTCAGCGGTGCCTTCACCCTCAGCTTTCTTAGCCTGCGCCTTGGCCTTCTTCTTAACCTTCTTCTCCCTGTTTCGCCTGGTCCTCTTCTCGCGCTCAGCTTCTTCTTTCTCTGCCGCAAGCTTGGCCCTCTCCTCTTGTTTGTCCTTGTTTGCCTGCTTCTTCTTCCTCAACGCGATACGCGCTTTCTTCCCCTTCCGTGTCCGCTTGTGATCCTTCTCTTCTACTGTAGCCAGCAGGCGAGGGTGCCCAACCAACACTGCCCTCTTCATGCCATCCTTCGTGATTGTGTGCACCTTCCACAGCATCGCACAGGCCGGCCATGGCTGCCGCGACAGCTCCAGCACAGTGCTTCCATCGATCGCAGCGGCCTGCAGCGCCAGCTCTTCGTCCATTGTCGGCTCATCGGCGAAATAGTAGCTCTTTGGCTTTTTCACCAAGAACCCTGATCCATCTCCCTTGTCCAGGCCTGGCGATGAGAGTCGCACCTTCAAGGTCGCGGGCGCAGCATTGGCTGGTGCAGCGAACAGCCGCAGCTCTGCCTCGTCCTCGTCGCTCTGCACTGCATCTTCAACATGGCCGGCATCTTGCTCGGTAGTCGTGAAGGCGAACTCGGTGGATATCCGCTGGCGCAAAAGTTCTTCGATGTCTCGATCTGGCGTCGATCGTGGGGACTCATGTGGCGATCGAAGCTCATCGCGGCGCACCCTTGCACAAACATTAACGGCGCCGAATAATGCCATGGATGATTGCCAATTACCGTTTCGCGCTGGGCAGGTCGAACATTGAAGACATGGCTGCGCGCGTCTGCGTCGTGAGTCGTGAACTGAGTCTGAGTGTCTAAAGTTCTGCCGAGCGCTGGGTCTTGCGTGGGCGATGCGCGCGATGCACGGGCTAGCGCCAGAATAGTTAGCAGAACGGCTAGAGCCGCCGAGTGCCAGACGAGCCAGGGTCTCGCTAGGCTAGGCCGGCAATAATGGCTGGATTACACAGACGAGCAATCTTGAAATTTTCTTCCACGCAGCCGTCCGCAATTACCCAATTACCGCGGCAACATGCGCTCAACTTCGCCAGGAATAAACCTTCGCCAGGAAGAAAGCTCCGGGACGCTGAATAAGGATGAAGTCGGAGGCGCTGCGCCGTCGTCCTTCTGCAGGGCTCCGGGCGCCGAGTTAGAATCAATTAGAGCGAGCGTCTAGCCGCAAGCAGCAGAGTCTTGGCTGTGCTCTAGTGGCAAAGTGGCTTGGTGGCACTACCGCGCATGGAGCTGTTAACGAAACTCATCCAGACCATCGTCGATGCCGAAGGATCGCATTTTGACTGGCCTCCACAGGGGAGTCCACAACACCATGATCCTGATCTTGGAGTGCTAAGCGACACGGCTCTTCCAAGACGGGATTGTGCGCCGTTGTGGCCCCGATGCAGTCAAACGCGTCACGCCCGTAGGTGCTGCCCTTCGTTCCGCTGCTTCGTTCCGCGGATATGAAAGAACACACACCGCACGATTGCGGGCAGCGTCCACGGGTGATTCGAACCAGTGCCTTGATTCCCTCGCCGCGTGCTCGACTTGCTTCCCTCTGCACGTGCTCGACTGCCCTCCTGCGCGTGCATGATTCCAGAATATGTCAGAGTGAAGACCGTTAGACTCGAGCAGTATGCCTATATTGTCATGGCCTGAGGCGGCGCGAGAGCGAGACCTCCAAAGGTGGGTTTTACTAGTGGCCGGGCTGGCGTGCTGTCACAGTGAATGCTAACGAGGGGCTTCTGTCTGCAGATACTACCGCCCATGGCTCGATGCGCAGAGCCTCGTCGACAGCGCCGTCGGCATCGGAGAGAAGGGCCTCACCAATGTGGGCTACCAGCCTGAAGCCTCGCGCGACAAGAGCTTGACTGCCTTCGCCCAGCTCGCCGCCTTCCGCCTCGATGTTCGCCGCTGCATGGTGTCGCTGATCGACTCGAACCGCCAGTACATCCTTGCCGAGGCCACCAAGACCGTTTCGCTGTTCCAAGCGCAGGCAGAGCGCCCCGAAGACGACGTCTGGCTGGGCAACGCTGTGCTCAACAAGACCGACGCTGTGTGCTTCCACACCTTCTCGTCGACGTACACGGCCAAGGAGGAGAATGGCGACACGGTTACCGCCGAGTGCATGGTCATCCCAGACTGTCGACTGGACCCTCGCTTTGCAGACAAGGACTATGTTAAGAGTGAGCCAGGCGTGAGGTTCTATGCGGGCGTTCCTATCATCACCAAGGCAGGGCACCGCATTGGTGGTACGTCATGAAGTCGCTACGGTCGCCCCCGCTGTGCTGACATGGATGTAGTATACGCCGTCTCAGACGAGCGACCCCGCGATGGCCTCGGTGCCGCCGACATGCGGTTCATGCAGGACGTCGCCGCAGCCGTTATGGAGCACCTCGAGCTTGCCAAGGACAGTGACGACCGCGTAAAGGGCGAGCGTATGGTTCGCGGCCTGCAACAGTTCATCGAACGTTCCTCGGTCGCCGACATGCGAGACGAAGCCGGACCCAGAATGTCCACCATGGAACGCCAGACGGAAAACGCACGCCTCCAGACACTCGAGGAAGATGAGGCTTCCGGCACCGTAACGCCTTCGACCGCTACCAAACACGCCCAGCGCAAGGCGCATGCCGAATCTGACACTGCTCGTATCTTTCATAGGGCAGCACGTATCATGCGCCAATCCACCATGGCAGACGGTGTGGTTTTCTTCGACACATCAGCAGCCGGCATCAAGGGCGGTCTCTACGACGATGGCAACTCCGTAGCAAGCAGCGACGAGAGCGTTACGAACAACACCACCGACTTCGACACCGCTGATTCGACCGCAACCGCCAGACGACGCAGGAGGCAAAAGGTCACTTTTGGCGGGGACGCCCCAGAACACAGGAGCCCATCGTCCGAGGCTGATAGCAAGGCTTGCCCTGTCGTCGGTCTTTCGATACGCCAAGGCACCGGCAATGCTGCCATAGCTCAGAAAGATTTCGCTTTCAATGAAGCAGCTATGGAGCGCTACATCCACCGCTATCCGTTCGGCAAGTTCTTCAACTACAACGAGGAAGGTGTCGGCATCAACTCGAGCGACGAGAAATCAGAGCGCTCGGAGACCGACCAGTCAGATCGTACGGCAACATCACCTAATGGACAGCCCCGGAGGAGAAAGCGAAGGGAGAGGTTCATTCCCACAGAATTTTTAAAAGTACTGCCCAACGTTCGAACGCTCATCTTCTTACCTTTGTGGGATCCTTCATCCGAGCGCTGGGTCGCTGGAGGCTTTATCTGGACTACCCAAGCTGGAAGGCTGATGAGCCCTGAGAACGAGCTTCCTTACCTCCAGGCCTTCGGAAACAGTATTACCAGCGAAGTGGCACGCCTGAGTGCGCAGAAAGCGGATCGAGCCAAGACTACCTTCATTGCTTCCATCTCTCACGAACTTCGATCGCCCTTACATGGCATCCTTGGATCAGTGGAGTTTCTTCGTGATACCGTCGCTTCAGCGTATCAGGAATCACTGGTCTCTTCTATCGAGACTTGCGGTAAAACGTTACTAGACACCATCGATCACGTCCTAGATCATGCTAAGATCAACAAACTGCGCAACACCGGAGCACGCAGGAAACAGCGAGGCGCTGAAGGCCGAACGAAGAGACTGCCATCGGACAATTCCATTCTCGGTGTTACAGCCGATTTCGACCTGGCTCAGCTCATTGAGGAAGTCTGTGACACGGTCTGCGCCGGACACACCTTCCGTCAAACGCACAGTATCAACGCAGTTGCTACAGACGTCGACACTGAAAAGGTTGGCGTGAGCGGAGTGACAGGCGAAGAAAGTCCCACTGCGGAGAACGGCACGCTTGTTGTTGGCAAAGACAACCGGTCTGTCATCGTTTCGCTGATCGTAGCGCCGTACGTCAGCTGGGCCGTCCGTTCACAGCCGGGTGCCCTTCGAAGAATTGTCATGAATCTTCTGGGAAACGCTCTGAAGTACACCGACTCTGGCTTTGTTGCCCTCAACCTGATCCAATCCGGAAGTACTTCGCAACATATCAACCTGTCTCTGACCGTAGAGGATTCCGGCCGCGGAATGTCTGCTGATTTCCAGAAGACGAAGCTCTTCTCGCCTTTCAGCCAAGAAGACCCATTTGCGTCAGGTACTGGTCTGGGCCTCAGCATTGTCAAGCAGATCGTGGAGTCTCTCAGGGGCGAGATCACTGTCAAGAGTACTGTGAAGGTCGGCACCCAGATTCAAGTTACGCTGCAGCTGCCCGTTGGTCAAAGTGAGACCACGAAGCATAACCAGTACCTTCTGCAAGCCCCAGAGGCGCTCAAGGGAGCTTCGGTCAGCATTCTGTGCGAATGCGACTCCATCGGTGGCCAGCGTGGTATGAAAGTCAAGGAGTCCATGCAGAACGCTTGTAGTGGCTTCAACATGGATATACTGGACATCTACGACCCCAATCTTTCGAGCAAGAAGGTGGACTTCCTCTTGACTGATACGTCATCTCTTGATCGACTGCTACAGGAGTCAAGCCCCAGCTGGGTCAATGAGACACCTCTTACCGTAGTGTGTGTCTGCACAGACACAGCTGAGAAGACGGCCCTGGAGAAACGACTTGGAAGGCAGATCGATGCTCTGGGTTGGACAGCAGAGGTTCTCACTCAACCGTAAGTCTTGCACCAGGGTGATGTTAGAGTCCCAATGGCTAACAAGATCGCAGATGTGGACCCCGCAAACTCGCCCGCACCCTACTCCAATGCCAGAAGCGAGCCCACAAAGCAAACAGCGATCGCCAGATAACCCGCTCCATGACTGCGCTTGGTCTACACCATCACCAAACTCTTGCTCCTCCTGGCGCCTTGACCGAGGAACAGCGCAGCATAAGCGATAGCATCACGGTCCAGTCCCCCAGCGAGGACTCCGCCGTCACTATGTTTGGCGCACCCTCACCGCCCCCTATCCTCCCCTTCTCCTCGACCATCACCCCACCCCAGTCCATCACACCTTCGTCTCCTGCGCCAACGGAAGGGAACGAATACTTCAACCCATATGTGCTGCTCGTCGATGACAACGCAATCAACCTCAAGCTCCTCGTCGTCTTCGCCAAGCGGCAAAAGCTGCGCTACTGCGAGGCAATGAACGGGCTGGAGGCGTTCGAGACCTACAAGTCAGAAGCCATGTCTACAACGCCTGCGACGAGGCCGTTTGACTTTATCTTGATGGACATCAGCATGCCGATTATGGATGGTCTTGCGAGCACTCGAAATATCCGGAAGTTCGAAAAGGAGCACGACCTGCCGAGAAGTCACATTGTTGCATTGACTGGACTGGCAAGTGCGCAAGACCAGCAGGACGCACATGATGCCGGCGTTGACATGTATCTTGTCAAGCCGGTCAAGTTCGCGGATATCAAGAGGATCTTCGGGGCACGATGAGAGGCGTAAAGCTTAGGCAGGCGGAGTTGTGGATTGAGTGGGCAAGGGTGCAAAAGTCTCAAATGTTTCCTTCGTCAGCATTTCTTTGGGCGTCCTGCATTGTCACGAGCATACGCGTTGGAGTTGGTGGGTCATGCATTACAGGCAGGGTCTATACAGGTCGACTGGTGAGAGGTCTAGATGGGGCTAGAGCGCATTATCAAATGATCTCAACGTTTCAGTATCACAGCGTTCGCAAAGATTTCACCTCTGCCTTGGATAGCCACCGCCTCGTTTATGGAGCACCACCGCTCCTTCGTGGGTCGCGCCCACCTCTCGTTGCACCAGGCAGGCGGTACTCGCAACCCCCAGGTTCTTCTTGTCGGTCGAACGCGAAGCTGCTTGGCCGCAAGTCGTCGCCGAAGATCGCCGGCAACAGATGACGGCAGAGCGTTCCACGAGGTCTTGCTTGGCTCCGAAGCAAATTCAGTGGCCCGACGGAAGTCGATCTCTAGGCCCAAGATGGCAACGCCTGCGAGTCGCCTGAGAAGCGAGGGGTGACAACTTAGTGGATGCCTCCCTGGGACGAGCTCGCATCTTAACGCGATCTGGGGGTACGGACAGATGTGTTCTGTTCGCTAAGATGAGCTCAAGCTGTAGTCTCAATACAAAGATTTTCTTTCGATTCGCTCCTCTCATTCCTGGTTCGTGCTTTGATTCAACGAGCGTGCATGTATGCCCGCCCTATTGAGTGAAAACCCAAGATCAAGAATAGTAATCGCGTAGATTATGTATAGCCTGCTATTCCAAAAGCAACCCTTCCTTGCTCGAAATGATGATCACGAAGAAGGTAACCCAGCATTACAAGATATAATAGAAACAGGATTTCCTTCATCCCTCTCCTTCCGAATAACGCCTTCACACCATAGTCATACAATCATGCCGCCCATCCATAATCATTATCATTCAATCCCTCTATTGAGAAAACCGCCATGTCTCCGCACTATGCACCTGTCCTGGCGCAGGTTGCATCGCCGGCGGCGGAGGCAGTACCGGTTTCGCAGCCACCACTCCACCCTTCCCGTCATCGCTGATCGGGCTTGGTATCGGGCGCTGCGGCTCTGTCGGTGGCGGCAGCGGCGGAGTGTGTTTCTGGAACGGGCTCGGTGCGTTTGGCATGCCATAGCTCGTGCTTGAGCGTGGTAAAGGTGGATACTGCGGCGTATGTGATGTCGTTGCGGACGGTGTGGCTACATGACCAGTCGATGTGGCTAGTTGCTTGAGCATCTGCTCCCACTTCGGTGCTCCCGTTGCGGAAGACGAGGCTTGGGTGAGGCCTCGCTGGAAGGCATCGGGCGACTGGAACTGTGCCGATGGCTTTGGAGTTATCGAGCTCGGTGACGGGCTCGGGTAGTAGCCGTGAGAGCCTGTCGATCCATTGCGCATGGTTGGGGTAGGTGTTGCACCACCGACTGCTTGCGGTGGTTGGGGCCTCCATTCCGATGCAATTCCACCATCAGGACTATAAGGAGAAATGTAAGTCTTTTGCCTCCTGAGATACGCGTTTTTGAGGTAGGAATATTTCATAACATAGGCAAGGTATTCAGTAGGGGATTGGGCAGCATAAACAACGGAGGAGGAGGGTATGACGGCGTACATTGGAGGTTTGGGAGTCCCAGTTGGGGTGCTCAGCATGTTTGAGATCGCTGCACGCCCATGAGAGGGTGGTGCTGAACCGTGCTGTGCAGTGGAGCCATACGGAGCAGTGCTTGAGCCAGAATAGGGCAGCTGGCGCGGATTTTGCGCACTGGTCTGAGTCTGGTACGGGTATGGAGGCAGTGCCTGATGAGACTGGTTCGTGTGAGCATATTTGTCGATATCGTCAAGCAGCGGCTCCGACGATGCAGTCTGCGACGCATAGCCTTGAGCAGAGTAATTGTGCGGCGGTGGCGCATACGGCTGGTATTGCTGCTGCTGTGGCAGAGGACGAGGTGAAGGATATCCGTATTGAGGGCCAGCCCTGTAGTCGTAGCTGACATTCGGTTGGTGTGCCACAGGAGAGTTGGGGTTCTGCCGGGTATCTGGGTTGTACACTGGTGACTTCCAGGTAGTCATCATACCGTCCTTTGGTTTGTACGTATACGGTCTTTGACCAGCAGGAGCGATCTGTTGCTGCATCATCGGCGTGTACGGTGCCATACTAAGAGGCGCTGGCTTGATCGGATACGATGCTGGGTATGACTGTCGCTGGAAGGTTGGGACTGGCGGAGGTGGAGGCTTGACAGTGTCCAGGAAGTTGCTCCTCGGGTTGTTCCTTGGCTTCGACAAATCTTCAGTGTACTGTGGTTTGGCTTCGGTCGAAGGCTTGCCAAGGTAGTACCACAGTCTATTCTCCTTGGTGAAGTCAACCTTAGCAACCCTACGTGTGACTTCAGGTGCAGTATTCCACTCGGCCCACTTCTGTTCCGAGTTGGGATCATGGAACGGATCGCCCATCTCAGGAACACCATCTGTCCGGTTGGTGATGTCGAGCGATGCGTCATTCTCTTTGAGATGCTCCGGCAACGGCTGAGCATTCGCAGATGGTTTCGGTCGTTGCGACTCGTCTGGGTGCAACTTCAAAATGTACTTCCACTCGACCTCCACGCGGTCGCCATCAGGAAGCACGTCCACAAGGACAGACTGCTCACCAGGTCTGTTTTCAACAACCTGTGCACCGTAGATCTGATACATCTCTCCACCGACGTACTGGAACTGGATAACATCCTTCGGCTTGAGGGCCTTGCCGTAATTGAGGATGAATTTGTTCTTCTCCAGTGCATCGACATCGACAGTCTTGTTGTTCCTCTTCTTCGGTCGGTGGAAGCGGCAGCGGAAGTCGTAGCCGTCGTAGAAGTACTCTGTGCCCTCTGCATCGAACGTCTGCATGGTACCCAGGTCGACCTGTACACCAGCTGCAACCGCGCATGTAGCGTGGAAAGCCCTGGTACACTTCTTCTGAGAACACTGGAAGACAGCACCGCGCTTCGAGCGACAGTAGTTGCACTTGAGCTCCAGACGATCCTTGCCGATGTTGGCAACGTTGCACACGGTCTCGTTCGAGATATATGTCTCTGGTGTGTAGTCGGCGCAAATACGATGAGCCTTCATGCCATTGTCGGTGGGCAGAAGATCGTCGTAATCGACATCGTTGGGACACAAGATACACGGCATGCCGCGACCGGGAATCTTGAGACGAATACGGATCTTCCTGAGCTTCTTCGGCCTTGCTGGTTCTTGTGGCTCGTCTTTCCCGCGCTTTCGCTTAGCGGCAGGCTTCCTACCAGGCTTCTTCTTCGTCTTCCCAGCAACACTGGCTGGAGGACTTGGGAGGCGATCAGCGCCATCTTCTTCATCGTCCTCATCATCAGTCTCTTCGTAGTACTCAGGTGTGGGCTCGCCTCGCAGCTTGCGCTCGATCTCGTTAACATCGACCCATACGCTGTCCGGCTCACAGTCACACTTCTTGGCGATCCTGCCATAGCTTAACCAGCTCTCAGTAGCAAAGTTGACCGACTCTGCGCAGTTGTAGCCAATGTTGTACCCAGAGTGGTAGCCGTAAGGGTAAGTGATGACGAACTCGCCCTCGTAATGTACCAATCGGTTAACCTTGATGTTGAAGTCTTTCTCCAGTCGTTGAGGAGAGATGAGGTAAGTCTTGTGTCGCAGGAACTGAGAGCAGTTCTTGGCATCGTTCGGCCAGATGTTTTTCATAGCCGCTTCGAAGCGGCGTGCATCCTCCTGTGAGATACTATACCACTGCTTGGGTGCGCCGAAGTGGATGTAGTTGATGCTGTACAGATCAACATCCTCAAGATGCCAAGCGAACGATGCCTTCCACATGCCTAGATACAGGTAGGCAGTGTTGACTCCAGGAACTTTGGTTCCAAGCACGTCCAGCAGATTGGGAAGTTTCGCTACGTTCCAGGATGTTGTTCGGTCATCGAAAAGAGAGCCAGGCATGTCTGCACCGTACATGGGCTGTCCACTCCAGATGGTCTTCCAGTAGTGTTCTTCAAGCTCCTTGCATCGTTCAGGAGTGTACTCTTCGAGACCCTCCAGATGGTAGTCGAAACCTTCGAAAGCCGCCTCGTCGATGTAGTCGTTTACTGCGCCCCTGTTGTTCAGTCGTCGAGAAGACACCGACTTCTTCTCAGTATGAGCCCTGGGTTGACGACCACGAGGCCTTGTTGGCGTGTCTTCCTTCTTCACTCTGCCACCACGTCGCGCTGGCTTTGTGTCTTCCGCGCCAGGAGACGTAGGTGTGGGAGGAACATCGAGGGTCTCTGCCTCATCTTCTTCTTCTTCGTCCTCTTGTTCCTTCTTGACGCCGCGTCGTCCACGTGCAGGTCGGCCGGGTTTACGCCTCGGGGCAGGTGTGCCATCATCGGTCTTCGGCGTGGCTCGTGTGGATCGTGTGCGCGATGGAGCCTCTGCTTTCCGGCCCGCGCGTGTCTCACCTCGCTTCGCGGGCGGTTGGTGATGTGGCTCGTCCGTAACAGCTCGCCACTCTGGCAGGTTGTATGATCGTTGCTTCTCGACGTTCGCTCCTGTGTATACACCGTGCTGGCCTGTAAACTCTTGTGTGATTGGATTCTTGACTCTGATTGACTTGACAGCTTCCTGGAGATCGGGCAAAGAATCGCGCCTGCGTTAACTTTAGCTGGAGGTTCTGATGCAAGGTACGTTTGCTAAGTATATACCATTCTGTTGGCGGGATGACCTTGACGATACCAGACTTCATTCCATACTTGTCCACCTTGTCGATGAAGCGCTTGAAATTGCGAAATTGGTCCATTGTCTGCGCACAACAATATTAGTATGCCTCTTTCCCTGTGCGCCTGAATGCTTGGGCATGTTGCGCATGTACTGCATTCCATGTGCAGCATTGCAGCACTCGTGCGCTTCTGCGACATACCGGCTTGAAGACGGGTATCTTTCCTCCTTCCCAGTAGTGATCCGGTTCAATCTCCTCGCCATCGTCGCTATCGATATCAGACAGCTCCGACGACATCCTTTCCTCCCTCTTTGGATCGTTGTCTTCGCTCGTGGGCGGCGTCAGGGCGGCTTTCGGCATAGCGTCGTCATGCTGAACGGCAGGCAGTGTCTCGACAGACGGTACGACGTCTGCTGGCGCCTCCATGGGTCGACGTGCAGGCGCCGAGGCGTGCTGCGTGTGTCAGGGCAGGTGCGGAGGAGCCTTGGGGCTAGTGGGTGTGGTTCGAGCGAGGCTCGGGTGCAGCGAGGATCGCAACCTCGCCACCGCGGTCGGGGGTCGGTGTCTCGAGACCGCAGCAATTTTGCGGACAGCGCATCGACTTTGCGGAGTCGTGCGTGTAATGCAGGAGCGGTTTTGCCGGTTGTGGAGGTGTGGGGGGCGTTCTTGTTGTTCCTGAGGTGCGAGGGCAGGAACGAGGAGGTTGCACTCGCTCTGATCGGCTAGTGGGACGCTAGCAGGGATTGGTCGGCTCTGAACTCGTTCGATGATCAGATCACCCTGCACCTCTGAAAACAGCAACAGCAGGTTGGGGAGATTGGGGCATTTCACTGATATCCAGCGGGTAACAGGGTGGTCAGTATGGGCTTCTGACTCACTTTCGAATACTTTGAAGCTCACAATAGGACATGTTTTCTGTGAACATTGCTGGGACGCTTCTTTCGTGCGCTGCTGCGCATGCACGTCATTCGAAACACGAAATCTGTCACTCCATCTTATCAGATCAATCGTTCGAATCAGTCGCCCATCCACACCTACGAAGCAGCATGCGCTCTTTCTCTAGATCCTCATTTCCAATGCATATACAGCAAAGAGTAGATTCTGTCCATCTGCGCAGGATGTTGCCCTGCACAAGTGGAGCGAAGGTGGTGACCGACTGCCTATGCACATCCAAAATCCAGACCATCTGAAACAAACACGTCAAAGTGCAGATAAGCTTTTTTGATCGGCGCGGTGGAGCGCGTGCAGCAACGGTAAGCTCCCACTAGTTCCTCGTGCCTGCATCACTCCGCGACACTCCCGGCAGAACAAAATCCTGTCTCGGCTCCTTTGCGAGACGAGCCACTGCAGAACCGTCTGATCTGATCTATCTGATTGACTGCACTTTGGCTATCTAAAGCGTAGGTGAGGTACAGCAGTCCCAGCTGCGACATAAGCTGTGGACAGATGCAGACGCGATTGCTCACTGACCGACTGTGAACTCAGGGTTGATGGTAGAGCCTGCGCGAGCGATCCATATCGCTTATGGATGCTTCAAGCTCAACCTTTAAACAATTGAAGAGAGTTCACGGCTTGTGGTGATGAAACCTATGCTGAGATGGGCACAACAAGTCTGCAGCCAGTGCATCGGGAAACTTCCGTCTCGGACTTTTTGCGTGATTCTATTATTGCAAGCTAGGGTTTTACAGTCCGTCTTAGCGATTTCACAGCCTTTCAAAGTCCTAGCAGTGGCGTGGGTGTTGTTGTACATCACCGTGTCTGGCGGGTGTTACGATGTTTTCCACCTTCGCCTCAACACGGGGCACCGCTCCACTCGGCATTTCGCCTGACAGATGACGCGCAGCAAATCCCCCAACAAATTTCTCCGGATCGACTTATCGTCCCGAGCGGTCGGATGGGACGTGCTTATCAGATTAAATTGCAACTTGACTTGCAGTAACGATTTTGACGTCAACATCAGCAACGAGTCATGCCACAAGAGCCAATACAGACGAAATATGTGACAAACCCATGTTCATTACCGCCCAGTCGTTAGAGTACAGTGGCCGATGTCTGAGAGGCCGGCGCTCCGATGCTATGCAGTAAACAAATCTGGTTGTACAAATGCTGTGAAGCTGTTCTTTTTTACCATTCCGCTCAAATGCTCAAAGTGGGAGGCGAGGTAGGTAAGCCAAACCAGAAGGCGAAGGGCTTTGCGTGCCTCAGAAAACCCAAAGTGACAGAGAAGAGAAGTGTTTGTAGATGCTTTACGCAGACGACTCGCCACGAGGAGCACCGCGGAAGCCACCTCGACCACCCCTGAAGTCACCACCACGGCCGCGTCCACGTCCACGGAACTCGCCTCCGCCACGACCGCCGCGACCACGGCCCCTGTATCCTCCTCGTCCTTCACCCTGGTCTTGTCCTCCACGTCCACGACCGCCACGGTTGTGCTGGACCTCAGAGAAGCCGTCGTTAGCAGGAGCCTGGGCGGCTGCCGGTTCGGGGGTGTCGTCAGCCCAGCTCTGAGTGCTAGTAACTGGCGCGGTCTCGTGGGGAGTCTCGGTCTCAGCGGGGTCGCGGGGAATAATCTCGAATGGCTCAGACAGGGGCTCATCCTGACCGCCGGCCTGCTTGTCCCACTGCTCAGTTGCAGCAGCATTAGCAGCCTCAGGCTCAATACTTGCTGGCGCCGGTACGGCTGACTGGCCAGCCTCCGCTCCACCAGCAGTCGCTGATCCAGCGTCGAGCTCTGTCAGGCCTGCGTGCGTGACGGTGGGGTCGGAGACTGCCTCTGGCGCCTCTGTCTCGGGAGCGGTGGGCTGGGCCTGTGCGACATCGTCAACCCAGGCTTCCTCTGCGGCGAAGGGTGCCTCCTCAAGCGCGGCCTGCTTAACTTGCGAATCTGTTCATCGATCAGCTTGGTATCTTTCCAGAATAGAGCGTTTGTTACGTACAAGTCACGCTCAGTAGCACACCCTCGGTAGAGGGCACGCCATCCTCAGCACCTTCGATGAGCTTCTCAGCCGCAGTGACAGCAACAGCGTCGCCTCCGTAAACCTGCAGCAAAGCTCCCTCAAAAGCCTTGGTGAGGTCCGAATCGTCATCCTCCAGCTGGCGGCGAGCAGCAGCCGCCCTCAAGAAGCGAGACAGTGTGAGGATCTTCTCGCGGAAGACCTTCTTCTGCGTGATTGCCGCTTCAGTCTTAAGTGTTTCCCTCAGCACCTCGAGCTCGCTGGAGTGTGACTTCTGCAGGATTTCCTTCTCGCGAGCGTGCTTCTCTTGGTATTCCTGGTCGAACTTCTTGTATTGTACGATCTGCTCCTCCAGTTGTGCGAGCTCAGCCTGAAGCTTTGGCTTCCTCTGAGCCTGGGCCTTCTGGTCGGCGTTGATCTTGCGGGTTGCGGCGAGTTCGTCGAGAGAGACGCCGGGATTCTCTGCGATGATTGAGTCGACCTTTTGGGTGGCATTCTGCACGCGACATGTCAGTCGGAGCTCATAGCAAGGCTGAAGCGAGAGGAGGGATCTTACCAGCTTCTTGTTGATGTTACGGATGTTCCTGCACGATTTGCATGTTAGCACATGAGCTCTTTCCGTATGTGGCCTTGAGCTTGGAGGCTGGGCTGCGACTCACTTCTGGAGCTCCTTGATGTAGGAGTTCTCGCTGTCGCCATTGACATTTCCTATAGGGTCAGAGCTACCAGCGCCTGCCTCAGAAGACGCATTCTCAGTGGCAGCTGGGACTGCGGTGGCAGCGCTCTCCTGCTTAGCCTTCTTCTTGCGGGCGCTCTTCGACTCGCCTGTGACGAGGTTCTGGAGCTTCGAAACAACTTCAGAAGCCATTTGGAGTGGTGATTGTGTGTTTGGTGATAACTTGGATGGAATCTACGCGTCACTCGCGAAATACAAAAAGGCTAAGTGTTGGTGGGGTTGTTGTAGCTGAACGATTTGGGCTGTTCGATTGCTCGCTGTGCTCGCAGGGCTACGTAAATGACCGCTAAAATTTAGCGTTGAAGCTGGGACCAAGGGGGGGGGGGATCATCGTGGAAACCCTTCGAAACCTGCTATCCAACGCCCGCTCGTACGTGATTCAAAGTTCCTTTGATGAAGTAAGGATTTGGAAATGGTCAAGAGAAACAGACGAACAGGTTCTCCTAGTATCATGAGAACATGGACAACGCTGTCGCGCTGCACACCATTAGGTTGGTACGAACATAACAAAGCGTCCCTACATATACATCCATACCCTTCTCTGTGAAGCTTCGTGTACAACATCCACCCACGTATGGGTACGAGCAAGATAGTTCTCCACCACTCTGATTTTCTCCACCGACGTGATATCTTCGATCTGGTCGTCTCCGAGACATCGCCTCAGCCACTCCCATCAAAACCATCCATCCCCTTCCCGTCCCCCGTCCCCCTTCTCTGCACACTCCCCCCTTCCACCCCCGCGTCTAACATATTCAAATCCACATTCTGTCCCTGCCCTAGTCCAAACCCATAATCCGTGCCACTCTGGCTTTCAAACACGCCATCACCTCCCCCGCCCATCATGTTCGGCGGATCAACGTTAAACGGCACGAAATAGCTGCTCATCGGATCAAAGAAGTTGTTGTTGCCCATATCCATCACTTCTAGGTTCCAAAAGGTTGCGTTGAAGTCGGCGGATAGGTCAGGGAAGGGCGACATGTCTATATGGGTCTGCGGGTGGGCCTGCGGGTTTTGGAGGTGTGGGAGGTGGGTTAGAGAGGGAGAGGTGCCGGTTTGGAGGAGCGTGTGTGGACCGGCGAATTCGGCGATGAATTGCTGCGACGTAGGTTGGTTTTGTTGAGGGAAGTAAGTGGCGGGGTCGAAGGTGGTGGTTGGCGGGGTGGACATGGTTGTGTCGTTTGTGATGGAGATGTGTGATATTGGTTGTTGGTGCTGGAGATGAGAAGGGGCGGATTGCTGTGCTTTGGTGCTATTCTGGCGTTGTGGCTTGGATGCTTCTGCTGTGTTCGCAGTTGCTTTTGAGACAGGTTTTGACTTGGTCTTTCGTGCTTGTTTGTGATGATCTGCCTTAGAAGGTGGTGAGAGCGACGCAAAGAACTCTTCAACACTCTGGAGATCGCTCTTCTCGCCAAGTACAGCATCAGTGCCGGGCTCGTTGGCTTTCGGCTCTGCAGCATCCTCGTAGTCTGTCTTTGAAACGCCGTGTGGGTATCGATCGAACCAATCGCCGTACTGGAATATGCTGCCTTTGCTCTTCCCGTCGGCGCTTGCTCCAGGTCCTTTCATCTGCGCGTCTGCGTGCTGTCGATACAGATCCTTCAGGTTCTCGGCAACGTACTGGAACATGCCCCAGTACTTCTTCATCTTCGTCAGATACTTGACGTTGTAGGCCAGGTACTTTTTCGATTGCGCTTCGAGCTTCGCATTCTTCGAGAACACACCATGGACGTGAACGGTCGACGAGAAGAATGCGGAGTATCCAGCGAAGGGTGCAACGACGTTGTGGTCCATGGCCTCATTGATGAGGATCGAAATCTGGTTTGCGGATTCGAGCGCCGTGCGCGCTGAGTTTGTGAGGAAGTCGTGTGGCATATCTTTCGGTGGCCGCGCGCCTGCTGTTGAAGGTAGCGCAAACCGATGCATGAAAAGCATGATCTGCTGCCAGAGGATGTGTAGGTACAAAAACGAATTTGCAGTTTTGCCAATGGCATGGCTCTTCAGGTTTTCCGGTGTATAGACCAGCATTTCAGGTAACGAATCCTTGAAGTCCATGGCTTCCTTCTTGATGGCATGGAACGTCGACTCTAGTGACCACATTGGCTCCGGTTCTCGCTCTTTGCCACCGAGGTTCATATACTTGATCAATTTCCCCCATACGCACACTAATCGAACAGTGTACGCTGTGACGCCCATGTTTTCGCGCGGGTTCGCTAGTTGCCCGCTATCAGGTGGAACCGGGTTTGGCACAGCGCCTTCTAAGTTTTCGGTCGGTGCATGGATTTCGTGAACGTAAAGGTGTTCCTTGACCGGCAATTGCACCTCAATGTACTGCTCATGTACGAAGAGCGGTCGATCTGTGCCAGACGAGTTGAATCGATCCATCAAGAAGCACGACCACATAGTCCTCCGTCGAATCTCTTGATCTGTCGCGCTGAGCGGTTTCTTCTCCGGATCATTGACCAATGGATCGTATTCGTTCTCCTTGTGCAGCTGCAGAGCGTACGCCATCCTCTGCGCCATGCCGCCAAACATCCAGCTTCGTCCACCCTGGCATGTGCCAAATTCGTGGAGACCAAGCAGCAGGTAGACTATAAGGATCGTGATGTTCGGCGAATCGTACCGCTTCAACGCAATCTCCCGCGCCCTTTGCGCCCAATCGTCGCCTCGTAAGAAACATGGTTCTGTCCGTAATTGCGGGTGTGTCGAGAAGCGCGCTGAGATCGCACACATAGCCAGGATGAGCACTGGCGGCACCTTCCCTGTGTTCAACCGCCGCATGAAGCTCGGTTTGTGCAGCAGAGGGTAGCTCTGGCCGTAAACGTAGTCAAAATACACCTCGGCGAGGTGTTCCTGGATCTCTTTCGAGGGCAAACTCTCCGCGCCTTCGGTAAGCAGCTTGTTCTCATCCGACTCCTTTGATGTTCCCGCCATCCCTGTTGCGTCTGAATCCCTGCCCTTGGACTTCGCCCACTCGTCCAACTCATTTCCGAACGCTTCTTCTGCTTGTCGTTTCTTGGTCGCTGGTGTCTTCGGCGGTGCGCCGGGTATCGCAGGCTTGACGACTGATCTGCCTACATTCGCCACTGAGGGTAGGCTTTCTTTTGGTATAAGTTTGATCACACGATCTTCCATGCGCTTCAAGCGCTTGTCCAACATAGCCATGTAGTCCGTCCTCGGCGCTGCTTTCCTCGTTGTGACTTTGTACACGCACGGTATCCTGCTCCTGACGCAGTGCTTGCACGACGGCTTCTCGCCCGAGCAGCGGATCTTCTTTCTCCTGCACGCAATGCACGCAAGTGGTAGTCTCTTCCTCTCTTTCCCAGCTTTCGTCTTCATCTCGCTCCACTGTGGCGTATCTTGCTCGGTTTCCTTTGTGCGCTTTGCTGTGGCGCAAAAGTTTGCGCTGTCATTTCCTTCAAGTTTCAGGCCCTGAGCAGATGAGTTGTGCATGTCGCCAATGTTCAGCATGCCCATCGCAGGCGCACTCTCAGGGCTGGTATTGTGTCCTTCTTGCGCCAACACGCCTGGACTGCCACCGATGCTTAGGCCGGGCGGATGCACACTGCCTCCGCCACTCATGTTGTCTTCGCTCACGCCGCCCACGCTGCCTCTGTGGACCTGGGCACCTGGATATCCCGGGTTCTGTGTATGCGCAAAGGCCATGTCGAAGTCGGGGTATTGCCCCATCATATTACTGGGGCTGGTGCCGAGGGCATTGCTATTCGCAGGCGCAAGCCCATACTCGGCCAGACCCAGGGCGTCGTCGTGGTCGAAGTGCGGGTGCGAAGAGGAGGTCATGATGGCTGCGGTTGCGCCGGAGTCGGCCATGTCATTGGGCGCGGAGCTGCAGAGGTAAGGGTCGCATTGAATGTGGAGCAGACAGAGACGCTGAGCTCAGTGTATCTACAACAAGAAGTATTCCAGTCAAAGCAGCATCATGTCGGGTGCAGTGCGGGTGACTCTCGGGGGTATTGTTAGGCAAAAGGTGCGAGCAGAGACCGGCACAGACGAACACACGCAGGGCTAGAGAGCGGGCTTCGTCTTCTCCACACTGGGCGCAGAAGAGGCGGCTCTACCTGAGTGATGTGGGGCGCTAGTTTCTTGAATCGCAGGAGCATGCACTGACTGTGGGGAGCTCCAAAGAGCAGAACAGCGGGTGCCCTCGGCCTGTCAGGCCTCACTGCGCGTCATACCCATTGCAACAGTACCGGAGTGCTCCGCCTTCATCATAGCAGCCCATGTCCAGCATAATACGCCCCAGAGCGTCACGTAGCCATCGTGCATACGCCCACCTGTAATCGCGCATCCAGGATTCGCAAGCGAAGTTCATCCATGTGTGGGGCGTGGCTTGTGCTGGGCACGGCAGGATGCATGATTGACTGATCTGTGAGTGGCTGACACGCTGACGACGTTGAAGCCAAGTCGAGCCCGAGTTGCAATTCTCCTCGCGTTCTCGACCGAGTTCTAATTACTCAGACATCACGAATCAAGCATTGCTCATACCATTCCGGTGAATGTCCTCGTATCCACCCCAAGACTGTTGATCAGAGACGTTGATACATGCAAACTGCGCAACAGGTGCGTCTCGGCGGGTATTGTCGCCCTGCGTCCGGCGAATTGTTAAGTCCAACGGCTTTCCCCGTCAGTATCCTCGGACGCGCACTGAAGGTCACGAGCTTCGCCAGTTTTCTGCAGCTCGACGCTCGTCTAAAATGTGGCGCTGCGGGACCGAGGTTGCTAGTGTGAGGTCCTCCGCTGAGTTCCGTCAAAAGCCCTAACGCCGTGGGGAACACCAAGCAATAACGTTGTCGGCCGAGCCTGAAAACCTCAACATCTTCATCATGTTCGTTAGCTCGTTAGATCAAAGGTCATTGTTGAAACGAAGTGCACGAGCAGCGCATGTGGTACGACACCTGCATCTTACATCATGGTCCACCCCTGCACTCCCACCTGCAGAGGTTGGGGAAGCTGGGGTAGAATCAAAATCTCGGGGCACAACATGCGCATCGCATCCAACTTCATCTCACTACAGTCTTTTTGTCAAAGGAGTGATTTCACCTGGATTCAAGTATGAAACATGGTGGTTGTTAGAGAATGTGGGGTGTTGCATTGTTAACGAGTGTGCAGTCTTCTTCTTCATCTTCCTTGTCTTTTCCATCTTGAGACTGAGTGAGGTTGGGGATTCACTGCATCATTCCATTTCCATCTTCGCCATTTCCATCTTCGCCATCTCCATCTTCGCTGCCTCTTCTTCGACTTCACCTGGGTAATCTCCGTAGCCGTCGTACTTGCCGTACTTGCCGTACTTGCCGTAGCTCGTGTCTTCCGCCTGCTTCGCGTCCATCATCATCTCGTTGCGCTTCATGTTTGCATTGGCTGCCGGTGTGTAAGTTTAGGGATCGAAGTTAGGAGAGCGAAGAGAATCAATATACCCATCATCTTAGCTGCTTCCTTGACACCCTTTGGATAATGATCGTAGTTCCCATAGTTATCATATTTGCCGTACTCGCCATAGACGGTGTACTCGGCATCGGTGGCTTGCTTCATTTTGTTTATGTTGTTCACGGTGTCCACGTTCTTCATCTCCATGGGAGCAGCGATAGCAAGAGCAGCCAAACTGGCGAGGATGATCGAGTAATGCATCTTGAAGGTCTTGAATGATAGTGCTCGGAAGATTGTGCTCAATCAAGCCTGAACGAACGAAGGTGAGAGCTGATGTGGATGTTGGTCGGACTGAGTCCATGGCCCTTTTGTAGCTGCATGAAAGGCTGCTAAGAAGCAGTATGGCGAGCCATGCGATCATGATGGCGAATACAGGGTAAAGAGAGGGTGAGGGGGTACCCGTGTACATAGCAGAGCACAATCACGTCCTGCGTAACCGGCTAAAAGCTGTCTTTGGTCACTGCACTCTACCGTGGAATGTCTTTGTAATCTTGACCTCGGCTCCACCTGTACACCGAAACCAAAATATGTGGTTCTGAAAGGTGTGCTGGATTGGATCATCGTGAACGTGTGCCTTGGATTTCAGAGGCTCTTGCGGTTTGCACGGTATCGGGTGATTGTAAAAGTGAAGTGTCACCCTTCGTGCAACACGAGAGAGGATATGTGCATCCGAGTGTGACGAGATAAAGTCAGGTTTCGTTGGATGTGGACACCGTCTTTGTTCCTGAGCCAACAACCTGCCAAGTTATAATGCCTGAAGACGGCCTGGCAACCATGGGCCCCGTGATGTTTCGTCAGACCAATGCTGGTAGTGTGAGTCCACGGATGATTGGATTCAGGGCCGAGATCTGCGCTAGCTGTTGGTCTATTGCCAGGCCAAAGTCTACCAATTGTCCTTTTATTCGGATGGTCGATAAAGTACACTGCACTTGTAATGCGTCTGACGTTTCTAGCGGCTTTGACACTGTATCTCAATCATGGCACATGGATAGCGCCGTGGTACTGAGGTCTGATTTGGCGCATGTGTTGTACACCGCGGGTATGTGGTAGGAGTGAGTATTGATTGGCGGATGGCTGCATTTGTGGAATCTGTTAGAATCCATCGCTAGCATGCTCTTCTACCGTACTCGATGTTAGCATTACTCTTCCCACCAACGTACAGCCTGAAAAATCTACACCTTGCTCACTATGTTCGCTCGTCTATTCCGCAAGACGTCCAAACATGCTCGCTTGCCTCAAAGTGACACCGAGAGCCTTGATAACGAGACGCTTCTGCCATCTTCATCGACGACGTCACTGGCATTGAAGCCCTCGCCCCGTCCTAACTTCGAGTACCAGGTGGCATTGAAGACCCTCATCGTTTGCAGTGTCGTATACGTTAGCGCAGGGTTCTGGGTAGCGCATAGTGTACGCAAAGCCGAGTTCGTCACTGATGCAGACGACTTTTGCATAAACCATGTCTCCCAATACTGTGGGTCGTCGCGTTGTAAGTTTGGAGGATGGTGGCTAATTGTGTAAAGCGCCGGTAGTCAGGGACGTAGAACCAGGTTGGCACACCAAGCAGTTCAACGGGTCCTTTCTGCATGAGACTGTCTATCGGCAGTCAGCTGGACCAGAAGTGGATGCTGCTTGGGAGGCGTTGGGTGTGGGATGTGAGTAACACTACGTCTATTTTCTGTAATCCAGCGCTGAGCCTGTGTATAGTTCGAAGCGTCGTCATCCCAGAGAGCGAGGCCGAGCGGTCCGGGATACGACGCAATCAGGTCAAGATCAGCCAAGAATATGGCGGTGGGTTTCCGGCCAACGTTGAGGGGTTGCATCATTTGCACTGTCTGGTATGCCGCGAAGGGTAGCTTCGGTGATCTCTGGATGCTGACATTACGCAGGATCTTCTACGGAAGACCTTACACTGGAACTACGATTACTACCTGGCGAAAGGCAAAGGCCCATTCGTGAACTCCGAATACATCGTCCGGATCCACGCCACCCACTGCCTGGATATGCTGCGGCAGGCACTGATGTGCAACCCCGATGTTGGAGTGCTAGGTCAAGTATGGTGGCAGCCGGAAAGTGACCCACACCCCATGGCGTTTGTTGACTTCAATACGAAGCATCGGTGCCGTGACTACGAGGGCGTAAGAAGGTGGGCTGAAGCGCACCAGATGCCGCCTGAAAAAGATGTGGACATGAGTCGCTTCTATGAGCAACCGAAGCCTGAAGCAGTCTATCCTGCTATACCTTGAGGAGGCTCAGAACAAGACGTGAAAGCTGGATGGTGTTAGCTCGAAGCGTGGTATGATAGCAATGCATTGTTGCCCATTACCAGCTTCCATCTTGTTGACGCATGACGAAGCAACTGTCTGAGAGCCGTCCGGCATTGGCTGCGCGGATGGCTACGTGTTCCCCAGTGTCGAGTTTGTAAGGTGAGTCACGCTCAGTTCTGCCGAGGCTTCACCACTCCATCGTGCATAATGTAGTAGACGACGGTGCTGTCTGTGTCCACTGTGGCCAATACGACTCTCTTTGTTGTCCTCCAAGGGTTTGCCGGGGCCTTCTGCGCGGCAGCAGAAGTCTGAGGCGGGACCATGCTGATATCGTCAAAGACCTCAGCCAGTCTGCGCAGCGTCCATTGTTCGTTCAGCCTGGTCGGCAGTACCCATTCGAGCTCCGGCTGTGCCTTGACCTCCAGACCGCTCTTCTCGCCTGCTGCCTGCGCGGCTTTGCGCTGGCGGTCGGCGTTTTTCAGCAGCTCGACCTGCTCATCAGGGTGGACGTAGAGGCGCTGCGGCGGCAGACCTGTGACAAGCGGCCGTGAAAGAGGCTCCTTTGTGAGAGGCGAGTGTGTGTGCACCTTCAGGTCAGTCCAGTAGTGCTGGTACTGGAGATTGTGAAGGATCTGGAGGGCGAGCGAATGCAAACTGGGAAGGTGTGTGGAACTGGATAGCTTGGCCGAGTCTGCGACAAACATCTGCACCTGCGCTGGCGCGGGCGCAACTGCTGTTTTGGTGCTGGTGAGCGTCGTCATGGCGGAGGGGTTGGACTGCAGCGCTGGCAGGCAATTGGCGGTGCAATGTTTCGCAATCGTCGAAGCAGAGGTGAGGAGGCTGTCTAGCCGTCCAGCTCGGGAAGGAGCGAAGAACTGTGTAGATCCGCTAAGCCGCTAGACCACGAATACCGTCTTGACTGGTGAACAGCGCAGGTCAGGCAACAACGCTCTTGTGTCCAGATAACTTGCCTGTCTGCTCCAACAGACTACTCATATAACCACACTGTAGTTATATCCTTAAGTTGTACATTCAAGCCTCTGCAACTGCCTTGACCATGCGTTCGACTACCGTTAGCTCCACTCTGCTCCTATTGGCTGGCGCTGTTGTAGCGCAGCAGAGTGAGAGCGTAGTAACAGAGATCCCATCCTCGCTCATCCAGACGACTGAGCAGATCTTCACAATCCAGACATCAGTCCCGACGGGTACGACCTCAATTTGCTATGAAGTCTGCATCCAGGAGCCGTGCTACGCATGTGCGCAATCATACATCTCTTTGACTGTTCGAGGCTCAGTAGCTGACCATTGTAGGCTCTGCCAGTCCCAGCGATGATCCCGCCATGAGCTTGCCCGTCGAGACTCTGCCTGTTCCCAGCAGCATCAGTGACGGCGATATTTCCATGACTCTTCCAATCGAGTCTCTGCCGCCTGCTGGCTCTAACCCTACACCAACACCTTCAGTTACTGGCAGCATCCTCACGCACACTCTATTGCCCCCGATTCCGCAAACAACTGATCCACTCATGTCGATTCCCCAGGGAGAGACACCTGAGTCCACGGGCACACTCGCAAGCTCTTCTGCTTCGGGGAGCGCTTCGGCCAGTGCTTCCAGATCTGCGCCAGCTGAGCAGTCAACAGCAGCGGCACCTCCATCACTCAAGGGGGACAACACATCGTTCATGCTTGCTCTGGGTATTTCAGGCGTATCGGTCTTGTTCGGCGCTGCGTGGACTCTCCTCGAGATGTCGGGTCGCGCGAGCTAAGTTCATGTCTGTCTTTCTTGCGTCGCACAAAGGAACACTTTGTTGCGCAAGGCCCAGCGGCTGGGCCTGAATTTGAGCTCTTGGGCGTATTTTAGCATACGATTAAACGTATAAGTACACGGAAAGCGTAAAACAATCAGGCAGAATTCTGCCACATACATAGCAAATCAAGCAACGATAAGAATTTGAGGTTGAATACGCCCGAGGTACGAGATACGCGTAAAGTTGAATCTAATTTGCTGCGCCAACGGCTCTCGTGCGTGGGCCCTGGCCCTTGCTGGACTGCGCCACTGCTTCGATGGCTCCATCGCAGTTACCCCAGACGCCCAGCCAACTGCGTGGCCGCGACCACTGACATTGCACACAAGTAGCCGATCCCCAAACATGGTGTCGTCTCGCTATCCGCTACCCACCAAGGGCCCCATATCCACTCACCAATCTTGTTCATACACGCCTTTTATTATTCCCAGCAAGCAGGTCCGCCAAGGGGCCTCGCCAATTGAACCATCAGCCGTTGGCCAGGTTGGCTGACGACCCGGCGCGCAAGCAGGAGGCGCTTCAATTCACCCGAAATTACAAAAAGTGCAGTCGCCCGTAATTGTTGTTTACATATCAATCATGGCGTCTCCAAATTCACAGTCGACATCACCGGCAAATATCTCAACCCCCGTCCCTTTTCCGCAGCCTGAAGGCCTTCACGATAGCTCAAAGGGCAAACAACGCGCACGAACTTCGACCAATGCCTCATCAGCGTCAAGCAGAATACGGAGCGCGAGCGTAAAGCTCATGGAGGCGGACCCTCCGCCGGGCATGTGGGCTGCTACAGGCAGCGTTGCATCGAAGGCGCCTTCACTGGTAGACATTAGGAGAGGGTCATTTGGTTCTGAAGGCTGGGACGCGCAAAAACAGAAGGCACACCGTCGAGACAGTCATGAAAGCAGCGAACGGCCCGCCAACAACAGGAAGGGGTCGTCCGGCAAACTAGGCGTGGAGCCCTTCCCAGCACTAACAGAGGAGAGGCCATCATTCGAGACTCGCGAACGCGTGCCCAGCTACGACGGCCAAAACGATGCTAGGGAGGTTGGAACTGGCATTAAGCCTATGACATCACACTTGACTGATAAGAGTGAGGAAGCTGCAGTCCGCCAACCATTACGCAGCTCAGGCCAGGTACGTCAGCTCCTTCACATCGAACGCTGCCTATACTGACTTACTTGTGCACAGTATGCGAACAGATACATACCACCGCCCAAGCTGCCGTGGACGCAAGCCTTCGTTATCGGCTTGAAAGGGTTCTGGAAGTGGTTCCTGACCATTCCCGGGTTCTTGGTAACAGTGTACGGCCTCAATGTTGTCGCTTGGGGTGGCATGCTCTTCCTACTCCTCTGCAATGCTGCTCCCGCCATGTGCACACCTACTTGTGACGACATCAACTCTCCGCGGAGGATCTGGGTTGAGATTGACTCGCAAATTCTGAATGCGCTCTTCTGTGTCACTGGCTTCGGTCTTGCTCCGTGGAGATTTCGCGATCTATATTGGTGGGCACATTGGAGGCTTGGAGGTTCCCAAAAGAAGCTGGTCGGCATTCGACGACTTGCTGGCATACATCGAGGATGGTTTCGACTCCCCGGTTCTGAACGACTCCCTGAAGAAGCAGATGCCACAAAGGTCAACTCTGAGGACTCAGCCGTACCGATTCCGGCTAGCAAGATCCCCGACCCACCGCCAACTGGCTGTCGTGCATCACCGACCACCTTCTGGAAGATGGATTTTGTGCTGTGGATGAACGCCTCAAATACTTTCTTCCAGGTCGTGCTATGCTTCTACATGTGGCACTACGACCGCATCCAAAGACCGTCTTGGGCAACTGGGCTTTTCGTTGCTTTAGGTTGCATCGTGGCAGGAGTTGCAGGCATAATGATCGCCGTCGAGGGGAAGAGGATCAAGAAGGTGGAGGGCGTGCCTATGCGCAAGGAGGACCAAGACAGGCGGACAGATGAGGAAGCACAGAGTGCCCAAAATGTACCGCTTGTATCTTATTTTGGCGCTGCCTCGAAGGCATGATGAGCGCCCAGGCAGTTCGCATCTGCAGAGTGTACGGATAGCTACTCTGATTGGCTCGGGACAGTCCTTCCCTCGTCTTGGCGCAGACGTTGGGTCCTCTACCTTACGTCGCGTGTGGCGAGAATCTGGAAGTCTGTTGAGCCAGCACTGAGTGCAGAGATGAGATAAATTGGGATATTATCTATATATGAGCAGAAGGCTGCCTATCTATGGGCAGCAGAAACAAAGAGGCTTGGTCTGTCTTAGACAGCAAGACAACAAAGATACAATCTGATTAGACATGAGATCGAAGCTGCCTGAAACGAACAAAGTCCGGCATGTTGCAGCAACCATCGCTAAATTCAAGATGACTCCTCGAATATCTCCACAACCTTCTTCGCAATCGTAGTGACAATCCTTGTGTCAGCAACTATCTCTCTCCGTCATGGAAAGCGGAGACATCCGTCTGGTTTGAGGCGAGTCATGGACGATCGTCCTCGAGCCCAACCCTGCCGCCCTGCATGTTCACAGCACGCCAAGATCTCCGACCGAGGCTGACATGCGGCGGACGCTAAAACTATGATCTGTTGACAAGAATGACGTACAAAGTTACAAATCGACTCACAGCTGTGTGACGGCTGCACGAGAATGTTCATGAACTTGGCTTCGGGCCTAAAGCTGACTTGACACGCTTTAGCTCGTTGCTTCTTAATCTTTCTACGGACTCGGTGGCTCGAACCTTCCGACTCGATCTTGTCTTCCAAGACGTACATAGGAAAGCACAGCCTTGACCCCCTGTGGATCTCGCTGTAATCGACACTCCACTATTCCTACTTGACCTTTATACTCTGAGAGCAACAACTGTCACACCCAGAAATCTAATAAGCACCCATCAGTAAGCAAGATGGCTGCTGCCGAGTACTATCTAGGCAGCCAGGGAGCGCAACAGTACCACAGTCAGCAACCTCCAGCACAATCATGGCCACGACAGCAGTATAACACACCACCCTACGCCAACACGCCACTGCCTTCGTATTTGCCAGATGATCCCCAGCAACAAAAGCAACAGTTACAACCCTACCTTCCTTCACCTTCACCCCAACAGCAGCAGCAGTACCCTGGAAAAGGCTATCAAGGAGCAGCAGCACCATACTTCCCTCCTCCACCACAACAGACAAATGGATACCTAGGTCCGCCGCTACAGCACGTACGCAGCCACTCCCAGCCAGCTGCTCGAGTCCGATTTGCGGACCAAGAAGCAACTGCACTCAGCTCAGCAACCGAATCGGACAGCGACTCATCTCCACGGCGCAGACACCGCCATCGTCAAAGTCGCGATCGTACACGTGATTACGACCGTTCGAGAGACCTAGACTCTGACTACAGCGACCGAGACTACGATCGTCCTCGCGGGAACCGGATTAAAACTCACCAGAAGAAGCATGAGAACAGGGACACGTTCTTGGGCGCTGGCGCTGGAGGTATCATCGGCGATGCTATCTTCCCTGGTCTCGGCACCGCAGCAGGTCTCATTATTGGAGGACTTGGCGGTAGGAAATATGCAAAAGACAAGCGAAGCCATAGTGAAGAAGACCGTTCGCACCGACACCGAGACGCATACCGCGAAGGAAGAGACGAGGGTCGTGAGGACAGAGAGTACGGGAGACATAGACATCGCGGTGCGTACCGCGAGGGCAAGGAAGAGAGGAGAAGAGACAGAGCTAGAGACTCCGGTTACGGATATGACGAGCGAGACATCGAAAGTGGATATGGAAGAGATGAAGGGTACAACGCCTACGAAGAAGGTCACAAACAGCGCGGGAAGCACAGGAAGTATGGCCAGCAGGGCTGGGACGAAGGCAGTGCAACCTTCAAGAGCGGCACAGCTGTGCGATAGATGAGTCCGAGGCCTGCAGCCATTGACGACTTAATGAATGAATGTTTGTCATATCTTACCACATTGGTGATGGTTGTTCGTGATGCCCAAGACGCATGTTTCTCAAGCGATTCCATGGCGCTACTGACTAAGCTGGCTCGAGCTCTCCGCGACCTCTTCACGAGTCGAGCTTCAAAGCTCCTTCCTCCTTAATCTACAGATGAATGCCACAACGTTCATCAGCGCGCAAGAGGGGATCTTGCGCGTTTACTTGTTATAACTGTAAGTCACTTTCTAATCAATCTCCGCTCTCTCATATGATGTTAGAATGTTATTCATTCAGTTATCCCTGTCTGAAAACTACTGTTGAAAAAAGTAAAATCCTGATTTGCACCTTCGAATTTGTCGATTCATGTTCAAGACTTTGTTGGTCGTTTACTGATTCTTTGTAGATGTCTAGATCTCCTCAAGCGCCGTCGTTCGGGACCCGCCATTGCCAACGGCCAGCACGTTGCTCCTTCGTCGCGATTTATGTACATGGCGTGACAGCTACCTCGCGCGGCCCTCTGCGTTGAACCCAACGCCGCCTTTTCATGCGCTCCCCGCCATCTCTTATGTTGAATCCTCCGCAGTACCGTTCGCAGTGCCGTTCACCTGGTTGGGCTTAGGAGCATACAATGTGCCGTCGCTGGCATCACTAGACAGTCCGCCCTTTCCTGTGGGCACCCATCCTTGAGCTGGATTGAGGCCAGCGCCGACAAAGGCTTGCTCGAAATCGTGGATGATGTCGTCGATGTGCTTCAGGCGAGCGAGACGCGGATCAGGTATGGGGTGATGCCGCCCTTGATCTTCTCCTCGTCGGGGATCTGCTGATGTGTGGTGCGTCAGGGGTGGACGATGAGCGTCTTTGCGTGGCCTACGTTGGCGAGATGTGAGCACTAGAAAGATGTTAGTGATGTTTCGTTATTCAGGACAGGGAGACACGTACCAGCTTCAGGCTGTCGACGACAGCTGCAACCTCCTTGATGTTACCGGCAATGCAGAAGGTCAAGACACCACCCCATCCCTTGGGCAGTACTCGCTGAGCCAGCTCATAGTCCGAGTGCGATTCAAGTCCAGGGTAGTTGACCTAGTTCACACACTGATGCTTCTTGAGCCACCTGTCGAAGGGTTAGAGGAGCAATCAGCAGAGGACGATGTGATCAAAACCGACCTTGCCAGTGCCAGACTGTTGTAAACATGGCGTTCAGCACGCAGCGCCAATGTCCCAGACCTTGAACGAAGAGCCAGGCGTTGAAAGGACTTATACACGGTCCAAGGTCACGCATAGCGTCCATGCGAACCCTAGCTGAGAGAGGCTCGTACCCGTAGGTCTCCCAGAAACGCATGCCGTGGTCGCCATCGGCAGGCTCGTCCTGTTTCGTCTGTTAGCTTTAGGGTGCGCCTAGAGGAACATAAAACATACATGCAAAAGAGCTTTCCACTCACCGACTAGTCGAAGCGATAGCCATCAATTACAACAGCACCCATCGACGTTCCATGTCCACCAATCCACTTCGTAACGGACGAGGTAATAATATCAGCACCAATCTCAATAGGCTTGCACAGATATCCGCCCATTCCAAACGTATTATCAACAATCAGCCGAATCCCAGCATGATGACAAACCTCACTGATCGCCTTCAAATTTGGCACATTGAACTGCGGGTTGCCTATCGTTTCAACATAGACTGCTCTCGTCTTGTCATCAATCGCGTTCTTGATGTTCTGCGGATCCGAGCCCTCGACAAACTTGCAGGGGATGTTGACCTTGAAGTATACACGGAATTGGTTGAATGTTCTGCCGTACAAGTTCATCGTGCTGACAAAGTTGTGGCCTGGCTTGCAGATGCTCGTTATGGCCATGAATTGTGCTGAGTATTCGGATGCTGTGGCTACGGCACCGGCGCCGCCCTCGAGCATAGCCATGCGCTGCTCGAAAACTGCGGTGGTCGGGTTGCCCATCCTTGCGTACACGTATCCTTCTCCTTCTTCGACCATGCAAACTTCGACGTGCCGTCAGCGGCGTCAGTGAAGTTGTAGGAACATGTTTGGTAGAGAAGCAGGGCGCGGGATGCGTTGATTGGGTCTGGTTCTTGGGCGCTGTGGAGTGCGATAGTCTCGTACTCTGGCGCCTTAGTTACGTTGCCCAAGTGACCGGATACCATCGTGAAGATAGTTGGAGGATATCGCTGAAGAGAGACGAAGGGTAGAAGAGAGGAAAGGGGGGGAAGAGTTGGGGGCAGTATGAGTCTTGATGGATATCGAGTTGAGCAGAATACAGCTATATACTACGATATTTAAACCTCGATATCGGCAGCCACTCACGCCTAGAAGCCCTCTATCGCGTCTCACTGCAAGCGCGAGTGCCTCAATGGTCCATTACGACGTACGGTCTGCTTGCAATACTCACAGAAGAGCTTCAATAGCACTACAGACACGGTAACGTTATCAGCACCGCGGATAAACGAAGACTACCCGCCTGTTTCAAAAGACGGATGCATCCTTTCGACCAAGAAGTCGCAGCTTACAGCCCCAAGTGAATGGCTTGCAGCCGCCAATATCGGAACTACCAACGGCGGCCGATGAGATGCCGGTGCTACAAACTTCACCAATGACCCACTTCCCCACGGTCCGCACCTTGTATGACCCACAGCGGCTCCGGTATCACGCCGCAACCCTGCATTCTGAACATGGATCTGTTTCATAGCGGCAGTCGGGGGATTTAGGTAAGTTGTGTGGGGTCGGGCCGTTGGCGTTGCGGCAGGTAAGTTATGGTCACTGAAAGGAAATAACTTGTGGCATTTGACAAGATCAAGCAGGGCCTTCATCTCACAGTCAAGGACATGCAACAGCTGCGAACTCTCAACTTACCAGACTTGCCTGAAAACAAGATGTCACCACTGCCACTACAAGTGTGATTGCTAGTAGCTACACGACATCGACCGATCTCGTCAGCAAAGATAATCAATTTGCCGAATACCGTATGCATACTACCCCACACCAAACTTGAGACAAAATCGTACGCCTTGGACATGCCGAAACGATGCCGAACATCAATAGCGCAGGCGGCGCCGCGATGGTGGGCCGCTGCAGCCTTGCGTTGTCATGGCTCGAAAACTAGGTGAGATGGTGACTAGATTACGAGATGCTTGAGTATCAGTGCAGGATCCAGCTTAGAGCAATAACGACTGAAACTACTTCATTTGCTCGTCAACTCTTTCAAGGCCGCTGCTATTCTCCTTTCCTCATCTTAATCTACATACATCATGCCACATACCACATCCAACCCATGGTTCGTCCAGAAATTCGGCGGCACAAGCATTGGCAAAGTCCTGCCCAGCATCACATCTCGAAAAATCCCTTCTTACCTGCAAACACACAAGGTCGCTGTTGTATGCTCCGCACGCTCGAGCATTTCGAAATCAAAGGAAGGACGAGTCTCCTTCTAGATGCTGTTAGGCTTGCGACGTCTCAAGATGCGGAGGCTGAAGAATTGAGCGCTGTTGTTGATCTAATCGAGCGAGAACATTTGGATGCGGCGAGGCCGGCAATCGATGTCAATGATGAAGTATTAAAGGGTGTGCAGGGTGACAACAGGCAGGACCGTGAGCATCTGCGCGGCATATTGGAGGTGACCACAACGTTAGGTGAGATCTCAGACAGAACGATGGATAGGGTGCTTGCGGTTGGTGAGACGCTTTCGTGTCGAACCGTGCTGCCTCGTTGGAAAGTCAGGTCGTGTACCATCGGTGGTAGGTAGGTACCTTCGAGAACTTTCAAGTTGTTACAAGGCATTCCTGCAAAAGTTGTCATTCTTGACGATGTTGTGCAGCAAAGCTACAGTGGTGACCAGCGCAGCTTGTTGCAGATATACAAGGCTCAGCCGGCGGAGTTCTTGCGTGGCTTGACCGGTGCGATACAGGCGAAAATCAAAGCATGTGATGAAAAGGTCCCAGTTGTCACCGGTGAGTAAACTCCACAGTACTTAGATCTGACTACGACAGGGTTCTTTAGTGCCATGCCTGGTGACTTGATAGCGAGCGTCTCGCGTGGTTACTCAGATCTGTGTGCAGCACTCTGCGCTGTCGCCGTCGGTGCCGAGGAGCTGCAGATCTGGAAGGAAGTAGATGGTATCTTCACCGCCGACCCTCGCAAGATCAAAGCTGCAAGACTGTTGGTAACAGTTACGAGCGAAGAGGCAGCGGAGCAGACCTACTACAAGAGTGAAGTCATTCACCCACTTACCATTGAACAGATCAACGGTGCTGAGATACCGCTGAGGCTAAAGAACGTGATGAAACCGAAAGGTGGAGGTACGATCATCTACCTTTTACAACGGCCATCAACACCCTCGAGCGGAAGTGACAATCCAATAAGACCGCTCACACCAGTATCTAATACTCGAATGGCTGTCGCGAAAGCGAACTTCATGAATGCAAACGGTTATTACGGACCAAATCATTGTCGCCGCAGTCCTACAGCCGTAACCGTCAAGGGAGACATCGGCGTCCTTAATATTCAATCGCACGGTATTACGTCTTCCCAAAGATTTCTGTCAGGCGTCAGCAACATCCTGGAAACGTATTCCATCATAGCCGACTTGACTACCAGTAGTCAGCAGATGTTGAGTCTAGCTGTTTGTGCGCCAAAGGTCTTGATGCTGCAAGATGCCACTGCAAGTCTTGGTGGCTAGGACTAAGATAGCATTCGAAAATACTGGGTATGATCGTTACCATTATGATTCAAATATCTTCTGAATTTTGGAAGACTGCTCCGACTAGTCGTATGTACTGCTGACTGTTCAGCTACAAAGAAAGGTGTATTAGAAAGTGTTGCCTGAGTATACAGCGCGCCGGCCGCAGAATCGAAAGTAGCGAAATAAGGATGGTAGTCAAAAGACATTAGTGAGCGTCCGTTCACCTGCCTACATCGACGTCAAGCGATGCCTTCTGTGAATTCGTCGAAAAGTGTGATTGTTTCAAATCGGTCTGTTAGTGTGTTGATGCTACCAGCGACATTATCGTTTACTGTGGGCGCCACGACCCATCCTCCTCTACAGCGGTCGGTGTATTCTGCGCGCTGTAATGCTGCTGATTCGACATCTATGCGGATGGCTTCAGCACTCGTGATCGCACCCTTATCTGTTGCAATTGCCAGAATTGCTCGGATAGTCTCAATCATGTAGACGTAGGATGGCAGGAGTCTTTGACCCATGGAGATGCAGAAGGCCAGATAATTCTTCCTCTCCGCATCGGAGGTGTCGTTCAAGACAGCGTTCACGGTAAACACCATGGCACCGCTGAGCGCAAGATTCCAATATGCTGGTGCGTACTGGATGGCAAACATGAACAACATTCCTGTAACTGATGTCAGACCAAGAGTTAGCGGCTAAATGACTTGAGGTTCACCTTTGAGTTGCATGACTGACGCCGCGAAGATGGTTCTAGGCGATGAAGGCTGAGGTACATATGCCCGGAAGCCATGCTGCTGACCCTCTGCGATGTAGGGGCGGAAGACGTCCAGAACAACCATGTGAAGTGATGTACTAGGCACCGTCAGCACTCCTGTTTGCATGAAACTCTCGGCGACGCGTCAAGTGTGGCACTAGACAGTGCCAGGAAGATAATCCACACATTGACCCCATAACGAATAAGGCATCGACCGCAAGTGAATCTCATCGCAGTACTTTCAATGGCTTCAACGAAAGGCTGCGCTCTGGCTAGGTTTGATGTGGGGACAAGAGGAACTTACTGGAAGATAAGGACCCAGTGAGGTGACTTTTCTTGCCTAACCATTGACTTAGGCAGCGTATCGACCAGATCCAGGAGCTTGCGGTATTTCCCAAGAGCGAAAGCCAGCGACCTCGCCCCGATCTCGCTGTCCCGGTATATAAGAAAGATCTCGTTCGCGATGATCCAGAGCCTGCAAAAGATCGACTGAGCCTGCTGAACCTCTGCCAGGGCAGGGCTTATACTGACAGTGTCCCTTTCGTGGCTGCTTTCGAGTGCTTGGGAACTCCTCAGCTCCTCTGGCAACGGGATGGTAGGTGGATGTTCGATTGGCGGTACCACGTGAAACTGAGCCATCTGTCTGGACACAAAAGTCAACGACCGAATTCGAAGAATGAATCTTCTGGCGTTCGCTTACACAAGAAAATTGAACAGCCCCCAAGCAGTCTGACTAGTTGCCACAATAGTCTTCGGCGATCCAAACGTAGCTTGATCAGGCTTGCCAAACAAGTTCATTCTCTCAGCTGCCTCGTTCGCTGCTGTTAGGTATTTCGTGGCTCTTGGTACGTCTCCATGAACAGCGATCGAGGTGTAGAGAAGTGCTAAAGCTGCGATGTCCGGAAGGGTGTCGATCTTCCCTTCGGCGGCGAACAGCTTCTCGGCTTGCTGTTCGAATTGATAGCTATACTCTGCTGCCGCAGGATCTATCGATGAATAGCCTTGCTGGGCTAGATTAGTACCCGCCTCTAACAGATAGGTTCAGCTGCTTACCATCGCAAATGCGAGTAATGAGCTAACCATAAACGGCGAAGATGTCGATTCTGAGCCGACTCTACACTCCACAAGATCGATGATGAACTGTGATGCATCGAAGAAGCTCCATATTGGATGGTGGGTTTCGAGGTACAATGATATCGCAGACGCAGCACGGTCATTTGTAACAGGGACGGAGGTCCAGAAATCGATGTTCAGCTCCTCAAGCCGCGAATCGCAATACTCAGGGTGGTTTGATGGTTTGTCCGTGCTCTTAACATCTTCGGGTTGGGAGATGTGTGCGTGTGACGATTCACCACCGAGAAAAAGAGTGCTCACAGTGCCCTGTGCAACGACAGGAAGATCAACGGTGCAATACGCCTTGGGGTGTCGAACAAGTAATTCGAGTTCGCCGTCCGAATAAACGGCTGGCAGAATGGCTCTTGCTGTGTTTTGCTCTGACAGGATCGCGTGTGGTAGCTCTCCGCGGAGCGTCTTCAGCACGTCAGAGGGGTCGGTGCCCGCACCCAAGCGTTGCACGGTATCGTGAGCAACATGTTGTGTTCTGCCCTGGAGATGTTCGAAGATGTCCTGAAAGGCGACTAGTTTTTCTCGTAGTGCGATGTTCTCCCGTTTTAGGATGGTCGGGCGCATCTCCAGATCTTCCTCGTTCATGTAGACGCAGTGCCTGTCGCGCCTGTGGCAGGCTGCACACACGGGTCTCGACCCATCGCAGCCAATTCTCTTCTGGCGGCACTCATTGCAGGCGACAGAAACACGCTTCCTCTTGGAGTTGGGTCCGGACGGCGGAGGAGAACGTGGCCGCGTCGCCGGAAGGAGAGGTCGTAAAGAGTTGTTCATCGCAAAATGTCGAACTACAGCGCGCCAACGGGGCCGCCATTAAGAGGTGCTTGCTCGCTATCAGTTGGCTCGGGATTGTGTGCTAGTCAGTTCCGCTGCACCTGTGCCACATTGAAACTACTAACGGATTTCCTGTCGGCCAATAGTAGAAACCTATTGCGGGCGGTGTAATTCACGACATCATCCCGCAGAGTTGAGAAGGCGAAGTTGCTTTGTTTTCGCAGAAAGAACGGGGTGTGGAAGCAAACCCATTGGCTGCCACGCTGGCTGCCGAAGAACACCCCCACTTCCTTTGTCAAACGCAGCATCCTTCGCCGCAGCCTCACGTGGTGGCGGGTTCGCATTCGAAGAGACGCATCGATAGGATCCACAGACTGCGAAGCCAGCAATAAGCACGGACGGAGACAGCCGTAGGCCGTACTGTGCGAAAGTCCCTGCAGTCCAGGCTCTCGGTGTCGCTGCGGCACGAGAAGCGTCTATCTGGAAGGGCCCCTAGACTAGGCGATGATCGTGACAGGCAACATACCATAGGTATGCACTGAGTTCCTTTGTAGTATCACAGCATTTGTAATAATTCCATCAGTCGGAAGCAGTGAGACTGGTAGAACATGCTTACGTTTGCCACTTCTTATCTAAATTCCTATGTATGCCAGGCATGCTGAAGTCATCATTGCAGCGCCCTTCTTCCTTCGATCTCCAATGCGTGAGGAACGCCCCCTACGTCCACTCCTGCCAACCACTACGAGAAGAGAAGCGCCACCACCGCAGTCTCGGCGAAGAGATCGCGTAGCCTCTGCGTGTGAGGAGTGTAGGATTCGGAAAATAAAGTGTAACGGTGGGCGTATAGAGCCAGGGAACGAGGGCGTACGACCGGTTTGTTGGGAAGTTTGTAACAAGACACCGATCCAGACGAAGTATCAACACTGACATCATGTCAGTGTTTAAAGCGTTCCACTCTTTGTCACTACGCCGCGCATTTGACTGAGACACAAGGTAACCTCACAGCCTGTCTGCGAAGACGAGCTAACGAGGCTCTAAGGCCAAGCAGTCAAACGCAAACATGATGCCCTTCGAATACAGAATGAGGCATATGCTGAACTTTTTGCTCTCATCCAAACGCGCCCTGATAACGAGTCGCTCGAAATTCTCCGGCGTATCAAAATGGGTGCTGATGTTGAGAGTATCCTTCGTCATGTCAGAGATGGAGATCTGCTCGTGCAGTTGAGTGTAGAGCCAGAGACCAGGTTGAGGTACACTCTCCCATACATGGACTCGATGCCTGCGTTCCTGTTAGTTCCCGACAACCAATACCTTACCACTTCACTTTACGAAGCAACCTTCAAGCCGCCCAGCTCCTCGCCAGATACTATGACCCTCGGCGAACCGAGAACGAGCAAATGTATGGATCCCTACATGAAACCAAGTCAGCAGCGGAAGTAGTAGAACCTATACTTGATCGCGTCTACGCAAGATAATGGACTAACATCATTTCCGATGATGGCCTCTTTCGTCGCCTGATTACTATCTACCTTTCACACCAGCATACCACCTTCTTCTGGTTTAACAAGGAATTGTTCCTCGAAGACCTGGCCGCACGTCGCACGCAATTCTGCTCGTCTCTGCTAGTCAATGCTGTACTTGCTGCTGCTTGTGTAGGTCCTTACGCATGACATATTTCACCATACACTAACACCATCAGCAAGATTACAAGGGCATGCTTGATCTGGCTAAGTTCTGGATGCCTGATAATCTCCAACCCCGTTTCTTTCTTGAAGCTAAGTGCTTGTGGGAACTAGAAATGGGTGTCAGCCGTCTCACTTCGATCCATACCGCGCAAGTGCTGCACGGTATCTTGAACGGAAATGGTATGAGTACTGTACGGGACTTCTACACCTCAGAAGCTGTTGCCATGGCGCATAACTTGCGTATATTTGAGCTAGCGCCCGTCCAAATGAACCCTAGGCTTCGAAGAGGGCGAGAGTTCACTGCATGGGCGCTTTGGTTATGGCAAGTCGGTGTGGTACGTTCATGTTTGAATAGCACGATGCTTGTTGGGAGCTATTCTCCCACAACCTCCGCAGGTTGATCTTGTTTGTTTTGCTGATGGACTGCATAGAGCTATTACTACCGACGCGCACCTTTCATCAGAGACCCACCGGCATTCGCAGCACCAGATCCAGATGTCGATCCGGAATGGTATGGTGAAGTCTACGTCAGATACCCTCTGAGCCCAACCGTTACACGCATGCAGCTTGATCATGTGATGAGAGCAACGATCGATCTTCGAATCATTATGAACGATATATCATTGCTACAGTTCGCGTCTCACGAGCAGAAGGAATTATCTCCTGCGCAAGTACTCGAATTCAAGGTGAGACTGGACAGATTTCTGCAAAAGCTCCCCCCTACTCTCGCTCCTAGCAGGATCTCGCTTCCTTGTCATTTTAACGTCCAGTAAGTTGCTGCTCTTGAATCATATCGTACGCGTTCCTACAAACATTACCCTCCGCAACATGATGATATTCGCGAAAAGTAGCGGCATGGTATCAACAACCCGGTTCCAGGGCTTGTACTGTATGCCGAGGGCTGTGTTGTTCCTCGGAACTGACACGCTTCTGGTAGCATTGGTTGACTTCTTCTTAGCTCCGAATACTATATGACCATGCATAGCCTCTTCCGAGGTCAAGTGAACGCACAAAAGACTAGTTCAGCATCGCCACGACTTTTCGATGGAAAAGCAGCACTCCAGATACAAAACGAAGCCTACATTCGCTTCGAGACCATCATGCGTATCCGGTATTTACGGCACAGCTTCGACGCTTACGATGCTTGGGGTCTTTTGTACCTCATCTATCTTGGCAACCTTGCACTTGACTCACTTAGTAATGATGGTCACAACTCAGCGAGCGAACTGACCACCAAGGAAGTCACCTGTTCCACCGCTGTACTTTGCATCAACGGTCTCGTAGCACAGTCGCACTCTGTTTATGCAGGCACATTACTATCCTGTAGTATGATCGAGCGGCTCAAGCCAGCCGAGAAGGCCTTGCTTGGCCGCCATATATCCGCCGGTATTGGACAGGTTGACCATCCTTTTGATAGTGAGGCACGTAATCACAGAATCTTACAGCCGGCTCCGACTGACTAACGTGATACTGCAGTGGCCTATGCCTAACATCAAGGTTGAGCGCGACGAGGAGGCGTCGATGAATCACATTCTGAAAGACGTGCGCGAATTGTTGATCGTACAAAAGCATTTAACCAAGGGACTGTACCATCATCCTGAGAGCCGCATCTTTAGGAAACATCCTTTAAACAGCATTTAGATGACGTCGATGATCGATATACCCTAGACCTGATCCCAACCCCCGCATCGCCATAGACCATTGGAAACAAGATGGGACACGAAACCTTCGAGACAGCTGTTGGCGTCATTCAATTCAAACATTGAGGTTCTTGTAACGATCTTGGTTTCTGTCACACGTACGAACGACCACATTTTCTCAAGAGGCTTCATCTCACCAAAAGGGGCGCTTGCAAGCTAACTACAATACCATTGCTGTAGTAAGATTTCAGCATGGTCAACAATAGCCTTCACACACTCATCATCCAATTCTCAGGCCACCAAGTCGTTGAATGCGACCCTTCTTTTGACGTATCGCTGATGCGACAGATTTCAATCAAGCTATCTACCGGATTCCCGTTCCAGTTGTGTCACTGAACCAAACTCTTAGTTCGAGGTACACAACCCCACAATCTATGTACCACAAGCACACCCACATCCCCGTCATTGCACCCTGCATACACCAGCAAAGCAGGGTTTCCTGCAACTCTCTTGCCCTGCGTTGAGGACACTTGGCTCGCGCCACACTCGAGTGGCTGCATTATAGCCATCAAGTCATGATGTTTGCAATGGTCAAGAGATGGGATGGGACGTTCATAATCACGATGGAACGCGATAGAGCAGCCGCTACGTTCATCGCAACATCCACCATACCTGTTTGGTAGCACCGTCATGGTGCCCGAGCGTCATTGACTTAGTTGTGTCTACTTCAACGACAAGCCATTGTAGCACCCAGTTGGACATCAAACGCTCGCCAGCTACGCAAGCCGCCTCTTGAACGCGAACACACGCTCTGGTTCGCTGCAACGATGAGATTCATACCTTCTGATGACCAAAGCTATACCGCGACCATGCAAGTCCTTCCCTCGCAACTTCCTCGGACGCAAAGCAAGGGTCCACACGTCACTTCCACTGTTTGCAACCCCTCACCTTCAGCTTCCACACAAGCACCGGTGCGCTTTCCATCATGATGCAGAACACTTGCTTAAAGAGTCAAGCCGGAATTACAAGTTTGTTTGTCCACTCTTCTGATTCTTCTCTTCTCACCTACAACCCAACTCCAGCGTTACCGATCAAGTAGCTTTCACGCTCAACTACACCCCAAACAGCTTTTCACTTTCAACAGACTAAGCGAACGCCAATAATTCCGCACCATGAAGCTCAGCGCTCTGATCCTTGCTGCTCTGTCAGCTGTCACAACGGCGCAGTACTACGACGTGCCGTCTGCAGGGTTCCGTCTCATCATCAGGTCTAGCAACTCCACTCTCAATGGGTAAGAGTATTCCATCCTCTTCTTGTATCCAAAACTGACGCTATGATCATAGCACTGCCCTCGGAGCCTGCCACCAGGGAGCCGCTATTGAAGGCCTCTGCCCTACCGGCGAGACTGTCCAAGTTCCACCGAGCTCATACACCACCTTCTACCACAATGTCAGCTCCGCCGCCAACGAGAGCGCTGGTGCTGCCAACGCCGAAGGTGTCCTCAGCTGGATCCTCCGGGCTGGCGGCAACCTCACTGTTCCGTCCGCAATGAGTCTACCACCCGGAGACCTTACGTCGAACGTCATCAACCCTACCTTCTTCCCTGGCGTGGATCGTTACAACCCCGTTGCTTTCGAGGAGGATGGCTGCCTCTACATTCAGACAGCACTGGACGACACTGTCAGCCCGCCAAGCTACTATAACCCCAATCTAAAGGTCAAGAACTGGTACATCTGCCTCACCAGGTGGTCGTACTTGTACCAGACGCTGTCGTGGAAGGTCGGTGTTACAGGCTCGCCCCAGAACCCTTCATGCCAGAAGGTAGATGTCATCCGTGTCTTCAACTGAGGACCTTCCTTGTGCGACCTAGGCTAGACATAGGGCAATGGTGCCGGCGCAGGATTGAGGGAGCATGAGTCTTCCTGCTCGATGGCCGTGATGTTGGGATATGAGCCGTTGAGAAGCGGCTGCCTATGGGCAGGGAAATAACGGTTGAGCTTATCAAGGAGGAACTACGGTTCATAAGGTAACTACATTTGTTACTGTGTTTACTAGTTGATAGCCCTGACAGAGGAACTCCTGTTCCTCACTCATACAATACACTCTTTCATCATAACATGAGCAACGCTCGGTGTACTCTATTGTTATTGCTTGCATGCTAAGAAAAGCCTTTCTTCAATGCAGCGGATGCCTCTCGCACTCACACACTCATTATTTTGACGACTGTGATGTCCATCTAAGTGTTCTTCAGCATCTACAACATGATCTAAAGGGTATCACCATCCTCTAAAACAACAGATCCGGATACTCGCCTAGGGCACCATTCTTGCCACCATCGAAGAAGCTGTGCATGTCATCCATCTCAGCAAACTTCCCTGCAATCTTCAGCCCTCTCAGCCTCTCAGCCTCGATTATGTCCCAGTTCCACCCGGTTCCTTCTACTGGCTTCGGAAGTACGCCGTTTGCATGCCCATTCGCTTCGCCATTCGCTTCGCCATTCGCTTCGCCGTTCGCTTCACCACCCCGCCAGACCCAACCATCAGGCTTGACGGGTATCATATCCGCATCAATCAGTGCCTGCTCCGGCGGCACCGTAATCCTCCCCCTCTTAATGACATACTTTGCGATCCCCGTCGCATACACACTCTTAAGCAGTTCCTCCTCACTAACATCCTTACCCGGTCTCCTCGTCTTCCTCCACGGCTGCAGCGTCCAGCTCTCCGGCTTGCCAACACCAGGTTTCACCAGATGCGTAATCAGGTAGAACCACTTCCTATCCCAACACAGCAATCGTGTCCACATCTCGTATTTCTTATACGGTAATATCTCTTTCTTAAAATTACAGCATATGCCCCCCAAAGCTATGATGTGGCCCCCCCGGGTGCCCTCTGTTGCGCCGATTGCGCCATTTAGCTGGGACTTTTTCGCGCCGTAGAGACGCGAGTTCTTTTTGATCCCGTTACGGATTATCGCTGTGAAGAGGTGCGTGCGCGATATGTCCATGTCGGAGAAGTAGGTGCTGTTGGATTTGTGCAGGTTGTAGTCTGTCTCGAGGAGTGAGGTGTGGGTCGATGTTATGACGGGTTGGAAGAGCGCGTGGGGAGGGATGGGCGTTGGTTGGAAGTAGATGTGGTAGATCATGGCGCGGAAGATGCGTATCTGGGAGTTGTTAGGTGTTTTGATCTTGTCCAGAGGGAGGTGAGGAACGGGGTGACGTACGTGCCAAACGAACGGAAGGTTTTTGAGGTTCGCAAGCGCCAAAAGGATCGCAGCGATCCGCCATAATCCTCCTGGTGCGCCATATCCCGTAGCCCGGACGAGCGCAAGGAGACTGTTCTTGCAGTACGCGGGATCTGTCGCGACCGCTGCTATCGAGGCTCCAGCAACAATGATGCTCAAAGCGTGTGCCATTATGACCATGCTGTGGCGCGTGATGAGCCACAATATTTACAAGGGAAGTGAAGGAAATGTCAGACGTTATAAGGACAGGCGCGAGAAAGCTGTAAGGACTGATGGTGTTGGCACGAGATGGGATTCTGGGTTTTGTCACGATTGCGATATCAATGCGAGCCGAGGCACTTTCTGCTTTGGGTCTGGACTGGATGGATCCGAAACAGAGAGCGAAGACCTTCGCAAGCATCTCTGCTTATGTTGGCTTTATTACATTGTGATTAGTAGCCCCTATCCAAATCAAGTCGGACCACATGTCAGAAGCTGGCTCTCGCCGAGAGATTGCCAAATGTGAATGAATGTTGGGCCGTTCGACCCCGAGAAGCCGTGGTTATCATTATTGATACTTCGAGTCCGCTATGCAATGCACTTCTGGGTATCTATCACACTATGCTGCCAATCACCTGTTGAGCTCGAAATTCTACTTCTTCTTGCCCTTCGTCTTGTCGACAACTTCCACCCAATTCTTGTTCACACCTCGCTTCTCAAGCGCCTTTAGGATGGCGTCCTTTTGCGGGCCTTGGACCAGGACCTCCATCACTGGAGCCTTCGGACTTGACCCTTGCAGCTTATCGACACTGGTGCTGCCAGCACAGGTCTTTCTCAGTTCGTCAGCAAGCGGCTGCGGCGCGATATAGAATGGCTCCAAGCCGTGGGCCTTGGTTACTGTCTTGTTACCACTTCGTGTCTCGAGCGTGATCTGAATCTTAGGTGGTGCGCCAGCTTTGGGCTTCGCATCGGCAACGTTGGCGTCGTTGCGAATGATTGCGTGAAAAGGTGCAGCAGCAGCGACCATGCGTTCTGCAAGTGCATCGCGAGTGATGGTCCCCGTGGACAGCGCCGCGTTGTCTGCGGCTGAGGAACCTAGCAGCGCATCCGCAAGTTGTGGGTTGATGTTGATGAGTCGTCTGTTGTTCGCGTTCACAAGGTTCTCTGACTCAACGTATGCGATGAGGCACTGCTTGAGCTCATGAGGAGTGTACAGACCGCGAGGGTCAGCTTTAGACGCGTGGAATATGGGGGCTAGCTTCTCCTTTGGTCGCAGCAGCGAGACGACCTTCAACTTCTGGCCCACGGACGACTCCGCAGCCAAGGGTGCGGCTGGCCTGCCATTTGCGCTTGCCCCTGTAGGCGCGTCCTTCTTCGGCAACCGGTAGGGCATAAATGCTTCGATCTGGCGGTCCTTGAAGTCGATATCCAGTATGACGACCTCGTTGCCGTCTCGATCTTTGCTCTTGATGACCTTCTGCTTGTCTAGGTACTTGATGAACTTCTTGATGTTCTTCCAACTCGACTTCTTAATCTGCAGCGATGCAGTTCGTGCGGGTGTGTAGGTAGGAAGGAAGGGTTGGACGAGCAGAGCCATAACAGCTGATTGAGAGAGTGGAAAGTCGAGACCGAAATTTGGTTGACTTCTGTTCTGGTCCATGTGATGCCGTACACCGTAGAAGAACGCGTTCTTGAACGCGTCGTCGATTTCTGGTCGCAGTCAGTATTTGCGGTCCCCCTTCCAGAGATGTGATACTTGCCTTTGGTGGTAAGCTCCTTGTCTTCGACGACTTCGACAAAGTCCTTATTGCTCGGTGCATCTTCGCCCTCCACTCCTTGCGCTTGCTCGGCCTTCGATCGCTCAGTTGGATCAGCATCGAGTGTAACACCGCCGCCATTATCGTCAAGGTCTACGGCTGCTGTCCGCTCAACAAGGCTTGCGTCCTCCTCTTCCCGATCGTCCCAGGCCTCGATCAGAGCCGGCGGATCGCGGCCTGGTTTGTTGCCAGTGCTCCACGACCACAGCTCGTCCCCTGCCCAGTGGAAGGTTTCCACGGCATGTCCTTTCATCCCTTGGGTGCTTCCCAATGAGCTAACATCGATCACACATGTGCCAACAGCCATGGGTACGGTGGGTGCTTCGAGACTAGCAATGGCGACAACGGCGCCCATGGTGGCCTTCTTGGGGAACGGTGGCCCTCGTTGCAGGCCGGGTGTCATGAGGTCTGCACCGCCCTGGAGCTTCTCGACGACGTATAGTGGGGTGTAAAGGAGCGGTACGATCTTAGGGTTGTGCCAGAGCGTGTACACTGTCACATGTTAGCAAAGCAGATCGCAGGAGTATGCTGGAGCTTCTGCTTACCTGTAGGGTACATCTGCTCCCCAACCTTGACCCATAGTATCCTCTGCTCATCCCCTGTGCCTTCATGACTGCCAACGTATATCGTGCCGGACACCTGCTTGAGGTCTGGCCCTGCTGTTGTTGTGAAGCGTGCGGAGAGTGCGCTCTCAGGCAGGATCGACTTTCGTAAAGCGGTCAGGCCCGCTGTCGAGGCTGCCTTGTCTTCTGGGTCTGCATTTGGATCTACAGGAACCTCGATACCGAAATCTGAGATGATCTGGTCTGCTGTTCGACGGCGGTCGCTCGACTTGAGCGGCGAAAGGGGCTTGATCTGGGGACTGTTAGCTTCCAAGCCAGGCGCATTAGACTTGCACCCACATTTGGCTTCTTTTTGAACATGATGTGAGTATCCCCAAAGGGAATGAGAGTTGTAATGTGGGTTGCGTTTCGTGAGAAGCTATTCAGCGTGTTGATGCTCATTATTTGCTGCCACGCGCGGGGCTATGACGTGGGGCAGGCGCGTTTACATAGCGCGCTAGCCTGCAGGTACCTTTTCACGGTCGTGAATGAGTCGATTTCACTCATCTTGAAGACTGGCTGTATGTAGCTTCAACTTGGATAAAAAAAACAAATGGGGAGATATTCTTCGCCTCAGAAACTGTCTACATGCCCGCTAGAACGTAATACATGGCGCACGTGACACAACACGTTATGAGGCAGAACGTTCAGCAGCGTCGCATTGAACGATCCAAGGTGTTGCTCACGTATTGTGGCTTCCATCACCCTGGCTCGTCGGTCCGAGTTCATCTATCGACCTTCAAAGCCATCCAGACTTCATAAGACATTTTTACTAGAAAGAGCCAATCCAGCACATCCCCCGGATTCCAGCTCGATGGCTAGGCCGCTCCGACTGCCGCAGCCTGGGGCTGCACTCTTCCTTTCGGCTTCGCCTCATGCAGCCCGGTGAGCGCGCCGCGCCAACCGTTTTCTGGTCGATCAGCTTATGGCTCGGTCGGTTTCTCGATCATCAGCCATCAGCGTCAAACAACACGAGCACTGCGCCTGTGTGCCCTCACACATGTTCGTGTTCATTGACTGCGACTGCAAGCACAACACGATGAGGCACCCTCTGCACGACTGCGAAACCCTTTTTCCGTCAACGCAGAGCTCGATGCGTCGTCATCGAGCAAACCATGCTCTTTGGTAGCGAATCGAAGGATGCAAAACGCCTCTCGTACGCGGCAAATCGCTGCAAGCCTTTGCGCAGTTTGAATCCTGCTTTGCCGAACATGAGCAAATCCTGATCAATTTGCGTGTCAAGCCCCGTCTGCCGTTAAGTCCGTGGCGGCAGGCCAACTCTTTTCGATGACGCTATCGCTCTTTTCAGCAAAGTGTCATCGCTCGCCAGGTCCGCGCGTGAAGCCTCTGCCCACGTCCTCCACATCGGTCATGGCATTGCGGAGAAATGGCGGAGGGCCACGAGAACGCCCGCGTCGCTCGTTCGTCTTCTCTCTTACCTCCCGCGCTCACCCATCAGCCCCCACTTCCTCCTCAGCTTCTCTCATCTGCCATGGTGAGATTGTTTGACGGTTTACACCGACCGAGTTTGCGAGTGAATCACTCGTACCGCCTCTCGGCATCTCACGCAACAACCGGAACCTCGAAAAATCTGCCTCCGCCATGAGTCCGCTTCCGGATCTTACAAAACGCTGGGTTCAGGGGGAAGTGGTCCCCAAACCCATGAACCCCGGCGAATTGGTCCTCGAAGCATGGGCAATGGGCTACCTTGTGGGGTCGCTCGTCATTATGAGCTTCACCACTCTTGCGAACATGCGAAGAGGTGTACTATTGCACAAAGTGAGTACTAAACATTCTATTGTTGCGATCCAATGCTGACTCGATCTAGTTAATTTTACTTGAAGTGGGTCTCCATATTGATGCACATGAGGCCTCCAGCTAACGTGATCAACAGCTCATCATGGGTCTTTGGCAAGGCTTCTACCTCTTCTTCAACAGCCCTGTTCATGCATGGTGGCTGTCTGTATCAGCTATCTTTCTGAACGCGTCTTGGTCACTCCACAACGTCATCGCCTGGATGAAGATCAAACCGTTCCTCTCGAGACCAGTCAGCTATGTCTTCATCGGGACCATCATCCTGGTACAACCCTACTGGATAGCCGAGATCTATGCCAACTTTGCTTACTTCCATGGCGTCAACACCATCTTTCTGAGAACAAGGCCTTGGGAAGCATTGTGTCGGGACCCTTGGTGGATCATCACCACCGTCTACCTGTTTTGGATCATCAAGACGCAGTACGAAATGGGCCTAAAGGAGATTCTCCGCATCTCACCACGATTTGCTATCATGCTGCTGGCCATGATCATGTCAATGGTATTCATACTTCTCGACATTCTCTGCGTCACTGGTGCCATTCGTTTTGTAGGACTGGCAACCGGTATCAATCCCTTCTGGAAACTCGCGTTCGTCTTCAAGTGCTTGACGGACTCAGTAGTGCTGGACGACTTCAAGATGGCCCTGGACCGCCTGCGAGCCTTCAAGATCAGTAGATTGGGCAGCTTCTCAGGCGATATGAGTGACAGCCGCAACAGGAACAACGGAGAGCTTGTAGCTACCTGGGAAGAGATGGAAAGAGAAGCGAACGCACTCCAGCAGGTCCGAAGTCCAGATGGCGACTACATCCACTCCAGCAACTTTCCATTCAAGCCAAAGAGGCATCGCAAACCAAGAGATTCAATTTTCTCTAACGATCCCATCGACTCAAATGCTGGCATGGCTCCAGAAGACATCGTGCCCAGTGCATTGGACGATACTCCAATGCGAACATTGGAGCTTGCACATACCGATAACAGGAAGCCGCAACACCACTTCATGGATGATCTGGACAGTCGAACGCGTGGCATGACTGCAGAAGCAGATTACGCCGCGGCATTGCGAGAGGTCCAACGTAACAGCCGGACTTCTGTGCCATCCAGCAGCAACTCTTCTGGACGAGCTGCACCGACTACACCAAAACAAAGCTGAGAGGGGCTCTCACAATTGACGATTTAGCGATTGCATGGTTGGCGTTCTGATCAAAACACCGAACTTCGGTTTGCTTTAGTTCTATATACCCCTATGGCACTGCTCAACTCTTATGGCATACTCCATCAGTACTAGCACATATATACTTACAGTAATTTCAACGAGCCAGAGGCATTCGCATCTTCTTGGCGTCTTCCACCCACATCCATCACCGCACCCTAGAATAACTTTTCCCTATACGCTGTTTGTTCGGAGCGCCTCACGGAAATGTCCCTGTTATCTTGGCTGTGGCTTCAGAGGTGCAGTTTGGCATCCTGAAACGCGTGCACCCATGCGACGATCGTTCCTCGCCCCGTTTGTTTCTATCTCTCTGAAACAAAATCCGCGGTTGCCGCCGTTGGAACCGGTGATCAGAATCACACCCATTGGGTTCACCTTTCCACGATATACTGACATGCTTGTAGCGCGTTTCGAACTTCGCATGTCACTTACCTGACAGAGAACATGCCAAGAGGCAACGCGTCACCAATAAGGGCAGTCGTCTGCGATAACCGCATACCGGCTTGGCGAGCGGCTAGATGTTGGAGGAGAAGATGTCTTGCAGGTACATAAGCTCGCGCTGTTATAGCTTGGTATAGACATCTCGCTTTTGGTCTTCGCTTCATCACATTCGTTCTGAACTTTTTGCCTGCGAGTCACTCTTTGTCAGTCTTTCCTTTCGACGAAGGCTTCATCATGCTTTCGAAGTCTCTCATCCTTTCCCTGTTCGCCTCCAGCGTAGCGGCTGCCGGTGTAACAGGCACCCCCTTTGGCTTTGGTGCGGCTACCACTGGTGGTGGTGATGCCGAACCAGTGTACCCTACCACTACCGAGGAGCTCACCAGCTACCTTACCGACGACGAAGCGCGCGTCATTATTTTAAACCAAGAGTTCAACTTCATTGGTACCGAAGGCGAGACGACCGAGGACGGCTGCCGCCCTGACTCCAACACCTGCCCTGACGACGGCGGTCAGGATGCTATCAACGGCGCAGACTGGGTAAGCATTGTCCCCTACAAGTTCATGCATCAATCTAACATCACACAGTGCACCAACTCTGACTACCCCACTGTCTCTGTGACCTACGACAAGGCAGCCATCACCCCTATCAACGTCAACTCCAACAAGTCCATCGTCGGCGAAGGCACTAAGGGCGTGATCCGTGGCAAAGGCCTCCGCTTCGCCGGCTCCGAAAACATCATCGTGCAAAACATCCACATCACCGAACTCAACCCGCAGTACATCTGGGGCGGTGACGCCATCACGCTCGCCGGCACCGACTTGATCTGGATCGATCACGTGAAGACCTCGCTCGTCGGTCGTCAGCACATCGTTGCCGGCTACGACCCCAGCAACCGCGTGACTATCTCCAACACCGAGATTGATGGAAACACTAGCTGGTCTGCTAGCTGCGATAACCACCACTACTGGGCTCTCCTACTCATTGGAAGCGGTGATACGATTACGTTCCAGGGTAACTACATCCACCACACATCTGGCCGCAGTCCTAAGGTCGGCGGCACGGATAGTGGCACTCTTCTTCACGCGGTCAACAACTACTTCTACGATAACACCGGCCACGCTTTCTCCATTACAGCTGATGAGAACGGCCGCGTTCTTGCTGAGGGCAATGTTTTCGAGTCTGTTACCAAGCCCATCGAGGATGGCGTTGATCTCTTGTATGCGGTTACCGACGACGGTGCGGCGTGCAGCAGCCCGCTTGGCCGCACTTGCCAAGTCAACCAGTTGACTAGCAGTGGTGACTGGAGTGGTAGTGCAACGGATTTCTTGAGCAGCTTTGCGGATGAGGGTGTTGAGGCTGAGGTGGCAAGTGGGGTTGCGGCGAGTGTTAAGAGCAATGCTGGTGTTGGCAAATTGTAAGGCTGTATCTCTACGGTTAGTTCAGGAAGGCGAAGGGTGAACTTTCATCAAGAGCCTCGGTCGATCCGATTGAGAGTTAGCTACATTTTACCGTCCTAGTTTCTTCCACAGCATCTGCACACAGTAGATAGACCAACCATCAACATACATGTTTCGAAGCCTCAGTAGTGTACGTGCGTGCGACACTAGCGCAAAGGAGGCTAGGGGTAGTCAATTCGCCATTAAGTTTGTTGTCATATGGCAGACATCTGGCATCAAAAGCTGCAAAGTCACTTGCGCCAGCTGCGGGAAGAATGATACTGCCATTCAACACCATCCCAATTTCGCCTCTAATTCAACCCTGTATCGTGAACAAGGCAACTTACGCTGGACGACTTTCGTCAACATAATCGACATCCCTTCACGTCTCTTCGTAGTCTTGACACGTGCAACCATGCGGTGCAAGTCGTCGATGGTCTGTTCTGCGATGGCAGCACTGTAGCAACTTAAGGAGAATATCGCGATGCATTACGCACTCATTTGGCTCAAAGCTCGACCCTGCCTTAGATGACGGAGAGAGTCCTTCACAAGGACTTGGAAACTTTCGTTGGCTCCCTGTCACTACTAACGCACGTTCGTATATCCTCGAGACAATATCCAATCATCATCCTTTACAATAGTCTACGCAGCTCTCTGTCCAAACATTGAAAAGCGCATCTGAGAGCGGGACTACTTCTTTGCACTAGCAGCGACCTTGCCACCAGCATTCTTATCACCAGCCGACTGCGCCCTTGCAGCAAACGATCCCTGACCAGTATTGTTTCCACCCTTAGCCTACATCAAGTCAGTCACCTGTCGACCACAACTACAACTTCTTCCAATCAACTCACCTGCGAGCTCTGGATCCTGGATGAATCACTCTTACTCATACTGGATTTGCTGCCACCCTGCTGGTTCTGGTTCTGAGTACCGTTACCCATGGTGAAGCTGGAAGCTTTGGAGTTGAGGTTAGAAGATGGAAGTGTGGTTTGGTGAGACTGTGAGGATGTGTTGTTAAAGATGCTGAACAACTCTGGAGCTTTTGGGTTCATCGACTGCTGTGGTGTGGAAGGAGGGATGGGGTCGAGTTATTGTACGCTCTAAGGTTTGCTAGGTCTTGTGTGCGTGATGGCGGTTGGTCACGATTCGTGGCACGCAATAGATTGTGTGGTACTTGTGGGTGGTTATCACGCTTGAATTGTCTATTGCTTCATTCATGGCAACCTTAAATGTTCGCAGATTGTATTTGGACGGCTTCAACTATACCTAGGTAGGAGCACGCAGCAGAGTTGTCAACAATCAAGCAATAGGCAGATTGATTGCTGGATCAGGTCTGACACGGACCTTTCTGTGGTCTTTTGACGCTTAGTTGGGCAATCAATCTGTGAATTGCTTGATTGTTGACAACTCTGGCACGCAGTGTATATCTCATGAGGCTTAATTGATGACGTGAGTAGATAGTAGACAGCAATAGCAGTTGAAACAGCTCAAGTTCTTTCACTGTTTATGTTGAAATAAGGGATAAGCATCAAGCACTTTTGCGGGAGTCGAAGAGGGAGATGACATCGTTGAGGGTTAACCGCTTTAGGTTTGGTTTGGTGCGCTTCGCCTCCTGCAGGCTCAGCCTTCCACGACCAGCCAGCCCATGGCCGGTCACCAAATGTACACGATCAGGCGCATCAAGCGCTGAGCCTTCCGGCACTACAGCCATGTGCAATGATTCACCTTGATTCGGGCTAACCCCAGATGGGCCGATAAGCAATGCCCTTGTTTTGCTGTTCAGATGCAGGCGAGAGCTCCGGCAGTGTCTTATCGAGACTACCATAGTTCACCTTCACTTGTCACGCCAGGCTCAACTTTGCGCGGGGGTATCGGCGGAGACGTCTACTGTTATACAACATTCGTGAGCCTGCCCTCTCGTCCAGCACGGCTCATTTCCACCTTTCAAGAAAGACTTCAACTCATAACTCGCGCGAACGTGTGAAACAACCCTTACGTTACGCAATGGCTGCGACCTCCGGTAATACTGGTTCTGGAGACCCGGACATGGTACTGATCGGAGAACTCATGGAGGAGATGTCCCGACACCCACCCGCCATTGGAGCCAGGAAGCTTCTTGTCGAGCATTACATCTCTGTTGGGTGGGTCGAGGCTGCTCTTGACAATACGAAAGAGCTCAAAAATCTGGCGCCAGGGGATGTCGATGTTGGAAGGTTTCTACAGGTGCTTGAGAAGAAGCCTGAGCCACCCGTGCCAGAAAGGACGACACTACCACCGCCGCCGAAGTACCCTACAGAGAAACCCGTCGAAAGGCTAGTGTGGGACCCCAAGTCAGGCCGATACAAGAAGACAACGGCACCGAAGCCAGCTGAGAAGAAACTAGAAACCTCTGTTGTTGACGTTGGCGACAATCTTGATGCAGCACGGCAGGATCTTGTCACAGGGTATCAAGCACTCCGAGCCAAAGCAGGTTTCATCCTTACCGATTTGATGCACCTTCAGGCTTTGCAAAAGAAGGCAAACATCAGTCCCTCGAAGAATACTGTCAAAGTCCAGCGGATTGTGGATGGTCAAGTGAACACGTCGACACAGCTATGTACCCCTCGCACCACAGCGCGCGCTATGCGAGACAGCCCAAAGGATGCTATGAGCATTGCTATCGCAGATATGGAAGAAGCGGTAAGGTGGCACAAAAAATTTCTTGGTCATACACCGGGTGCAAGCACCGACGCGCTCCGAGACGCACTCGTCAAGCGGAAGGTCGCATTGGAGGTCGCGTTACCAGACAACCTCAAACCCTACTGCGAAGTTGCGCTTATGCACATGGAACATGAGCAATTCGATCGCAACTACGCCAATACCGAGACGATGTACGGTGACGAAGTTAAGGATATACCGCGCTCAAACTTCTACGTCACTGAGGACAACTACGCATGGGATATGGATGAGCTTGTAGCTGCCATCAAGGCTGGCAGTGGAGTACTGCGCAATCCGTTGAGCAAACAGATGTTCACTCCAAAGGATGTGAAAGGCATCTATATGCATTCACTGGCCAATTCGCTCGCCGCCCTTGCAGTTGAGCAGAAGGAAATGTCTAAAGGAGTTCGCCCTGAAACAATTAATCGAATGGAGAAGCTGTCGAGCATACTCCTAGAGGACCAGTCTGCTGACACCATGCCGAGCCGCCACGCAGTGGACGAATTTCTTGCATATGTTGCAACTTGTACATACACTTCAAATTACCAGTTCGAGAAATGCACTGACACCTCAACAGTACCTGAACGAGAACAGAAAGCCATCGATGGTCTCAAGTGTCCCGCGAAGGACAGCCACACTGGTCAGGCCTATGACTCGAGCATCGGTGAGGCGGTGCGCGATGCCAAAGGCAACCGAGTATGCTTTCACAAGACGGGCGATTTCATCGGACAGGCTGCTGCGCATTTACGGCAGCAAAAAGGTGTCGTGGCTGATTCGGAAAAGTGTGGTATCATGTGAAAGCTGAGAGTAGTCATACACCTCTTATTCGCCGGGGATCAAGATGTCAACTCAGCTAAGCATAGAGTGTGGTACCAGCAGATGCAAATGGATAGGCTTCCTTGGATGGATCATACCTTGGCGGTTGCTCGGCGCCTGTGGCTCTTGCAGAACAGCCCGTCAAATGACATGATAACAGGATCTTCGCACAGCAGACTACAAGGCAGTACCCACTGTGAACACCTATGTATATCCATGTTCATTTCCCAAAATGGCTCAGCTATCATGGCATCGCATCTCTACATATCTACATAGCCTTGTTGCTTACCGCTGTCTAGTGCGTGTATGGCATTCACGATCGCTGTCCCTCTAGCCGCTTTCGGTTCTCGGTCAAGCCACAACTGTATGAGCCTCTCCAGCTCAGCCTTATGCGCAGTACAGTCAAGCACTTCCGAGTCTACTTTCCGCCTTACCGGCCTGGTAGGCTCACCTGGGGTACAACATGTCCAGGGTTTTGGACAATGCGGACTGCTCCACCTTCCTGCCTGACAGCTCGCTTCAGCCTGCCCAAGCTGGCAATCTTCCTTTTCATACCAACTGACGCAGTACCCTGTGATGCTTACCAGCGACTTTCTTTCACCATGAGTGATCTCTGAAGGACACTGCACAGCGATGTGTCTTTGATAAGCGACCTCTACCTAGCATCGACCACAAGTGACAATCGAAACAACAACGATGCATGCCACCGATTCTCGAACAAGGAGAAGGGGAATATTGAAGCACTCCTTGCTCTTCAACAAGGCCAAACATAGCGAAGACTGGCATCAAGCGATCGATGCCATCGCCGGCGTACTACACCCACCGAATCCGAAGTTCCCCTATCCTCTATTGCGGCAGGCTACCGAGGCCTATCTCAAGAAGAAAGGCAAGATTACCCAAGCAGATAAAGACATCCGTCTGGCCATACTCATCGATGCTCATGAAGCAAGAGACATTGCTGTTGCTGCCGCAGCTCATGCTATGACAGCAACGAGTCTGAGGGCACTACTCCATGTAGACCTGAACGTTGCGCATGGAAGTTACTGGGGCTTGGAGACATGGCTGCAGTGTCTCATAGCAGCGAATTATGGCAATTCTGCCTCGGTTACAGGTTTGGAGGCAACATGGGCACAGTACCTACTGCCCTTCGCAACACATGGCCCTGGGGCGGCAGGGAAGATCCTCATCGGAGTGAGCCGAGCATTGAGGGAGTGCGCGACCCCAAATATGAACGTTGTTCCAGACTTCTTGGCTTTGACAAGTCGAGCCCTGACTGACTACGGAGCACACTTGGAAGGCTTACGACTGAAGAATAATTGGATAGCTGCTTATGGAGCCTCATGCTGGATGGCTGAACTCGGGCGCACATTACCAGCCTCAACGTCTCCCGGATTCTTGTTGCCAGAACACATACTCGACGCTCAGTTCCCAGTATGGCGGGTATGGGCAAGTTGGAGGCCGGACTTGAGACTCGTACGGATTCTGAGCTCGATCGACAGCAACAGCGCGGCAGTACTGTCGGATCTGCTCGCTCTGGAAGGCCCTGACTTCATCAGCAGGGCCAAGTCTACGTTGCGAGACGGACTGATCGAGCAGTACGGATCGGACCGAAGCTTCATCAAGCTTGGAGGGTTACTCATCGAAGTCCCTAGTCGTACAAAAGACGGCCTGAGGGAGATATTGGAGAGCTCCATCTCGACACTCGAATCGATATGGACTACAGCAGTATCAGCAGATCGACTTCAGTTGTTCAAGTTATTCACAGAGCTCACAATTGCTCGACCCATGACCCAGGAAGGCCTGAACCTGGTACAAGCTGTTCTATTCATAACAAAAGGTACAAAAGGAGGCCTCGGATCCGTTCTTCTGAACGCCGTGCTCTGCATCTATACCGAGCGCAACAACCTTGGAGGAAGCCACATCCGGGAACTGCAAGACCTCATCCAACTATTCGACCACGATCACGCGTCCAGCCTTCGTAGGATCCTTTCGACACCTACCTTATTGCAAGGTATAAGTCGATGCATTCAGGACAGACAGACAGCCGTTCGCACGCTTATTGAGCAAGATCAGCCATGGACAGAGCTTGCCCTCGAGTTGCACACCTTTTGCTCTGCACTCAAAAGTTCAAAGAGCGTACCCATCGTGGGGGAGAAGATGATTGAACAGATGTGTTTACTGCTTCCACCAGCAGAGCATATAACAATGGCCATCGATATTTATACTGCTGCGCGTAATCGAAACTCCAAAGCACCTATCGAGTCTACCAACACAGGCGGATCGATCGACAAAGGCAAGCAGAAAAGAGAGCCCGGCCAGCGTATTGCAGCACCTGCATTTCTTACAGGCCAGACTAAAGGTCTGCAACATCCGTTAGACGAAGTTGTTGAACAATATTTCCTGCACCGCCTCCTTTCACAGCAAGCAGCTAGCTACACCTCGCAGCGTACACTCGACCCGATATTGAGAGTATGGGAAAGCACCTGTGCACCAAAGCTTACTCAGAAGCGACGGTCACTAGTGATTCTGGTTGCGAAGATCACAAGCGATGATACCAATCTTCGTATCAGATGCCTCAACGGGATTGCTTCGACTGGCGAGCAACTAGGTCCAGGTCTTTCACTTGAAGATCTTTTGATGATATTGCAGGATATTGACCGAAATCCCGAGCACAGAATAGTGAGGCTAATACGGCTACTGGCAAGTTGTCCCACTGCCCAAGAGATTCTATGCTGGCGAGACCTCGCGTATCACCTACTCGCGCAAGAGACCCATCTTGATGTCTTTAAGGACAGGAATCTGGTGGATCACTCTTTGAAGACGATGAAAGCAGCGGAATGGCTGTCATTTCTGGCCGACGTACAATCGGTGTTCGCCTCTGGTCCAGCACTGCCTTCGGATGAGAATGCCGTGCCACCCATACTGCGAGTCGAGTTGCAGAAGTACAGACTGGAGCTTGCACCATACACTAACACTCTCACACGACTCGAGGAAGTGTTAGGTGACGAGAACGATGCAGTAAACTATATTTTAAGTCGTGGTGGTGCACGAAGCAACAACATCCTAGCCATATTGCAGACTCTGAAATATGCAGAGAAAGGACCGGTCGAGTCGTTTCTGCACAAGATCGTTGGTATGTTATCAACCAAAGTCAACAATGAATGGGAGGTCTCAGACTGTGTCTCTATCATTTTCGACGCGTGTGGGGAGGTTGTAGAGGTCTGCAAGAAGATCTGGAACGCGAAACATGGCTTCTTGATGATCACGGGTCTCTCGAATCTCGATCAACAGTCTGTCCCTGGGATTAATGGTCGGAACAAAACAGTCGCAGCCTCGCCATCAACGCCGAAGACTGCATATTCAGTTGTACCTGTCAGAACATCCGCGCCAATCGATCCGACCGCTTCCAAATACGATGTTCCCATTTCGGTTGTAGAGATTATGGTAACAGGGTGGCTACTGGATGAGAATGCTGCTGAGAACACAAAAAACGCAGTGCGTTCAATAGCGTGCTTGCTCAACATTGTGCAAACCGGATTCAATATTTCTAGAGACAAACTCACGGAAGCAGCGACTTTCTGGGGAAAGATTGAAGACGAAATCATTCAAGAAGCCGATCGCTTAGGAAGCCTACGAAAAACACTCAAAGCGAAAGATGCTAAGGGCACGACTCTTCTTCTTCAGCAAATTGGCATACCTGATACGACTGAGCTCGATGAAGAAATGATGAAGCTTCCAGCTGGAGTGATGGATGTGGTGGAGAGGATTGGTAATAACGAGGTCGAGATCGCCTTCTCCTTGGCTGCCTTCACACAGTTACAACGTGGCGCAATGGGTATCCCGGAGTCCGCCAATATGCTCATGCTTCAGCTGTTTCTCGACTACAATAAGGACTCGCCGCCGTCGTTCTGTTTGCATTACAACACCGATGCACATCTCGAGACTATGGCACACACAAGGTACAGCTGCTCGACAGAATCCCAGAACCCCACAAAGCAGATATGTACATCTGCACAGACTGCTCTTACGTGGCAACTGGGCCGCATTATCTATTCCAAACTATGCAGAGGAATAACAGGCATAGCGGACATCTATCAGCACATAACCGCATGGCTACCTGATTTACCCCAGCTCTGTGTATCGTGCAGTGCCACACACAACTTACAAACAGCCCAACTCCGTCGTTCTATTCCCTGCGACAGCCATCCCTACTCCTGTGCTCGACTCTGGTACAATCTGCCCCTCCACGTTCGAATACCCGAAATTCGAACCGACACTTTCGCCGTTGACATAGCCCTTTCTTCCGTCTACGCTGCCGCCATGACCAACAAGCCCGAACTCCTACCCAGCTGCCCGATCCGCGGTAACGAACTCATAAAATCCATCCTCAACTCCCTGCCCGCCATGCGCGTCATACGCGACGCCGTCGCTCCCTCCTCCATACTCAGTTCCTACCACCCACAAGCCGAGAAGCTAATCTCCTGGGCCGTTGTCCACCACCGAGGCTTTTTAGCAACCGCCACGGGCCTCCTCAAGATTCCAAACCTCCCGCCAGGAACACATCAATTCGTGCTCGCCAACGCGAGTCCCAAGCTCGAAAGCACGGTTGTACAGAAAATTCAGTCAACGAAACGAGAAACCACAGTCCTCTTCCACGGCACATCCCTCGACCGCCTCCCTGCAATCCTCGCCCAAGGCCTACGCGTCTGCTCCGGTACTTCACTGCAACGCACCGGCGCCGCACACGGCAAAGGGATCTATCTATCCGACGAACCGGCGACGAGCTTCTACTATAGTCCCACGAGTCTGAGCTGGAAGAACAGTGGTCTGAGTAACATGCGGATGTTGCTGGGGTGTGAGCTTGTGGGGAGTGGGAATAGGGTTAGTGGGAAAATTCACGTTGTTACTGATGTCGGGAGTGTGATGGTTAGGTATATTCTGCTGTTTACGAGGGAGGCGAGGATGCCGATCAGAGGGCATATTGAGCCGGCTATGGCGAGTGGGATGAAGGCGTTAAGGAATGGTGCGGTGTAGGTTGGAGGTTGTTGTTTTGCTTTTAGAAGTATCTTTCTACACGTCAGGTCCTATCTTTGTGCATACTTTGATTTTAAAAGAGGTGTCCATCACTACGGTTCGAAGACACGTTCCGACTTACGAACCATAGAGACGATAGGTCTCGCTTAGCTAGGCTGAGTGGGGCAAAGTGAGGGACTTCTGAAATCGCCAAAAAAGAACCCATAACGCATGCAGTGTGTTTCACCCACACTGATGACCTCGCAGGTGCAAAAAAAAGATGCCCTCTGCCAGAATCGAACTAGCGATCTTATCATTGCATTCGGTGAATACTAGTGATACGCTTTACCACTAAGCCAAGAGGGCCCATTGCTGAGCCGAGAGATTCCAACTTTGTTGGATTGACTTGTGGAAAAATGTCAAATTGTAAAATATATAATGACGGTCAAAAAATGTTGGCAATATGTCCTCACAATGTCTCATTGTATTTCCTGACGTTGTGGGGCCGGCGACATCTACATTGACAATGCTCGCTAAGCTCAACTACTATCCGGCCGTCTCTTTTCGCTCACATATACTTGTATCCATGTCTGGCCTCTCTCATCGCTTCTTCGACGCCTGCTTCTCCGGAGCTGGGCTCGCACCGCGGCTGTTGGCGCCCGAGTCCGTCGTCTTCCCTGCCATCCACGACGCAAGATCGAAGTTCTGAATCTGCTGCGCCGTGTTTGTTGTTCCTGATCCTAATACACCGTTCTTCTGCATCTCCTCCATCTCGGCCTTCATCTCAGGGTCCATGTTCTCCATCAGCTTGGGCATGCCGAACATGAGCAGGCCAGAGAAGACAGCCATGAGGATCATGGGGTTCTTCAGGAAGGAAAGTGGTGAGACTGGTTATGTTAGCATTTGTTGTGCAATAGTTTAGGGTGGCGGTTAGGCTTACATCCAGCGCGCTCTTGGTAGAATTGCTTCTGGCCAACTGGCCTAGCCTCGATCACAAGACCATTACCACCCTCTCCTCTGCTTTCGCCCTTGTTATCCCATTCATTGCCCAAGAACGTTTGCCATGCCCTGATTACTTCCTTCTTATCCCCACTTCCCTCGACAGGCTCCTCGATGCTGACGTCGATGCGCAGAGGCTCGAATGCATAGTCTCTGCAGTGCACGGTAGCAAGATAGCTTCCAGCGCTGACGTTGTTGAAGTTGAAGGTGTTTGATCGTGTTAGGTATGCATCAAGTGGGGGTCCACTAGATTGAAGGGTTGCATGTGTCGTGGAGGAGAGCGCAGAGGGGTTCACAACATGTGTGATGGGAATTTGCAGCAGGAAGCGGGCCGCAGAAGAGACGGATGCCAAGGAGGCGAGCATAGGGAGGAAAGTGCGCATCTTCATGCTTACGTGACGGTGCTGATGCTTGCTTGTGAAGCCCACGATGACATGGCGGCGGATGAGCTATGGTTCGCGACTTCCTCGGCCACCGGATCAACGTGAGACCGAATTATGTCAATCACGAACATCTCAAGATCGATTCACCCCACTCAACTCAACTCTTACCATTCCGGTGAACTTTCATTGATGAAACATTCTTGTGCCTTACGCGAAGGCCTATTGCGGGGCGGAGCTGCTCGATCATGAAAGTTCTTTGGCTGGGAACATTTGTTTGAAGAGGCAGTGCTGCATGGCAGGGGGCTGCAGCCGCTGGGGGCCAAATCTGAGGATGAGAATATGTAGCATGCACAGCCTCACGTAGGCCTAAGGATCATGCTCGTTCTTCAACTGAACCCTCGAAAGAGTTTGACGTCTGTTTCTGCGTGATCTCTACACGGTAACATTTTCCGTTACAACCGGTTTGATTGAGACAGGCAACGTCTTTCCACCACCTTCCTTGAGATGAATCGACCATCATGGCAGAATTCGCAGCAAGCATCATCGGCATTGTATCTGCCGGCACGAAGGTAGCACTGGTGCTATCACAGCTCGCCGCAGATGTAGGGTCAGCTGGTCATGAGGCGAGGATGATTGGTGGTGAGATTCGATCATTTTGCTCAGTATTGAAAACGCTCGACGAAACGATAGAGACCATCGAAAAGTCGCCTTGCTACGCCCATTGTTCCGAGTTGATCAAGGACATGACAGACGATAGTCTGCAGATGTTCACAGAGATTCTCAATGCAGTGGACAAGCTGAAAAAGATGACAGCGGGAAGAGAAGGCAAGGATGGCAACTTTGGATTTGTTGAGCGAGTCCAATGGGCAGTATTCAAGAAGCCGAAGCTACTGGTCTTGCGAGCGGCAATCGAGGCTTACAAGACAAATTTAACACTGATGTTGACCACCTTGAGTACAGCCGAGAGGGCTACACGGCGAATGTACGGTCCAGCTGCATCATTGGATACGACAAGTAACTAACTGTGCGGCAGATCCACACGCAAGGACGCAGTTGCTCTCGCTCAAGATAGGCAGGATCGGTCACTGCTCGAAAGCCTCGAATTGGATCGCGAAGCAACCATGATCGAGCTTGCGCAAGCCGAACGCCATTACGAGGAAGCCATGAGCCCACACCCTGCAGAGTCCTCAACAAGAGGGGTTGATACCGCCCCAAACAACGGTCCACCGTCTTGCGATGCTGTTGTATCGAACATAGATCTAGGGAACACTGGATTGATGAGCTCAGTTCGCAATGAGATCCAGTCCATAAGATCTAGCCTTTCAAGGAACGCGGAAACCGACAACGAAGCCCTGCAAGCAAGAATCGTTCGCCATAGCAAGCGGATCTCCAGCATGCTAGAAGATGATCAGAAAAGACTGTCACAGCGCTGGTCGCAGACACTGCGGGAAGATTCAAAGATCGTCTCAGAAGAAACATCGTTGGAGCCGCTTTACATCGTTGCTTGTCAGCACCCACTGAAAGCACCAGATCAGGATGCCGGATCAGCAACAGGCTCGGTGGAAACTGATGCCTCAACAGCAATTGCCCTGAACAGACCGCATGACAGGAACGAGGAATTCTTGGAATTCGATCCACGCACGATTGCGCTTTATACATCTTTCATATCCTGGATCATCCAGCTCGACGCACCATCGCAGCAGAAAGTACTCCGCACTTTAAAACAGGATATTGATAGGTGGGCGGGTGGTCTAGAAACTCATCGCAACACTGCAACTGCAAATGATGCAGGCCAATCATCGCCTTCAAACGGAAGGACCGCCTCTTCCACTGATACAAAATTTGATGCGAAAGCGGAACATGTCCTGAACTTGGTTGAAAATCAGATGCTCGCCTGGAGTAAGCCAGCCATTAGCAAACAAGAATGTGCTCCACAGTTTGCGATCTCCCACGATGTCCGTGGTGCTACTATCGATCTTGGTCGCCAGCATATCATCAACCTTCCAGAAAAGACTCTCGACATTATAGGCGCGAAGGTGGTTAAGTTGGTCTTGCGGTCGAACCTGCTGGTCAACCTCCCTCAGAATCTAGTCGTGTGCAGGCGACTACGACACCTCGACTTATCGTACAATAGTTTTGTCACCATACCGGATGTGGTGAAGCAGCTGCCACTGCTTGAAATTTTGAATATGCGCAGGAACAAACTCTGTTTGATCCCGCCCGAGGTTGCTCAGATGCCGCAACTGAAGGTTCTGTCAGTTGCTAAGAACAACATCTCGACACTTCCATCTTTCCTGGGACACGCACCAAACCTAGTCATCCTGTACGCAGAAGGAAACCCTATCGAGTACCCTACCAGGGATCAGATAGATCATGCGTTTCCTACGAAGAAGGACTCTGACTCAGAAGCAAAATCTTGGACAAGTAGCCTGAAGAGTACTTTGCGACGGCTGCATCAGTACGATACGAGTCAAGCAGGTCAGTCTCACAACTTTAATTATGTTGATCTGTTCATATGCTGCGGGCCAGGCTTATGGTAGTCAAGCACATGCTAACAATTCTTCAGCAGCTTCAAGTATCACTTCTGAGACATCCCTTCTACCTTCACCTATCGGAAGCATGTCAGGTCCCCTGCTGTCCCCCAGATCGAACGTTTCCATGTCCACAATGAGTATCGACCGCCAAACCGACATCTCTCACACAGCTTCTCAGAGAATTCGCAAGGCAACTGCTTTACCAGTATTGCAATACGTCCGACTGGCCAACACCAACGCCAGTTTCCTGCTAGACCGAAGCCAGAGACCACCAGGGAAGAAGGCTTTTGCACTTGGTCCCACGACGCCGACCAAAGATGTGGGGATGTTACTGGATGTACCTCAGAGTGAGCCACTATCACCAGCGTCTGTTAACACCGATTTGTCTACTGTGTCAACGCCTCGGCAAGATGCACTTGCTAGACTGACGGGCCTTAATCAGGACTCAAGTCTGTCTCATTTAGCTTCTGCGTCTTTGCCGTTACTTTCATCCGTTGATCAGGCGTCTACACTGCCTAAGATTCGCGTCTCGAAACACCGCAGGTCTCAGTCGGAGCATACCTTGACTATTACCAAACCTGGTGTCCCTCCAACGGATCACAATGCATCACGCAGGCGCCCAGTTCACGAACTACCCAGGGACAAGAAGCAAACTGACTTCGAAAGATCCTGGGACTCTGTGTATGATACCTCTGGTGATGATTCTGACGACGAGGGGTCATCAATGTGGTGGAAGTCCATCGGTAACATCTCGCCTCAACCTTATCGCAGATTAGAGCATATTTTGTCGCGCACAAAATCGAGGCGTCACCTGGCTGCGCTGGAGCCGTTCGGAAGCCCAGACATTTTACCGCATCGGAGGCCACTGGATTTGAGCAGTCTTGATCGTCCGGATACTGATGATTCAGCTCATCGCGATGCCCTGGTGGCACGCACATAATCGGAGCATTTCAATTGTACATGGCATACTACGATCAAGAGGCGTATATGCTACCGCAAAATAATCAAGCAACCACATAAGGCAGCGCCTCGATGATGGTGGCTTCTATTTGAATCATGAGGTTATTGTAGCATGATGGCTTGTTTTAAGGCGTAAAGACCTAAGTTCGTCGCTTCTATAGATGTGATTCGCGCGTGCCAAGTCCATGTTCGAGGAGAACGTGTTCAAGGTGAGGTTGGAGGTAAGAACTCTCCGCGCAGTATCCTTCCTCAACACCTCATCTCTGTCGATCGGCTCAGGGTACAACACAGCGCCGCAGTCTGCGACCATGGCGGCCGCGAGTGCCTTCATGCCTTACCTACCACCTGAAATACAGTGTATAATATGCGAATTTGGGAGTGTTCGTTTGATACCCAGCGGAAACTCGATTACTGACGTGCGTAGCTACCAGACCCAGCTCTCCAAAACGTCCGCTTAGCCAACACGGAATGGAGCGGAAGCGCAACGACGGTTCAACAGCGGAAGCTCAAGATCGACCTCGCGCACGGTGGCGGGCGGATACCAACTCTTCTGAATTCCAACCCCTACGGAGTGGTCGACAACGTCAAAGAACTCTCGATCTCCACCATCGAGAGCCATCTGGGTGCCCAAGCGCGGTCCCGAGCTGGCGGAAACCTACTCGCAATATTGGGCACTATCCCAAGGGATTGTCTTGCAGCATTCGTCGGCCCATACTTCAGCCTCGGCCATTTCCAGTTGGGCATTCTATTTCGAACACAGACACGGGTCCGGACTCTAGCAGTGTCGCTCAGAGAGGCGACAAGCATCTCCCAAGGACCGAATCGTGTCATGAATGCCTTGACTAGTTTGCGGGATCTCAGCATTGGGTATTCTGGGCCCCAGCCTACTTACCTCAAGTTCGACTCCTGGTTTACACACGCGCCTCAGCTACGCAACCTGCGAATCGAAGGCAAGCACATCGAGGGCAAGCCCATCGCAACACTTTTCCTCAAGCCATGGGCTTTGGCCGAGCAGATACCGTTGCTCAAGCTCCAATCTCTTGAGTTGAGGAGCGTTGGATTACCCAGTTCCACCGACGACATTGTTAATTGTCTGGATCTTCCTGAACTTCGAGCCCTGGTTATCATAGAGTGCTTTGGAGTGCCGACACTATTGAAGTCGCTGACCATAGCATTCAAGAAGACGAAGACTTTCTCCCTTCGGTATTTTGCCTTGTGGACACCGACAATCGAATGTGTTTCACAAGCCGCAGTGGAATTTCTCGAAACTGCCAAGGGTTTGCAAAAAGTCGAACTTAGCTTCAAATCCGGTAACCTTCCAGATTTCAGATGTTTGAAGGGATGTAGCGACACTCTTCAGGAGCTCTCAATCCATCACTTCGACTTCCTCCGTTGTTATACAGTCGCGGATCTTGGGCGGCTCGTGAGCTGCTGCCCAAATTTGGTGCACGTTGCAGTCAATCTCATCAGCTTGCAGCCCACAATCGATATGGGGATCAAACCACTATCTCTGTCTATGCCGACAGGCTTACCGCCGGTACAACAAGAATATGCCAGGTCACTGGTAAGCGCTTCCTTCACGCATTGACAAATCACACCGAAATTGACGTCGTGCGTAGCAGATGCTTGCACGACTTCCGAAGCTCGAAACCTTCCTCCTTCGTGGCCCCCCTTGGTTGCGTGGCAACTACAGTGCAATGGAGCGTCAATGGCGATATGCGCAGGTTGCCGACGAAATCATAAGGGTGCTCGCAAAGGCCGGTTCGTCGGTGTCTACGCTCGCCTTTAGCCCCGCCTACAGACCATCAAAAGATATACCTTTTGATGTGGCAGACGAAAACGGACATATTTGGCCTCGATATAGGTACAAGAGAGACGTAGTATTCGAGGTCGGAGCTGGACGTGAGATGGTTGTCAAACATATTGCTGTACCTTGCCCATTCCCAGTGACGAGGTTAGGGGGGCTACAATGGGAAGGTATACTCAGATGAAAGGCACGCTGTCTCTAGTTAGAGGTGGATCAGGGATGACCGTCGAAACGGTGGCTGTGCGCTGCAGTCGGTATCCTACGGGCTGAGAAGCAATATATTGGGCAGGAGGTGGAGTGTCTTGTTGAGAACATGGGCATTGGTAGCGAGAAGGCAATTCACGATTGTTGAGCAGTAGTGAGCTAGTTCGCCTGAGAACACGGTCTGCTGCTGAGCTTGAGATACTGCGTAGCTCTTGTGGCTGGGCGCAGTTATGTCGGCTCCGAAGGTGAAAGAGTGTCTTCTGCAACGGTCCAAAACTTATAGTGAAAGCAACAGGAGACCTTTGGTTCTTGGTTTTCTTAGGCCGCTAACGTTCAAGGTAACTTCCACAATCCGGATAACTCAACACTTGTTCCTCTCAGACACCAATGGCAGCTACGAATGTTGCATCTGCCGATCTGCCACCCGAATTGCTTTGGTTGGTATTCGAAAACGTAGGTCTTGAACGATGGTTCGCAAACTGATTCGGTCTGTCGGTTCCCTTGAGGGAGTCACTCTGGGAGCCATGAATCAGTGCAGCTTAGATTTGAAGAGTCTCAGACCAAATGTCCAGGGCTTGAAGAAGTTACAATTCTACAGCAACGGCTTTTGCTCCTTGTACTCGACCTCCAAGGATTTGAAGTGCTCGCCCTCAACCTGACAGGTCTGGACTCACCCATCTACGACCTCGAGGTGCTGGATTTCCTCGGCGCATCTACGTGTTCGAGGCTTGCCTCATCATAAGTAAGTCTTCAACACTCAGGCCTCAAAAGGCACAAGCATTAATAATGAATATAGGAGATAATCGCACGACTTCCCGATCTGCATACTCTTGATCTGATCCATATTCCCCTGTTGCAAGGTGGTCGTATCCCACAAGGACGTCAGTGGCGATATTTCCCAGATGGCTGACGAGATCTTCCACTACCTTGTCCAGAATGGTTCACCATTTCAAAATCTCCGCTTCGTATCAAACTCTGACGAAGCTGCTGTGGTCGATGGTAACGGCCATGAATGGCCACGCTACTGCTACAAACGAGGCACTGTAACAGTCACGACGGGTGGGCGTCAAGAGCTTGTCAGAACGATCGCAATACCTGCGCCATATACTGGGCTGGATCTGATCGGGACGTGGGAGTCATAGGATGGAAGTGCGATGTCATGATTCTTGGGAATACATTCGAAGTGCACTTCCAGCAAAGAAAGAGCATATGATACCGGGATGACATTTGAATAGCAAAGGAGAACAGGTAAAAAGATGTAGCTTCACGAAGGGGATATGCAAATTAAACCCCTGTCTCATACTATGCACGTTTCTCGAGTTTGTGGGTACATCAACCAGCTATACAGACTCTTGAAGTGAGCTATGTGATCATCGCCATTTCCAACACAACAAACATACATGTGCACTACAGTAACCACGTCAGCAAACCGCGCAACATCTATTCTTGTCTTCCACAGCCTCACGCCTCGTGTTCACCCACGACTCGCACCTCTCTCACACACACGTCCCTCTCACGACTCAGGAGCCTCGCCTTTAACGTCCCGACCGCTCGTCGCAGTTGGGTCGGAAAAGATCCGATCGCTCAACAGCGTCGGCACACGACTCGCACACTCACGATCCCTCGTCTTTCGCGCCAAGCACTCAGATCGTGCGCACCAAACTCTGTCTTTGATTCATGTCCAGCTTACCCAACCACTGACAAAGCATCTAACTCACGACGGAGTGAGAATGGATTGAAGACCGAGAATTGGACTTTCGTGTTCCGCAAGCCCTCGGAACACCACCAAAGTCACACTCAGAATAGCTAATGACGCTGCGCTACGAGAGTAACGAAGAGTTCGGCGCTGGTTAGGGGTACTTAGGCACGTGTTAGCTTTTTGCGGCTTTGCGGCTTGAGCCGCAACACGACCCCTCGCAAAACCCTCACGCACTCAAGAAATAGTACCTTTGCACGCGAACTCTCGTAGTTGCCGACGCAAGTCCCCACTTCGCATTCGTGATTCGTATACTGCCCGAATATGAACAGCGACTGCGTGGTCCGCTATATGAAAGTTCACGGCAGTTGAAGCAGGTTAGAATTGGAAATCTGGTTCACCGATCAGAATTCAGAAAATTGGAATGTTGCGAATTGCTTTTCGGCAACCACGCATGTGACGACGCGTTATCCCCCCGAATCAGGCAAGCCTGATGAGCTTGGAGATTGACGGCACACGAGCAAAAGAGCGGCTGTTTCGACTAACGCATGGTCCAAGCGTCCAACGTTTCGGGATGCATGCAGCGATCCCACAAGCAGGCCGTGAGTGTTGCCGGTCTCGGAACTCATCAACAGGAGAGAAGTTTGATGAGCATTGCACAGCAGTGGTGATCTGGCGATCAAATGTTTGTCTGGGAATCGAACGTCTTCATTCTTGTCTTGTGAGAGGTGACGTTACGGCATGTCGTCTCTGTGCGACGGATCTGCCTGCCCTGCGTTATTGATGGCTGCAGTCCCTGCACTACCCAGCCACCCTGCTCCCAAACAGCCGGTGCCTCATCGCACCTTATCCCCGCACCCAATCACCACACATGCAACCACCCCCATGCGACTCAAGCTCCCGTCGAGCAAATAGCAAACAAAGTGCAAACTCCCGAAACGCCCCTAGGGTATATGGGCGGTGGTATACCAGCCCAGGGTGAAGAAAGGTAATGATGAATGATCATGAGACATGGTATGTTTCAAGAAACCCAAAAGGCAAAATCCAAACAACATAGGCGTAAATGACGTGCCAAGATCCCTAGCATCTTCTCATCGAAGATTAAGCGTTTAGAAGTTGAAGGACAAATGGAAATCTCGTATGTAGATGGCCGATAAACTGATATCCTTGCAGGGTCCATTAGATTGCCGGCGCTTTTCGAACAGTCCGAGGAAATAAAGTGCGCGCATGCTGAAATATGGCGAAGGTCGAGAAGAAGGGGTAACAGTGAGCAGTGCTGAAGGCTCGCTGAACGAAACGAAACAAGTGAGGGTAGTATCGAGGTAATCTTTACCCCAGGAAGCGCCAGAAATGAGTCAGACCCAAATGGTGTATCGAGGTAGGCCGAGGCCGGGTATTACGAATGGAACAAATCCCAAGCTCTTGCACACAGACCAATGAACTCTTCCTTCTTCTTCTGTTGTGTCTCTGGCGAGTCACGACCCTCCCCAAACGGTCCGATACGGGGTGCTTGACGACCAAGGGGAGGAGTGCCGTTGTCTCGCTCGTACTCGTCACGGCCACGTCTCCTTGAGCTGCCGCTACGGTGAACGTCAGGGTGTAGGGCATACGCTGATTGGCCGTTCTTGGGCATAGGTGATGGCGGTGTAGGGGGCTGGTGACCGCCGTAGTGGACGAGACGGGGCAGGAGATCCTCACGACCGCCAGACAGTGACTGCACTGCCTCCTCAGCTGACTTGTATTCACGTGGCCTCGATGTCAGTGGTGGTGGCACTGAGTGAGGAGCAGCGAACCCTGGTGATGGCAGGGGTGGCTGGTTGTTTGAATGCGATGAGTGACCAGGGCTGTAGTGATTCCTCGCGGTGTGAAGAGGCTCTGGGAAAACATCTGAGATGGGTGGCAGGCGGTTGTTGGTCTGCTGTGCCGGTACATGGTGGATGTGTGACGTTTGCGAGAGACCTGATGGGCCATTGGCGACCTGTCGTGACAGCGGTGCATTGCTGCGAAGTCCGGTGAAGGTCTGGTTGATGGGTGCTGACTGGATGATCCTGTCGTTGGCGAACGCCTGGTGGGCAGGAGGTGCGATGGAAAGACCAGGAGGAGGTCCCTTCCTCTTGGATGTCTGGGGAGTCTTGATGGGTCTTCCGAATGCACCGATCTCAGTGCTTCGTGGGGGCTCCTCCTCGACTGGTCCACCCTTGCCGCCATTCTTTTGGCGTGCCTCAATGATCTGCCTCTGCCTCTCTCTTACATCCAGACTGCGCTGGAGTTGCGAACGCATAGTGGGATCCTGGGTGTGGAAGCCAGGAGACAGGCAGGCGAGGCCCATGTCCATGACGTTAGCACTACCTGGGCCAGAGGGCCTAGCAGTGAGGGCACCAGATGAGTGGACGATGTTGTGATTGGACAGGTCCAGGCGTCGAGGACGATGACGTGTGGTGGTGGTGGGCATGTCTGGCGAGGCAGGCTCCTTCTTGACGACTATCCTAGGTGCTGGAGGGCCGCGTGACCTGCTCGAGTGGGGACGGTTAGACTTTGCATTGTGTGCATGTGTGTCAAGCCGCGGCGGCGACAGTGAAGTGGAGGTGGGAGAGGAGGAAGAAGGGTGACGGCGGTGCGTCGAAGGAGAACGAGACGAAAGACTGAACGACGTACGAAAGAGGTGAGCGCTTTCCCTCTGCTCTCTGCTGCATGGCTGCATCACTACTAGAGGAGGTAGGTGAAGCATTGTGGTCAGGCAGTTTAGAGTGCTTAGAGTTGGGCGTCACGTTGTGAGGAGAGTGTGTAGAGGGCGCAATGGCAGCATATGTTCTGCTCGAGCCGGCCCCGTCTGCGGATACTGGTGCCGCATACTGCACAGGGATCGGGGAATTGGCGACGACGGTGGTCATGGCTGCGTCGTATGGTGGCCCGGACGAGGAAGACTGGGAGGGGCAGATAGATTGTAGGAGTGTCGCAGGATGCTTTAGAGTAAGTCCGCTACACTGCGCGTCGAGGGAGGGCCGCGGCGGGGGATACGAGAGGCCGGGGCAGCGTAGAAGTCAGGACTGCGGCCAACGGAGAGTCGCAGGACGTTAATGCGCGCGAATGCTCAGAAAGAAGTGCGCAAACAGGAGGCAGCTGCGAGGCGGCCGTGGTGAGGGGATACAAAGGTAAAAATGGCAAGCACAGACGCGGCGCTGCTCAAGAGGCAGGGAGGATGGAGGCATGGGGGCAGCAGCGCAGGCGGGCCAGGGTTTCGCTGGGAGTACGCTGGTTGGCACAAATGGCACGCTGGTTGGCACTGGTGCTGGTTCCGCTGGGCAGCCTGACTGGGCGAACAGAGTGTCGCTCCCGTTACAGCAGACGGGCGCCACACGAACCATTGTTTCGAATCCACGGCTCAACTGCTCTGCGCTGCTCTGCGCCTATCCCTTCACCCCGGCCCGCTAGATAGTCAGACACCCGGCCACGCTGGGCCTACGACGGTGAACTGGGTGACTGAGTCGTCAGCACTACTCAGCGCGCGGCGAGCAGCGTCAGGCGGCGCAAACCTCACGCCGGCGCTGCTCGTCCTCCAGCTGCGCGTGTAATGCTGCCCTGACTGGCCGGGCGTGTGCATGCAGCGTGTTGCACATCCCTCAATAGACCACTGCCAATACTCATCGCCGGCCAATCAGCGCCCGCTCCGCCCGCTTATGCTCCTCCGCCACTAGACGGAGTTCCATTGTTTCACACGCAGGTTTGATCACGCTCGAAGCGGTCTTATCGACAGGCAGCCAATTATCATCTGCCCGTCTGCTTGTCATGCCTGTCGTTTCAACACGCTGGGGACGCGGACTCACTCACTGCCACCTGATGTGAAGGATTTGATCTGTTCCACTCCAAAACCTCCGCCCGCGGCGCAGCAACACACCAACTCCAGCAGCACCAGCAAGGCGAACCTCGTCCACTGGCCCCAGGATCTCCCCTTGCCAATGATCTGACAGCTCAGCGCTCGTTCACCATCATGTCACTGCTTCCACGTGGTGAACGGCATCAACCTGGCGCTGGGTAATAACAGGTTTGATGTAGCGTATATGATCTCCAGCACTATCACCCTTATATACATGCAATTTGGCTCCTTCGAGCATCTCTCGGTCCGCGACTCCCTTCAAGATAGGAATGCATGACGGGAGGAAAATTAATACGTGCCGTTGCCCAGCTCACGCCTGCTTCGTTTACAGCTCAGTCTTCTCACGATCAAGACAAAACTCGACCCAAGAGTTCTCGTTCGGTCATGAGCCAGATCTCCAATTTCGTCTGAAGACGTGGCCCTTGTCCGTTGCCACAGCTCCAAACGGTCATCTGTCACATCTGTCAGAAGCACGAGCACGGCCGCATGATGGTCATCTCCACGATTTCAAGATCACCGCCCAATTGAGATTGACACTCCTTCATAATGAAGACGAAGGTCCTTGAATCATGACAACAACCGATTGTTCCGAGTGCTGTTGCTCTGCTCCGCTCCGCCCATTTCCCGCCGCCTAGCACAAACATCTCATTTCCGCTCACGCATGGAGGCTGTCTGCAGCCGTTCAATCCTCACATGCTTTGTAAGGACTACCATGGCGTTGCATCAATTAGACGCGTCGGCGGTCCCTGGGGAAGCTCAAAACTACTCACGGTATCAGGGGTGTTCACTTTATCCGGGTATTCAAATCCTCGAAGATCACTATGCTGTGTACACCTCCTGCAGCGGAGATCAGGTACGGCTCAAAACGCAATTTATCTCTCCAGAAGCGGCAGTCGCTTCGACATCGAGCGTGTGGGCCTCAACGGTGACTTGCATGTAACCGAGCAACCGGGACAGGCCCTGCCAGAGCTTAGGCGAAAGAGGAAGCTGATCTACCAAAGAGCTGTTGCGAGCGCGTCGATATTGCACCAAGCGATGACATTCGAGCTCGACCATTAGGCGTCCACGTGAGCATCGTGTTGAGAACTCAAGCATGTCGCGGTGTTGAGGTGTACTAAGACATGTACACAGTATTGAGCCTCAGACCGCTTGCACTGCATCACCAACATACAGGTCGATCATCTGCGTGGCTGCATGGTACCACCAGTGGCCTCGCCCATCCTAGGTACCATCAAACGACCTCTCTGACCTTCAACGACAATCCAATCTTACACTCATGAATCAGAGGTCCATGTCAGCACTCCTGAAACCCATCATACCACCACCACACTCCATCTCACTTCTATGAGATTTTCAAACATCCCCGTCTCACAACCGTCTTGTATAACTACACCTGCGTAACCTTCCCTATCGATCTCGCAACCGTCGTCCCACTGCCCTAATCCTCGCTATCCCATCCACTTTGAGCCGCACATGCCCGTTAGCACCACTGCTTCGGTAAGCGCTGCACGTCGTACCAATACTTCTGCTTTCCTCGCATGTCGCACTGCGGTGTTAACGAGCTGCACGTCGACCAAATCAGACGGTTCTGAGACTGCCCAACGTGCAAGCTCCCATAGACTCGAAAAAGACGTGTCGCGAAGCATACCGCCATGCGCGCACCCGTTTTATTTTGCGGGTGGTCCCGCACATCTGTGTCTCTTGACGATGGTTTGCAAAGTGCTCGTGGGTCGATTAATCTTTTGGGTTGGTCGAGCGGCATGCCGGAGTGAGACTATCCGGTACTCACCCCGGTGGCCCTGGACGCAGCAGCGGAGGACTAACCGGAATGGTATGCTCGGAGACAGTGACGAGAGACCGACTCACGATGCACCCGAGAGGGCGAGTAGAGTAAAGATGTACGGCAGCTCGCTTACGGGATCTGCTTTAGCGATGGTGTGGGAGGGTTTGGAATGTCTCGCTGTTTGATACTGGAGTGTGCACGGCAGGACGAACGGCATTGACTTGTCCTCACCTGACTGCATTCATATAGATGTCGCCACGGCTCCAAACCCTCTGCAGAGCAGAAACGGCATCGTATATTTAGCAGTTGCGCAAGACAGACACAATCATGTAAATACCAGAACTCACTTTGACAACCACTCGGTAATCTGTTTCACACCCGCTGTCTAATACGGTGTGACGGCACAACTGTGCCTATCACGCAATTTCAGTGCATATTTGGATACCTCCCAAACCTGTCCACTCGGAGAACGTCTATTCAAGCGAGCGGCGCGAGCAATTAGTGCCGCACTCCTTGTGAGCACATTCACCTGAAACTTAAGACAAATCAGCACAACATGACACCATAGTCCACCATACCTATTGAGATAGCGCATAGATGAATGATAAGGTTTGGGATAAGTTGTCTTTTGCTGCACTAGAGACCTCGGGACAATAACACGAATTCTAATGCTATGTGTAAAGGTCACAACGGCTCAGAAGCCTGGATTGCTGCATCGGAGTTGCTTCTGCGAAACAGGAGCGTCGTAGCTGTTGGAGTTGGGGGCACTCGACAGCAAACAAAGCGTAACCTCTGAGTGGGTGAAGGGTGCTGTTAGTACGATATTGTTAGGCAGTGACTTTGCGATACTTGGAGGAAGCAGCGTCGTGTAGCCGCGTGGTGTTGGTGAGGAAAGGGCATAGTGGAAGGAGCGTGCTTCCTATGCTGTTATGGTCTACTTGTTCTGGGATTGAAAGAGGTGCTCGATACATGTATTTAAATGACAGGCAAGACGTAGACTGGATGCGCAGCCCTTACCAGAACCAGAGCCCTGGAGCCGACGTGGCGGCGCCAGCTGTACGGCAAATCACCCACCTCCGGACCGTCAGATTAGACAGCCACAGTGCTTTGACTAGGGTATGAGGAGGGTGAAGCACCAACTTTCTCAGAGCTGCTAAGGCCTCTCTGAGCACGTTCCGACTATGGTAAGCCATTTTGGCCATGACATCTCATTACACCGTTCATATTGCCAATATGGTCGTCTACCCACGGTCAGAACACACAAGATACAATAATTATTATTAGAGGGACTGAATTGTGTTGATCGAAGTGGCAACCTGTCCTTCGTTGTCATTGCCACAAGTCGCGCTGAGAGTCGTCCCACTGAGTCTGATGTTATTGCAAGATGCCTGAAAGTGACCCCCGAGTATTCGACTTAGTCATAAGAAAATCTTAAAAGGGGAGCATGAATATTTCTAGTGCTGTGCCGAGTTGAGATTGATATAGCTACCGACGTTGAAGGATGAATTTGGGCATCGGCAATTAGGAATGATATAAATATCGTCAGAAGTAGTAAGAAGTCTGATAGAATTGCAGGTTGCACCGTAGCTACTTTCTGCAGCCACATGTGAGAAGGTGATCATAAGAAGCGGGTCAATGTTTTTGAAGTACATGATGAGCAGGCGATAGGAGACTGAAGTTGCAATGCGATGAGAACCGTCAAGGCAGAATGATCCGGAGAGACTCAACAGCTTTATAGACCAAACAGCTGGTCAGTTGAGCCTGTCTGCTAGCCAATCTTACCTGTTAAACGAGTACCCGACGTTACAGTACACATTCCAACCCTTATTCGAAAATCCATATTCTTCTACCTATACGAGCTCTTGTAGGTGCACCGTAAGATGAGGTCGGAAGACAGTCCGCCTTAGAAACAGCAAGCCTTAGAACATAACCAGACCAAAGACATGCGAAGCGAATGCGAAGCGAATGCGACATCCTCTTCATAAATCCTTCCTCTCTTGGATACTCCCTCCTTGAACTGTTTCCGCTCTTGGCTGCTCCTTCGTGCCGTACCGTGCGGCCCGAGGTAGTTGATGGATTCGAGGCATAATGTCAAACTTGGGATAGCACACAAAAGACGTACAACGAGCCACGGACTGTGGGAAAGGAAAAGGGTGTGAAAATCAGATGCCTTTCGTTCAAGACTCAGTTAACCAGCAGGCAGTGAAGGATCAGTCCCGCACGGCTTCACTTAGAAACAGCGCTGCGATCTGTTCCACCTTGGCGCCAATCAATGGTTAGATACATCTTCTCTTACATATGAGATTCTTCACTCTTCACTTTTCCATAGCGATAGTAATTCAAACTGCATGCTCTGTTACTTCCTTTACCACTTCGCAAAGAGTGTGTCGTGAGGTGATCATTTCTCGGCGGGAAGGGGGGGGGGTTCAATAAAATCGAACTAGCTGTGCCTCCTGCACGGATTTAATGATTTCTATCCTAGTAGGGAGGCTCACTACTCGTACCCGTATCCCACGGCCGGTCGATTTGAGAGCAATCTTGAGAGGCATTTAGTACGTACCGTAGTAGAGGATCCTAGGATTTTGGTCCCGGCCGATATGCCATCGTAAAGAAAGTTCACGGACTAATCTGGAAATATCTGGAACTCCCATTGTGAAGGACACGCCCACTGGATGTTGAGATGCTTGCTCTACATACCATGTGAGTCTATTTGCATCGACATTTGATGCGTCTGAACACCAAGCTACACTTCTTTCTCTGTCGGACACGACACTCAGCCAGACCCACAACTACGGAGGCACCATGCAATTAGTAAGGCCGGTGCACACTCCACTGCTACAAGCTTCACATTTCCGGATAATAAGCTACCTTTGAGCAGCATCTTACGGGGGGCTGTCGGAGGACAGGCGGATTACTCCTATCATAACTTGAAAGAACCTAAGACATATGTTCCATCACCTCGTTAGTTGATGGGGAAATGCAACTACTCGGCTATTATGATCAGACAGGTTATACAAATCCATTTGCCATCTCCTCTTGTCTCAAAAAGCTGTACAAAGAATGGATACCCCAACCGACTCTTCCCCTCCTAATCAAGCATTCACTGATGCTTTGGTCCTGTTTACATTGACCTTGCCATTCTGAGGAACGTCTTCATCTACTCGTCGGCCTCGATGTCGACAGCGGTCTTCGTCCACTGGCGAGCCGGGACCTTGCGATTGAACAAGATGTCGATTTCGCGGTAGGATCGGTTCTTCATCTCAGGCAGGAAGAAGTATGCCAAGACGAAGCAGACGAAACCAGTACCAGCCCAGACGTAGCCGCACTTGCCGCCGAGGTTTGCCTCCTATTTTATGTTAGCATTGTTCGCTACGAGACTCGGAAGGAGAAGGATCTTACATCAGCGTTGAGCATATAACTTGCGAGGAAGATACAAGGAATGTTCACGATGTAGTATGCAGCGCGTCCAACTCCGGTTGTCAAAGGCCTAAGGCGGATAGAGGACGTCTCTCCAATAATGACCCACGAAGCGGGCGCAGGTCCCAAGGTGAACAAGACGGAGACAATGAGACCCAAGGATGCCTGCGCAAGGGAGGCTGCTTTCGAGATGCCGACGGAGCCTGCGATACCAAGGGCGACCAGGAAGCCAACATTGATCAGGGAACCCCATACGTAGATGGTGCGTCGGCCAAGGTAAGAGGTGAGGATCCAGGAGAGCATGACAAAGATCCATTGGAGAGCTGAGGTGATGAGACCCAGGGCGAACGCGGTATTGACGTCCATGCCAGCCTCTGCGATTGGTTTAGCACATGGATTCAACCAGAACAGTAACAGGGACAACTTACGCTCGAAGAAGTAGACAGCCTGATTGGCGATGAGGTTGCCCGTCAGGTTCTGTGCTGCGTACACACCACACACAATGAGGGTACGGTAAAGGTCAGTACCCTTGAATAGTTCCACGAGATTGGGCTCTTTCAGTGTCTTCTCGAGATCAATGGTACGGCGCATCATGGCGACAGCCTCGCTGGCGTTCAACCTGGTTTTGCGTCCCAAGCGTCCGACTGCTTTTTCTGCCTCTTCAAGACGTCCCTTTCGAACCAGCCACCATGGAGACTCGGGTGCAAGAAAGAGGAGAATAGCAAGAGGGGTGGGAAACATCCATTGGAGCGCGATAGGAATCCTGCATCGTTCGTTAGCGAGAGATTGGGTGTGAAGCAGGAGAATACATACCTATACGCGACATCGTCGTCGACTTTGCTGTAATGATAGGTAACGCCACCTACTAAGATGGAGCCGATGGCCCAAAACATTTGCAGCATCTGAGTAGCAGGAGCTCGCAGCTGGATCGGTGTAATCTCACTGCAGTATGCTGGCGCATTGGCAATGAAGATGCCCCACGGGATGCCCTCGAGAAGCTGGGCAACGAACATGATCGCAAGCGAGTTGGCGAAGTAGAAAACAAAGATGAATGCGTTCAAGAGCATGAGACCAGTTATGGTTGCCCAACGGTATCCGATTTTGCTGGTCAGGGGACCAGCCACAAGGACGCCGATGATTGCACCAAGGGGCCCACCCATTTGAAGGGCAGACTGCCAACTAGCGACAATGATATTCTTCTCCCTCTCGGGGCTGTACACACCGTAGTTGTCCGCGAACCTAGGTAGGGCGATGAAACTACCCACAAGGAAGAGACAATAAGACTCCATGACCTAAACATGGTCTTAGCTGCTATTCTTCATCAAGAGAGGGTAGAGAGGCGGCTGACAATAGTGCAAGACATAATGAACGCCCAAAAGGCGGCCATAGGGTATTCCTTGACAGCCTGCATCACACCCGATTTCTGCTCCGCGGTCTCTGCCTCCATAGCAGCCGCCTTGTACGCCTCGAGTTTCGCATCATTGTCAAGGTTGTGGGAGTCTTCCACTTGAGGGATGCCCTTCTCGTTGTGAATGTCGCCGTCGTGCGCCTTGATATCGATAGGCTCACTCATGTTGGCTGATGTGGGCCGCGATGGCAGGTGTGTGGGGAAGATGGGGAAAGAGATGGAGAAACGAACGAGCGGAGAGGCCCCCACCTTTAAAGAAAACAGGGGCAGACGTTCGCTGCGTCTAGGATTTCACTTTCTCGTAACATTCCATCAATCACAGTACCTAGCTTGCATGTCGGTCTTACGCCGATTCCAGGCCGCGTGATTTGACTGTCACAACCTCGTTTTCATCTGCTCCTGCTAGGCGAGGCTTTCGTTAGCAGCGGTCAGCCCACCGAAAAGGTCGGTAGCGCTTTGAGGGTGGCTGTCTCTGGTCGAGGGCCTCGGCGATTTCTGCGATAAAGGCAACCTGCCGCAGGATAGCAACCTATCAGAGCCCTGGTCGCAAAGCTTGCCCTATCCCCCGCACGACAGAACTGGATTTATCCGGCCGCCTCGAAGCTTGTCCCCAGGTTCTCCAACTTCTCCATCACCAATTCCACGCCAACGGTGTCAGATTCGCGGCGTGATACACCGAGAAGCGGGATTGCAGGCGGGCGGAGTGCGAATAACAGTTTAGCTGCTGCCCTTACCAGTTAGATACTCGATATCGCCGCTGACGCTAGAACGTTGCCATAACGCGGCACCAGACAAGGGGATTGCCGTCTCTTCCTCGCAAGATGGGAGTACTTCAATAAGATGGAGGAGTCGTGCTAGCCACAATTCCACGCTCATATAAATGATGTTGTAGATAAGATATGAGTGTACTGATGGGGTGGGAGTGGTACTGAAGGCAAGCTACCCCAGCTCAGTTGGTGGTCTTCGCTCACACAGTGATCTATCGCGTTAGTTCTTTCCATTTTGGTGCTCGTATTCTGTTACGCCTTTTACGAATCAGGTGCGTGAGGGGGAGCTGGAATCGAGGAAATTGAGTGGGTAAGTCTCGCGCGCGCCTACTCTTTCCCTCTCCACTCGCGGCTCCTGGGTCAATTGCGTGTGCGACTACCGTAGAAGCGCAATGAGACCAGGGGCTTGAATGCGCTGATAGAGTAACCAGCACTCAAGCTTCGTTCTCGAGCTTCTACGGTACGATGTGCGTGATGTGGACTACTTAGAGTTCACATGCCAAGGGGCGCCAGAGAGAACAGTGCCAGCCACCCGCATCTTGTATGTTCTTGTGCATATAAGCAGGTCATGAGAGGTATCCCTTCCGCCAGCCACGAGACGCGAACTGTCCCGCAGTTTACCGAGGTGCGACTGCCGGTGGTCTTCTCATTCATCCTTCCTTCTCCTTCCCTACACCCTTACGCACGTGACGCACACACTTAGCTCGGATGAGACATCGCAGGGCAGAAGCCTATGATCGAGGACCTGACATCGTTCGATCACCACAAATCATGATATCTCCTTTCGGTGGCTCGTGTAGACAGTCGCTCGGGCTGTGGGGCGAAACTGGGGGCATTGTGATCCGACGAGTGTGGAGCTACAGACCAAGTACATACCTTGACCACGTCGTGATTCACTCCAACCGCGCACATCAGGTGAATTAATGAATTAATGCTGCTAACAGATAATGTTGTCCCATCTTCGGACCCAAAGTGATAGCCAATGTTCAAGAACTACACCTGAGGCAGGAGGGCAAGGAGCACACTCTGCTAACTAGTGCTTCGCAGAATGTGCAGGCGCCTCTCCTTCTGGAACAAACAAGTCCCTACTTCTGTACCCACAGAGCAACATGCAGTGACTGGCTACCGAGTGAGTGGATACCACTTAGGCACAGTGTATGTGAAGGTATAGTCCAGGGTGTACTCCACGTTGTGTACCCCATCCGCTCCGCCGACCCACGACATTCGTCGTCTCGGCTCCTCGCATTGTGGATATCCCTGCAGGAACGTCTGTGTACCAACCCAAGGGGACTCCACACATTCGAGAATGAGCGTGCACTCGAAAGTAGGAAGGACAGCCAAGGCAATCCAGTGGTTACACTTCATCCTGCACGTTCTAACGCATGTAACAGCTCTACTAGGAGCCTCGTTCTAAATGACTACGTAGCAAGTCATTGCACAACCCCTATCTGATACAGTGTTACCGCGTAAAAGTGCCTGTCCAAGGATCACAGTAAGCACTCCTAATGAACCGCAAAAGATTTCGTTTGACAGGAGCCGTATCATTTAGACTACTCTCCCATAAACATGCATGCACACATCGTTCAGCCGTTCACCACGAAGTCCAATGCAGCCTCGTAAGCGACTCGCTAACTCCTTACTTCTCCACGTGGCGTCCACAAGTCGTACGCATGGCATGCTTGAAGCAGACAAGCTTCAGAAACCGTGTAGCGGAGTTCACATTGGCATGGCTAGCCAAGTGTGTCTCGTGGGTAGCTCATTTGTCAAGCGCAACGACCTCAGTCTGGAAGCAGCCGCGACGAACAAGCCCAGACAATCGCGAGAACGTACCTAGGGTTGAAGGAGAAGGCTTCCTGGGCGATACCTTCTCACCCTCGGCGAAGCCGCCAACATTACAGAGCACGACGGGACGCATGTCCATCGATATTAGACCTCGACGCCAGCAACCAGCCCTTCGGGAACAGCGAGTATAAATGAGCTGAACGGCACCAATAGTACGATAGTCATATACGACACTAATACGACCAGAAGAAAGACAATCATTGACCGAAGATAGATTTTGATTGCAACTCGAGATGATAAAATAAGATACAGTACAATGCAACAAGCCATCTCAAGAGGCATTAGAAGAGAAGTGAGGAGAACTATAAATAAGGATATTGAGCGTCCATAAACCCAATGGCAAACCGGAACGCCCTTATGCAACGTGTTTCGTTTCCTTCATACAAGTTGAACCAAAGCGAGCCTGCGCTCGCAAGGAGAAGTTGTCTCGTCGAGTCTAGACGTCGTGGAGCCTAGATGTCGTCAAGTCGTGCGTCGAGAAGTCTCGGCCTTCAAAGCTTACGCCTTGAGGGTACCGAAGTCGCCGTTGGTAAGACCGTTAGGCACAACATTAAGGCTAAACTTGCTGAAGTCCTTCTTCAAGTCGTCGACCTTGTTCGATGTGCCATTGGTAGCCTTCTTGTCGTCCTTGGAAATGTCATGCTTGCTCTGCGTCGGGCTGCCGACGACGGTGTCGTCTGTCTCCTCAGCATCGTCGTTCTCCTTCTGCTCTTGCTCCTCACCCTCGGGTCCGTCGACGGACTCAGATGCGTTGTCTTCAATATCGGCATTCTGCTCGAGCTCGGCGTCGTTCTGCTTGATTTCCTCCTCGACGTCGATAAGATCCTCGCCTTCGGCAGGGTCGTCGCGCGCATCGGGAACGACTTCCTCGTCAAGTCGCCAGTCCTGGATCGCGCAGATGATGTCGACAGCAAGCTGGCCGTTCTTGCGCAGTGCCTTGTCCCAGTGCGCAGGCAGACCCTTCTCGAGCACCATCATGCGCGCAATAGAGTGGACGAGCATGTGGCGCATGGGGCTGCCGTTCTCGGTGTTGGCGTAGATGTACTGCACGCGACGAAGGCCGGGGTACGAGTCGCTGAACTTGTACCATTCGCGGACGACCTGCAGGACGTCGGCGATCAGGTTAGGGATCTGAAATTTCTCGGCCATCAGGTACAGGTCGAAAAGCACGCCCAGGTCAGACTCCTCCCGGGGGACGGGGAGCGAGCTGGAGTAGAGCCAGCCGACGAAGGTCTTGAAGGCATTGTCATCGTCTTCCGGGAGGCCGAAGGATTGTGTTGTGTTGCCCTTGGCGTAGAAGATTTTGCGGAAGAAAGGTGAGTGGTGGCATAAGAGCTTCTCGTGAAGGATCCAGTGTGTGTTCTCTTCGCCGACGTAGATGTCGACCATGGAGCGGGAGAGGAGCCTGGAGACATCTTGTTAGTCACTGTAATATCAATGCGACTTGGTGTTGACTGGTTCCCAGCCACTCGAATTGATTGCACATACTCATTGAGCGGCTTCTCGTGTGTGCCAGACATGATGGGTATAGTGATCTTCGGCCGTTGCGACTAAATTAAAGCGGCACTAAGTGGCGGCGCGTGAACGTTGAGATCTCAACGGTCAACTCGTGGGGTATAAGACAAAAGGTCAAAAAGGGATCAAAAACTCGATGAATACAGAATGAACGACGTGAAATGTGGCCGTGCCGACCCTATAAGCAGGCAAGGAGGCTGGGAAGAGACATGCATCGATATGACGTCGGCGTTGACGCGCCGTGGTGTGGAACGGCACGTTTCTTGGAGAGACCCCTGTCAGAATGAGCGACCTGTCAGGGATCTTGGAGATCAATTCACCCAATGCGCATCGATATTCGCGAACGCCATCTCTTTTTGGCGCGGTCTTTGACACATTTGGTGGTGTGAGCTTGTGAAAACGTGCGGAAACCTGATGGGGGCTGGAACCCACATTAGGAGGTGTGAAGAGAGGTCCTGATGTACGACACGCTCAGAATGTTGAGCAACCTCGAGTGAGAAGTAATAGTACTTTCTCAGTTCGCCAGCAGTCACTCTGCTGGAAAGGGTATATGTGTGATATAGTAGCGTTAAAGTTCGTCGACAAACCTGCTCTTCCCGTCCAGATCCCGCCTCTGCAGCGGGTACCTGTGAGCTCATGCAGACCGTCGCTCCGCGGGCATGTTCCTCCGCTCCTTTGCGGTAACCTTCTTGCGACGGCGCTCGATGGTCCTGTCGCGCTGCTTCGATTTCATGTTCTGGAAGCGGTCGATCAGGGCAAGCTTCTTTTGCTCGGCTGCACAATGTGTTAGTGATAGAAAAGGTAGATTCCGGAGTTGAACGCAACATACACTTCTTCAGGTAGAAGGGCTGCTTTCCCTCCTTGATCAGCTCCTTCTCCTTCTTCTTGTGTTCTCGTACAACAGCTTGCTGCTCGTCCTTCCTTTGCTGAGTCTTCATTTGTGACTCCATTGACTCCAATTGTTTCCTCATCTGCTCCTTTTCGTCACCGTTTCTTGACTTCTTGATAGCCTTCTTGAGTTCTGCAATCTCAGACGCCTTGTAGTCATTCAAGAACGCATACCGGTTGCTGAGTGTATTCTCGTCCGGCCGGGGTCCGCCAATGTTCTCAAATCGTGGGTCGCGAAAGACAGGTTTCTTGACCTCGACAACATTTCGCTTGCGTGACACCATGCGTTTGCTCGACTGTACGGCGGGCGCGTGCTTGCTAGATCGTGCGTGCGGTGCGGCGTCTGAATCTGAGTCGTCCTCTCCGTCCTCGCTCTCGTCGCGCTCCTGACGCTTCGTCTTGCTCTTCTCAGCGGCCTTGGGCTTCTTGCTCGGGTGTGCCTCCCCATTTGCAATCTTCTCCGCCTTGATCCGTCGTAACCGCTCCCTCAGTGCCTCCAGCTTGTCTTCCTGTGATTTTGAGGAGTCCTCGCCTCGCTTGCGCTTCCGGTCTGTCGATTTCGAGAGCGCGTCCTGTGCTTTGGCTAGAGCCCCAAAAGAGATCTTGCTCATTTGTGCTTGTACTTGGTCGTCTCCAGATGCGTCTGACTGTAAAAAGTCAGTACAAGAAAGTAGAACCCTGCAATACAACTTTTACCATCTCTTCATCCTCAGAACCATCTGCAGCGTCATCTTCACTATCTGAGCCCACAACTTCGCCAGCGCCAAACTCTAGTACGGACTCGGAGGAAGATCGGTCCGTCACTTCGTAGTTCTCGCTGTTGTCTGAGCTTTCCTCGGCAGCACGCAGCTTGCGGTCAAGCTTGCTGGAGAGTGGCGGCATTTTGGTGTTTGTCTTGCTTCAGATAGACTCGAAGACAGTGATGCTGAGATCCAAAAAGTTAAGGTGGGCCCCACCATTCACCGACATTTAGCCGGCGCAAAACTAAGGTTGGGAGGCAACAGCGAACCTTCACGTGCCAGCCAGAAAGACTTCCTGCTTGAACTTCATGCTGCGGTCTTCACTTTCACTTTCACACCTCCTACAATCCATACTGAAAATATCGCACGCTGCTAAGCAAGCTCCGTTTGTTCGCCATGTCTGTCGAAATCGAACGGTATATTCCCCACGACGCTGCAGTCGCAGAGCCCAACACTAACCCACTCAAGGCCGCTGCCGGTCGTCACAACAGCGCATCTCCTTTACACACCCACAGTCAGCCTCCAGTCGCCGCCATGAACAACAACTTCAACCCTTGGGCGCAGCCATTCACGCCAAACTATGGCTACCCCGGGCAGCCCTACGAACAGAACCGCGAGCGCAACCGCAGTCAATGGCAAACGCCTACGCAAGGCTACATGTCACCTGTGTCGGTAGCAAGTGCGCCATGGAACGCAAACTACGGGCAGCCGCAGCAGTACTACTCGAATGGCGGGCCGATGTACAACGACGCCGCCGCGCAACAACAGGCGCAAGCACAAGGCTACTATTATCAGCGGGCGCAGTACTATGGCTACACTCAAGAATTCACGCCGATAAACGCCCTACAACAGGCTCTCGGGCAGACACCTCAGCGAAATTATCCCTTTTTCGGGCCATCTTTCGCGGCCATGCAGTCCCAGTCAGGCGTACAGGGTATTTCCAACGATGACCTACAGTATGCCTTCGATAAGCTCTACAAGGGCATCAAAGCAAGAACTCGCAGGACTAACATCAGCCGTAGGGCGTCAACTCCACTTTCTGACGACGGGCCCATTCAGGTAGTCACAGATGGTCTAGCCAACATGAAAGAGTACGACTCCCTTCGCCGGGTTGACCCTAGTTCGCGCATTAATAAACCCTATAGAGAGCCAACAGTGTATCCAACCACCAAGCCAACCGGAAGAAGCAGGGATCCAAAAATCATGCTGCCTGCACCAGCGCCTACTGAAGCGTACATGGCACAAGCGGCGGAAGAACCTTCTACAGTCGAGCTGTCCGGTCGTATACTCGTCATCCTCGATCTCAACGGCACTCTCCTCTACCGGCCTAACAGGAACAAGAAAACGATGATTGCGCGGCCATTCCTCATCCCGTTTTTGCGATACCTGTTTTCGAACTTTGCTGTCATGGTGTGGTCTAGCGCTCGCCCCGAGAATGTGGCTTCGCTCGTAGAGCAATCTTTGGAAGGGGACTTGAGGAAGGCTTTAGTGGCTCAGTGGGGTCGCGACGTCTTCAACCTAAAGCCAGAGCATTACAGCGCGAACGTACAGGTGTACAAGAACCTCGACCTGGTATGGAGCAAGGACGAGATTCAGAAGCAACACCCCGACTATGAGAATGGAGGCCGTTTCGGGCAACACAACACGGTCCTCATCGACGACTCGATGCTCAAGGCAGCCGCGCAGCCGCACAATCTACTCCAGATTAGCGAGTTCAACGCCGCACCACAGCAGATGCGGGAGGACAAATTACACGAAGTTGCTGGGTATCTCGAGGCTCTGCGTACACAGCGAGATGTTTCCAAGTTCATGAGGAAGGAGCCGTTCCAAAACGATGGTGGCAAATGGGTGTATGAGTGGCCAGAGAAGGACGCGACTACCCAAGGTACTGCCTACCAGGGTGGCCAGCTGCAAGGCAAGGTGTCGATGCAGAGCCCGTCAAAAAAGAAGGTCAAGCAGAACAAGAAGGCAAAGAAGCGCGAGGCAGCTGAGAGGGCTGCGAAGGCCAAAAAGAACGGAGGGGCCGAGCAGGCTGATGAGAGCGAGAGTAGCGGAGAAGACGAAAGGAGTGATGAAGTTGGGAGGAGCGACGGGGGCGTGAAGCGGTTCTGATTATGTCGCCAGCTTTGTGTTCTTGTATACGTACATCTTGGTGTGCATGTCACAGTTGTATGTGACAACAGCCTAATCCAGTTGGCACCTCAAGCAGCGAACTAGACGATTGAAAGGACCCTTCTGCGAATAAGAATTGCAGAAGTGCGGAGGACTTAGATACCCAATGACAAACAAGTTGAGCGAATCTTACTTACAAGTTGACTAAATATTTTTCATCGTATTTGGACGTCTATTCTTCATTTAAGGCTTGCAATCGCCCACCAATTGTCCTTCTCATACCCACTCTCGACGATCACACCGCCAGCCTGCTCTATATCTCCCTCAAGTTCTCCTTTCCTGTACAGATGGTAGTATCGTAGAAACGTCTTATCACCCTCTGGCTTGGTTTCTGGCGCCTCAGAGTTCTCTTCTTTTTGATCTTCGCTCCCTTTCTCTGCTTCACCGTTTTCCTGCGCCAGACCCTCTTCACCTCTCCTCTTCTGCTGCTTCTTCTTCTTCTTCGGAACCTTCTCCTTCTTAGCTGTCATAACCCACGGCACCATGACATCCTGCTCACTGCCTTCATCCCAGCCTCGTCGACTGCTCTTCTGCTCTAGCGCCCAGACGTAGATCAGTGCTTTTCCTCCACTCCCGCTTACGCCTTGCTGTGGCGGGCGCAGGAGATCTAGGATGCATTTGACGGCTTCCATGCGCCGTGCTGGCGTAGATAGGTGATGGACTACAGCTATTGAGATGGCGAAGTCGAAGGAGTGTGGTGGGTGGGGGAGGGAGAGGTTGTCTGCTACGACGACATCGTGGGGTTTGTGGTGTTGTGCGATTTTAACCAGATTTGTTGATCTAGTCACATGTCAATATAAACTTCGTCAAGAGCTAAATCTCTTGATATTGATCGAGGGCACCGGCAAAGTGATGCTCGATGATGGAAACATACCTGTCAGACCCCACAATGAAAACCTCTTTGTTCACAGCGAGATACTTTCCATTCCCACACCCTACATCAGCGCCAATAGCACCATTGGGTTGTTCCTTCAAGAAACGCTCGACTATCGGCCATGGCTAGATACGGTTAGCTAGTTTTGTAGCGAGAGAAGGAGGGGTGACGCACACCTTGTAGCGTGTGGATGAGAAGTGCGATGCAATCTGCTCGTAGACTTCATGCACGTGTTCTTCCTCGTAAGATAAACCTGCAGCCTCAGATACGGCCATTTTATCGAAGTTTGGCGTGGTGGATGTGTGGTGGTAAATTTGTAGGGTTTGCGCAGCCAATTAGGGAAGGGGAAGGGCCAAGGCGCTAGCGGTGAGTGAGTGCATTTGAGAGAGCTGAACGATCGTCCTGACTTCTTCTTTCATGCCGTTGTTGGCATTGTCACCATCACAGCCTGCAAGGATCTCTGTTATTTGGATTCTTTGATCGTATAGTACTAGACCTCAAGTGCTCACTACACGATACCTGGCTTTCATCATCTACATCTCCACTGTACTGCCAGAGGCAGCCGTCAATGACCCTCGAGTTGCAACTACCGAAGCCCTTGTGCATTGATCACACAACGAAAATGACAACGACTAAGATCTTTACACAGACAAACAACAGGAATGATCAGAGTAGCAAGAGCAACAGTGTCAACAACGCACTCTGCAATCAAAGTGTTTTCAAATGTACTCTCTGGTACATCAGGACGACTGCCTGCATACCTTAGCGTGGATTTTTTCATAACCGACTCGACGGATCTAGTAGTATTACGAACTCGTCATCAACCTCATATGCATGCTCTGGTCCACGCACTGATGCAGCCAATGGCCCTCATCGTTGCGCGCTCCACGATGGTACAGAACGTTGCTAAGGCGGTACTTCAGTGGCGTGATGTGGCCACGCTGTAGCGCCTAATACTCCGTCAGATCGAGCTGATCATTGATACGGATTGGGTTATTGTTCCTCCGTCCACTTCCGTCCACGATGTTCTGCTTCACACGAAGGAGCTGAGGCGCCGCATCAATGCGTAGGTGTTTGGTCCTCTGACGCCAGAGATTGCAGGTCACGTATTGAAATATACCCAGTACCTCTGGAGCGAATTTACGACCGAAAGATGTCTTGACTGAGTCAGCTTGTCCTCTCGGCAGGACACTGAGGTCGCGGACGCCAGCAATCCGTCTGTCGCGCCGAAGGGAAGCGGTTGCAGAGCTCTACATTCGCAGGTCCAAGTGACTTTGACCTCGAGGCTGAAGAGAGCATCGAACTGGCTTGGGTTATCGGCCAGCTGCGAGCAATGCGCCGGGCGTTGTCGTCTTTCACCCGCTGCCTCGCGGTCTGCTGAAGGGCAATGTTTGCGCGAGGAGGATTGCCGCGCAGAGAGTAGCGCGCATGATGTGTTCTTCTGTGAGAGGAATCGGACATGTTTAGTATCAGGTAACGCAGCTCAAGATGCGGATTACGATGGTGAAGATTGTTTGTAAGAGAAAGATTGTGATACGGTTCATGTAGTGCTGCGTAAGGACCTTCCCAGCCATCTGTGAAGGGGTCATTTTGAGTCTAGGGCTTCGCTCCTACCGGCTCCTCATCAGGGAATCGAATCGTCCTCTGCAAACCCACATCCGCCGTGCTCGCCGCTGCACTCGCCTCACCAGTCCCTCCCTCGCCTCTTGCCATCGTCGGCGCAGCCGATAGTGGCATAGGCGTCTGCACATTACTTCTCGACTGACTCCTCGAGTTGTCGCCGGAGCGAATGATAGACCTGCCAATGCGCACAACGCGGTTTGGCAACGAATCACCTCCCGTACGCGACCAACCTGGACGGCGTCGAAGCCGCTGCTCGATATCTGTAATTGCATCGTCGGCGCCCTCTGCAACGTAGAACGGCTCCGGCTCTTCGCTTCGAGATGAGATGGCGCGCGAAAGCGTGCGAGGGATGAAGAAACCGAGTTTGCCGAGGGGAATGCTAAGGCCGTGGACGATGACCGAGCAGATGATCAGGAACCAGATGACCACGTTCATGACTTCAATAAGGTACGCTGCGTCCTCTCTAGTTCCATCGTCGACTTTGATCTTGTTGAGGAACTCAATGCTGACATAGAGGTAGAAAGCGGCACTGACACCAATGGGGCCGAAGAAACCGACGAAGAGTGCTTGTCGCTTTTGCTCGATCTGGTGGATCTGCTTGTGCATCCCGAAAACGATAGGAGGGCGGCGGAGTAGGAGAACTAAAATACCGAGAATGACTAGTCGCCAGATGGGGATGACGTTGTTATGGTAGAACTCTGCCCATGGGCAGATCGCCCCGAACCAGATGAATATCGATACGTTGAGGAGCATGTCGATGGTTGGTTGGAAGGAGTCGTCCATGGTCTCGAGGCGGAACCAGTCGTCCCAGGTGAATGTGTTGCCAGCGATAAAGCAGGCTAGGACATCGTCGCTTCCGATCATGCCAACGGTGCCGACGATGAATAGAGCGAGGGTGATGGCGAAGACGAGGAAGCTTTCGCGATCAACGTACTTCCTCTCTTCAGCCCAATGCAACAACTCTTTTGCGAGCCATCCTACGACGGCGCCGTAGATGACACTCAAGATAATGGTGTATCCCAACGTTTCTCCAAACCACAATCTAATGGCGGTACTTGCTTTGCCGTCCTGACCAAAGCCATCGTTCCCATGACTGCCAATGTGCTGGATTAGATAAAGTGGCAGGAACAGGAAGGGGTAACCCAATCCATCATTAGCTCCAGACTCAGCAACAATGATCTTCTGAAGTTCCTTGGGAATGTTCTTGTCCGCAAACTTGCCCTTGACGATAGAGTTGGACAACACAGGGTCTGTAGGGGTGACACAAGCACCAACCGCCAAGGCCTGCAAGAAGCTTATATGAGGGACCAGTGCGAAGACGAGGAGGCTGGTGATGAGCCACATAGTCGTCATGACGGGACCGAGGAGTAAGGCCAGACTCTTCCATTCTGTTTTCAGGTACTTCGACGGCAGTTGCACGCCGGCAAGGACTAGTTGCACGCCAAGTACGACGCGGGTGAAGTACAAGGTAATGGAGTCCAAGTTTTCAATAGAATGCAGAGCATATTCGTGCGGTCGTATCCAGTTGGTTGCATGCGGGGAAAAGATGAGTCCAGCAATGAGGGATATCACTAGGTTTGTCAGAGTTCGAACACACAAAATCAGCAATACATGTGACTCACGCGCTTCTGAGAGGTAGAACTTCTCTTTCATCAAATAAGACACAAGGCCAAACAAGGTGATGAACCCGCCAAGCGAGGCGCACACGATGTTGAAATTCGTCAACGCCAGTGTAGGCATGGTGGTGGTTGTATTCAAAAGTTGTCAGGAATCCCAAGACAATGGTAGATGCAGGGTTGGCTGTCGTGGTGCACAATGAGTTACCTACAGTAGGCGTGTTCACTTGACTGGAGCAGCGACTGTATCGAACGAGGCTAACTTTGGTGCTTTGAGAAGCATTGAATATGACGTTTGATGGTAAAACTTTCCTATCAGGAAAGACTAAGTGGGAGTGTGTCTGAATCACAGAGGACGGTACAAGAAGTCAACCTGGGGTAGTGTGCCTTGGCATGCCGATTTTATTCGCGCAATGCAAATCAAGCACCGAAAGGGTAATGTTGGACTGTAGTCAAGCTCACTAACATTCGGACTCCATGGCATATAATTGAACAAATACGCTGGTATTCTCATACACTCTACACCACGCAAGTCACATGCCAGGACTGATAAAGGAAAATGTGAGCCTATGTACAATTCAAAACTCCCCCCGTTTTCAAAACCGTGCTTTACATTAGCTTAGATGTTGGCTGCCGACGCGATCTGGGGTGTTCCCTGAGGCCCGTAACCGACCTGAGGGTCGGGGTATCCAGGTGCCATGAAGTTGGTCTTGGAGTTCTTCTGCTCCTTCGCTGCTGAGCATCGTGCCATTGTCGGTGAACTAGACAACAGTTAGTACTTGGTATCAATGATGGTTTTCTAAGCGCAACTTACTTTCTCGAGATGGCGTCTGTGAAGAAGAAGTTCTTGATAGGCTTCTCAAGAGCCTGGCCTGACGACTGCGAACCCTTGTTCTGGTCTACCAGCTGGACCTTGCTGAGGCCAGGCAGGGAAGTCGACTCGACCAAGTCGTATCTCCTGAGAGCAGGAGAAATCTCCTCCATACGGTCACGAAGCTGCTCAACATCATCGTAAGGCAGCTCAGCACCGAGGTACTCTGATGCAGCACGGATGATCTTCCAGTCTTCTCTCGAAGCACCAGGCAGACCAACAGCAGCACGAGACATCTGTACACGACCCTCAGTATTGACGTATGTGACAGACTTCTCTGTGTAAGCGGCACCAGGAAGGACAACATCAGCAAGCTGAGCACCGCGGTCACCGTGATGGCCCTGGTAAACGACGAAAGCGTCCTTGGGCAGCTCAGCCTCATTGATCTCATCAGCACCAAGCAACCAGACGAACTTGGGCTTGGTGTTGGCAACCTCGGGCGAGGGAACTGTGAAGCCAACATCGTAAGCACCAGTGCGGGAAGCTGTTCGCTGAAGAACGTTGTAGCCGTTCCATTCAGGTGTGGCGAAGCCAGCCTTGTTCTTCTCAACAAAAGAACCAACCTGCTCGAAGATGGACTTAGCATCCGGGTGCTCAGCAACAGCGCTACCAACGATGATCATTGGCTTCTTGGCGCCCTGGAGTACCTTGCCAAACTCGCCAGACAAAGCGCCCTTCAGGTCATTGGCGTTGGCTCCGAGGTTCGAGTACTCGAAAGTACTTTCGAAGTCTTCACCAACGAGACCGATCTGTAGGTCGGACCTCAACCACTGCTTGCGGATACGGGCGTTGAGAACGGCGGCCTCGTGTCGGGGGTTGGTACCGATAAGAAGGATGGCATCAGCCTCCTCGACACCGTAGATCCTGGAGTTGAAGGAGTAGTTGGCGCGGGAGTCGATACCGTGGGCAATAGGCTGGCTACCTCCGGGCTGGTCGAGAGCCAAGTTGTCAGAACCAAGCTTGTTGGCGAGGTCCTTTGCGGCGACGAGAGTCTCAGCCTCAACAAGGTGACCAGCAACGAACTTGATCTCGTTCTCCTTGGGTGCGATCTTCTTGAAAGCGTTTCCGATCTCAACAAGGGCCTGCTCCCATGATGCGGGCTGGAACTGGTCGTCGACTCGAATGAGCGGGTTGACCAGGCGCTGTGTGCTGAGAGCGTCGCATGCGAATCGGGTCTTGTCGTTGATCCATTCCTCGTTGACGTCGTCATTCAGACGGGGCAGAATCCTCATGACCTGGATACCACGGGAGTCGACGCGGATGTTGGAGCCAAGGCCGTCAAGGACATCGACAGTCTCGGTCTTGTACAGCTCCCAAGGACGGGCCTTGAAGGCGTATGGCTTCGAGACCAGGGCACCAACGGGGCAGAGATCGATCACGTTTCCGGAAAGCTCAGAGTCGAGGGAGGTCTCAAGGTATGTGCCGATCTGGAGGTCGTTACCACGGCCTGTAGAGCCCATTTCGGGGGCACCAGCCACGTCGTTGGAGAAACGAATGCATCGTGTGCAGTGGATACACCTATTCATGGAAGTCTGGCAGATGTAAGCACAGCGTTCGCACGCCTTACGTTGAATCTCCTACCTTGATCAGAGGGCCAATGTTCTTGTCCTCAACGGCACGCTTGCCACCGATCTCGTGGAATCGACCGCGGTCGGCTCCGTACCTCATCGACTGGTCCTGGAGATCGCACTCGCCTCCCTGGTCGCAGATGGGGCAGTCGAGCGGGTGGTTGGCGAGCAGGAACTCCATGACACCTTCGCGCGCCTTGTGGACGAGCGGCGAGTCGGTCTTGACTACCATGCCTGGCTGCACCGGCCACGCGCACGACGCAACTGGCTTGGGAGCCCGCTCCACCTCGACCAGACACATACGGCAGTTACCGGCAATCATCAGCTTCTCGTGGTAGCAGTATCGCGGGACGGTGCTTCCGGCCTTTTCGCAGGCCTGGATGAGGGCGGATCCAGCTGTTCGGGGGCGTCAGGACTGTCTCTGCAGCTGCGAGCGGGGTCAGTGAGGCGGCGTACCTTCGATTGAGACCTTCTTTCCATCTGCAGTAGCTGTCAGCGCTCGCCGTCGCGGGCAATGGGGGGGGGGGGGTGGTGGCACAAACCGATTGTGAGCTCGACCTCTGCAGGCCGGGGGGCCGAGGCAGTAAAAGCCCGGCTGCCATTGAGGGCTGCGCTGTAGGCAGGCCTCCTCAGCGACCGGATCAATTGTTGCCGCAGCATGTTGGGGGCGTGTGAAGGGGGCGATGGGACGTGTTGCGGGTGGTCGTTCAGAGCTTCAGTTTATCAGATCCACAAGTCGATGAGAGCTGCCAAGACCATCATCGACAAAGTGGCAGGCGTGATTGGTCAGGTGTCCGAGCGCCTGCCCGGCGAACAAAATTCTCTGGCTGCCCACACCCTCTTCTCTTCTTCACTCATTACGGGCACAATTTATTGTAGGAAGGTCGAGCCCTCTACTCGACTCTCCTCTATTACGTGTCCCAGAGCACGACTTACTGTGCGAGGTAGCTGGAGCAGAGGAGGCATCTGATGATATCTTGTTCCTTACCAACGTCGCTACATACTGCTGTGAAAATGAATCTATGACACTGTGACGAGAGTATCAGCCTGAGGGAGCAAGAAGCAGCCTTGTTGTAGCTTTGCAACCGCTGCATGCTGATTCGACGCCGTGACATAACAGGCACGCCTGACACAGCTGTTTACCCGGATGCTCCGGGGGTTGTTCAAGCTTAAATCCAGTGCCATGATGCCTCCGCTCAACTGACAGCTTCACTGTAGGTGTCACTTCTTCATGATGAGTTGTTGTAATGAACATATTCATGCTTTTCATTATCTTGCCATGTCGATCTACAAATCTCATCTCAGATGGCTCGGAAGCCAGGATATCGAGCTCTTTCCTCTTCTATGTAGCTCTAAACGATCAAACTCCAAGCGAAAAGAAGAGATGACCACGACCCCGAAACGCCTTTTCAATGAACACAGCATGATCTGCACTAGATCATACTCTCATCACACAGTCTACTCCTCAGGGCCGATCTCCATCTTCGCGCCCTTGCCAGCAGTCGTCTGAGCAACCGGGGCCATGATCTTAGCGGGTGGGACACCAAGACCGTTGTGGTTGCGGAAGAAGAGAACACCAGCGGCCTCGCCGGTGGCACCCTCGGTGGGCTCAACCCACTGGCACATGCGGGCGCTCTTCCACATGGACTTGAGGAAACCAATCGAGCCACCCTCGGTGTCAGCGCGGTAGTGCTTGCCCATGACAGGCTTGATAGCCTCAGTGGCCTCATCAGCGTTGTAGAAGGGGATGGTCGAGATGTAGTGGTGGAGAACGTGGGTCTCGATGATGCCATGGAGGAGAACGCGTCCGATGAAACCGAACTCGCGGTCGATGGTAGCAGCGGCTCCGCGAACGTAGGTCCAGGTCTGAGCGTCGTAGTGAGGAAGAGTGGGGTCGGTGTGCTGGAGGAAGGTGATGGCAACGAGCCAGTGGTTGACCCAGAGGTAGGGGATGATGTACCAGACGAGGAGGTTGGCGAAGCCGTAGTTCTTGCCGACCCAGGTAAGGGCAGCGAGCGTGATGGCGATACCAACGTCAGAGAGGAGGATGAGCTTCTCGTCCTTCCTCTCGTACAGAGGAGAGGCGGGGTTGAAGTGGTTAACACCCTTGAAGAGACCGTTCTTCTTGCCGGTACCCTTGCTCTCAGACTGGCGCTCGTGGAAGTTGTGGCCGGTGACGTTGCTGATTAGGTACATGGGCCAGCCACCGAGCTGTTGAACAACCATGTGGGTGAGAGTAGCGATAGGAGTCTCTTCGGTGAGCTCGTGAAGCTCGTGGACAAACTTGCCGACACGGGAAGCGTAGACCTCACGGGTCTTGGGGACGAAGACCATGTCGCGCTCCATGTGGCCGGTAGCCTTGTGGTGTTTGCCGTGGGAGATCTTCCAAGAGAAGTATGGGACGAGAAGAGCGGAGTGGCAGATCCAGCCAACGGTATCGTTGAGGACCTTGGAGGGAGAGAAGGCCTGATGACCGCACTCGTGGGCCATGACCCAGAGACCAGTTCCAGACAGACCTTGCATGAAGGTGTACAGAGTCCACAGGACAGCGCGGACGGGCATCGAGGGAATGGTCTCGGGCGTCACATAAGTGTAGAAGAGGTAGAAGGTACCCGCGAGCTGGGCAAGATCGCGAGCAACGTAGCCCAGACTGCGTACGGCAGAGCGCTCGAAGCAGTGCTTGGGGATGACAGAGCGGAGCTGGCCAATGGTGTAGTCGGGGATCTTGAACTCGTTGCCGTAGGTGTCGAGGAGCTTGCCGGTGGGCTTAGCAGCGACCTCGGCCTCAGAGGCGAGCGACGAGAGGGAAGTGTTGGAGGCCGATCCTGCTGGAGAATCGGAGGGCGAGTTCGCAATGGTCGAGGGGGCCGAGTCGGCGGTGACATTGCGCCTCAAAGCACCCGTAGGACGGGCGGTGGTAGTAGCAGCCATCTTGAAACCGAAGATGAGATGTCGATAGCGATGGTGTCAAAGTTCCTCAATGGTGAGAAGAGGGGCAATAGGAAGGGCAATAGGAGGGACAAGTTGCAGAGAACTTGTTGGGAATGCAGATCGTTTGTTGAGGTCGAATGCCTGCAACGACAAGAAAGAACGATGGGCTGAAGACCTTCACGGAATTGCAAAGCCCAAGAGGAATTGAAGACTGACCGAGAGTGGGAGCGCAGTTTTTAAAGCACCACGGATGCCCCAGGCGGTGTCGATGGAATTTTAGGTAGACCCTGACACGAACGGTAAGCGTCGCGAGCAAAGGGTGTTCGAGAACAGGGATACCAATAAGACAGGTCCAGCTCGGCTGCTAATACACTCCGATCTCTCTATCTCTCCACTCGGAAAAATGCCAGACTGATCCTTATGGATACACTTGCCACCGCATTGAGCTCTCTGAGCACTGCAGCGACTGCGAAACACAGCTTGTGCGGTACAGTGCCCACAGTGGCGGCAGGACTCGCGCATTCTCTAGCCTCAACACGCCTCTCTGCCTCGTCTGGGGCGCTGGATCGCAAGCCGATGCCCTCTGTCCGCTGTCTTGGCGCATGGGCACGGCTTTCAGACCGCCAATTCGCACCACCCATCACGCGTTCTTTTCCGCTGATTTGCTCTACGGCCTCGCCTAGAGGTCGAACTGAGCAGGTACCAAGTCTGTACCGACCCGCTTTGTGCCAACGTCCGAGGCCATGCCGGCTTGCAGACATAGCATTGAGGTGCTCAGGCACTCAGACAACGTTCGCAGAGACATTGAAGATGCCGAACATGCCGATTGAGCTTGATGACAGTCGCAATTGCACGATGTTGCTGGTGGATCTTGTCGCGAAAAGCAACCGGGATCTCTGCAAAGATCTGAGGTTCTATGCAGGGCAATGGCTAGTGTGTCTATCTGATAAGGTGATAGGTCAGACCACCGAGGCTTCAGCTCCGTTCCTGAGTGGCGAGTCAAAGCGGTCATACATTGACCGAGTTTTCGAAGTACCTTTGTATATACCGATCGTGCGCCCATCATTGTGTGCGCAACAGTGGTGATGACAGTCAGCTCGGATAAACGATCCGCCTCGTCACAGCACTGCGATTGAGGATTTCGAATTCATGCCTGTTGACATTGATCTGCAAGAATCACGTCAATCGCTATCAGATGCTGTTGGATGCAAGCTGTAAGCACCCTCATACTCCGATAACTCATGTGAAAGAGGGGCATTCATATCGGTCATGGTCGCAAATGAGAGCCGCTGACGAAAATGTTCAGCTGTTTGCAGGAAGTCGGTCGCATATGACGGCCAATGATAGCCATTCATCACCACACGTCTTGATCGAGAGCACCGATTGCACAGCAACCATTAGTACCACGCTCCCAACATCAGACCTCCCCTTGCGATCACAAACTGAGAGCGTTGTTCGAGGCATCGAGTATCTAATCAGGTCAACGATCAACAAACAGCATCAGTCGAGGCATGATTGCGGTCAAGATGCGTCCTCTTTTGCACTACGACACCTTCAATTTTCCAGGCACTCGATTTCAATCGCTCTGGTAGCCTCCATGGGCAGTCATCAATCTACCTCTGCGCCACCACCGTCAGACGTCGTCTGAAAGTGGGTCTTCTCCAGACTTTCATATGCCAAAATTCCCAGGTTTACGAGACTTCGATCGCCCCTAAAGCACCGTTGAGCGGGCGTTCGACGGGTCCTTTCCATGCCAGACTACACCTAGCGTCGGAGCACTCTTTCCAAACGCTGTCAGACGTGGAGATGTGGTGTGGAGTCAGTGAACCTCAAGCTTGGCAGCACCGTGAACGAGTGAATGTTTGCAGGCGTCTGGATGATGAGACTAGCAGAGTCTGTCGAACTTGCAATGGAATCATCTTATGATATATATGTTATACAGATGTGAGATAGAAGCCGGCAAGGCCTATGCTCCCAGCTTCATTAACCCCTGCCAACCGATCTTCTTCCAGGTGACGAATGCCAGCAGCGCGACAACACCTATCCTCCCTGCAAGAGCCGTAGCCACAGCTTTCCTCACAATGGGATAGTATCCTTCCAGCATTGAGTTGACAGCCGCACCTCTCGCAACCATCTTCGCTCGCCCAGTCTGTCCCCACCCACGCCCAACACCCAACCCTGCTATCCCAACCTCACCAGGCTTGTCCCCTCCCTCCTCACCTTCGCTAAAAATCGGCCCAACAGCCTCGCTCCCGAAGCCCGGTAAATCCTGCTCGCCCGCTGTAGTCGAAGAATGCGTGGTCACCGTTGACATCTCAAGAGACTTCTGCCTCCTAAACCGATACGACATAGCCCACATTACAAACCTTACATCCCAGCTCGTAAATGTCGGATACGTCCACAACTCCAGCGCATTATGTGGCGGAATATGTTCCAAGAAGTCACTCACAACGCCCAACGTCAGCCCCCAAAGCAGCAGCGACGGTTTCCCATCGCCTCTCTCCTCGCCAAGCACCAGCTCCCTCGCCTTTGTCATTGGTCCTTTCGGCGGCGCGCTGAAAGCGGGCACGAAGTCGGGTATTGTGGCGCAGTGTGTGGAGTTTGAGGGCACGAGGCGGATTGCTGCGAACATCATTTTCGAGAGCATGGCTTGTAGGAACCAGCGCTTTATCCCGAGCTCAGATTTTGCGAGGCGTGCGGAAACGTCGGCGTATTCGTGGGTTCGCAGGACGGGGGAGAGGAGCGCACGGATGGGCACCCAGTGCGAGGAGGCTACTTCGGTGGGTTGGAGGCGTTGGGTTGGGTAGTTGGGGGAGGTGAGGAGGTAGATATAGGGACATAGCACCATTAGACTGGAGCGGTCAGCAGAGCTAGGCAGAGTGGAGTTATGGGAAGTGCTTACGGGACTTTACCCCAGCTTGTGGTGACTATCCGCTGAGGCAGGTTGCCGACTGCGATCGCGTTGTGGTAACTCAAATCAATACCTACTTCTTCCAGCGCTTCTCTCATGGCTGTGACAGCATCGTCGTCGTCTTCTGGGTCTCTCTTCCCCCCAGGCAATGCGACATGACCATTCCACTTGTCTCCTATCCTTGTCGCCCGTTTGATGAAGAGGATCTCAGGGTCGCCATGCTTCACCCAGTCCTGCTCGAAGAAGGCATGTAGGATGTCCTCGAAGCTAAGCTTCTGACCAGAACCTGAAGCGGCGGAGGATCGTCGACGGGATTTTGGTGGATGCTGCGACGCAGATTGCGGAGGCTTGTCTGAGTATGCTGGCCAGTGGTTGTAGTTTGGTTGTACGCGCAAGATCAAGGCGACTGAGGCGCGCTTTGGGACCTTGGGAGGACACGCGACCTCAGGGTATGGGTGTGTGTTGAGCTCGAGAAGGACCGACTTGAGGTGTGCGATCAGGTCTTCGGTGCCTGTTGGCGCTGCCATGCTGGCGCGTTGTGCTAGCTTTGGGCTGTGACTGGATTCTAGTCTGTTACCATGGTACGGATATTGCGTATAACATGAAACTTCGCTCTGACACGGCGAAAATAGCTTGTGAACAAACAAATGTATATAAACAGTGCAATGTGTACTAATGAAAAATGTACATTAGGTAACGTTGGTTCATACAACTCGAGGTTGATGGAGATGGTCAAGTAAGCTCTTGGACGATGCAGTGAAATATGGAGAGCCGAGGCTAGCGTTAGTCATGCAAGCTGGGGTCATGCAATAGAAACAACAAGTGTGTGGACAGCAAGGTAGATTGACTACAGCATACTGTCGCGCAACCACTTCAGTATGGTCGTAGATGCGGAGATGTTGAAGATGTTTGCTCGGTAACGCTGCCGTCGAAGGAAGCTGTAGCGAATGGGAGCCACCGAGATCGGAACAGGAGGGGAAGGGAGCATCGTCACAGCGGGGCAGATTGCTGCGCAAAAATATCGAGACACCCCACGCTGGGCGCCAGTGCTTTACGTATACCCCAGATACCCTTTGCATTGTATTCCTTTCCACTCCAATTGATTATACACAGTCATTTGAAGCAATCAGTCAATATGGGTGGCCAAAAGACTGGTGGGTATCCCACTGAAAACACCCCACCATAGCAAGTCTAACAATCCATAGCTATCATCTCCGTCTATGACAAGACAGGTTTGCTTGACCTGGCTAAGGGCCTCAAGGATGCTGGTGTCAGGCTGCTTGCCTCTGGCGGCACAGCCAAGATGATCCGTCAGGCTGGCTTCGATGTTGAAGACGTCTCTGCCATCACAAAGGCACCTGAGATGCTCGGCGGACGCGTCAAGACTCTTCACCCTGCTGTCCACGGTGGCATCCTCGCGCGCAACCTCGACTCAGACGACTCGGACCTCTCGGCGAACAGTATCGACAAGATCGACTTCGTCGTTTGCAACCTCTACCCCTTCTCCGAGACCGTTGCCCGGATCAACGTCACAATCCCAGAGGCCGTCGAGGAGATTGACATCGGCGGCGTCACTCTTCTGCGAGCTGCGGCCAAGAACCACGTGCGCGTCACCATCGTCAGCGACCCTAACGACTACCACGACCTTCTTACCGAGCTCAAGAACAACAATGGCGAGGTCTCTGAGAAGAGCAGGCAGCGATACGCGCTCAAGGCCTTCGAGCAGACATCCACATACGACAGTGCGATCTCTGAGTTCTTCAGGAAGAAGTACGCCGGCGATGGCGAGCAGTTCCTTCCTCTGCGATACGGCGCCAACCCTCACCAGAAGCCTGCGACCGTCTCCATGCCAGACAAGCCTTTGCCCTTCAAGGTTCTTGGTGGATCGCCCGGATACATCAACTTGTTGGATGCCTTGAACGCATGGCCCCTGGTCCAGGAGCTGAGCAAGGCACTCAACTACCCGGCTGCTGCCAGCTTCAAGCACGTTTCGCCTGCCGGTGCCGCCATCGGTGTCCCCCTCAGCGCTGAGGAGAGGCAGGTGTACATGGTCGACGACATTGAGGGTATCGAGAACTCTGGTCTTGCGCAGGCTTACGCCAGGGCTCGTGGTGCCGACAGGATGTCCAGCTTCGGTGACATGATTGCTCTGTCCCACGAGGTCGACCTACCGACCGCTAAGATCATCAGCCGCGAGGTTTCTGATGGTGTTATTGCGCCTGGCTACTCCGCTGAGGCTCTCGACATCCTCAAGAAGAAGAAGGGTGGCAAGTATCTTGTCCTCCAGATGGACAACGACTATGTCCCATCCACCGAGGAGACAAGGACAGTCTACGGTATCACCCTCAAGCAGCACCGCAACGATGCCAAGATCGTCCCTTCGGACACCTTCAACACCGTCATCGTCCCCAAGGGCACCGGTGCTCTGCCTGAGTCAGCTCAGCGTGATTTGACTGTGGCCACCATTGCGCTCAAGTACACTCAATCCAACAGTGTCTGCTACGCGCTGAACGGTCAGGTCATTGGCCTTGGTGCTGGCCAGCAGTGTAAGTCTACTCTGACATAAACGATACATCTTTGCTAATTGTTGTCCAGCTCGTATCCACTGCACACGCCTTGCCGGTGACAAGGCCGACAACTGGTGGATGCGCTTCCATGAGCGTACCCTCAACCTCAAGTTCAAGAAGGGCACCAAACGTCCTTCCAAGTCCAACGCCATCGACCTTCTCTGCTCTGGTCTTGTCCCCGATGCCGGCATTGAGTACGATGACTTTGCCGCAAACTTCGAGGAAGGCCAGGTTCCTAAGTCGTTCACTTCGGAGGAGCGCAAGGAATGGTTGTCGAAGCTCCAAGGTGTTGCTCTGTCTTCGGACGCGTTCTTCCCTTTCATCGACAACGTCTTCAGGGCGCACAGGAGCGGCGCCAAGTACATTGCTGCACCGACAGGAAGCCAGAACGATGGCGCAGTTTTTGAGACCGCCAAGAAGCTCGGTATCACGTTCGTCGAGCAGCACATCAGGCTGTTCCACCACTAAGCAGTGGTTTTTGTGTGTTTTCAACAGGCGCATGGGATTTACGACGTTCACGTAAGACGGTTTGATTGGGCATAGATTCCCCAAAATGTGGATATCAAAAGGGTTATGAGGTTATAGGGACGAACAACTACACATTCAACATGACTTTTCACATTCCTTTCTTCTGCCGTCTCCCATCAGCAGAGCTGTATCGTACTGCGAACGACCAGTGACGAGAGCTTATGCAGACCAAGAAACTCAACAGAAAAGTCGTGTGCCAGTAATCAATAACCATCACTTCGGATGTCGGTACAATGGCAGGGCTCTGGGAATGCCTCTCGGGTATCTTCGGCAGTCGTTCCGCATCGTGCATGTCATCTCGCGAAGGTCATGCTCTGTCCTCCGCACCCGAAAGGCCATAGCAACTCTAAATCCTCTTGGAGTTCTTATCAGCTGTCGTTTGAATGCTGATCTAAAAACACCATGATTGACCATCGGCAGGTTGTATGTACATGAGTCACATCCACTCACCGCATCACGCTACCGGACATGGAAATTCGCGAGTCGCGCTAGCGCCGCAGTCCGCTACAGGGCGTGGACCCCACCTGTGATAAATAAGTATGGCTTGGTAAGAAAAAAGCACTGCCGACATGTTGATTTCTGATCTCTTCAACCTCAATTTTTTGCATAGCGAGCATATTTAGCAAGAGCTGGGAAGCAGATGGCAACAGTAGAGGAGCAGCAACCGCTGCTCAGACCAATTGTTGAAGATGCTGAGGCGGATGCAAAGCATGACGAGGTGATCTTGGACTTTGAGGCGGGAGACCCTGAAAACCCAAGGGAATGGGATCCAAAATTTAAGTGGCTGATTGTGTCTCTTCTTGCGTTTATGGCGTTCACTGTGTAAGCCGCTTCTGTTTCATTCTCCATTTTCAATGCCGCCATCAAATCCCCGGAAGATAGGGTACTGACAAACCCCCAGAACATTCACATGCATTGGTGTCGTCCCAATTGCAGCCAGCATAGTTGACGAACTTGAAGGCAAGCATGCGAGCACATCGACCAGCGCACTCCTGGTCACCATTTGGGAACTCGGCGAAGCAGCTGGCCCTCTTCTCATCGCGCCCCTCTCCGAAGTTTTCGGTCGCTATCCTGTAATGAACGGATGCAACATCGTCTTCATCATTGCAACTTTCCTCGCTGCTGGCAGCAAAAGCACTCGCCTCCTGATCGCCGCACGATGGCTCACTGGCTTCGCCGTCGCCTCGAACGTACTCAATCCCAGTATCATTGGAGACATCTTCGAATCCGACCAGCGCGGCTCAGCAATGAGTCTGGTCTCCCTCGCTCCTCTCATCGGCGGTGCAATTGGCCCAGCGATTGCAGGTGCGATCGCGCAAACCCTGGGATGGAGACAAGTCCTTCTCATGGCCGCAGGTCTAGCCGTCATCGCCGAAATTCTCTTCCTAACCTGCTTCCGCGAGACCTACAAAATGGCCATCCTTCACCAGCGCATCGCGCGCATCAAGCGTGAGAGCGGAGAGTTCAAAGCCGAACCCCTCGCGCCAAAGAGCAAGCACGAAGACCTCTTCAAGATCTGGCACGCGCTCACGCGCCCCTTCGCAGTACTCTTCGGCTCCGGCGTACTGATGGCGCTCTCGCTGCAAGCATCCATATCCTTCTCCTTCTTCTACGTCATGTCCATCAGCCTCCCCTCCATCCTGCAAGAAACCTACAACTTCAACCCCGCCGAGACAGGCGCAGCGTTCATCATCTTCAGCATCGGATCGCTTCTCAGCGTCTTCCTGTGCAATGCTTTCCTCGACCGCATATACATCACGCTCCGCAACCGCTCCACGCACCCAGACCAACGAAAACCAGAATACCGCCTCCCGCTCACCGTCCTCGGCGCGGTCTTGCTGCCCTTCAGCGTCACGGCGTATGGTTGGACCGCGCAGTACAAACTTCCTGTGCCGCTTCTACTCGCTTCTGTCGCGCTGCTGGATTTTGCGCTGCTCACTAACATCATCCCAATGCAAGCCTACATCGTAGACGCCTGTGGCTTGTACTCGGCGAGCGCGATGACGGGTGTTATTGTCACGAGGTGCTTGATGGGGACTTTCTTGCCGCTGGCTACGGGACCGCTGGCGGAATACCTTGGGTACGGATGGGGGTTCAGTGTGTTGGGGGCTGTGGCGGCGGTTGCGGCGGTGATTCCGGTGGCCGTGTTGAGGTATGGGAGCGAGTGGAGGCAGAGGAGCGAGTATACGAGGGATGCTTGAAAGTATGGCACTGATGCTGTTTTGGATGGTGATGAGGTTATGAGCGAGTGGTGCATTTTCACCGGCGTTTGTTTACAGCCACATCAAAAGGCACGGAAAGACTAGAAACAGGATAGACGATCGAGATGTGTTCATGCCGAAGAGATACGTTATAGAGTTACGAGTTCAACTTATGATCCGGCGGAAAGGAATTTTGGTAACTTCATGTTGTGTATCAAATTCACATGGTGTTATCGATGTAGTTACTGACGCCTGCATGGGAAAACCAAGCCCGAGATGAATGGATAAAACCAGTCCGGACCTCCAAATATTGATCACCATCCATGCATTGGCGGAGCGCAGAGGCCGAGGGAATTAGTGAACACCATCGCCTCCGAGGTACTCTCGTCAATAATGATCTTTTGTGGGTTGACGGTCCCAGCTGTGTCTGTGCTGCCAATCGCAGTCGGCAGCGGACCGACTTGATCCTCATAGTTATTGGCATGGCATGTGCTCTCCAACTCTTTCGTTACAGAGGATGTGCTCGACTTGCCAGGTATATCTGTCAGTCTTGCCGACTTTTGGGTGCTGTGGGCATTGGTGGTCGTGCTCGTGTCGATGGCCTCGATATTGTCATGTTCATGGACTGAAGCAGGTAGCGAATTGGCGAGGGCCTTCTTCTCCTCCTGAAGGTCGCAGGTGCTTTTCGACTCTTTTGTTGCACTCTGTTTGCCGCCAACGTATATGAATGGACTAGACATATTGTACTTCCCGCCAGCTTTGCAGGTGATATGGCATGACTCTGGGACCGGGTGGAACATGATGGACGATAAATGAGGCAGTGTGGTTGCGATGTAATCGAGATATGCGGAAGGCCATATTGCAGTGAAGAGCTAGCAGATATAATAGTTCTATAGTCCCGCACTGAGACACGATTGTGATTCATGGGCACATGAGACATGGCTGATTGTTTCGGAAGGACTCAGTATCCACCAAGTTAGGATATGTCATGACTGAATTGACTCTTTTCGAGTCTCAGTCTACTTTGCTTCGAGCAAAGATACCCATCAAAACTGGTACGGTCACTGCGAGATACCTGACTTCGCACCAGCTGGTACCTTGCTATCCGCCGACCGAACCAACAGAGCATGCGTGCTCTCAGTCAACTGGAAAAGCTGAAAGTAGAAACCTACAGCTCCCGTTATCAGAATGATGTAGTACGCTACAGTCCATGCAACACCCTTCCCTCGATATGGCGCAGCACTCTTCGATCCATCATTCTTCCTGTCTACATCTGGTGGACCAATCGGCACCCCAGCTTCTACTCCAACGCGCCCGTACACGCGAGGCAAGCCCATCCAGTTGCAGAATGTATGCGCCAGTATGCACGTATAGACATTACCTGTACGGAGGTACAAGAAGGTGGCAAAGAAACCGAACAGCGAGGTGTATGCGAACTGGAATAGCGAGCGTAGCATAGCCATTAGCATTGGGACTTTTGGATGCGTGATATGGAACTCGTAGAGGTGGTGGACGTGCGCGATGCCGAAGTACAATGGGGTGAGGAAGACGATCTGGTTCTCAGTGAAGTGTGCAAGTAGGTGGAGTGGGACCATGAGCGAGCGCCATACGATCTCTTCACTGACAGGGCCCTAGACTGGACATCAGCGCTGTGTTGAATGTTGGGGTTGAGTTACTTACAACCACGAAGTTCCTATATCCGATCCAACTGCTTAGTGTTTCGTGAACTCCCTTGAACTTGATCCAGTCTTTCCAGTCACCATCTACAACACCGTTCTCGTACAAGGGTCCAGCAAACAAGATGCATACTAAGAGCATGCCTCGTACAATGTCGAAGATGGAGACTGGCCATATACCAAGCAGGTGCAGCAGCTGGTATGCTGAGACATCATGCTGGTACAGGTACAGTGCGGTGATAATCGTGCAAGTGGTCGTGGAGAAGGTCACCGCCCGGGTCCTGGCGCGTATAGAGGAGGGCGCATCGCGGGTGAGAGTTGGAGATGGTCGAGTCGCCGAAGATAGATAGAACGGAAGTACGTAGATAACCACGAATGCAGTCTGAGTATTCTCTGGTCAGTGTTTTCTTCAGGTGTGTTTAGTGTGACAGTCGCGATAGGCTGTGAACAATAGTAGTAGTGGAGGGGTGGGTAACTTGAAACGCACCGACAGTAGAGCCGCAGCAGTGGGAGACACGATTGGCGCCTTAGGAACTGGCAAGACGTTAGACTTCATCGTAGCCTTGGAGTGAACGTCGAGCACCGAAACAGCAGTGCAGATGTCGATTCAGACTGGTGTGGGTCGCGCGGGCGTTTAAAAGATGTAGGCCTCAAGGGCGCACACAGGCCAACCATTGTCCTCAAACTTACCGCCTTTGACCCTATCGTACATGTTGCTGAGACGCTCTCGCCAACCGGTCACAGGCGGTGGCATCGTGCGTGCGCTGGCCGTCGCAAGCCTGCGAAGCAGGTTTTGAATTCTAAAGAAAGCTCGACGGAGGGTTTATACATGCACGAGCTGTCCCCGCGCGGTCCTCAAGCTCCATCGTCAACCAAACTCCGCAATCGATACCAGCGACCGAACAAACACTGCAAACACTCACCCATCACGTGCGCGCCAGACTTCCACCCGATCCGATTCGACTCGCGCCAATTCACCCCCGGCGTCCTCTTCCCGTCGTCGCGCATCCCTGCTTCGTGCAGACCGCACGACTGCATTGGCCAGTTGGCATCCAGTGAAGATCAAGGGGGAGACCGTTATCCGGTCCGTGGCAGCACGTCACTGGCCCGTTAGAACCTCCTAAAGTCGAACTCATTTCGCGTCCAGCCCACTACGCGTCAAGTTGCTTATCGACAAGTTGACCAGGGGCTTCGTGGGCGAAAGCGAGGGGTTCCTGGAGAGAATCGCATCTCAACGCGGTCCTGCGATTCATAGAACCAGTTGCTAGGGAGCGAATCATCAGTTTCCTCAATTTTCAGAAAAAGGCTTCTGCACAATTCGACAGTTACGGCACGTGCTCCGGTACCTGACCAGGGGGTGGGCTGCACAATTGGCCCAGCTTTGAACACCCTGCAGCTCGCAGCACCAACCTGCATCTTGCAGCAGCCAGCCTTGACGACTAGGCCGAGGCGGCCGGCCACGTCTTCCTGGAAGTTTATCATCTGGTGTCCACTCCTCACCTCCATTCTCTCTTTTTCGAAACTCCGCGCTTCTTAATGGCCTTGAGCCCCATTCTGTCGCTCTTTTGACATGTTTGTACATTGTTTCTTGCTATTCCTTCTTTGACCTGACATTTCAAACGTCGCTTTTTCTGTGTTTTCCCATATTCCTACCCTTATCCTTAATGGTCCGTTTCAGCCTGTCCGCACGCGTCCGAGACCTCACATTTTGTGGTACCTGGTACAACATCACACCACAGCATGTCTTTGAACTCTGATCCACGCCATCGCGCAACCACATCGCAAAATTCCATTACATCGCCACTCGCACAAGCTCCTAAATTCACCCCACCGTCACATCCGCGACCTGCTCCTGCCTTCCGCAGGCCGCTCTCCGAGGCATCAGATCAGTCCAACCGTCATTCAGGCCCAACTATTCGCATTGTCGACGATCCTGGGAACGACGTATACGACAAATTTCCATTGCCCAGCGAACCCTCGCAAATCCTTCCACCTCCTCGAAATGCGCCAGGTTACGCGTTCGAGACCCCAGGATCTCGTGTTTCAAGTGGCAGCCGGGTTGCCAATGCCCTCGCAAAGTTCGAAGCCATCGGTGCCAGCAGCACCCTTGCTCCACAGCCACCCTCCTATCGTCCAAAGAACACTTTCAGACACTCGGTGTCGACTAACACGTCTGAGGACGACACCCTTGTGGGAACTTTCAACTCGCGATCCTCCCTGAGATTTTCCCAAGGAAGCACACCCCCGTCCTCGCCTGGTCAAGCTGAATTAAAGGACTTTGAAACAGGGCTGGAAGTACTAGAAGAAGAAACAACTCCTCCTGCTAGAAGATCCACTATACGCGCTGTTCCACCTTCATCGTCCGGTGGTGAATCAGTTGCAAGTCGTACTCGCGCCTTATCGCCTCAGGAATCTGTTGCATCGCTTGCCTCAACCATACCTGCGGCCTCACCCACCTCGCCTAGTAATGCCGACCGAAACTCGACGGGTGTCAGTCGACCGTTACCGAAAGAGCACACCCCGTCTGCCGGATCTGAAGACGGACGGCAACAGGCTCTCGATAGTGACTTTTCGCATCGACAACTTGTATTGAAGCCATCCACGGAGTCGTTTGCATACTCTGACATTTCGTCTACTAGCATCGAACCGAAACAGCCTACCTTCTCGCCATCGCCAACTATTCATGAAGCGAGTACAGCCACTTGGGCAAGCGGGGTCAAAGTCAACTATCCGGTCGTACGCGCCCCCACCGCCAACAGTCAGCGGGCCGAGTCCCAGAATACACCGAACATTGCATCCCGAATGCTCGACCGCGGTCTGGCGCACAACTGGAGCTCCCAGCTCTCCACTATCGCCTCCGTTTCTGAACGCGACTCTCGGTCACTTGCACGTGGATCACGATCGTTCAGCCCAAGATCGCAGTCATCGGACAGTTATGCAGAAAGAAGTCAGACGCATCTGCCGAGGAGGAGAGGGCAGACTGTTGGAAGCTACAACTCTTCGTCAGACAACTACTCATCCGAGCCTTCAGAGTCGGCAGTTCCCCTGCCACTGTTTTCGCCGCAATTGCAACCGTCTAGCGAGTACAACGAGAAGAGCTTCGGAGATGAGGATCTCGACACAGTCTCACCACTACCCCCATCCAACACAATTCGCATGAAGAACTCAGGATATCTCCGAAGACAAAACAGCGAGACATCACTAAACTCGTCGCGACCAGGCTCGTCACAGTCGGATGTTTCCACGTTCAATCGCAGCATCATCCCAGCATGGGCGAGGTAAGCTCTCCGAACAGCAAGTGAACAACAGACACTAATATTGTTTCAGGGCATACTACCAACGCGGTGAACGGATCTCAATGATACCTGCTGCTTCAGAATCGTCTGGCAGCATACGACTGGGAACATCACACAGCGGTCGCACCCACACTCCTTCCGAAAGCAACTTCCCAGCGCACATCTACCGCCCACGCAACCGACCACACAACCGCGGGTCACACGCCGACACCATGTCGCTATCTTCAGAACAGCTGATTGACGAGAATGGCTACGCGACCGGACCTCATATGCAGCCCATCAGTGGTTGGTCAACGCCACACCTTCGTACCGATAGGCGCGGTTATCCTCGCTACAGTTTCTGGAAGGCACCATCGATGGACAGCGATTTCGGCAAGCGACCCTTCAGCCGACAAAACAGGCAGATTCTCCTTTTCACGTTGGGATTCATCTTCTTCCCAGCATGGTGGATCGCCTCCTGCTTACCGCTGCCATTCGACCCGTCTTTGGTACAGAACGAGAGTCAAGTCGACTTCGAGCAGCAGTACGCCCAGCAAATCGCGACCGTAGACGACAAGGCATATCAGAAAGCCAACTGGTGGCGCAATTTGAACAGAGTGATGTCAGGGGTTGGAACGTAAGTTCAGGTCCTCTTCGATTCTCCATTATCTCCTTACTGACCCGTAACAGGCTCCTAGTTGGCGTCATAGTTGCACTTGGCATCCTGGCTTCCAGGATGTGATTGTCTGCTTTCTAACTCGCAAACAACATCACCAATCTACAACACATCCCCCACGAATCTCTCTGTCATATCGCCACTACCTCTCCATCGACTATACCCGCCATTTCGAACCACTCTCGATAACGACCGACTTACGACCTCACTGATGCCTTTCACGCCTGTTAATGTATTCCCTCGCTACACGACTGATGCTCTTTCGGATTTCTTCCAGATTTCGATTCGAGTCACTTTCGGCAGCGCCGTTGTACAAAATTCTCTTTGATTAGTCAGACGCATCTGGCGCACACATTGCATAGCTTAGCGGGCGTTCTCTTTGCTTCTGACTACCCATTTGTTGTATATTCCAGCCGTAGTCTGCGTGCAAGTTTTCTTTTTGTATATCCAAGATTTGAGATCCGGATAGGGGTCGCTGGGATTGTAGATTTGTAACCAGAGGGGCAGCACCACGGTGTTTGCTCATCGATAATCGTAGTTTTAGATAAACATCCGATCCAAAGATATTGTCCAGACACTCCATCAATCCATCAGCTGACGACATCAAAATTCATCAAAAACATCGGTCCCTCCTTGGGCCGCGCAATTCTCACGCACTGTGCTGCTTCTTGCACAGCCTCAGCCTCGCCTAACTTTTGTGACACCAGTGTCAGCATAGTGACATGTGCAAATTCGCGGGCTGACAGCTTGGCCATCAATGCATCCAGGCATGAACGTGCAATCCTAGGCTCAGCGCACGAGGCTCGCTCGGGTACTGCCTGATCTGCCAGATGAGAGGATGTTTCATGTTCCGAGTGCGAAATGATCCAAGGGAAAATCACGACCCACAGCCTTGTGATGACTGTTCATAACCCAGTCATCGTTTGCACATGGTTGCTTTGGGAGAGGACGAGGTGGCGAAGTGCAGTTGAGGCTGGAAGGAGCCATCATCGTCAAGATGAGTCGAACTGGTCAAAGCGCCTAGTGGGGCAAGACATGATGTCGCGCTGGTACAAAATGATCTACCGCCTATTGAATTCTTCACAGAACGCCGAAGAGCTCTATTGCACGCGACTCCACTCTACTACTCCTACCACCCTCCTTTCTCTACCCAACAGAACCACAACAGTACCGCACAAGACGATCCATCATGGCTGTCCGCGCGCAATTCGAGAACTCCAACGAGTATGTACAGAGCGGGGCAAATGCGCCCCATGAATAGTTACTGACGAGTGGCGCAGAGTCGGTGTCTTCTCTACACTTACCAATGCCTATGCGATTGTCGCAGTAGGCGCTTCCGAGAACTTTTACAGGTACGCAAAGCTATGCGCGCTGGCGTTCTCAGCGCTGTCATGTCGGCAGCTCAATGCAAGAGCTAACATATCACGCACAGTGTTTTCGAAGCTGAACTCCAGGATGTCATTCCCATCTGCCACGCCACAATCGCCGGGACTCGCATTGTCGGCCGTCTGACCGCCGGTAACAAGAAGGGTCTCCTCGTCCCCACCACCACAACCGACCAAGAGCTTCAGCACCTGCGCAACTCGATACCAGACAGCGTCAAGATCCAAAGGATAGAAGAGCGGTTATCAGCTCTCGGCAACGTCATTTGCTGCAACGACCACGTCGCACTCGTACACCCGGATATCGAGCGAGAGACAGAGGAGATAATAGCAGATGTGCTTGGCGTGGAGGTCTTTAGGCAAACGATCGCGGACAACGTTCTCACAGGCTCATACATGGCGTTGAGCAATCAGGGCGGCATCGTGCACCCCAAAACATCGATCCAGGACCAGGACGAGTTGTCGAGTTTGCTCCAGGTCCCGCTTGTCGCTGGTAGTGTGAACAGAGGTAGCGCGGTCGTCGGCGCGGGTATGGTCGTCAACGACTGGATGGCAGTCACTGGTCTTGACACAACAGCGACTGAGCTTTCAGTCGTTGAGTCTGTCTTCAGGCTGGGCGAGGGCAACGGGCCAAGCAACATCAACACCACACACAAGGACGCTATGGTCGAGTCTTTCTACTAGACGGTGTCTATTGTGTATGGGCTCATGATCTCTCTGCACACTTTTTCGAGCGTGGCAGATTGAGACAAGCCAACAAGTTGTGTCTAAGAAGAATCGAGCGAGGAAAAAGGGTACAGGATTGGTATCCATATGCTCTTCTAGCTTAGTAACTGAATGATACCAGACGAACAGCAAACCATTTTGTACACAATGACTACAACTTTCGCCGGAGCAGTGTCCTTCATATCGTAATACTCATCGTTCCAGCTGTTAGGCGTGAGTGGTTGCATCAACTAGGTAAGGCTGAAGGCGGTGACACTTATTCTGCCACCAGGCTACGCCCTCACCTACACTTTCCCACCTTTTACAAACACACATCTACCAAACTCAGAGTCGCGACCGCCTCTATGATTACATGACACAATCTATAGGCGCGTTTGGCTTGTGATCAAACCGCCTAGCTCTATTCACGTCCAACACGCAGCCTGCCTAACTACCGAACATGGCCTCCAACTCGACGATGCTCACGAAGCGCAGCGCTGCTGGTGCGCTCATGCCGCCTCCTCCAGCACCAAAGCGAATAACGCGGCCTTCTGTAGTCCTCGACGAAGATACGTATGTCTCAGCGGTATCACACATCATTCGGCGCGACTTCTTCCCGGGGCTGGCCGAGTCAGATGCACAGCGCGAATACCTGAATGCGCTGGAGAGTAAGGACAAGGCATGGATCCGCGAATCTGGCAAGAAGCTCACCCAGGTCATGACACCTGTGCCCCATGGTCAAAGGCGAGCAGCGGACAGAACAAGATTCAGTAGACCAGGCGGCGCAAGCTCTACAGACAAGACTCCCAGCGTCTGGGGCGCAGATACACCCGTCACAGTCGCCGGCACCGGTGCAGACGAAGAACATGAAGACGGACTAGGAAAGCTAGACAAAGTCGACCTCGACATGTCCCTCAACGCCTTCCAAGCAAAGTACACCTCCGAAGACCAAGAATCCTTCAGCGCCATAATCGACAAACAAAACCAGAAGAAATTCGAAAAGAACACCTGGCTCCACGACGGCAACCGTTACGCCTCCAAGCAGCGCCTTGCCCAGCAAAAAGTCCTCGCCGCAAACGCCGCCTCAGACTCGCAAGCCCTCACCGTCCGCCCAAGCCAGAACCTCGACGACCGCCCCGCCGCGCCCACGATGCACAAACACACCGCCTTCAACACGCTCATGTTCAACCCTGACTCTGTTGAGTCCTGGGCCTCGACGAACGTTGCCCGCGCAGAAAGTGCGTCTCTTGCGCCCCCGAGACAGACAAGGTATGCGAACACGCGCCTCCCTGCTGAAACTGAACCCCTGCCGCGACCGGCGAGTCCTACGCTCTCTGCGATTCGGGATGCGGTGTCGGGCAAGCCGAGACTAGGCGCGAGTGAGGGCGGGTACACAGGCAGTGAGACGCCGCGAGTGAATGGGTATGCGTTCGTGGATGCGCAAGCGCCTGAGTCGGACGACGAGGATGCGCCAGAAGATCTATTAGAGCGCTTCGGCGTGACAGGAGAAAGTGCAAGCAAAGCAACGCCCTTCAGTATGGCCGAAGCGAGCGAGAGAGAGAAGATGCATCACAAGATGGTGGATCAGATCGGCGCGAAGCGCGCTGAAGGTGCGAGTAACAGAGCCGGGCCAGCGGGCAAGGGGTTGGGAATATTTACGAGCGAAACACCGCGTTTCTTGAGCGCGCCTACACCGGCGACAAGACTTGCGGCGCAGACGCCAGGAAGGAAAGGCAAGGGCGATCTTACTCCTGCGGCGCAGAGGCTGCTCGAGAGAATGGGCAAGACGCCGAGAGGCAATGGAGCAGGAGGCTTTGGTAGCAGGAGTGGGAAGGGGCAAGATTGGACGCCAGTTTCCAGAGCGAAAAGGAAGCCATGATAGCTTATGTGGAATAGTACGGAGAGGAGGTGATACCGGCCTGTACGAAGTGCTCGAGCGGGTTGGTGGAGGGCTAGTGATACGCAAATGAGAATACTCATACATTCATTCGAGATGTCATCATGTATTTTGTAAACAGATCTTGATTAAGTGTACAAATAAGCAACCATGGTGTTGTCCGAAGACGAAACAGACTCCAACCTCTCGTCCGTGGTATCGAAGTGAATACAGAACAGTGCTACAGATGTGAGACTACGTGTCCACGCTATGCAAAACGCCAATGCTGAAGTAGACAATGTGCCGTTGCGCACCGACATCGCACCTCGAAAGCATAGCAATAGTAATAGTGAAACCAGATAACCCAATACAACCGACCCCAAGCAAAAGTCTTCCTGCACACTACCCCCCTCAACGATGAAGCGGCTGCCGATCTTTTAGCGATACGAATCTTTCCGCAGACTGCGCCTGCGGCGGCGAAATGGGTGATATGGCAGGCTTCTCGAATGGCGGCAGAGCTGGTTCGAGAGGCCTCTGTAACACACAATCTCGTTCAGTGACCCAGGATGAAAAGCGGCCTTCCTAACCACCACCCCCACCCCGTCCTCTGCCGCCACCAGGACCATTGTACGTCCTGAACTGCGTGCCAGGCACGTGATAACTCCTATACGCACGCCGCGGCCTACTCTGCGGACCCATAAAATTGCTGTCCCGGCCCTCGCTCTGCTCGCTGTGCGGATTTGGCTGTAGGGGCGGAGGTTGTTGCTGTGATATCGAAGCCGGGCCCTGTGGTGGTGAGAATACGGATGCGGCAGGAGGCTGGCTGTGTGGATTGGTCAATCCTGAGTATGGCGGAGGTGCCATGCTGGCTGGGAGGATTGGTTGGCCGCCGTACTGATGGATTTTAAGTGGCGGGTATGGAGGAGCGTTGGGTGGTGGAGGGAGTGGTGCTTGGTAAGGACCGGGTGGCGGGGCGTAGGCGTGCTGATATGGCGAAGGGTACGTGTGACCGTATGGACCTGGCGGGGGAGGTATGTGGGGAGGATGTGAGGCTGATGGGTAGTTCGAGGTAGGTGGTTGGTGCGGCGGTCTCGACGCTTGAGGCGGAGGGACCGGATCGTAGTGAGCGAAGCGGAAGTTGATATGGGCTGACGGTGGTGGACCTGGAGGTTTTGGCGGCAATGAAGCATACGGACTCTGGTGTGTTGGTGTGGGTCCAGATCTGTTCGGCTCGCCGTGATAAGGCTGTGGAGGGCTTCCTTGATATGGCGAGGGACGAGAAGCTTGCGAACCACTCTGACGCCTGTCTCGGTCCCAGTGCGATTGCCCTCGATCGTACGATCCACGACGATGCGAGTGGTGTCCATTTGTATCAGATGTACCTTGTAACCCAGTGGAAGGGTGTTGTGGGTCGTACCCAGGAGCAGCTTCATGCCTGTTCTGTTGTAGATACTCAGACCAGTGAGACCTGTCCGGGCGGACTATGCCGTGTTCTTCCGCCTTCCTGTCGAGCAGCTCCCTTATCTTGCGCAACACATCTCGCGGATCCTTTCGGAGTAATGACTCATCAGCTTCTCTCGACGATGGGATGCTTGGTTGCGGTGGAGCGCTTGGTTGCTGCCATGGCATGAAATTTGGTCGTGCTGGCGATGGCGGCTCAGTGGCCGGAGGTACTGGTCCACTCAGTGCGTCCATCAATTGTTGATCGACAAGATGCTCAGTCTGTTCGGGTTGGTCTGGTTGATTGACGATGTTTTCCAGCCGTACAGCATCACCTCGGGACGGTGTCTCGTGCTGAATGCCTTTGTCTCGTATGGATGGTGTGCTTGGTGGCTGAGGCTCCTGCGTCAGAGGTAGTGATGCTCGTGGTTTTGAGACTGGCACATCTGAATCGTTATTAAGCATATCCATGATGCGGTGAGTCGTTCGTGCAGGGATTGGCTTCTCAGACATCTCCGAGGTCTTTGTGGCATTGATTCCATTGAGCCCTGGTTGCAAGGCGTCCTGAGTGTGGCTCGAGATTGGCTGCGACGTCCTTGTCGGACTGCTATGAGCCGCTTGTGAAGGTAAAACCAACGGTGAGCCTGGAGCAGGTACTGGTGATGGTTGTCTGGCAAGGTGCTGTTCAACAGCAGGCGGTGCAGTCTGCATAGGCTGATGTGGTTCCTCGGGTGCTGCTTTGCCTGGAATAACGATGCTGGGGTCGTGAACAGGTTGTGCAGCCGAGATATCGGCAAGGAACATAAGCATGGTCGCTTGGTCGTTAGGAATGACCTGAACCTTTGGCAGTCGAATTTGTGGCGATGGCGTTCTCTCAACATCATGTGCAGCGTCTGCAAGACTGGTGATGTTGTAATGTGCGATCGCTTTGGTGCGGTCAGGTCCAGCAAATCGAGCAAAGCCGCCAGTGAGATCTTCAATCGAGTCGTCTGCATCCTCATTCTGTTCGACAAAGGTGGCGCGAACTTGGTCAAACAGCTTTCGCCTGACATCATTTTCAAGTTCTCGGTCAGCTTCAACATACGCTCGACTACGCGACGCAAACTTGGAGCCGAGTCTGTCATCAACACCTTCGACAGGATCATCGGTGTAGGTTGGTGGCAGCACATTGTCCTGCATATCGTTAGATCACTTAGCAACTGAGCATTGGCCATATCTACCTCGTCATCTGTGGCATCATCTTGCGCCACTTTCCATTCACGCTCGATCTGCTTTAAGCGGAAGTAGCACCGTTGTAGATAGTCGTCTCGTAGATCCTCGAAGCGATTCTCGGATGTATTAGTGTTGTTGCATAAATCATGTACCCTTGTTGACTTACGATGTACTGCTGCTTCTGTATCTGTTCTTCAGCTACACGCACTCGGTCCAGCTGATCGATCCTTTCCGAACGCCATGCGGCAAGATAGTCAAGCTGAGCATCTCTTTTCTTGTCCAGGCCATCCATGAGTGGTTTATACTCCGGACACTTCTTGTGATATTCCGAATCATCATCAAGACTCTTGACCGTTCGTTGTGCAAGTTCGTCTAAAACGCCCTTTAGCACTTTTGCAACGCTTCGATAACTTGTCTTGAGGTTGAGTTGTCGGCGCAGATCCACTTCGACATTCATATCCGGATGCGGTTGGCGTCGGCGACCGGGGAGGCGCTTTGGAACCTTTGCAGGCGCATCGCCATTGGCAGGCAAGACATTTTGCAGGTTCAGGCTGACCGCAACATCAGGAACCTGTTCTGGAGAATTTGGCGCCGTGCTTGCATCTGTCAATTCTGGAGGTTGGTCGGTTGAATCGGCAAGTGCGCTTGTTGTTTTGCGCTTTTTCCGGCGCGGTTGTTGATCGGAGATATCGCTTTGAGTACGGGTCAGAACACCATTTGGTCGCGTTCTGCTGGACTGCGTCGAGTCGTCTGATGCGCGCCTCTTCTTCCCGGCAGTCTTTGACACCTGCAGGGTCGCTTCAGGTACAGGCTCGTCCAGCTCTGGAGTTTGGGTTCCATTCATAGGAGTGTTGTTACCAAATGAACCATTTGGCGAACCAGAATCGGTCGACATTCGGCTGCGCTTGGCTGGTTCATCGTCAAAGTCTGATTGTTGCGCAACGTCGTTCAAAGAACTACGACGGCTGCCGGAAGCTGCACTTGATGGTGCAGCTGGGCTCGTATGATTAGACGACGTCTTTGCAGCACGTCGTGTTGTCATATGTAATAGGATGTCTGGTGCCAGCCGGGACTGCTTCCAGTCTTCTCCTTGTTGCTTTCGCTTAGTGGGTACTGCACTAGTCCCGGCACGCGCTAGTTGCCAAGTCAGGAACAAGTTGTATGGGAGGCAAGTACGAGCAACAGATGTGAAAAGCGAGAAGAACGTACCAGGTGCCATGAGGTTGGTTTTCTTCGTAGGCGGTGTAGGTTTGGTTTTGCGTTTTGGTGGCATTGTGAGAACCTCAAGCCTCGTGGGCTAGCTCCCGAACGCGTGACTTGAGCGAAGACTGCAAAACGCAGAGGCCTCCTGGGGCCAGAGATACTCACCAGAGCAGTACCGAGCACGTGAAGATATTGTGGGAAAACTTCGAATGAGGTTGGACCACGATGCGGGTCTATGTCTGTTTGTACTGTAAGCAAATGCTGTCAGCCGCTGCGCGCGACCAATATTGGAGCAATCAAGATTGAGAACAACTGAATCGAGTGGTTCCAATGCCTCGCCTACTCAGGAAGAGACAAGTTTGCTTGTGAATGCGCTGGAAGGTGTATGTGAAAGGTACTTACTGTGACCAGTCCCTATTGGCACGTCGCTGTAGGACTTGCTTAACAACGCGGTGCTGTATGCGCAGCCAGCAGACTGAAAGTCTTGAAGACCCACGATATTGTCTGACGATAGTTTTGAGAGACGTTGCGTGAGCTGCAATGGCAGATGCAGCTTCGTGGTTCAGCCAACCTGACAGACGAAAATGCTCCCGCGAAGGGCAAAGGTGGAAAGGAGTGTCAGGCGGACAATCGCCGTCAAATGCTGCTCAGATAAACTAGAGTAGGCCCCGGTCACAATCCATGAGTCTTGGGAATTGTCGACGGCGCTGGAGGTTGAAGTTGATGGTCTGAAATGGTGAATCTCGTGCTGAGATCCTCCACGGGATCCACCTTGTCACCCTAATTGAGCCTAGTCCTCACCCTGGTGACCAATGAAATCTACGCAGTACGACAACCACGGGTTCACTTCGCACCACAGAAGGACAAAAGGCTTCGGAGTATATAATGTTCAGGCTTATCATAGGAACTGACGCTTCGCGATCACAACTCTCAGTAACGACAGAGTATACTCGTAAATAGGGCAAGAGTAGTTGGCATGCCAGCCTCGCGCCTGCATACGCCACCAACCAAACATGGAAAGAGCGAAGATTTCATGCGCTGGAGATCACCTCATCACCATCAAGTCGTGCTCAAAATGATTCTGTCAAATCTTCATCTACTCAACATCATGTTCATGTTCATCGTCTCGCGATCCCTTCTTGGTGTCTCATCTGCTTCATTCGATGTTTCTTGTCGCACATCTTTAGCCGCTGCGCTAAACGGGATGATCTTCCGCCTCGGGCCTTGCAGCCTTGCCTTTCACGCAGCAAACGAGACGAGGCAGTGCGAACGGAAGTAAAGTGACACGCTGAGTTCAAACAGCTTCCAATAGATCGTACTTCCTGAGGCGACCAAACAAAGTTGTCCCTCATGTCTTTGTTAAGGTCCTGGAAGATTCTGACCTGTGCAAGATAACCAAATTGCAACTTCACATGAGCATCACGCAGAAAACAGAAGCGCATCCGCTGGTGGATAAAAGCAAACTCACGTCTTGCCTCATCCAAAGCAAGAGTCAAGCGGTGCTACTCGTGCGTGAACAGCAACTTCAAGGCAGGTGCCGCCAGACTTGCTGTACCGCATCTTTGTTGCTATGCTCCCGATAACACAGGACCGATCCTAATGAATATGGCAACAGACCCTCTGCAATATCCTTCTAGCCTACAAATCTTCCATCACCCTTCCAACCTTCCACACTAACAGCTGTAATCCATCTAACCGCCCAGCTGGTCACCATTGCTTACCGTCTTCCGCTCCGCTGACATGCGGTGAAGGTTGCTGCAGCGATGCAAGACCTGCCATCCGAACCTTCCAGATGAGCAAGCGAAGGGACTCCACGTTCTGCGTTGCAGCCCTATGCCTGTAACAAAACACCAAGGATGACCGTTGATGAACTCCTCGCCTGAGTCTCTCACCTGATTCGTTCCGCCTCTGCACAACTCGCCTTGCTCGGTAAGCTCTTCGACGCCTGCGCCGCAACAAGCATGAACCACGTTACCAGTGGGGTCGCGCTCATGCACACGTGTTTTCCCATCGATCGCAATAAGTCTTTATCGTAGAAGGATTGCGGAAGGGCCTTGGAAGCAGGGCGGAACGGAAACATGGGGTACGGAGATTGCGGTTGTAACGAGTATGGTTTGGAGTCGTGTGATCACGATGGCCGTTATGAATGTTGGGCGCACAACTACTGACTCGTGCTATGATGTCAGAGCATTTGAACAAAATTGCAACTGTGAAGTCTAGATGTGCAAGTGCTGAGATGCAGTGTCGTGAATTGAGTTTGATTTATTTGGGTTGGTATGTTGGATATCTCTCCTCCCATTGCTAGGTAAAATCTATGGCCCAGCCATTGTTATATGATATCGCAAAAGTAATACTACAATTAGCGATACTGCTTCTTCAAGACAATGTTGTCTTGTGGTATGATGGACGAAATCGCTGACCAGAACGCTTGAAGCTCAATGCTCAATCATCAGAATGTGAGAGCGGAGCTGTGTAAAGTGAAGAGGAGGTATAGCGCAGTAAATCAAACGCTAGGTACAGTATCGAACAGATATAGAGAGAGTGATTCTGCAGAGTATAGACAAGAAAATCGTGAAGCGTGCAGCACATTAGGTCCGTCATTACGAAAGTGCCACCCCAAAAGAGCAAGACGCCTGAGACAGAGATCTATGTGTTTATTATATGCGATGTTCACCGGTCGGGTGAGTTGCGGAGGCTGACTTTTCGTGATCCGCTCATGCTGCTGCGCGGCGATGAGTTGAGGACGAAGTCGGGAATGGGAGGTGTCATTTCCCTGCTAGGCGGCGAAGGCGTGCGGGATCCAGCGTGGGGACCGACGGTACGGCCTCGCAGACTCTGGGCCGGAGCCAGAGGACTAGGGCTTGTGGTGTTGTTGCGCAGGTTGCTGTTCGATCGCATACGCATGTAAGGCCGTGCTGGACATGCGATGACTTGATCTGCGAGAGGGCTGGCGATGATGCTTGTACCAGGTGTGGCCTCTGGTGGTGGAATAGGGCTTTCTGTCCTGAAAAGAGGGTGGATGTGTGCCTCGCTGACTGCGGGGCTGGGTGGTCTTGAAACATCCGGCATCATGCGAGGTGCAACAAGGTCTTCTTCCGCCAGCTCTTCGTCAATCTCAGGCAGGAAAGGGCCATCCAGGGCGCGTGCCGGTGTGACAGATCGACTGCCTGGGATTGACTCCAAAAGTGTACCCTTCGATGGGGCTGTCTGCATCACAGCATCTCGAGCTTGGTTGCTTACACTGCTGGTGTCCCAACTGTCAAAGCCATCCGAATGTGATACGTTGTCGATAGAGTAAGCATCGGAGTATATGCTTCTCGTATCACGATTGAAGGAAGGCCGGCTAATCAGGGTTGTGCGTGATGTCACAGGTCCAACGGCGTGACGAAGGGACTCCCGGAACGACTTGAGCGACTGCGATGAACGGGTGGAGAATGTCGGCGATGGGAGAGCCGCAAGAGGAGATGATGGTTGGGCAGGCTTCATGGCAAACATGTTCCTGCTCGGCGCCGCACTTCGCATCTCCGACATGACCGAGTCTCTGGGGCCAGAGACGCTGATTGACTGAAGCTTGGGTGTGTGACGCCTCCAAAAAGCGGAAGAGTACAGCGCAATTTGGCTGATGCACGAGATCATCCATACGAAAACATGGCCGGCAAACATTCCATCCCAGTTCGAGATTGGCCCTGCTGATGAGCTGCTAACAACCTTGTTCCATCCTGATCGGATGGAGACAATCAGGACGAGCGACACAATCAATGCCGTGGAAGACAAAACAACACTGACACCAACTAACGCTCTTCTTGCCTGAGTTGATCGCTCCATGAATCCGTCTCTTCGTCGTACATCCTGGACGATGTAGAAGCCAACACAGCATAACGATACAGCATCTAGTGCACTTGCTGCGACGGCAATGTGAAGGAGGGGGGCCTGTGTAGTAGAGATAGACGTCGACTCGATGATTGCGAGTACTGTGTCAGCAGCAGTACTTGACCACGCTAAAGTTTCAAGGAGCGAGACGTAGAACTTGCGTGACCCAACCATGCTGCTGCCCGCCAAAGGAAATCCTCCGAACAAAAGAAATAGAAGGTTGCTTCAGTGCTTGTGGGGAATCCAGCTAGAATATGATCGACGAGGATACTAGGGGCCAGTCGGGCTCAGTGAGGTTGTTCGTTGCCGACTTTGGTCGTACAGTCCAAGGTGTGTATACTGAAACGTTCGGCGAAAGAACTGCTGTGGATCTCAAGAGGTGGACGTTGCTGGTTTGCCGATGCAATGCTGGTCGAGATTGAATCCTTCAAGAGAGGGAACAGTGGAAATCGTTTGGGTAATGCGGATGGAAAGAACGGATAGATCGTCGGTGTTGCTGTGGTAAGACGCGAGGCGGAATACCAAACACCAAAACGCGTGAGAGTCGCGAAATGAAATGACGAATAGTCGTAGCTGCAGCTAACTGTAGTCGAAGTCGGTCGAGGGCGACGCGGAGGCCCAAATAGGAAGCGAACCGTTGAACGGATGTGTGGCTGATGCGGGCGTCAGGTCCGGTGGTCTTCGTAAACAACCAACGGCCTGGATATAAGGACTGTGGTTGGCGGAAAGCACAAGCGAGCGTTTGGTAGAGACGGGAGCGAAAGAAGTGTTGAATGAAGGACAGAACAGCACCACATAAAGAGGAGAGCATGTGGGGACTCACGAGAGTTAATAAATTTAGAAGAAAGCAGAAGGCTGATCTGTGCCATTGTTTGGCAGCTGGGGGCCTACCACTGCGTTGAGCAACACGGAGACAGACTAGGGATCCAAGCTAGCATCCTGGATGTGTTGCAGGCATTGTGGGGGTGCGATCTCGAGAATCGATGCTCGCACGACCTCTCAGATGCACGCTGACAGCGTCGCACCGGGTCTGTGAGCCTCTCAGGCACGATTGGAGAAACATTGGCGCTGCATGATGCGGTATGTGGCCCGCCAGCTGAAAGGCCAGCCTGACAGTGCGCAATAACGGAAGCAGGGAGAAGAAAATTCACCTACAGCCAGCCGAAAATGCAGCTGTTGCGACCAATTGCGGATCGTCAAGTCTGGGCCCCGATGCCCACAGCGTCGTAGTGTTTGTGTAGGGGCTGGTATGGGTCGCCTGTCAAAGTTTCTAGTGTGGAGCTGCCGCCTGGTTAGGCCTTCATTTGCGACGCGTTGTTTTGAGCTTGCTTCTTGGACAGACATAACAAACAATCTCGGGCAGCGTCATGACGAGCTGACGGCTGCGGCGAAGCTGGTCAGTCGATATAATCCTATGTTATCATCTTGGCCACTGCATTAAATAGTCCCAAGCAGCGTCTTGCCTTTCTGGGCGCTTGCCAGCCCACAGGCGATGGTTGCACAGTGCTGCGAGGCCAGCATGTTTGAGGCAATGTGAAACAGCACTGGCCTTTCACGTTGGTGGGCGGCCACAATTCGTCGCTCCCCGAAACAAACAAGGAGAAACGCAGAGAAGGAAAGGGTCTGTAGCCACATGCAATCAGCGGCTGTGGGCGAGGTGCATGCAGATGCGGGCGAGCGGCATGTCAGTGTTTGTGTTGTGTTTTTGTTGATGTTCGTGGGCACCACCGTCTGGGTCCGGGGAGCGTTCGCCGTGCCGTTCGATTGGAGGTTCGGTGAGGCAGGTGCAGCCACTAGATCACGTGAACGACTCTTATGTAATCAATCACGGTCCCGCATTAGAGGCGGACGGGCGGCGAAGCAGTTGACGACGATGATTCTGCCTGGAGTTATTCCAGTGCCTTCTCTTGATTCCCACAGGCAAACAGGCAAACCGTGGTACACCTTAATTGAACCTTCCCCTCTTACTTGACCCTCCCCAAAATCCATCTTCACTTAGCTTCACTGGATCAGAGCCACCCCATCGTTATAAACCCCGCCTCCACCGCGTCACCGCACCTAACCAGCTACACACCACTAAACCATCCACATCTCAACCGCCACCATGAAGATCACATTCAAGGTAATACGCCGCCGCATTGCTCGCATTTGAGTGAAGCTTACACTTGCGCAGGATCTCAAGCAGAATAAGTTCGTCATCGAGGCCGAGCCATCGGAAACGGTACGTACAGAAGTCACACCTCTTTTGCCATGCATCGCAGTATTTTAATGCACCTTAGGTTGGCGAACTCAAGGCCAAGATTCAGAGCGATAAGGGTTGGGAAGTGCCTCAGCAGAAGCTGATCTACTCTGGTGAGCTTGCCTCTGCGCAAAACGTGTAGGGACACTTCGGCCACAGGCGCTGACCTCAACTATAGGCAAGATCCTTCAGGATGCCAATACCATCGAGTCGTACAACATCGAGGAGAAGGGCTTCATCGTCTGCATGGTCTCCAAGGTTGGCACACCAAATATTCCAGTCGAAGGGTGTCCACTGACAGCTATCGCAGCCCAAAGCGCCAGCCGCCTCCGCCAGCAAAGCTCCCTCAACACCTGCGAAGCCAGCTGCTCCAGCTCAGACACCGGCTGCGCCTGCAGCTCCCGCCGCGCCCTCTGCCTCTTCGACTACACAAAATGTGCCCGCCACACCATCGCCCGCCCCCGCGCAGCAATCAGAACGCTTCAACGACCCATCAGCGCTAACCATGGGTGGTGAGCGCGAGGCAGCCATCGCCAACATGGAGAGCATGGGTTTTGCGCGCGCGGATATTGATCGCGCCATGCGCGCCGCCTTCTTCAACCCCGACCGTGCGGTTGAATATCTTCTGAATGTGAGACAAACGGCGTTCTTACCGCATTTGACGTATTCTGACGGATTTCTAGGGTATTCCAGAGAGCGCGCTTCAGGAACAGGCACAGCAGCAGTCACAAGCTCGCGCACCGACCTCACCACCACCTGCTACCGGAGGGAACACAGGTGCGACACCAGCCGCTTCTGGAGGGGACGAACCGATAAACCTGTTCGAGGCCGCTGCGCAAGCCGGTCAGGGTCGCGGAGGCGCTGGTGGTGCACCCTCAGGAGGTGCTGCTGGCGGTGGTGCCGGTGTGCTCAACGCCAATAGCCTCGACTTTCTGCGTAACAACCCACAGTTCCAGCAGCTGCGACAGGTCGTACAACAACAGCCTCAGATGCTTGAGCCGATTCTGCAGCAAGTTGGCCAGGGCAACCCTCAGCTGGCGCAGATGATAGCATCGAACCCAGAGCAGTTCCTGCAGCTGCTTGCAGAAGACGCTGACGATGATGCGCCGTTGCCCCCAGGCGCACAGTCCATCTCCGTTACAGAGGAGGAGCGTGAGGCTATTGAGCGCTTGTGTCGCCTTGGCTTCGAGCGCGACCTCGTGATCCAGGCTTACTTCGCGTGTGACAAGAACGAGGAACTGGCCGCCAACTTCCTCTTTGATCAGCCCGAGGATCTGGACGACCAGTAGAGGCTCTAAAGCCACCCGTGCGCTTACTGTCCGACCACACTATACCCGATTTCGTCGTATCTCCATCTGATGCCATTGTTACAATGTCACAATTACCATTTGCAATATTGGGCGGCAAAGTCCCGATCCTACACGATCCTACACCAACTTCCTGGTCCGGCGCTTTGCGTACTCGAGCGTAGAGAGCGTACCTTTGCGCCGGCGTTCGTGTTCGAATGCGACGCGGTTCTTACGAGCAAAAACAGGATAGGTTTGCGAAATGGTGCAAGCAGTTTGCTCAGCCTCCAAAAGGTCTAGGCTGATTGAAGAATACATCATGATTGAAAGAGATGCATTGCGTCCAACCCGCTGCCATGTGACCACCGTGTCTGAACGTGCCACCGACAGTTCTGCAGAAATTGATTGAGTCTGGTATTGCGTGACTACACAGAGCACCGCCGATATGTCTCGTCACACGCCAGTTTGCCAGCACCGATAGACCACGGACCATGAAACTCCCATGGGAAGTTTTGGAGAAGCGTCACCATAGCTGTTGGTTTCTTTCAGTCGAGGTCAAGAGACAAAGCTTATCTCGAATGTCATATGTGCGTCGAAAGCCCTCACACGAAGAGCGAGGCATACAACATGGCCATGGGAGTTCTGGTTATGTCCAGTCGAACCCTGGGATGATGTGGACTCCTTTGCTTTTCACACTCCCAGCGCTGGTTTCGAATTCCTTCAAGTCTGAGGGGCAAGTCCCCGCATGTATCGCCTTTTTGAACATCACGACGACGGTTTCTTCTTTTGGGAGTATTCAGATGTTCTAAAGGAGACGAAAGGTGACGAGACATGGCGTTGGCGAATGCGGCTTTCGGAGGACAATCCAGACATGTTTTGGATTGATACATGGTTTCGAAAGAGAAGTGAGAAATATAGGTGAAGAAGGACGATGCAGCAAAAACTGTGGATCATTTATACCGTCAACCCCATATCTGAGCAGGGGCGCGTTATGCATTTGTTTGTTCGCTTCACTGAGAGCCTACATGCTGATCACTACAACTGTTACTATAAACCTCGCAGAGCTGGAGTATATATTTCCCCCCCACTTTTCCTTGAAAGTGCCTAAGATCTACTCAAAACTTCGAGGCGTTAATCTCGTGAGCCGTGTCTTTGATTTCAAACTTATTCATCGTTTTTCAGTGGCGTCTATAGCCCAGTGCCACACATGTAAACCTCACACTGCTCCGACATCTTCGTCTCCATCAGAGCACTTCTCTCAGATCCAAAACATCCTTGCCAACCAGGTATGATCTGTTCTGAAATCCGACTGCTTGGAAAAGGAATTACTAGGGTCAGTTACTATAGCAAATGCTTGTTTTTCCCTCTTCATTCTTGGACAGCGTTCGCAAGACCGTTCCCACTCTCGGCAAATGCATGTATCAAGAGCAAAAGGAGGCTTTTTCTCTTCCTCGCATTGTACCTTGCTTCCCAAACGACTGTATTGTCTGGCTCTAGTTTTCACACACCTGAAACTTCCATCCTCAGATGTGATGGCAAGTGGGTAAAAGAGAATCAGGAGTCGTAACGTGCGCTTAGATAGAGTACAAGCTGCGGCTAAGAACAAAGTCAAAGTGACTAGACGCGCAAACAGTGAAAGCCAGTTTCCCCCCCAACCATGCACTGCATTTTCTATATTCCAACTGCTCAGCCTCATGCAAGCAAGACAACCACACCTCAACTCCCCTCCCTCGCAACTTTGATGTCTCAAATCGCAGACCGCTTCTATTGCTATGATACTAAAATCCTCAACTACGCTAGCAGCAACAAGCTCATGCAGGCTGTCAGCTCTAGGCCTCGGTATCTTCTTCATATTTTCCGGCTATCGTGCTCGGACGGTAGGCCTCGAGAAGGCAGTCCACAAGCGCAGCGGGTCATCTGTGTATCCACCTGGCATGCAGTTCGATATTGTGCAGAAGAAGTGGGCGCGGCAGGGGTTAAACCTGCCATTTCCTTCGGTCGCAGCTGATGCTTGATGGTGGTCTCAGCAGTGATGTATGGTGTGCATGTGGAAGTCGAGGAGTGTTAGGCATGTGATGGTGGTTTTGTGTATATGCACATACCGTCAATATACCCACCATGTAACCTTCCCGTGCATTACCTCGTTCTGCCCAAGCCAACACACACAAAATGCCCAAACGCCACGCCAAATGCATGAGCAACACCAATACCAAACCCGTTATGTCGTTCTGCCATCCATATTGCTCTTCCCACCGTCTTCAAGCTACGGCTAACCCAACCACACCCACCAAAAGAGCAACACCAGCGCCGCAAAAAACACAACCCACGCCTTCCACCCGACGCCTGTCTTCTTCGCCATCCTGAGCATTCTGTTCATCGTGCCCTTGACTTTGTTCCTGCTGTTCTCAAACTGGTCGTTCATTTTCTCGGCCAGGGTGGTGGAGTCGCGGATTTCGTCGCCGATGAGGTGTGTCAACTATACCGCCAGATTAGCAGGCGGTCGCATATGACAAGAGTGGCTGGTGTGAGAGAGGAGGAGGAGGAGGAGGAGAAGAAGAAGAAGAAGAAGAGGAAGAAGGGGTAGACGCACATCTTTCAACATCTTGACCTTCCCAATCAACACTCCCGTCTGCTCCTCGTTCTGACTCTCCAACTCATCCAACGTCGCACTATTATACTGGCCCCTACTATTCGGCGTCGCGCTCCTATATCCCCCTACACTCCCGCTGCTCCCATTGCCCCCCGACCCTCCAACGCCGTACCCTCCGTACAGATTCCCATTCGCACTCGCGCCGGGATACGCAGAGAACCCCGGGCCGTCAGAGGGAGCCGGCAGCCCGTAGCCCCCGGCGCTGTTATAGGGCGACGCGCGGGCTTTGTTTTTGGATTTCGAGGGCGAGGCCGAGCGGTTGTAGCTGCTGAAGAGGTCGTCGCGCGCGGTGTCGCGGCCGAAGCGGCTGGACATGTTGGGTCGCTATGCGCTTTCCGCGGTTCGATATTCGGTGGTACGTTGTGCTGTGCTGTATTGCGCAGTGTGCACTGCGGGTGTTGTGGAGCTCGAGGATATGCGTGTAAGGTGCGGTTATGGGCTCGAGGTGGCTGACATGCAGTGGAAACTGGCAGGTGTGGAGTGGAGCCCAATTGTGGAAACTGTGGAGGACACTTGGAGGCCGCGCCGTCACTTTTTGGGATGACGGAGGTAGGTCGTCTAAAGCCCGAGCCAAGCCAACACGCAGACACGTTGTGGCACGGCGGAGTAGTAGCGGCACGCGTCAGCGGCTGCCCGCACTGTTCAACGTTGAAGAGCCAACGGGATGCTGCAGATGCCATTCTCAAGACATGACTGGCTTCCTAGACAGGGCTCAGAGGTAGTGAAGTGCATATATATTTCCTGAATTCCAAGCGCTCTAGTCTCGAGGAATCTTGACCAGACCGCACAGAGTAATACATACAAGAGAGAGACACAACTTCCTTCCCGATGCACCCGCGGTAGATCCAAAAGATCGGTCCTTACAAGTACAAAGACGCCGAAGTCTCGTTCTATCATGTGCATCCACCATGCTAATGCATATGGAGGTCGGCTTTTCCCTTACTCCAACATGACCGGCGGACACCCTTGGTTGTAATTCGCGCTGCTGCTGGTTGCTCGCTCCCACATTGTTTCATCCTCACAAACCTGCTTTCACGCAATCTAGTTCTTGAGACCGATCTTGTTCAACAAGCTGCCGCTTTGACCAGCGACGTAGGCCTTGTTGTCGAAGACCTTGAGCAAGCTCTTCCAGACCTGGCCAGGCTCTTGGCTCGCATCGATCGGCTTCCAGATGCCAGTCTTCTGGTAGTAGCCGACGACAGGTGCGGTCTGGGTGTGATATGTGACAAGACGCTTCTTGAGTGCGTCTGCGTTGTCGTCGGAGCGCTGTACGAGCGGCTCACCAGTGATGTCGTCGGTCATGGCGTTCTTGGGAGGGTTGAAGATCTTGTGGTATGAGCGGCCAGACGCGGGGTGGACGAGACGGCCAGTGATACGCGAGACGAGGAGCGAGTCGTCGATTTGGAGCTCAATAGCGTGCTGGAGAGGCTTCTTGGTAGCTTGAAGCATGCCGTCGAGCTTCTCGGCCTGGACGACTGTTCGTGGGAAGCCGTCAAGAATGAAGCTGTGGAACGTTGTCGGTTAGCGAGCGTCTCCAGTGCATGGGACCGAGCAAGAGCTTCCAGGTGAAATCAATGCTGACGTACCCGTTCTTGCACTCCTGGTTGGTCTCGAGCTCAGTCTTGATCATGTTGATCATGATCTCGTCGCTGACGAGACCTCCGGCGTCCATGATCTTCTTGGCCTCGCGACCGAGCGTTGTCTTCGCGGCAACCTGGGCGCGGAGCATGTCTCCAGTAGCCTGCGTCCGTCAGTACCGTGTCCCTCTATGGCCACAAGCTTCCTCGCGGATTTGTAGGTAGATTCAACGTACAAGGTGGCATGCGCAGAACTTGTCCTTGATGCGCGGCGCTTGTGTGCCCTTGCCTGCGTTCTTGTTAGCAAAATTCCCGTTCCATGCATGCAGGTTCTTGAAGGACATACCGGCACCGGGCGGCCCGATCAGAATCATCCTGACGCTCTCCTGTGCCTGATCCGCAATGCCAACCTGGCCCTGCAGCCTGGTCTCGAGCTCCGCAATGCGCTTCTCGAGCCTGGAGACGGTGCTCTGGAGGTCAGAGACCGCTGAGTCTGTGAGAGGGGCCATTGTGTGGGTGTGTGAACGGAGCGCGGGGAGAGACGCTGCGTTTGTGTTCGTGGCAGGAGTGATGGACGTCGGGGTGGTGCGCAATGGCAGTCGCGGGAAAAGTCGATGAGGTTGGAGAGCTTGGAGTTCGCGTGTTCGCTGCGAGCTCGGCAGAATGGATGCACGGACTTCGGACCGCGGTAGTGAAGCCAGCTATTTAGCGCCAATGACGTGGGACGGAGAAATTGGTTCCTGGGCTAGAGATGCTGTGCACGGCGAGAACAAGAGGTGTCGAATTATGGATGGTCAGTGTTTAAGTCCACAGATGCGGACAGGAATTAGACAGTGGGCGCGAAGTGCTGTGAATACCGAGGCAGCAAGCACGTGTAAGCTCTGCAGAAGGAGGAACAACCTATGTCAAACTCTGGGGTATGCTATATATCTGAACGATAGGAGAGTGGTATCTTTACAAGCCCAACGATCAATACTCCTGACCAAGAACCTTCTTCAAGCCCTTCATCTCAGTCTCGTACTTCTCCACCTTCTCCTGGCTCACCATCATCTTGTTGAGCAGGTAGTTCGCCCTCCCTGCCATCTGTGCCGGCTGGCTCTTGAGCTTACTAAGCAACAGTAACTCGTTCTCGCACTTGTCGATTGTTGCGCTCTCGATCTTGGTCAAGTGCGTAAGGATTGCAAGGTCAAGACGGCTCTTCAGCACTTTGTCTTCTGTGAGACGCTTGAACGCTGGGTGGTACACCGGCTTGCCAGGCTTGATGGCCGATGGTCGTCCATTGGGTCCAGACTGGATAGAGATAAGCTCAGCTTGCTCGAGAGCACGCAGAACAGTCTCGCCACCTGTCTTCAGGATGTCGTCAAGCAGCACATCATTGTAACGCAAGCTTTCCTTCTGCGCAAGCTCCTTGATCAGCATCCACGCCTGCTCCGCACTCCAATGCCTGCTTCCACCCTCGTCCTCCGCGCCAAAGATATACATCTTGAGTATTTCAGAGGCGGACTGATCGATCATCTCGTGGACTGCCTTTTGGGGTGTCTCGCCTGCCTTGATCCTTCGTGCCAGGAATTCGAGATCTGTAAGTCGACCACCAAGCAGCTCAATGCAGGTATCCAATTCGTCAAGGTCCGTGCGTGACTGCGAAGGAACCGGCTTGGGCTCCTTCCCGTGAGGCACAGGATCGTCTTGAACATCAGCGTCCAAGTGGGTAACTACGTAGCGCTTAGCGACCTCAGGCGAGCAATCGGAAAGGGAGATTTGGCGGAAGACGCGGTCGGGAAGGGCTTTCGAGAGCGATTTGCTAAAGGACACATCGTTGGTCAAGAAGATGACATGCGCGATATTGGCCGTCGTCAGGCGAGCAGCCCTGTGCATTATCAGTGCTGTAGCGACAGAGTATCATGACAGATTTGACTTACCACTCAGCGATCTTGTCATAGACGATACCGCCTTCGTTGCTCTTGTGCAGGAAGTTGTCAATGACTACGATGGGTCGGTGCTCGGGATGGGCTTCAAGCCACTCATCGTCGCCCAGACCGGCGTCTTTATCAGTCTTGTGCCGCTTGTCAAGTGCAATCTGCTTGAGTGCGGTAGTAGTAGTATTCCAGATTTTACTGAGCTGAGAATCGAGGGTCTCCGAGAATCCAGTCTTGACACCCGTCGCACCTTGGGCAGCCATGTCGATCATGCCACTGATGCTGTTCATCCAGGAAAAGACAGGCTTGTAGCCGACAGAGCTAGCGGCAGCGCTGATGGTCGCGCTGTCGCCACGGGCTTCTTGAATGGGCTTGCAGTCAATAACAAGCTTGAGCTTCTTGTCCGCGAGAGCTTGGTCGACGACTAGTTCCCTCTTGCCGGAGCCTCGAGGACCTTGTACAATGATAAAGGTATCGGCCGTTTCCATGAGCCACGTCTGAACCTGTTCGATGTTGCTTTTACGGTCGTCCCAGATAGCGTCCATGCCAGCTTCATCGTCGTCTCTCTTGCCGCGGATGAAATCCTCAGCGTATCCTTTGAGCCACTTGTAGAGTCTGTTATCCTCCAGGTGCAGTACTCTGGTGATGTGTGCCTTGACGAAGAAGGTTCGGATCGGATCGAAGATGGCTACAGTGATACCAGCTATGATTGCTGCGAGAATGGGTATGACAATCCTAGGGTGACTAAAGAGCCAGTCTCTGATCCATCTCGGCTTGATCTTCTGTTCGTACTTCAATCGCAAGATGGTGCCCTTCGCTCCACCGCCTTCAGCTTGCGAGACAAGGTAGCCATGCATACAATTCTTGGCCATAATCGCTTTGCCTATGGTCGAGAAGTCGATATGCGCAAACTTCGGCAGAACTTTCGAATCCGGAGGCTGCATTACGATATCCGAGAGCTTTCCGTAAGGTCGGAAGAACTGAAATAGCTCTTCTTGTGACAGTTCGACAGCATCTACGGGGTTGCCTCCTGGTTCTCCAGAAATGAATTCGACTCTCAGTCTTGGTGCTGGCATGCGCATCAAGTCCTCGACCCAGGGACGGCCCTTGACGATCTTGGTACGCATGCGTCGGAACGGCGCCCACCATGGCTTGACAGGCTCATCCCTCAGGTACTGTTGAAGCACTTTCTCAATTTCGGAGGTTGATACGGTTCCATCATGGGTGAACTTGACAAACGCCCCGCCTTCCCTCATGCGTGGTAAAACCTCAGAAGCAGTAATTTGTAAACCCTTCTTTGCCTTGGCCCTTTCAATGACCTGTTGGGGTCCGGTTCCTGAGATGAGTGGAGCAACGAGGCGATCCAGTAGTCTAGGTGCGGGTAACCCCAAGATTCTTCGAATGGAAATGGGATACACATTGTTGAAGAACAAAATCCCTTCATTTGATCCTGCGCTGATGTGGCCGGTCTTGTCTTCGCCAGCTTGAAGGGACACATATCTGATGGGTGTTGTCCATGGTGCTTGCCTCGGTTTGGGGAATGCACTTGCCCCAGGCAGTGATATGAGACAGGGTGTTCTGACGGTTTGTTAGCATCCCCACGATGATCTGCAGCCGTCGCAAAGGATCCTTGTTACCTGGTCAGCCCTTGCAAAGGCCTTCGACCCGCATGCTGCCAGCTTGGACGTGGCAACATCTTATGTTACAAGTCACTACCAGAGCATCTCGGATGCAGCAGATGTTGATACCGATGATTTGGTTCGCATGTCGCAGGCAACGGTCAAGGGGAGATTAGGTGTGCTGACGTCATGCCCACAATCTTGGCACAAAGCGTTCTTTCCGTCATACCACGCGCAAGAAGAAACAACACAATCACGAGCGAACCTTGACTTCACCATGCAAAAGGACAGAATTTGGAATGTACTTGTTCAATTCTATGTACAAAGATTGGTAATATAAAGGCAAGAAGCAAAGCGATTGTACACTGCAAATGCCGCCAGATGACTCCATCAAAAAAGGTATCTTGCAGGTAACGATAGATAGCGCAAAAACAAACTCCAAGTGTCGTCAAATCATCCCTTTGTTCCAATCTTTTATCGTAAACATCTTGTCATGATCATCTCCTTCTCATCTTTCTCTCTATTGCGTTACAATTTAGGCGGCCACCGGGATCTCGTTCTTGGTGGTATTCATCAGAGGAGAGCGCTTGACGATACCACCAGTAACAGGAAGCTGAGTGCCGTATCCGGTGAGGAAGGAGTCGACATCGCGAGCGCACTGGCGACCCTCGTTGATACCCCAGACGATGAGGGACTGGCCACGACGGCAATCACCAGCAGCGAAGACACCGGGTAGGTTGGTGTTGTATTTGCCAGGGGGCGTCTTGATGTTCTTGCGACCATCAAGCTCGATGACCTCGTTCATGACGCGTTGCTCAGGACCCAAGAAACCCATGGAGAGGAGGACGAGGTCGGCGGGGAAGAACTGCTCGCTACCCTCGACGTGCTTCATGTCCCAACCGCCAGAGGCAGACTTGGTCCACTCAACACGGACAGTATTGATACCCTTGACATTGCCAGCACCGTCATCGACGAACTCCTTGGACATAACGCAGTACTCACGGGGGTCCTTGCCCATGTGAGTCTTGACCTCGTTGTGACCGTAGTCGGTCCTGAAGATACGAGGCCACTGAGGCCAAGGGTTGTCGCGGGCACGCTCAGCAGGAGGCTGAGGCAGCAGCTCGAAGTTGACAACTGACTTGGCACCGTGACGAACGGAGGTACCAATGCAGTCGTTACCAGTGTCACCACCTCCAATGACGACAACGTGCTTGTCCTTGGCGGAGATGTATGCATCGTCGGCAAGCTCAGAGTCGAGGAGAGACTTGGTATTCTTGTGCAGGAACTGCATGGCGTAGTGAATGCCCTCCAGGTTGCGGTTAGGGATGGGCAGATCACGGGCGACGGTAGCACCAGTGGCAAACACAACAGCATCGTACTGGCTGCGGAGGGAGTCGAGGTTCTCGGAGCCGTCCTCACCAACGGTGACACCAGTCTTGAAGTTGACACCTTCAGCGGCGAGGAAGTCAATACGACGCTGAACAACCTTCTTGTCGAGCTTCATGTTGGGAATACCGTACATGAGGAGACCACCGCAGCGGTCAGCGCGTTCGAAGACAGTAACGGTGTGACCAGCCTTGTTGAGCTGATCAGCGCAGGCGAGACCAGCAGGACCGGAACCAATGATGGCAACAGTCTTGCCAGAGCGGTTCTGGGGTGGCGAAGGCACCATCCAGCCCATCTCGAAACCACGGTCAATGATAGCGCACTCAATAGACTTGATGCCAACGGGGTCCTCGTTGATGCCGAGAACGCAAGCACCCTCGCAAGGAGCAGGGCAGACACGGCCAGTGAACTCGGGGAAGTTGTTGGTCATGAGGAGACGGTTGAGCGCATCGCGCCACTGGCCCTGGAAGACAAGCTCGTTCCACTTGGGAATGATGTTGGAGATCGGGCAACCTGTGTCAGACTGACAGAAGGGAACACCGCAGTCCATGCAACGAGCAGTCTGGTACTTCAGCTCGTCCTCGTTAAGGCGCTGGGACAGCTCGGCCCAATCACGAGTACGGGTCTTAGGGTTGCGGTACTTCTCAGAGCGGCGCTGGTACTTCATGAAACCACGAGTCTTGTCAAGAACCAGTGCCTTCTTCTTCTCAGCCTTAGCGTCAGTGACACTCTCCTCAATGTCGAGGAGGTCGGCCTTCTTCTCCTTAGCCTCGTGCTCGTGCTCGTTCTTGCGGGAGTCCTCGTGGGCAGTGCGAACCGGGTTGCCGGCAAGAAGGGGCAGAGGGTACTCCGACCGCTTCTTCTCAGCAGCCTTAGCCTTCTCCTCTAGCAGAACGCGCTTGTAGTCAACGGGCATGACCTTGACGAAGCGGGGCAGAGCGCGTGTGAAGTCGAGCAGAATGCGGGCGGCGAGCTCGGAGCCAGTGTAGTGGTGGTGGTCCTCGATGAGACCACGAACGAACGCGATCTCCTCAGGTTCCTCGATGGGGGAGAGCTCAACCATCTCCTGGTTAACCTTCTGCTCGAAGTCCTGGTGGATGTCAAGGACGTAAGCGATACCACCAGACATACCGGCAGCGAAGTTGCGACCGGTAGAGCCGAGCACAAGAACACGACCGCCAGTCATGTACTCGCAAGCGTGGTCACCAACACCCTCAACAACGGCCGTGGCACCGGAGTTACGGACACAGAAGCGCTCTGCAGCGATACCACGGAAGAAGCAGGTACCCTGGGTGGCACCGTACAAGCAGACGTTACCGATCAAGACGTTCTCCTCGGCACGGTAGACTGCAGTGCGCGGTGGGTAGACGATCAAGCGACCACCTGACAGACCCTTACCGACGTAGTCGTTGGCGTCACCCTCAAGCTCAAGAGTGATACCAGGGGCAAGGTAAGCACCGAAGGACTGACCAGCAGAACCACGGATGTTAACGTGGATGGTGTCCTGAGGCAGACCAGCCTCGCCGTAACGCCTGCTGACCTGGTAGGAGAGCGTAGCACCAAGGGCACGGTCGGTGTTGACGACATCGCACTCGATGCGAGCGGGCAGACCCTTCTCAAGGGCAAGCTCAGACTCAGCGATGAGCTTGTTGTCTAGACGGACATGGAGACGGTGGTCCTGCTTGCGAACGTTGAAGGTAGCAACACCAGGGCGGAGGGTGTGCGCGGGAGTCAAGATCAAGGACAAGTCAATGTTCTCGGTCTTGGCTGTGCGGAGGTCGTCACGGATGCGAAGGACCTCGCAATGGCCGACCATGTCGTTAATGGTCCTGAAGCCAAGCTTGGCCATGATGGCACGAAGCTCGTTAGCGATGTAGTAGAAGAAGTTGATAACGTGCTCGGGTGTACCGGCGAACTTCTTCCTCAGCTCAGGGTCCTGGGTAGCAATACCGACAGGGCAGGTGTTCAAGCTGTCATACGTTAGCAGATAATCATTGAAAGGAGAGATTCGAAGGGCGATGGAGAGCCAGTCGGTCAATGGCGACACCGTCTGGTAGCTACATCCACCACAGAGGACCTCCACGACACCTAAAATGGGATGATGGAGTAGGCAAGCAAAAAAAGGAAAATACTGACTGGCACTTGCGCATCATGATGCAGCCCATGGCGATCAGGGGAGTGGTAGCGAAACCCCACTCCTCAGCACCAAGCAGACAGGCGATGGCAACATCACGTCCGGTGCGGAGCTGACCGTCAGTCTGAACGATGACACGGCCACGAAGGTCGTTCAAGACAAGAGTCTGGTGAGTCTCGGCAAGACCCAACTCCCAGGGGAGACCGGCGTACTTGATACCAGTCCATCGAGAGGCACCAGTACCACCATCGTGACCAGAGATCAGGATGTGATCAGCCTTGGCCTTTGCGACACCAGAGGCGACAATACCAACACCAGTCTCGGAGACGAGCTTGACGGAGACACGAGCGCGGGGGTTGGAGCACTTCAGGTCGTAGATCAACTGCTTGAGATCCTCGATGGAGTAGATGTCGTGGTGGGGAGGAGGCGAGATAAGACCGACACCAGGAGTAGAGTGACGAGTCTTGGCGATGGAGCCAGATACCTTGTGTCCAGGAAGCTCGCCACCCTCACCAGGCTTAGCACCCTGAGCCATCTTGATTTGGAGCTCATCGGCATCAGCGAGGTAGTTGGAGGTAACACCGAAACGTCCGGAAGCGATCTGCTTGATGGCAGAACGCATGGTGTCACCGTTCTCCATGCGCAAGCTGCGCTCGGGGTCTTCACCACCCTCACCAGTGTTGGACTTGCCACCAAGACGGTTCATGGCGACAGCAAGGGTAGAGTGAGACTCCATAGAGATGGAACCATACGACATGGCACCAGTAACGAAACGGCGCACGATGTCTGTCCATGGCTCAACCTGGTCGACGGGGATGGGTGTGCGGTCGTCGAAGTTGAAGTCCAGGAGACCACGGAGCGTGCAGTCCTTGATGCGCTCGTACTCGGCGATGGAGTATGCCTCGTATGACTTGTCGTTCTTAGTGCGGACGGCATCCTGGATGTTGGCCATGGCAGTAGGGTCGTTGATGTGGGGCTCGCCACCGTCACGCCAGTGGTACTCACCAGTCTCAGCAAGACCGGGAACCTCGACGATGGGACGGGATGGGTAACCCTTCTCGTGGAGAGCCAGAGCATCCTGGGCGATGAGGTCGAAAGTCATACCCTTGATACGAGAGGCAGTACCAGTAAAGCAGCGGTCGACAACCGAGTCATCGAGACCAAGAGCCTCGAAGATCTGAGCGCCCTTGTAGGACTGAAGGGTGGAGATACCCATCTTGGACATGACCTTCAAGATACCACCGTCGCAAGAGTGCTTGTAGTTGTCGATAAGCTGCTCAGGGCTGAGCTTCTTGCGGATGACACCCTCACGGTGCATCTTCAAGATACACTCGATAGCGAGGTAAGGGCAGATGGCATCAGCACCGTATCCGACAAGGACACACATGTGGTGAACCTCACGGGCCTCACCAGTCTCGATAACGAGAGCAACGTTGGAACGCCACTTGTTGCGGACAAGGTGGTGGTGGACCATACCAGTGGCCAAGCAGGCAGAGACGGGCACACGGTCCTTGGAGACAGCACGATCGGTCAAGACAATGATGCTGTCACCGTTGTTGACGCCCTCAGCAGCCTCTTCGCAGATGCGGTCAAGAGTGCTCATGTAGCCCTCGATACCCTCGCTCTTCGCGAAAGTGATGTCGATGCTCTTGACTGTCCACTCGGAGTGAAGAGTGTGAGTGTTGGTCAGAGCGGTGAACTCTTCGAGAGACAAGACAGGCGAGGGCAGAAGCATTCGGTGGCACTGAGACTCGTCCATCTCCAGAAGGTTGCCCTGAGGACCGACGTATGCCTCGAGAGACATAACAATAGCCTCACGGATAGGGTCGATGGGAGGGTTGGTGACCTGGGCGAACAGCTGACGGAAGTACTCGTAAAGCAGGCGAGGTTGAGTAGCCAAGCAAGCAAGGGGAGAGTCGTTACCCATAGATCCGAGAGCCTCCTTGGAATCGGCAGCCATGGGTCCCAGGAGCAAGCTGACCTGCTCGAGTGAGTAGCCGAATGCTCGCAAACGAGGATCCTCGTGAAGCTTGGACTCTGTGAGTGTGTACGAGAGGTCAAGACCCTTCTCGCTGACGGTCTTGAGGATCTTGGGCAGGGTAAGGAGGTTCTTCTCGATCCATGCGCTGAAGTCGCTGCGCTCAGAGACAGTCTTCTTGAGCTCAGCATCATCGACAATGCGTCCAGCGACAGTGTCGACAAGCAACATCTTACCGGGCTGCAGACGGCCCTTCTGGACAACACGCTCGGGGTCAATGGAGATGGTACCAACTTCAGACGCGCAGACAATACGGTCGTCGTCCATGATGTAGTAACGGCAAGGTCGCAGACCGTTACGGTCGAGGTTGGCACCACAGTAACGGCCGTCAGAGAATGTGAAGAGAGCGGGACCATCCCAAGGCTCCATCATACAAGCAGCCCACTCGTAGAAGGCCTGCTTGGCGGGGTCCATGGTGTGGTTGCCCTGCCATGCCTCAGGAACCATGAGCATGACTGCTTCTGGCAGAGACAAAACACCGTTGATGGTAAGCAGCTCGAGAACATTGTCGAAAGCTGCAGAGTCGGAACCACCATCCTCAATGATGGGGTAGAGCAGATCAAGCTCCTCGCCGAAAAGGCTCGACTTCATACCACCCTCGCGCGCGCGCATCCAGTTCTTGTTTCCTCGCAATGTGTTGATCTCACCGTTGTGGGCTGCCCATCGCAGAGGCTGTGCGCGGTCCCATGAGGGGAATGTGTTGGTGGAAAAACGCGAGTGCACCAGTGCAAAGTGACCCTCATAGTCGACGTTGAGCAGGTCGTGGTAGTACTCGTAGACCTGGACAGGCGACAGCTGACCCTTATAAACAATGTTCTTGTTGCTCAGCGAGCAGATGTAGAACCAGTTGTGTAGGCCGATAACGTGTGTGGCACGCTTGCGCATGACATACAGCTGGCGCTCGAAATACCCTGCGTCGTAGTTCTTCTCGAAGTTCTCCTTAGGCTGCCGTGCGTCTCCGTAGGCGGTCTTGAGAACAACGAAGGGCTGCAAAATGATCGGCTCTCGTGACAGCGCAGCAGGACCGAGGAGTGTGGAGTCTCGGGGGACCACTCGCCACCCAAGTACTCTTAGATCGAGCTGGTCTGCAACATCCTCGAACATAGCCTTGGTCTCATCCAAGACTGTGGGGTCCGGCTTGAAGAACAGGTTGCCAGTGGCGTACTGGCCAAGTGCAGGTAGCTTGTAGCCCTGCTCGCGCTCGAATTCCTTGAGGAAGAATCGGTGGGGGATGGAAGTCATGACACCTGCACCGTCACCATCTCGTGCGTCTGATCCTACGGCACCACGATGGGTCATGTTGCAGAGCAATGAACGCGCTATACATCAGTCAGTAAGTTTTGGGCCAGAAAGTGTGTCTTTACGCTCTTACCATCGGTAACGATCTTGTGGCTGGCCTTGCCCTTGATGTGGCTACCCGCATGTTAGTTCTCGCTCTTTCGCTCAATGGCTTTCGAGTCACTTACGCAGCGAAACCCACACCGCAAGCATCCTTCTCCAAGGAAGGATCGTACAGACCCTGTTTCAAGGGGAGCGCACCCGCCCAGGACTTGTTCTCCGGGCCATCTTGGTACTCGTATACCTTTGTGGGTTCCTCTTCAATATAGGTCTCGTCAGGCAGTTTGGTATCCTCGGCGAAAGAAACTCGACCCATTATATCGGCGAACGGCCGAAGTATTAGGATCGAAGGGTGGTGGGTATATGAAGGCGGACCGCGTCTGATGGCGGCACTCGGGGTATCAAGAAAGGAGCTGATGTCCTGTAATCAATTGAAAGCTATGAAAGAAAAATGTCAGTTTCAAGTCTGGTAACGGAGTCCGGGTGTTGTTTGTGGGTCGCAAATCGAGATTGAGGGTTTTCACAAACAAGCGCCAAAGCTTAGCTGTAAATCATAGATTGGGTGTAGAGGGGTAGCGGTCGCAATTCGGGTATTGGAGACGTCAGTCTTCCGCAGAAGCTGGAGAACAGCGCTCCGGCTACGTCACCAGCCCCAGATGCTCGAATATGGTAAATTGGTACGAATGACGTTACTCAAGTTCAGAGGCAACTGATAGCTGCCGCACAGCACAAGAGATACTGATAAGGGATTCGGCGAATGGGGTGGTGCGGGGTCGTGTACTGGGGATATAAAGCGCTCGCTAATTCCTTCGTGGAGAAGGCTGGTGTAGTAAAAGAAGGACGTTGTGCCGCCAGAGGGCGACAGGTGCAGCGGAAATAAGTGGTTTGGACGAGGGTGACCTACTTGCTGTGTAAGGCTGAATGGAACAGGCCTTGAAGTCGACTCGCGGTGTTCCGGCTAGCAACTTGTGAGAGCGAGAGAGAGTGTGGTGAGAGTAGGTGGGAAAGTTGGCCGCGGGAGATTGGGTGGCAGAGCTTATGAATAGAGGGCGGAGGGCTGCTCGGTGGGGTTTTTTTTCTAAATGCGCTAGCACTTCACTCCAACCTCCGTCCAATTACGGGCCTAGAAGCGCAGCGAAGGAGGCGTTGTTTGCTCCCTCTGAGTGTGTCTCCGGTTGCCTGCGTGCCTTTGCTTCATGTCCCGGACTCGGTTTGGGTTCATTGAGAGTTTTATTTGTGTATATAGCAAGCTTGTGTACATCTCGAAACAGCACATGTAAACCTTTGTCTCGCCCCTCCAAAAGTCCACCTTGAAGCCAGTCCGCCCTCTCGTGCCGGCTAACGACGCCTAATTGGCCTCGTCCCGTTGATTGAGGGTCCTTCTAACGAGCTGGCGTGTCCCTGGTCCTTCGTTAGCAATGCTCGTGTGCATATTCGCTGAACGACTGCACATTGCGGTGTCGCGCGTTAGGAAAATTGGCAGGCTACCCCACGGATTCTGCCGGGCGCGTTACTTCAAGCAGTCATAGATTGGCTAAAGGCGTCTATCCGCTGCAGGCGGTGAGCGCATCGTTTGGCCGTGCATCCAATTGCAGGCGCCGAAGTCGCACTGACAATGCTCGATGACCCGGTCATGCAGCAAGCATCGTTCCGCTCTGAGCCCCACCAAGCCCACGCAGCCTGCTTTGTATCCGGAATGCTCTTATTGGCGCGGCGGCCGGCGGGCCCTCTTTTATCGCCGTAATTCCGGAGGGTCATCTTGTCCTTATCTCTGCTCAAGATTGCACCAAGAGGCGCGATGTCCGCCGTGGAGGATGGGCGCTGGCACGTCACTGGCCGGGAGATTTCAGCACCCCGCCCGTTGCAGCGGAATGCCGACGGGCAGGCTGCCATGTGCACGAACATCCATGGGCATCATGTCGAAGCACGGCCATGTCCCCAAGTTCAAGAAACTCAAAAGCCAATGCGTCTGCCACAGCAACCCTTTGTGGATTGGGCGAACCTTACCGCGATGCCGCTGCGGCAGACCAAGCTTCACTCGACTCCATCGACCTCGGGACAGACCGGAATGCCAGCCTCCCTCTAACGGCAGTACGTAGGGGACGTTTCTCCTCGACTGATTTCGATGAGTCACGAGTGCACGCGGATTCATTTCCTCCACCAGTGCATCCGAACCCATTGTCAGGTCGCTCAAACCGCCGATGTCGCCACACGCTGGCTTGGCTGACTGCCTGTCAATTTCAGGCGGCGGATACTCCAGGTGATATCGCTTGTACGGCAGCAAGGAACCTCAATTTGAGCTAGTAGCAGCATCTCAACATGCTAGCCAGTGGTGAACAGGGAAATGAAGAGCTGTCCCGCAGGATTTGTGATCCTTCCATGGTGTTGCCGCGCTCCTTGTGCCTGAAGGAGGCAAAAGTGGTAGTGGGCATTTTCGGGAACAGCCTACTACACGGGCTTACACCAACGTATTGCTCACGGATATTCACATGCTACACCATGGGGGCAACCTGGAGGCAAGGCGGGAATGTTCCTCTCGTGAGCATCGTCCGTTTGCAGCTCATGAGCGCGTGGCTTGTTCGAACGTTGATCAATCTGCTCATCAATGCTGCAGGTCGTCGTCGTCCTGCAGCCAAGTCCAGCAGCCCTGTAATTGATTGAAGATCAACAAGGAAGGGCAACCTGTCGCCTTTTCAGTGGCACGCCGAGCTCTGTGAAGACGGTGATGTCTTCGACTCCTGCGGGAGTACGGACCGTCGCTGAGCATTCGCCTGCAGATGCCTCGCGATGCCACTTCTGGCTCTCACGGTAGACGATCAGGTCCAAGCTCGTGTAAAGATCTGGGAAAGGTAAACGGCTTAGGTCTACCGGTGGCATCAGCGAATCAAATGCACTTCTTACTCCGCGCTAGGGGGAAAGGGGACGACTATATGTCGGTACATCTGTCGGTAGAAAGGCGACCTTTACGAGCAGTCTGAATGTAGTCGATCGATGTCAAGAAAGGACTGCTACTGACAAGATACGAATCTTCACTTTCGAGAACGACATTTTGACCGCAAAATAGGGTCCCAAGACTCCAAGCTGTGTGACCCATGGAAAAGGAAAGCAGTGGTGGCAGCGACAGCATCACATACAACCTCTACACACTTGCATCCTTATGTTGTCACAGTTGCATCCTTATGTGCAAATTCGTACAAGTCATCATTCCTCAGTCAGGTCACCAGTTCTATGCATTTCCACGGCTTTTTCTTTGCATCCTCACGGCCGTCTCCGGCCACCTCATGCCTGGAGTTAGCCTCACTATCTCTCGCATCCACCATCCTGATACCAGGGTTTAATGCATGTCAGAACACTACCCAGAACAAGCATCCTCCCCACTACTAACCCACAATTCAATCCACCACTGACAACCCAAACCCTACCTCCACGTTCAAACAAGCATCGGCTTCGGACTCGCTCTGTGCACCGACTCTGACGACACATCGTGAGTGGGCAGTGTGGTGCTGGGTGTAAGCTAGTGGGTGCCCTGCATGAGCGACACAACCCCATCGACGACGATTTTGGCAAAGCCAAAATGAAAGTACAGGTTGCGAGATTCTGTCTCAATTCTCTCCGAAAGGGTTCCAAAGAGTGGGTGTTGTTGGTGTGCAGTATCTTAGTGAGCGCCTACCGCGGTACGACTGTCTTATGTGCTTGTCTTATGGTGCGCTACAGCTGTCAAAACTGTAGTGAGCTGCATTGCACTTCTTTGGTACTGCACAACGTCGACACTATGTCAGTAGAGAGCGCACGATTCTTGTCATCAGCAAGTGCAACAAACAGACTCCCAGATTTTCGATGCTTGACCGTTCATTCGTAATATGTTTTGTGGCTACAGATTCGCGTGGTGGACGCCATAACGCGCGCACAACAGCCCCTCAATCCAGCAAACTGCGCCAAGACTTCATGTTGTTGTTAACAAGAGTCTGTCCGCTACCCAATGCCGCCCAAAATACTCCGTGTATCATATCCCACTACCGTATCCAACCGGATGTACCAACGTCGAAGGCTCGTGATCGCGTCGATATCGTCCTGCTCGTATCAGTATGTTGCCCCTCCACAGACCGCTCACCGCAACAGTGGCGCGCAAGACCGGACAAACATACCAAAAGACCAGACTTGCAGCCTTTGCGCCGCTTAGTCCTTCATCTCGTCGTCCGGGTCGACGAAGTCATCGTCCTCATCCTCATCGTCCTCGCCTTCGAGCTCTTGGTTGGCCTTGGCGAAGTCGATTGTCTTGCCGCGCGTGCGGCTGCCGTGGATGATATTGGATGTCTCGATATCCTCCATGTTGTCCTCGTCGGCCTCCTCAGCTGTTTACGTTAGCAACGCGTCTCTCATGGATAGGTAAGTGGGTGTTCGTACGTTCGGCGGCCTGTTGCGAGTTTGTTAGCTATTTGTGTGGAAGTCAGGAACTTGAAGTGGCGAACATACCTGGTCTTCGCCAGCAGACTCGTCGCTGGAGTCTTCGGACTCCTCCATGACGTCCTGCTGGGGGGCCTTGCCCTTGCCCTTGGTGTCCTGGACACCTTCCATCTTCTGGTCCGCAGGCTGGGCAGACATTGTGATGTAGTTGGTCGTTTAAAATTTCGTGCGTGTAAAGTATGCGACTGATGCGGTCGGATGGATGTGCGATTGAAGTGTGCGTGAGTGGTGTGGTTTGCGACGATGAAGAGGAAGCTGTGAAGGTGAGCACCAGAGCCACCCACTGATTCTCCATGCTAGCCGCATGCGGTAAAGCCTTGTTTTTCACCGGGGTAACGCTTTCCTGATCAGCAAACAGCAAAGATGACACCTACCCAGAATGGCATTGGCGGTTGGCGATTGCGATGTTGGCAATTGATGGTGCAGATTTTGTGCTAGAAACGACAGGCATGTGAGTGTCTCATTCTGGGTCTAAGTTTTTGGTAAGAAATTACGAGCGGCTGGGTGCCACAGTCTGAAGAGACGGCTCTGAAAGAAAGCTGCTGGAGATCCCAAGTGAACGCCAGGCCATCGCTGGCCCTGTCAGCTGGTATGTAAAGCTCTACAGTAATGCTTCCCTATTCGTCTACCTCAGCATTTTGATTGCGAAGTTTAGCTTGCATGGCTTCGCCCAGCTAATCGTGTGTCCCTCGAGGCTGGTCGTGTGGGCTGTATAAGCATATAAGGGCCATTGGTGATCATTGTCGTCCCATTTTGGTGGCGTTGGGGGTAATAGAAGTGGGTTAATGTCGATGAACTGCACAGTGCTATTGCAGTTGGCTAAGAACCGGAAGACCTCCTCGGCGAACTTCCCCATCAGAGCCTGACACTTCATAGCGTCGTCGTCGGAGATGGACTTCCAGATGGACATGGGATTGACTGGTGAACTGTATTGGATGTTGGGAAGATTCAGCATCCGCAGTGTGTGTATGTTAGGATGTCTGGCAACGATAGACTACTTGGATGTTAGTCGATGATTTACAAGAATATTTTCCTGAAATACGACTCACTAGGGCATTCTCAAATTCCGGCAAGGCACACACTTCGTTCTTGTCCCATTTGATAAGCGCAAAAGAACCTCCGGGGTGACGGACAGAACCAAGGTTGACTGATCGAAAAGGCATGTCGATACTCAGCGTTTCGAGATGTTCACATGCCTGTAGAATAGTTTCTAAGTCTTGCGCCGAGTATGTTGGTGTATCTGGCTTTGGTTCCAAAGGCCATGTGTACGTTGCCAGAGTCAAATCCTGCAAGGTGTTTCCATGTCTAGTAATGCAGTCCGTATTCAACACAGGAGATCCCCAGTGCTCGATGCGGAGATACGACAAGAATGGACACGTCATGACGAAACGTTCGACTGACGTGTTCGAAAACTGTTGACTTGGCATGAACCGGATCAGTGGAAAGCTGAAATGGAATGTATCCAATCTTCCCGTGTTCCCGGTGTACCAGTCCGACATGCCATTGAGGAACGTCGCGCTTCCAATGCAGTCAAGCAAGCGTAAAGTACGAAGCTTCAACATATCGAATCGCTCCAGAAATAGCTTCGAGTTGAGATGCATATTGACACCCCACAACGACAACGCGTTCAGCCGTGGAAAGCGTATGTTAGTGAACGCGGAGCTGACATCCGCATATGAATGCTGAGACGATTTCCCACGGTAGTCGTAACATATACGGAGCTGTTCCAAGCCGGACATGCCGCGAAAAAGAACCCTGTTGATTTTGAGTGATTGCTCCAGTGTTTTCTCATTCATCAGCAACCGGTAGGATTTAATTCCAGAGATGTGTGGCAGCATCCAATCACACTGCCGGAATTCGGCGAGACCAGGCTTTATGTATGCATCGAATCTTTCCAGCTTCGACTGCCAAACTATTAAATTCTTGAAGGTTGCGGGGCTCAAGGGAGAGAAGCATATGAACTCCTTGAGTGAGTTTCGTGGCATGAATTCGAGTAACCCACTCAGGAATTCCTCTAACTTTTCGAAGATGTCATCGGGGACCTTTCGCACGATCAGCCGACGTATGTGAATCAGAATTCCGGATCTCGGTTCAAGTAGTGCGCTTAGCTCCTGCGTATCGCATGGTTGAAAGTCTGTAATGAAAGTTTTCCACATCTGGCGTGCCATAATAGCTCTCCAGTAATGGCAGACAAGACTGATGCAGGCCATGTCGATGCGATCTCGGATCTGTGATGTATGTCAGTAGTGTCACAAGATAGAAGCCCGAGTTCAGCCTACAAGCGCTTACAATATGAGAGAGTCAGACATTAACTTACAAAGGTAAAGATGAGATCGAGAATCTCCGTAGGCAAGGCGAGTTCTTCAAAGCGACACAACATCTTGATAGCTTCTTTGGAAACAAGAGCTCCTGACTCGCCGGTATGATACAGGGGTGTACCCATTATAGATCGTGAAAGTTAGTATATTTGTGGTTGAGGGAGATCTTGCGACGCCGAGGCATCTGAAGGTGTAACACAAAAGCCTGCTGTTCGGGAGGTCGTGAACTTGAAGGTTGCCTGTCAATTCGGGTGACAAATTGAAAGAGACTGTGGGCTACTGATGACCGCTTTCGATTTTCGGTGCCATCCCTGGATGCTGTAGTCTATGGGTCAGGGGCATCTACCCTAATTGAGAAAACCTTTGATTCGCCCTCCAGAATGGACATCCATGACTGCAAGCTCTCTGCATTTTATGATCACATCGTATATGTGGTCATCTCGTGGTAATGAAAACAAGACCTGAGAGCTTTGTGAAGTTTGAAATTTTTAACAAATGGGTGGTGGTGACATTGAAGCAGCAAGTGGATGGTGGTGGGGTGAGTGCAAACGGCAGGAACGACACGGAAGCATAAAAGTCGCAGACCCTGACTGAGCTTCACGACTTCCATGGGCACCGCTGGCTGAAGTAAACAATGTGGATTGAAACTACGACTAGGGTATATAACTCCTCGCACTCGCGCTCAAATGGAAATGCAATCATGTCTCGTTACCAGCCTCACTTCTCCTCTTTTGTCTCTCTCTTCTTCCTCCACTGCGGCCCCTTCCTGATCTCCAAGAACATCAACGGCATCAGCAATGCGCAAACCCCACCCCAAAGCGTATACGTCCACCCGTCACCGAGACGATTCGTCATACGGTCGATGACCGAGACGAGAATCGCCGCCAGCGAACATCGGACAAGATTCGTGCACGCCGTCGCCCCCGAACTCCTCGACTGCAAGATATCGATATTCAACGTCATGGTCGTGTTTAGGATGCCCATACTGGTCCACCCTAGCAGCACCGCAAGACACAGTGGCGCAGCCATGTGCGCTTTCGCTTGGATTGTCCAGCCCCAGCCGATGACACACATGACAAAAAGGGTGAGGTAGTAAGGCATGAGTCGCAGACGAGCGTACTCAATTGTGAAGGCCTCGCCAGAGCGCTTCTTGATGCGATCATACTCCCCGTCGAGCACCTTGCCAGTCACAGTGCTGCCGATGATCATACCAGCGCCGGTCGGCAGGTAGCACAGTCCAAGTACGGTCTCGGAGAGGTGTGGGTAGATCTTGGCAAAGGCAGAAGAGATGGTGGCTGTGATGGTGTAGTTTACAGCGTAGACGATACCAGTGAAGGTGAGCAGGACGATGACGTCTGGGTAGGTGAACAAGACGAAAGGGTTGACAGAGTGCTTCGTCTTTGCACGAGACTCGGTATCGGCGTTCTGTTGAGCGGCTTTGCGACCGACAATACGTATAATGGCTCGGGAGTGTCGAGGTACAGGAATACTGCCGTTTCCTGCGATAGAGCGAAGCGTTTCCGGCAAGAAGAGAGCGATGAGAACGAGGCATGCAGCAACCATGATGACGATGCTCCAGAAGATCGACCGCCAACCGAGTGCCTGGGACAGGGCACCGCCCATCGCAGGTGCGATACATGGTGCAAGCATGGGCCCTAGGTTGAACATGCCGAAGTACCCTCCTCTTTCTCTGCTCGTCGAGATGTCACCTATCACCCCAGCCCCAAGAGCGATCGTGCTGGCACTTCCTCCAGATTGGAAGCATCGGAGGAAGAGAAGAAGCCAGAAATGTTCCGTTGGACATAGAGCAAGTCCAATACTCGCAGCGACGAGGATGCTGAGGCACCCAAGGAACACTAGTCGTCGCCCATACCTGTCGCTGATTGGACCCCAGAGCATAGGCGATATACCCTGGAACACAAGGTACACGGTGACAGTCTGGTTGATATCATCGACTGACTTGTGGAACGCCTTTGCTATCGTTGGTATGGCTGGGAAGTATATATTGGCTGGTAGAGGGCTGCATCGACTTGTCAGCTCATATCAATAATTATAGACATTATCAGCGTACCTGTAAAATCCAGCTAACGCGACCATAGCAACAATCAACCACTTCTCCTTGTTCGTATAGATGCTATACGCCTCATCGGTCCCAACAACAACCTCCGGCTCCTCACCCACCTCTTTCTCGATTTCTTTGGGCTCAACAGCGGCCATTACAGCGCACTTTCACGAAATTTGCGAGATGAAGAACCCTCTTTCAAAAAACCGCACGACATTGTTCCCATCACTACTCTTTAATCCCAGCATCTCGGAGTATCTGTCACCGCAATCCTGTAGAGTTAGCGGTAAAGCGCTTCCGACCGGCGAGGAATCGGCAAAGTCGTCTGATAACGACGTTCAACCTGGGTTGACAATGACGCTAGGGTGAAACGGGTATCGTAAACGCCACGAAACCTTGAAAGAGAAAGGGCAACAGTCTGGACTCGCTAACGGCCGCGAAACGGCACTTGAACGGGTTGACAAGGCCAGTTCTAGCGGGAAAGATTTTGCTGTGCGCCACGCAGTGCACGGTGGAAAAACTGGGGAGTCATGATAAACGGTCATCTTGACGCGAAGTGCTGATAGAGGCAAACCAGACACTATTCAGCGACTCTTACGACTTTTCGAGATACGCAATTTCTGCAACTGTGCGTGGTTCGCAGAATCATTGCCTCATCACGACCACCAATCCAGGTCCTCGGGTCCCCCAAACTTTGTACTCCACTTGGACTGGTCAACCTGCAGTTGCCCGGAGACATTGCGCCGACACCATGGTGGTTCCTATGATAGCAGCGTCGGAGGAAGAGCTAGGGAAGATTCAGGTCGGCAAAGAAAACTCACCAGATACCTCTCCACACCGGGGAAAAGCTTCGAGAGTCGGAGGCCTGAATGGCATACTCAACCTATTGGCAAAACGTGGAGATGTCGAACTCCAAGGAGCAACACCGGTGCCGTATGACGAGAGGACAGAGACGAACTACTTTAACATCTTTACCTTGTGGTTTTGTATGAGCTGCAACCCCCTGCCGTAAGCCACCAGATCCAACATGATGCAGGAAGGTCGAAATTGACATTTGACTCAGGGTGACCTTTGGCATGGTCGGCACGGCATCGTTCGGCCTGAACTTGCGAGATGCAGCACTCGTTATTCTGTTCTTCACGTTGGTGTCGACGATACCTGTCGCGTACATGTGCACCTGGGGCCCACGAACAGGCATGCGTCAACTCGTACAAGCCCGCTTCGTCTTCGGAAAGTACTTTGTCTCTCTCCTCGTCCTCTTAAACCTCGCAACCCTTACAGGTTTCTGCATCGTCGATGCCACGATTGGCGGCCAGGCACTATCTGCTGTCATGGAAGGTGAGACCATCAACGCTACAGTCGGCATCGTCGTTATATCTCTGCTCGCCATGCTTGTTGCGTTTTGTGGATTCCGCATTCTGCACCATTACGAGCGCTGGGCGTGGATTCCAGCTGTCATTGCGCTGGTTATCGCTGCAGGATGTGGTGGTGAGGGGCTGAGGCAACAAGTCGCCGCTCCTGCGGCTACCGCCCAGCAAGTCCTGTCTTTCGGTGGCCTGGTCGCGAGTTTCATGCTGCCCTGGGCCGCGCTCGCCAGTGATTTCAGCACATACATGCATCCTAAGGCACCGCCATTCCGGATTGCGGCATACACCTACGCTGGACTCGCACTACCAACGATCCTTCTGATGACCCTCGGAGCAGCCATGGGCGGTGCAGTCTCCAACATCCCCTCCTGGGAAGCAGGCTACGATCTGAACGCTGCCAGCGGTGTACTTGCAGCTATGCTGCACCCAGCCGGCGGCTTCGGACGCTTCGTTACTGTCGTGCTGGCGTTCAGCATGTTGGGTAATTTGAGCGCGACTATGTACGCAATTACGCTGAACTTCCAGATGGCGCTGCCGTGGTTCTTCCGCATTCCTCGCGTTCTCTACGCCGTGTTCATCACTGGCATCGTCATTGGCGTCGCCATCCCAGCAGCGAAGTCCTTCTTTCTGAACCTCGAGAACTTCCTGGGTTTAATCGGGTACTGGGCTGCTGCATTCATTGGAGTCATGCTTACCGAGCACCTGCTCTTCCGAAAGGGTAGCTTTGCAGCATACACCAAGGACGAGGGTGCTTGGGATGATACTACGAAGCTGCCCCCTGGGTTTGCGGCTATTGGCGCTACGGTTTTGTGCTTTGGGCTGGTGATTCCGGGGATGAGCCAGACGTGGTTTGTGGGTCCTATTGCGGAGAAGACCGGGGATATTGGGTTTGAGGTTGCGCTGGTTCTGTCGGCGGTGTTGTATGTGCCTTTTAGGATGCTGGAGTTCAAGAGGTATGGTAGGTAGACGAGGCACAACTAGATGCTGGTCTTCGATCTTGAGAGCATAATCAAGCCCCAGACTGTTCAAGCGACTCGATGTCGTTGATTGGAGATCCTGTGATTAGCATGTGACGACTCGCTCCTGACGACGCATGATGCTTGGCTTCTTCAGGAGATTGCATGTGGTGGTGGGCATGGGTAACCGTGCATGAGGATCGTTTTGCCGAGGTAGGCATGCCCAACCCCGGAATGCTCCATGATCTCACAGGCCTACGGACCACGATCCGACCTCCACAAATGCTTCCGGATCCGCACGCGGCATCAGACTTTGATGTGAACCGCACGCCTGACTGAGACTGATATCTGTGCACTTCACTCCTTCACCATACCACACCGCCGCCAAGCCAGCCACTACCACCTTCATACCCCACTCGACGCGACTCAAATCGATCTACACCATGTCTGAGGTCAAGCAGGAAGCTCAGCAGAAGCTCGCCGAGTCGACGCAGTCCGTTCCTCAAGGCACAGCAGCGCAGCAGAGCGACAATGTTGCGCACGCCCTCGCTGGTGCTGGTGGAGGCCTGCTGTCCATGGCCTTGACCTACCCCCTCATTACTCTCTCGACACGCGCCCAGGTCGAGTCGAAGCGCGCACAGTCGTCGACGCTGGGAGCCGCACGCCGAATCATCAAGCGTGAGGGCATCACAGGTCTGTACGCGGGCATGGATTCTGCGCTGTTCGGCATCACCGTCACCAACTTCGTCTACTACTACTGTCCGTCCCCTCACACACTCACACTAGCACAACACTGACAACACAGGGTACGAATGGACCCGCGCCTTCTTCGAAAAAGCCGCGCTGAAAGCTGGCCGCCCCTCCAAGAAGCTCACCACCATTGAATCCATGATTGCCGGCGCCATTGCGGGCTCTGCCACCGTGCTCCTCACAAACCCCATCTGGGTCGTCAACACGCGCATGACGACGCGCAAGTCTGAGTCTGACGAGCAAGCTTTGCCCGGCTCTGCCCCGGCCAAGGCGCCTTCGACCCTCGGCACGCTGCTCGCGCTGATTCGCGAGGAGGGACCGTTGCGTCTGTTTGCGGGTGTCGCGCCCGCCCTGGTGCTCGTTATCAACCCGATTTTGCAGTACACGGTGTTTGAGCAGATGAAGAATTTCTTGGAGAAGAAGAGGAGGGTTACGCCCAAGGATGCGTTTTATCTTGGTGCGCTGGGCAAGCTGCTGGCGACTAGCATCACCTACCCTTATATCACTGTGAAGAGCAGGATGCATGTTGCAGGCAAGGACGGACCGAGGGAGAGCATGTTGACTACGTTTAAGAGGATTATCAGCGAGGAGGGGTACAGTGGGTTGTATGGAGGTAAATGTGACAATGTAGTCGAGATGAGCAGTTACTGATGTGTGATAGGTATTGGACCCAAGGTCACCCAGAGCGTTATCACCGCTGCTTTCTTGTTCGCGTTCAAGGACGTGTTGTATGCCTACACCGTTCAGGCACGCAAGAAGCTCGCCCGCAAGTAAATGCGCAACGCCAAACATTATCGAAGACGGTTTCGAGCACGCCAGCGAGCAACATAACCAAGAACGTAGTGTACGAAGGTACGAGTGTCGACATGGACAGCTGCTGTACAACAACGCAATGTAGGAAAAGTTGAGATTATGTATATACCCTGGATCTAAGTTCATGTTTTGCTTTCACACTTCACATTCGGCACTTTCTCTTCTCTGTTCAGTTGTTCGTGCTTGGCCTCTCTTGATGATCGGATGTTTACCCGGGATGCCGTTAGCAACCTCCCATCTTCATGCAGGTATACAATACATTGCGGGGCACCTTTCCTATTTACCCGCCACTCGACCTCATAAAAGCAACGCGGACCAAGTCTTCCGTACCTCACACAATGCATAAGTACAAATGGTCTGCTTTCGCTCCCGAACCGTTCAAGCCTGTCTTACTGAGCGACCTCAACCACCATGACTTCTAAACCCTTCACTCTTCGTTGGGGCGTCTTAGGTACACCCTGTACAATCCCACAATCACCCAAAGTACTAACATTCTCCTAGCAACCGGCGGAATCGCAAAAAGTACCCACTCATCCCATACCCTACGCACCAACCGTACCTGACCTCCACAGCATTCACCAAGGATCTGCTCGTCGACCCATCAACCCGCAACGCCAGCGATATCCGCCATATCGTCGCCGCAGCTGCTTCTTCCACATCAGTATCCCGCGCTTCCGGATTTCTTCAGGAGGTCGGAGCACCAGCCTCCGCTAAAGCCTACGGTTCCTACCGCGACCTAGTCAACGATGCCTCCGTCGACATCATCTACATCGCAACCCCGCACTCGCACCATTACCAGCACACGCGCCTCGCCCTTGAAGCCGGCAAACATGTGCTAGTTGAGAAGCCGATTACTGTGAATGCGCAGCAGGCGCGAATCCTCTTCGCTCTGGCCAAAGAGAAAGGGTTGTTCGTAATGGAAGCGGTATGGACGCGCTTCTTCCCGCTCACACTGTCTATTCAGGATTTCATTGAATCTGGGAGACTGGGCGTGGTGAAGAGAGTGTATGCGGATCTGAGTTTTTGGAACGATGTCGAAGCCGAGTTCGAGTCCTCGCATCGAATGGTGAATTTAGACCTCGCCGGCGGCGCGCTGCTAGACCTCGGAATCTATTCACTAACGTGGGTGTTCCTCATCCTGTACCATTTACAAAACGCCTCAGGTCAGAGTGGGAAGAGGAGGCCAGAAGTCAAAGGGGCGATGAGTCTGTATGCAAAGACCGGGTGCGATGAAATGACATCCATCATGCTCTCCTTCCCCGGCGCGGCGGTGGGGAGTAAGAAGGAGGAAGGGGAAGAGGAGGGGAATGGCGATGCACACGCCATCGCGCTCACGAATATCCGCGTCTCCCACGACCCGAATACTGAGCATCCGAGCGCAAGTCCGGTCAGGATTCAGGGTACGCTGGGCGATATCACCGTCTCCGCGCCGTCCTACCGTCCTTTATCCTACACCATTATACCCGCTCAAAACGCCAACCGGGGGAAGTTAGCGAACTTTGAATTCCAGACCGTCGAGTACCAGATCCCTGGCGGTGGGCACGGAATGTTCTGGGAGGCAGATGAGTGTGCACGGTGTATTAGGGATGGGCGGCTGGAGAGTGAGGTTATGGGGTGGGAAGAAAGTGAGGTAGTCATGGAGATCATGGATGAGGTGAGGAGGCAGGGAGAATTAAGGTATCCGGAGGTAATCGAAAGCACTGAGTATCCGCTTGAGGGGTTTGGGCTGTGACAAGTATGTCATAATAGCCAACATGAGAGACAGACAGAAGGGTATAGTGAAGCAGTTAAGGGTATAGTGAAGCAGTTAAGGGTATAGTGAAGCAGTTAAGGGTATAGTGAAGCAGTTTTGCATGTTGTGTAGCTGTTATAGAATTCGCCGAGGGAGGTTAATGGTAAGTGCACATCATTCAAACAGCCACCTGTTCTATCGATCTTGTGACAGTTTGCTAACTCAGCGTGTCTTAGATACCGTGCGTGTGGATGGCATCGAGAGCACCGAGGGCTCCATTTAGTTGTGGCCTCAAGAGTGAAACGGAACGAACATGCGCATAAGTTTACGACATGTATTGGGTAGCTAAACGGCGGCAATGTGCAAGGAGACAGACCAGTGGGTGTGTGTCCTTGGAACAATCAGCCAAGTTGCTGGCCATCTATAGAAGACTTTTCATATCCTCCAACTTTTTGATTTGATCAAGAACCTTATTGAAACCTTCCGTATACATTAAACAGTTTTCTTCCTTTGTAGTCCCTCAAAATCCATAATCAGGTGGTGCCATCTCGCACCGTGTCGCAAGACCGAAACAAGAGCTATTCCTATCTCTGAGGAAGTGTCGGTACGTACCTAACATCATAAACGAGGATGAACTCACAGTTCAAACGACCAAGGTCGACGTGTTCGGCGGCACAGCCGGGAAGCTTGACACAACCGCACCCGTTGGCGCAACAGGCTTGAAGGTAGTGCGTATCGTAGTCTCCAGCACCTTCGTGCTCGTCTCCTTCCCAGAGGGACAGTAGTGATGGAAGCAGGCGTCCGTGGAAACCGGAGAAACAATAGGGCGCATGGAGGGGGGCCCAGAGGGACCAGAGGAGGTAACCGAGTGACGCTGGATAGAACCAACGATGCCCTCCTCTGGGACGAGAGGAGCATCGGGGCCGACGGGCTGACCAGGGCCGCGCCACCAGTCAATAGGCACTCCACGGGCAGTCAACTCAGGAGGAATAGCGAAGCCCTTTGTAGTGAAACCGAGGAAAGAATCGACGATGGTCTCCTTAGGCTTCGGAGGAATCGCAAGGCCGCTGGTCGTAGTGGGCGTGCCTGTGGGCTTAGCGACAGGAGGAATAACGACAGACGTGGTGAGTGTAGGCACGATAACTGTGGGCGTTGAGATTGGTAAGATGGAGAAGAAAGCATCGGTCTCGCTCGGAGGAGCGTCGTAGTGCTTTTCGCCAGTGAACTCAGTGGGGATAGGAAGGATGCCTATCGTCATCTCGCCCATCTCAGCAAGGACTTCGGTCTGACCAGAAAGTTGAACGTCGGTACGAGTGCTGAAAAACTCCGGCAGTGGGACACGATGAGATTCCCAAGCTGGCGGTAAAGTAACGTGAACCTCGTCGATGGTCGGAGTAGCGCGAGCGAACACGGTGGCGCGGCGCTGAGAGCGCTTACCACCGTTCTGACCGCAGGGATACCCGTTGCGCCAGCACTTGACGGAGGTGGTGGGCTTGAAGAGGAACGTGTTGGAACGTACAGGCGAAGGCGTAACCGGGACAGTCATGATCATGCCGTTGTCGACAGGCTCGTTAGAGGTGGTGTACGAGGTGGAGAATGTGTCGTACACTACAGGAGCTAAGCCAGTGCGGTTATTCAGGATGAGCGGATCATTGCCATTCTGGCCAGCAGTGAGGCTGGCGAGGCCGAGGGTGCTGAGCGCGAGGGCGGTGATTTTCATGTTGTCGTGTACCAAGATGTGGTTGAGATCAGAGTTGGTCGGTAAGGTGGAGCGGGAAAGCTGCGAGGTCGCAGGAAAGAGGGATTTTATACGTAGTGTGCGCACAGGCGGTATTGAAGCGGCCTTCACTTGGTGTCTGCGAAGATTCTAGCGACTGGGTTCGAGCACGGTGAAAGATGTGGGATGACGTAGATGGCAAACGGAAAACGCGACGGGGAGGTGAGAATGAAGAGTCAAAGGAGTACACATCATTGAGAAGCAACGGAGGAATGAAGTTCTATGCGAAAATCTATAGAAATGCGGAGGCACTTGGTAAGAGCAACGCCGTACTATGCACCATCTATAAGAAAACAGTGCCAAACTTCTGTTCAGCAAACGATAGAGCAAAAGAAAATCAGATCAAGAGGTTCTTCGTGAAACCCTCTAACGCTGCCCGGTACTGCTGACTGTACTCGATAGCGATCTGCTGATTGTACCAGTTGTGCCTAGCATTGTGGTCCGCTACCAGGTTGTGCGCCAACTCGTGACAGTAGGTGAAGAACCAGCTGTCCAGCGCCCGCAATCTGCCTTCCCGGTCGCCAAAGTTCGGCGCGTGCAACGCCATAAACCACGCTAGGTTGAAGAAAAGACTGCCATTCAGATTGAAAGCGACGGTGTTGGATTTCTTGTCGAGGAAGATGTTGACAGCCGCAGGGTTGACCTGGAATATGCCAGTCAAACCGAAGATGAGAGGAAGGAAGCTGTTGAGCTGTGGCTGCAGTTCTGCAGGTGGCGCAGCTTCGTCGCGGCCGTAGTAAACGTCGACATGCCTGCCGTTGAACGGAACAGAGAAAGCCTTGTGTAAGTTCTCCCACTGCTCACCATTGCAGTAGCCGCCTCTATCGAGCTCTGTCGGATCCTGGTGGTGCTTGGTGTTGATATTCTGCTGCCCGGCCGGCCTGCATTCCTTGATAGCATTTTGGATGTTCGACTTTGTGGCTTGGATGTCGCGACTGATCTGTGGCCCATCAGTACCCCTGATCTCAGGAGCCGGTGTGGGTGCATTCTTGAAGCCTAGCTTCTTCGCCCAATTGTTGATTAACCCATTTTCCATCGGTTGGCGATTGTTGTTGTTGTTGGCAAGTTCCATTGAGTTGTCCGGGCTGTTGCCGAAAGCACCAGGCATGTTGTTAGATTTCTCAGGAGTAGAAGGTGGAGGGATGTTCTCGGTATCTCCTGCCTTGACAACAGCAGATTCTGCTTGCTCTGCCGCGCGTTGACGTTCCTCCTGCTCTTGCACCAGCTCTTGCTGCTTTGCAATACGAGCTTCATGCTCCTTACGACGAAGAATACGCTCTACATTGATACCCTTCTGTTGTAATCTTCGAAGTGGTTCTGTTAGGATGCGCTCCAGAGCGATCGTGTCGTTCTGCTTCGGTCGCGAGATCAAGAGTCTGACGAGCTCCTTGGACACCTCGTACAGGTCGTACTTCGGTGTGATGCTCAGAACGTAGCCAGCAGCCCGCATCTTGAGGATGATAGCCGTCTTCTTGGATGAAGTTGTGACGTTGCGCTCTGCGAGCGAATAACGAATCGAGATGTCCGATACGCAATGTACAGTCAAGTTGGATGCAAGCCACTTTGCATCGTGCCTGATAGCTTTCGATGAGCCGTCCCGCTCGTACTCGTGAAGAAACAGCCGAGCGCGTTCCAGGATGTCTTTGCGCAGATGAATGGCAGGACTCTGATCGCGAGCTACAGCACCGATAGTCTGATTGGTCTTGACAAGGTCCGAAATCTTTGGCGCACCAAAGCGCGCGTAAAACTCTTCAAGTGCCTCTTCTTGTGGTGCTGCAATGATGTAGTCGCGGAACCTGTAAAGATGATTGACATCATCAATGATGACAATATCCCTGGCGCTGTTCAGCGACCACTCGCGCTGCATACCTGGCTCGTCAAAATCATCCAGATCGTCTTCTACAGCTTCCTCCTTCTTGATATCCTCCTTGATGTCCCTGTATCCGAGCAGTATCCTTGACGCTACCAGCTTCTCGACCACTGCCTTGTCCTTCCACAGCGTAGGTGCATGTTCAGCCAGCTTCCGGAGCAAGTCGAGGTACTTCTCCTGGCCAATGGTGTTCAGAAAGCGAGCCGGTTTGAAGGTCAGAAGCTCTGCTAGGTCACGAGTACTAGGCTCGTGCTTCGCTCCAATCTTCAACAGGAATGCTGTGGCTTCCGCACCATAATGGACGTAATCGAGGATACCCCGATACTCTTGGTCACGACCAACGAAGACATGCTCTGGCGGATTGTAGTGGTGAATGCGCATCTCCGTCTTGCCTGTTTGTCGCTTTGAGCTGTCCTCGAAGCCAATACAGCTCGGGTCAAGGTAGTACTTCCGGAATATGGGCACAATACTGGCGGTCGACAAGCTGTTCATGAGTCCACGAGACTGGTCCAGCTCAGCTCCTCTGCTGGCGAAGTATGCAAACTGCATTTCCGCATCGATCTTGCTCTTTGGCGGCGCCTTGAGCAACTGCTGCACACAGGGTGTGATCGCAGGGTCCCGCTTGACGCCGAACTTTTCAGCATGTGGACGAAGATCGGACCTCAGAATAGCGAAGCCCAAGCACGCCGCGTTCTCGTTCATGTAACATTGGAATGGCGCAACAAGGTTTGGGAACGGCGCCTGTTCTGTCGGCAGAATCGGAAGGGTGAGAGCCGCAAACTTAGCTACTTCTGCACCGTAGTTGTTCTTGTAGTAATTCTGTAAGAAATAATCCAGAGCCAGAAAGTACAACTGCTGGTCGCTTGCCTGGCCAGCACGATGGAGGATGTTCGCAATCGTGGTGGAATCAGGCCATTGCTTCAGCCCCAGGCGCAACAAGAGAGCCCCCTCACGTAGATTGGATTTGAACTCGAAGGGTATTTTCACTTGCGTCAGACCGAGCGATAAGATGGCCTGATCTGGAGCGTAAAGCTCCGAAGCCTTAAGCAACTGTCCTGGTTTGATTAGCTTTCCTTCTCCAGGCAAGAAAGGTGTTTCCCGCAGTCGATCCAGATCCCTCTTTGGTATTTCATCAATGACTGATGCGAAGTACTTGATGAGATCCACATGGTTCCAAGATGCTTTGTCAGAGCCAGTTGCAGTGTCGTTGTTCCGCATTCTATCGAACACCATAGGAAGATCAATAGTCTTCCGGACACCCAAAGCTAGCAGGAACTTTTCTTTTGAGCCAGCGAAAGGTTTCACCGTAGGAAGATCATCGAACAGCTTGACCGTTGGGAAGTAGGATTCCTGTGGGCGCCGCATCCCTACCTTGGTGGGCATGATGGTATGTGGCGTCAAGATCTTCACAACAGTCTCTTTTGCAGTGCCATCGAGCTGTTCCCAACATTTTGATGCCAGACTAAGCATTGACAATGCTAACGTCTCCGACGCAGTGAACTCCGCAAGCTGCGGTGGTGTTGTGAGGTGCCGAAGCCAACGAACCATGGATAGCTCAATCCAGCCAAACATCTGCAATTGCTTGGCTGTCATATTCTTGGTAAACGTGAACGGTATTGTGTCAGCTGGCAAAGGTAGCGTTGGTGTAATTCTGGCTGGATTCACGTAGGTGCTGATGTCTCCGAGGGCAAGGATCCTGCCCGAATTATTTTCTGGTTGTACATCGATGTTCGCGACGGTGTTCTCGAATAGACTGCGCGATCCAGGTATGTCAATTTCGCCACTTTCGAGCTTCGCACCGCACCACCGTATGAATTCGCTTAACTCTTCCTCATTGAGAGCACGAGATTCCAACCCTTGGCGAATGTCCTGCATTGTGAGCTCAGTGATAAATCCTCGCTTGTGTAAGCTGAGCATGAATGTGACTGCTTCAGTGGCCAGCTGCTGGGGTACCATCGGCACCTCTCCGAGGAAACTCAGCGTCTCCGCAGGCATGCGTACGTTTTTACTGGCCATGACACCTTTGGTGGAAAGGATTGCGATCGAGCGCTCCTTGGAGCAGTTCCAGAAAGCTTCATCGATCTTCTCACCAAGCGCTGTCGAGGGGTGAGAGGCATTCGCTGTATACTGCTGTAAGGTGTAGATAGCCCTAGGAACCAATGCATCAACTGTTTCCGGCTTTACGCGAGCTTGGATCTCAGCCATCTCGGACACGTAAGATATGCGGCAGGCGAGACCAGCTACGCGCAGGAGTTCGATGTTCCAAGTAGAGATGTATCGTGCATTCATGTCGACATTCTCTCGCTCGACTGTCGGGATAAGCGACGGCGCTGAGATATGGGCGAGATAACCGGTTGTCTGAGCAGTTGGGAATCCAATGAAGATGCGGCCGGATTTTCTCGGTAGTACTTCTGCAAAGATCTTTGCTGATAGTTCTGCAGTGCTACCAGAACCGGTTGAGAGCATAGCTGATGGGTCCTGATACGGCGATGTCAACAAGGCGATCTTCGTTGACTTTGGTGGTGACTTTTTCGTTGCTCGTTCGATCTCGGCAGCAAACTTTTGCGACACCTTGGTAGATGATTCCACAGTGTAGACTTGCAGAAATATTGTGCCCTTCGATTCGCCTGCGATCGCTTGATCTGAACTGAGCTTTTCTGTAGGTACCGGCTTGACAGCCTTTGAAGTGGGTTGCGGAGCTGGAGCTGAGAATTTCGAGAAGAAGCTCCTCAAAGTAGTTCCCGCATTGCGCACTTCTTGCTGCACCAGATCGGCGGCCCGTTTTGGAGGTAGTTGCGCTGTGGCAATTACATTCAACCACTCGGCGTCTATCTGGGAGTGTTGTCGAGTGACGTTTGTTACGCGCATAAGACCGCCCTCCGTCTCCGTCTTGAGACCCTGAGGCACTCGAATATCTTCAGGCGGAGAAATTTTCTTCGAAAAGGACGCGACCACATAGTCATCCACATGCAGCTCAATGCTCTCAAGTCCAACAAAGGTCAGACTGGTTGCCAAAAACTGACATAGGTTCGGTAGATTGGGCAACTTCGAAGGGCTGTAAGAGGGCGATGCCGGATTCGCTTGCCGATAATCCAAAGAAAAGATAGTCATTGTTGTATCGTGATCTGCCGGAACAGATGCTATCTTGGTGGAGAGCGTGTTGCCTTTCCAATAGAAGGCCATGGTCTTGTCTCCAGAGACTACAAAAGGCTCGTCGCAGTCTGCAAAGACACTGTAGAAGCCCACGCCAAACGCGCCGATCTTTGTCTCATCAGGGTTGCCATCTGCGATACTCTTGAGTCGTTTCCAATCTGCGGTAGTGAATGGTTGACCATTGTTGGTAACTACCAGACGCTTCAAAGTATGGTTCTGAATGATATGTCTAAGAAGTACAGGATCCTCGGCTCCTTGGGGTGTTGGAATACTTAATGAAGGGTCAGTCTCCAGTCTGATGGTGACGGTGTTGGCTTTCGCGTCCGCAGCATTCTGGATTAACTCTCGCAATGTCGTATGCTCGCTTGAGTACCGGGCTAGAACCTTGTCTATCAAGGCCCTGGTATTGACTGTAACCTCGCTGTCGAGGCCATCGGCCATCGTCTGGTTGCGCAATCGCGCAAAGTCTATCGAAGCCATCGTGGGATTTCGATGTGCTAACTGTAAAATATCCTTCTTGCGAATGCGCGGATCCTGAGTGGCAATGTCGTTGCCTCACGAGAAGTGGTAGCTAGATCTATGCCCGGGCTGCTCTAGCAGATGGTTGAACAAAGCCTGACAAAGAGACGGCGATAAGAAGGGGGTGCTGGCAAAGGGTTGAGTGTAGAGATTCTTGTATCAGTATGTTTGAAACCCCAGATTGTTCGAATGTTTGTGTGAGGTTCAATCGTGGCTGTGGCAAGGCCGCGCACCGAAACAGCAGGAAGGTAAAAGAAGCTCTATGACAAAGCCACAGATGATGCCACGCTATGCAATAAGGAAGCAAAAATGAAAGATGCGCCAAACGATGCAGTAGTTGTCCAGACAGAGGATGTCCTGGCTGACACGGTGATGTGTACGATGAAGCACCTGCCGTGGCGTTTCGTGCTAGTCGCAAAACAGCTAGCGCTACGGGCGGCCGTGACCGCCATGTAGCCAAATCTCATTGTCCGTTTACCGTACACCGAGCGGAATCGCGATGCATCCAAAAGCCAACGTCGTCCTCGACATACGGTAGCACATATCCTCCTGGGCCGCCAGGTCACGTATCAGACTCCGATGTGGTGATGGCAGCCGAGCCCCTCTCTCCGATGGACTTTATCGCCCCTGCGCGCATCAAAGCGCAGCTTCTCCCAGTTGGCCGTATCAGACGTTCGCGCTTCTTAGCATTTGTCGATCTCCTGCGTCAGCAATCTCTTGTTCGACTTGGAGATGTCAGTCCCGACCCTCGGCCAGATAGGAGTACGAACCCTTTGAATCCGCGCCTAAGGCCCGACAGTTACTGATCTTGGCGCCGTGCAGATATGTTCTCTCCTTTAGCATTTCCCAATGGAACACTTCTGTATGATCTATCAACATCACTACCCTCAGCTTCACAGTCGTCTTTGTCGCCCTTTGAACAATTCCGGGAGCCACTTCTGGTGATCGGCATTGCAGACGCGACAGAGTATCCATGGCTAGATGGGTCACGTGCTGATGGAGACAACTCAACTGTTGAGCCAGCGGCCGACGAGGACGCACAGGAATTGATTTCAGCAGCTCGAGACCTCCGAGAACAGTTTCCGAAAGCATACCACCACTGCGTCATGGCCTTCGAATCTGTATCCCAATCTCGGCATCCGCGCTTGCCTCAAGATACCTTGTTGGTACCTCCGATGGCACGGCTCAAGACGACGACCTTAAAGACCATCATGTGCGATTTGACCTCGACATTATTAGCAGAGATGACAACACTCGCCCGGTCGATGCAAGCCCTGCCAACGATTACATCACCTGCTTCACACAGCGGATCAGCAGACAATGCTCCTAGCTGGGCCAGTCCAGAGTCTGGCACAGCTCAGTTTTCGAGGCGAGCCTCACAAACCCCCACAGCAAGCAGGCCTGAGTCACCCGTTTCTGGGGCACAACCTAAGGATCTGCACCGCATGTCTATGCCTGTGTTACCGTCATCATCTGGGGGTCCGTTATCGACAGACGATTCCAGAGCCGGCTCGCCCTCCACTCAAGGCACCCGCACACCTCCAACTACATTCGATGAGATATCAGGAGTGAATGCTCCAACTTCTCCACCTCGAAACAACACCACCTCAACCAAGTCGGCCAGAGATACCAGCGCTGACAGGGTGTCCATCCAAGGTTTCGGATCTGGCGGTGTTAGAGAACGCGCGCGGAACAAAGGACGCGGACGAGTGAGCATCGTGATTGGTTCTCTGTACATGTGCGCAGGACACTGGCACGAGGCAATAAGGGAGCTTACGGATGGTGCTACCAGAGCTCGAGCCTACAGTGATCACTTATGGCAAGCGAAAGCCCTTGAGAACATTACGGTGTGCCTGTTGCTGTTTGCATGGTCGGGAATGGACTTCCAAGTCAGTTCGTTGCATTTCAAGCTGACCATAGTGCTAATGTCCGCAGATACCTCAAATATGCTTTCCTATATACGACAAATCGTCTTCTTCCAAATCACCCGACCATACGCCATCGAACAGCGTATCTGATATGTCCGCACCAGGAAGATCATCCAGCCACGGGGTGGCTCTCGAGAGTCTCAACCATCTACTTCCCGATCTGGTGAACATGATCCTGAACATGTACAGCCGAGCGGCAAACTTTACAGGCGAAGCCATGCCGCCACTAGCACTCTCAGAGTGTGTCATCAGATTTTCCAAGCTCCTGGCCGCCATGAACCTTTCTGCCGGGTATCTTGACTATGATGCTTTGCAGCACCTGGTACGAAATACGCCATATGTACAAAAGCCGAGACTGTCAGTGCCGAGGTTGAGCGTTCATCCTACTCGGAATGACATCGCAACGATGTTGTTCAGGGCTCTCCCTGGTCCTGTAGAGACGTCAGTAATGAATTCTACAGACCGGGTGCTAGTACTGGCGGGCGTTGCATCTGTGCTATCGTCCTTGGGCTTACAGCGTAAGAAAGCAATCGTGATGAAAGAGTTTATCACGTCGTTGATACCAGGCCTGGTGCAAGCCCGGAAGATTGGGGCAGCAGAAATGGGTGTCCACCCTGCCGCTGGTCTTGCTGCGCTCAACATGGTAGGTGGGCATCCATCTGGTGCTGGGGCCCTGAATCTTGGAGAAGCCGAAGTAGAGAACGGCATCGAAGAGTTCCTTGGTTTGCTTGGACGAATTTACGGAATACCGAACTCAAAAGGTTCATTTTTCGATGCACCAGCTTCAGGAACGCTGGACTCATCCCACGATGCGACAAGCCAGCGGCTGATCGACCATATCCTGAAGATATCAACACTGAAGTCATTTGGAAGTTTGAGCTTAAAGTTGGAGGTCCTACGAATGTGTTTAAACTTCTGCGAAGCCTTACCCGACTTCAACGGAGTGCTCCACTTTACTGCTCTCTTGCTTCGGGTTGCCGGACCTGGAACAGCTCCGAGGCCGAACAGTACCGACGTTGTTGTATCCCTCCCACGAGAAGAACAAGTCAGACTGTTTTCAAACATATCCCGTACAGTTGCAGCGGCGAACAAGCTTGGTTTGCAACACATGGAGACCGAGTACTGGGATGACTTTCTACTCCGTGGACTTTTCATCTTGGAGGAGCCAGTACCTCTACGTCTGACACAGCACCGCCCTGCAGAGCTACAGCTGGCAAAGTCAGAGAAAGATGGCCCTTTCCTACACAACCCATGGTTGAAGAAGCCACAGACCGGCGCATCTGAGACCATCCTCGTCGCTAACGAGGACTACCGCTTTGTTCTAGCACTGCAGAACCCTTACGACTTCGAGCTTGAGGTGCAATCTTTGAGGATCGCTGCGGATGATATTGAATTTGTCGGCAAAGAAGAACATTTCTTGCTAGGTCCTTATCGAACACAGAAGTTCCAAATCACCGGCAAAGCGCTCTCATCAGGTTCAATGAAGATCATCGGATGCTACATCAAAGTAATTGGTTGCCGGGAGCGTTTATTTCCTATCTTCCCGCAACCCTGGAGACCAACAAGAGAGTCGAAGATGAAGCGAATAGGTCTTAAAGCGTGTCTAGGCGCGCCAGCCTCTCGACCTTCCACTGCAGTCGACCCCACAATCGCAAGGAAAGCACCATCTGCGCCGCAACCGGAGACGTTGACCTTTAGCGTCATCCCTGACCAACCCGTCATCGTAGTCTCCAAGGTTTCTCTACCCCAATCAGCACTCATGGTCCTCGAAGGAGAGCGGAAGCTGTTCACGGTAACCGTAAAGAACACCTCGGCTACCACAGCAGTTGATTTTGTGCACATAACCTTCCAGGACTCTGCAACAACGGCTATGCAGTCCGCCCTCACGGAAAAGGGGTTGCCTGCTGCTGAACTACACGAGCTGGAGACACAGCTAGCACGTTTCCCATCATTGCGTTGGTGCAAAAACGACGAAGAAGAATCGTTCAATATTGCACCCAGCACAGAGGCAGAATTCACTGTCGAAGTCATTGGTCGCACCCGCTTAACAGATGCTGTCATCCAGATCAACTATGCTCACCTTGGCAAGCGACGATCTGAGGTACAAGACCGATTCTTCACTCGACAAGTATCCGTACCCATATCGATCACAGTCAACGCAAGCGTTCAACTTCAGCGTCCAGACGTCGTACCACTCTCTGACGACTTCGCATGGTCGAACCGAAACGAGCAGTCCACCCAATCCATCACAACATCACCATCAGCCGCATTACTCGACAAAAACAGCAGCCACTACCAGAACTTCTTCCAACACATGCGCACCCTCGGCCACGGCGACGAGTACTGCCTTTTGCTACTTGACCTGCGCAACTCCTGGCCCAACCCGCTCACCACCACGCTCCAAGTGCGCCCACCACCGTCCCTCCCCGCCGACAACAACTACTCCGATGATTGGGACAACGCCTACACCGTAACCGAAGTAATCCAACCCGGCCACGTCCACCGCATCGCCATTGTGCTCCCACGAATCTATATCGCAGACCCGCACGCCGCCGTGCCCTCGCTCAACCCCGCCAGCCAGCGCCAGTTCGTCGTCAGCACGAGCAACACCTCGCCTGAGACTGAGCGCGCGAGCAGAGAAGCATTTTGGTACCGGCACAGCTTGCTGCAGTTCGTGCGCGGGGCGTGGAAAGAAGGGAGTGGGAGACACGGGGATATCGAGTTGCGCAGTATACGATTCTCGAGTAGGATGGTTGAGGCTATCAAACTCGATGACTTAGAAATCGAGGCGAGCCTGTCCTCTGACTTTGCGAAGGGGGGTGAGAGTGAGAGTGGGCAGATGAAGCAGCTCGGACGCCGCAAATTCTCTGTCCGCGTCGACTCCTTCCTAACGCTTAAAACGAGGGTCAAGAACCGCAGTCCCAACCCCATCTCGACGGTGCTGAGACTGCAACCGTACCTCGCAGGTCTACCTCACAACCTCGCGCTCGACCTCGATAAACGACTGTCCTGGACTGGAGTGCTGCAGGTCAAACTCCCCGTTATTCCGCCCGGCGAGGCTGTAGAGTCTGAACTTGGTGTTGTGGCGCTGTGCAGTGGTATCTTTGAGGTTGGTGCTACGGTTGATGAGGCGGAGATGATCAAAGTTGAGGGTGGGGAGGGAGAAGGAGGGGAGAAAGGAGGAAGACCGAGGAGTAATACGCAGATGCTGTTGCGAGGGGGTGATGTGTTAGGGGAGCCGAAGTTGAGGAGTTGGCATTTGAGAGAGCCGTGTACGATTGTTGCGAGGAGAGGAGATGAGTGAGGGGAAGTAGAGAAGTAGTTGTTCATTAAGATAGAAGCAAGCTTGTCGAAGTTAAAGTGCCATCATGAGTTCACATTCTCGAATTAGACTAAGTAGGGAACTAGTCATACCGGCAAGAGATAATACAGACGTCTGGTACGTCGTGGAATGGTACCCAGAGCGAAGCTTACCCGGCTACTGCAGACGCTGAGCCCCGGCCCCATTCATGGCGAATCTGCTGTGCCATGAACCGTACGTCATTTTGGATCTTTTGTATAAACACTGGATGGCGCATTGTCGGTTTAGAATGCAGTGCTCGACGCTCACCGCTCACACAACGTCGAAGGCCTTGAACGGACTATTGCTGAAATTATTGAGTGCCGCTTGCCTTGCATCTATCTCGAACGTATTCAACTCTTGGTACTCCGGCTGAGCCTAAGCGCTCATGGCTTCACACTCCGTATGTGAGAGACCGAAAGGAATGCTATGTTTCGTGTATTTCGAATGAGCGCAGTGATCATGGGTCAAGGTATCGTAATATGTGTAACCATGATGAGCCCGGTTTCACGAGGGATGGATATACTCTGGAAGGGTACGTATTCGTAGTTTTTTCTTCCATCATGGAAAACCCACCATGGCACTTCCACAGGAGTTCATGGAGCATGTCATTCTCCCAAATACCTGCAATGTACCGACTACCGGTAGCTTCTGCAATAGACTTCGCAATAACGGAGATGGCCACAGATATATCATTCGGCTCAGTGAGCTGACGGTGCGCATACCCCATCACGAAAATTGCACTTGACTGGAACCGATAGATATCTTACTTGCAGAGCAGTATTCCTTCTGGAATGTCCAGGGACGCTCGGACCAAGCGCCTCTGAGCTCATGCAGGGCGATAGAGTTAGTCACTTCCGTAAAATATTTGTATTTTTTGGCTGCCTTTCGTTCGCAAAGGTCGAGGATGAATGTGGAATGTCCCAGCAATGTCTGGATTTCGCCATAACTCGAAGTAAATCATAAGAGGTGCAGAGCGCGTAAGAAAGCCTTCGGGACACGAGCTAGATGCAACTGCACACAGTTTCACGTATGCGTTTGCAAATATCTAACCCATTCTCTCGGATTCGCGTGTCCAGTCTTGGTGGTCTTTTTGTATGATATACAAAGCATCAGCCCAGAGATAGCGAATTGAGAGGGCCTGACACACCTCGACGGCGTCTCTCACGACACAGGTCATACGGTTCGCGCGAATACCGGCAACGTGGGTATCAAGTGAATCTCGGGTAGTCCTAATCGGATAAGCAGCTCCACCCTTGGATCTCCTACAGTAGCTCAAGGCTGCGCAGGAAAGTTGGGTAACTGCTTGCAACAAAGAAACATCGACAAGACACCGTGCCAGCAGGAGCCCAAAATTTCAAGTCGAGGAGACGCGAAGGGACGAAGTGAGATTTTTTGGGCGGCCCACATTCCACAAAACATTTGTGTAGCTCCTTTTTCAATGTGGCGATGTTGGAGTCACAGAGAGTGTGCTCTTCAAATGATCTTAAAGTGCGTAGATGTTGTGCGGTTGGACCTGAGAAAGTCATCAAGTACAAGCTGTGATACAAATTCAATCTTACTATCTGATGAATCGAGAGTAAAGGTCAAGTTTATTGAAGAAAGGCTGACGGTCAATCTCTACATGTTGCTCGTCAATGTCAACGAGTGAGAGCACCGAGCACTTTGCGCACAAGCTTGCAGGTGGGTCAGAACTTGGAGTGGGCGTGGTGCCCGCGACTTGTGTTGGAGGAAGGTAGACGCGACGCCATGGTAATGGCTTCATGCATGGTTCCGAATCTACGGGCTCAGTCGATTGCTTAGAATTGCTCGTAAGTGGCTTCCATAGCAGACGTGAGACCGTTGCTTGCTCTGGAGTACGAGGTAGCCTTCAGGCGCGGAGCTCCGCTGTACTCGGTTAGCGTATACATATCAGGAAGGTTACAGGGAGAGCATCACTCCAAGGGTTGTTGTAACAGACATCCCGACTTGGAGATCGCAGTCAAAGATAAGACCACTCTCAATTTGCAAAGCTACGAAACATTGCAGATGGTGCAGGACTACTGCGATCCACCAGGTATACCCAAAGCCAGCCCACATCCAGTCCTCCATGTACCCAGGTTGGATTGTTCAACGCCTAGTTCCCAAGGCTTATAACACCAGAAATGCACACCCATCTATCAACTCAGACCTCAAACCTTGCCCTTCCACGTCCGTTAATCTCGTCACCGAACAATCGACCGGCATCAACGCAGTATCTCGCCTCACCTTGACCGTCTCGCCCAACCTCACTACCCCAGCAGACTAGCACAGCATCCAAGATGCCACCGACTACACCTTCCATAGCGCCCAATGCTCCCCATCCAATTGCTGCGCTGATGATGCCGACTACGTAGGCGTATAGACTGCCTTTATACGGCACGGCCTCGTTGCCGATCTGGAGCATCCGCGCAGTAGATACCCAACCTCCGAACCCAAGCGTGATGGTGATGACCCAACGGATAGCGTGCAGGAGAAGCTTGGCCAGGCGATACGACTGGATTGAAGGTCGACCATGGTTCTTGAACGATCTTGGACCGAGTGTCGTTGTTGGCGATGCTGCTGAGATGAAGTTCATCTGTGACAGACCACGTGCAGCTTGGTTGAGCGGGACGCCATGGATGGATGCGAAGGTCAGGGTGAGAGGGTTGGTCAGTGCGGCGATCGGTGTAGGTACAATCGAATAGGCGCACATCGCGATCATGCCGGCAATACGTCGAGGCAGAATGATAAGTGGTAGTCGCACCGCAAGCGAGAGCAAGGTCGAGAGACAAATAGTGCCTGCCATGGTGTATGATGCGTGGCTGAGCGAAGCTTGCACAACTGTCGAGGCTGGGGGCGTGGGTGTCGTGTTGCGGTGGAAATACCACTGGGAGACAGTAGCTGCTGTTGTCGCTCGCTGTATACCAGCAATAACGCCCAAGGTCCAAAAGTAGTTGAGGAAGAAAGCTATCCCAAGCCACCAAGTGCTGGCGTCCACGATCCAGCGTGATTTGTTGCTTGCAAAGTGACCTCCAAGAAACAGTCGTGTGAACATGAGGATCCAAAGCCACGACCAGAGCATTACTGCAGCCAAGGTTGCAACACCAACCACGAGGAGTGGTGCCTGCGCCCTCAGGATATCACTCGAGAATTCCAGCATGCCGATCGCTTTGTGCAGTGAGTGTCGTGCCTTGAATGCTGTGTAGACCCAGAAGATGGCCAGTATTAGGGGCCCGAATGAGAGCCAGCGCATTGCCTTGTCTTGTGCGCTGTTGCCATGCCATGAGCCCTTCAGACTTGAGACGAACGGGTACAGCCAGAACGAAAACGAGATGACCGGTACCGCTACCAGCATCAGATAGACCAGAGGGCGGGCGAAAGATCGTAGTAAGGATAGCCATAGTAACCCGACAACGACCGATACGAGCGAGTATACGCCGATGAGGTGGAAAGATGACTGGAGGACAGTGTAGACCGTATCTCCAAGTGGATTCTTCTTGCCTGGTGGTGATTCTTGCAGGAAGGAGATGAACCAAACGCCGATCATGGCGCATTGTACTATGATAAAGAGCTCAGCCCAGAAGAAGTTGTGTCTTGGAGGGGTTGTGGGATTCTCAGGCACTAGATCTGGCACGGTCTGGCGGTCTGGGCTGATGGATCGTGGGCGCTCCAGCAGCACGTCTTCGTCAGTTTCTTGTGGTATGGGTAGGCTTGTTCGCAGCGGGCTGCGAAGGCGTTTATTTCTCGGCATATTGCGAAACTGCTGGTATGAGGGTGGCGGTTCGTCCTTATGTTCGAAGGCTTCTTGTCTGTCCAGCTCTTCTATGCTGCCTCTTTCCGTCGAGGCAAGCTCGATGTCCACCAACCTCCCATTCCCTCTACTGCTTGGTTCTGTCGACTCGGACAAAGGCACGCTTGAATCCCGCTCTTCGTCTTCGAGTCTTGTCACAGTGGTCGACCGCCCTCGAGCTGGCTTGTCGCCCTTCCAAGAGCTCTTAATCCCTCTGCCAAGACCATAATCTGGCGCATCGTTCTCGTCTCGGTCTGCCTCTATTGTATGGTCTGATCTGTGTACACCGTCGTCCTCCACTTCTGATGACTCGGAGAGGTTGCTTGCGCCGAACTGCCGCCGTGACCGTTGAAGGGCGTAGTGGTCAGCCATCTCGCGGTCGTGCTCGACATGATCGTCCTCTTCCCGGAAGTCGTCTGTGGCTGAGTAGAAGAGCGGCGCAGGGGCGTTTGAAGTGCGCGATGCGAAAGCAAAGCGCGACATAGCTTGAGAGTTATATGGGTTCGGCATGTTGCGGCGCTGAAGGTATGCCTGGGCTGCGCGCGACGAGGGCCGCTGGCGGTCTGAAGGGTTACGACCGAAGGTCGACTCGGGCTGGCCCAGTGACAGCCGCGACTGAGACTGGGAGAGAAACTTGGAGGCATCTGTGCAGCACGCCTGTCAGTCACACGAGCTCCAAGGCACATTCAAGACAGAGGCGCCGGTAGCTGTCACATGTGCCTGATAAGGCGCGGGGAGGCTTACATTCAGAAAACATGGTGGGCTAGATACTTCGAGGGGGGGTTTTGGGGGCCTGCGCAGCTTCCCACAGACTGCCTAGGCGTCTTTAACGTGGGTGCAGCCTTGAGGGTTGAGGTTGACTCAGGTCCGCTGGTGAGCGGTCGGTGAGGCGGTAGGGCGGCAGATCGACAGTAAGGCAGCAGACGGATGACGCAGCTGAGAGACATGCAGCTGTTTGCAGTGTGGCGCGTGTAGCTGCCGTGGAAGAAAATGGAACAAAGTAATTCAGGTATAAGAATAAGCAGAGAAGCACGACATAGGATCTGAGCGGTCGGTACTGCGCGTAGTAGCTAAGCACCTGCGTCCTTCACCGCGCCATCTTCGGGACCTAACCACGCTAAGCTATCGATTGTGCATCACCAGTTATCTACAACGTCACGCACTGCCCAGGACGGTCGTCACGAGATAGACAGAACCACGTTCTCCAAACACTGTGATGCGCGAATTTGCACGGATATAATGCACGTTATTTCCTGGCCGGAAGACGTTTCAGGCTTCACGATCCTTGGGGAACTTTGCCGAAGTTATAATTCTGTTTCTGCGAACTTTTGAGTCCAGTGAACCACAGCAATAGCTAGCTGTGTAATATCATAGGTGGCGGACTGCCTGCTGTTCTTTTTAGGACCTGGGTTTGCTGTGAAATGTATTTGATTCATGTTCGTTTGTTTGCTTGCGCAAGACTGGCATCTCAAGACGTGACTTCCTTCCAGGCTCGGTGGAGTAGGCACGGCAGGAGCTATGATCGCATCCACACCTCTTGACCCTGCAATCAACACCACCTCGATCCCCAACCCCCACAGCACACAACAGAAGTGTGACAGCTACGAAACAAGTTGTCCTGTCTTCTACGTCTAAGAAAAACAGCCAGAATTTTCAAGGGCTTCTGGAACATTATCGATTGCTTTGCGCAGTAGCACGAGCTTGCGCCGAACTTATCTCCACACCCCCATACCCCATCCTGCGGATACAACCGCTGTAAATGGCTCAGCCGTGGGACTACATTGCAAAGATTGTGTCGCTGGGTGACTCGGGCTGCGGCAAGTCCAGTGTGCGTAGCAATCACTCTCTGCCTTACACTGTAGTACTGACCACCAACAGCTTACAGTACGACTCTGCGAAGGCCGCTTCTCACCCCACCACGATGTGACCATCGGTGTCGAATTCGGATCGCGTATTGTTCCAGTAGGACCACCTGCCTCACATTCACTGAGCATCAACAACCCCTCAAAAACCGAGCCTCCCCTATCGCCGTCAAAGAAGGACCCACCACAGAAGCACATGAAGCTTTCACTATGGGATACAGCCGGGCAGGAAACATACAAAAGTATAACAAGAAGCTATTTCCGAGGCGCATCGGGTGCCCTGCTTGTCTTCGATATCTCACGCAAAAACACCTTCCTCAGTGCAACAAGCTGGCTCAATGACCTGCGACAGATCGCTGAAGAGGGTATTGTAGTGGTCCTAGTGGGAAACAAGAGTGATCTGGCCGCCTCATCGACAGTATCAGAATCAGAAGCCGACAACAAGAGACAAGTTACAAGAGAGGAGGCTGAAGAATGGTGCAAAGCAAACGGTGTTATGGAGTACGTCGAAACGTCGGCCAAGAGTGGAGAAGGTGTCGAGAGAGCATTTTTGGAAGTCGCAGAGAGGATATACCAGAACATCGAGGCAGGGCGATACGACCTCAACGATAGGAGAAGTGGCGTCAAGGGCCCGGGAGCTGGAGGCGGCAATCGCGCTGGCATCAGCCTGGGCATGAACGATGCTGCGAAGAAAGGCAAGCAACAAGGATGGGGAGGCTGCTGTTGAGGCAAGCAGCAGATGATTTACTCGACTTTACAACATTGTTTGGCCGACAGATACCCTCGTATCTATTCGGCATGTAACTTGCACTTGGACTGCATTTATTCGGCGTTTGCTGCACCTTACTTTGTTCATTGAACGTATTGTAATAGATCTTGTTACGCAGAACAGCGCGCTCATAACTATTTCAATCCGCGACAACTACGCAGCAATTAACAGTTTATCGCATTGGACCGTGAGCCTGTGAACCCCAGTTCAAGGCGCAATGCGACACGGGTATCCATATCTTCTGCGGGATTGTTGCGGATGACTGTGTCCCATCTTCGATTCCCGACATGTACCTTGACACCTCCGTAGACAGCTGGATCTTCGATGCAGATATTCCAATAATGAGCAGCAATCAACCTATCGTCACACGCCAACAGGCACGCCCTGAAAGTTGACCTCCATGTCAAGACAACAGAAGCTTCATTCTTCAACACTGACTACACTGACAAAAGGCTGTTGTTTTCGAGAGAATATGCTAGAATTTCGAAAAGACCATGATGACGGCTAACGGACCTTCCTAGAACGGTAACGCCGATGTCGCTCTTCAACCTCAAGGGCGTGTTTGGCGGGTCAACGCTTCTCTTTGGTCATCCCGCTAACAAAAGTCGAGTTGAAAAAGTTGACTCAACTGGAGTGTCTGTACATATAAGTACTCAAGAGGAACTCACCATTTCCAGGTCGCATGCGTTGCTTCCAAAGACCAATTTCAACTCTGCTACACCTTCGCGGCACCACCAGGATAACCCAATCAACACCAAACCTCAACTTTTATTCTGGCAACAACAACCCCCAATTTTACTACAACATGGCCGAAGCCTCGCTACCCACGGCGAAGACTGAAGCCCTCTACCAAAAAGACGGACACCTCTACTCCCACACCTCCCCCATCTCCAGCATTCAGCCACTGTCTTCCCTGCCTCAAAATGCACAAGGCCTATTCAAACCCCCTCCAGAAGGCGAACCATACATCCTAACAACACCGTCGACAATCTTCCACGCACAAGGCGGCGGCCAGCCGTCTGACACCGGGACCATCACGTCCGGCAGTTCGACGTTCAACGTGCATCAGGTACGCAAAGTAGACCCAGCGATCCTGCACATGGGCACATTTTCTGGCGAGGTAAGATTCGACGGCAAGGGAGAAGCAGCGGAGCAGAGAATCGACGTGTCCAAGCGGTCGCTCCACTCGCGCATCCACACCGCAGGCCACGTCATCGGCCTCGCCGCCGCCGCCCTCAAAGCATCCGGCAACCTCGATCCCTCCGTCGTCGACGGCAAAGCATCGCATTACCCCGGCGCCGCGTTCGTCGAGTTCGTAGGCCTGATCCCTGCCGACAAAAAAGCCGCCATCCAAGCCAAGGCCGATGAGCTAGTCGCCCAGGATCTGGAGGTCAAGATCCACTTCTGGGATGAGGAACGGGCGCGGCGGGAGTGTACGGGGGTGTTGGAGAGTTTGAAGATGGATGATGATGATGGGGTAAGGGTTGTGGAGATTGGGGATGCGGGGAGTTATCCGTGTGGCGGGACGCATGTGAAGACGACGAAGGAGTGTGGAAGGGTTGTGATTAGGAATATTAAGAGGCAGAAGGGGATTACCAAGGTTTCTTATGAGGTGCAGGATGCGTAGACGATTGACATCTTTCATAGAAGGTTACCAGATGGCAAAGTAAATTAAAAGTAATGTGATCAAATGGGGGGGGGGGGGGCATCGCAAGCATCGCAAGATTGATGACGTTTTTTTGAACGAGCAAGACACACACACGGCTGCTCTGCTGAAATTTTTGATGCTAATCGCTATGCCTCTCTCTAGCAAAACTCCTCCACGAATTCCCTGGTATCATGTCATTTGCAAATCCTCCATCCCACCATTCCAACCCAATATGCATCTCACCGTCTCTAGTTGAGGTACAGCGACAGAGCCTGCTGCAACTCGGGAGTGAGCCTCTCCTGCACCAATTTCACGATCTTGCCATTGTGCCGGCTGTTTGCATCCTTGAGGTACTGTCCAACCCACTGCTTGACATCGGTGATCTCTGGGAAGGGGTCGCGGGGCGCCTTCTTGCATGTGTTGAGCTGAGTGAAGCCGACTCCAAAACCGACCTCATCGACATCGGCATCTGGAATCAAGTCATCTGCTGTGGATGGAACGGGTGGGTTGACGAGAAGTTCGAGCAGTCGCTGTGTAGTGAGACCCCAGCCCTTGGGGTAGCGGTCCACGAAGGCCTGCGACTCGCCGAGGGTCTTGGTGAAAGATACCACAGCAGTCTTGCGATCAGTAGGTCTGGCTAGCTTCTGCGTGTCAGGCAGGATGACTGTCAAGTAGATAGGCTTGAAAACGCTACACGACTGTTAGTGGGGGTGCTATTGATACATATTGGTTGAAATGACGTACTCCTGCTGAACCTGGTCGGTCACGTTGATGTAGAAGTCAGCACCCAGTCCCTTTTCCTGTCGCGCGGAAACCAAGTGGTAGAAGGCGATGAAGCGTTGCTGAAAGTTCTCCGTCTTCATGTTGGACAGTCGTTGCAGCATCAGCTGGATGATCGTTACGAAGTAAGGCTGCAGAGCCTCGACGGGGACGTAGGTGACAACAGCTTCGATGAGCTCGAAAGCGTGAGACTCATGCGCCTTGGTGGAGACAAGCTTCTGGAAGATGCCCAAAATCGGCTCTACCTGCTTGTCGGCAACAATGCGCTGTGCATCGCGAGTGATCATGGCACTGAGCAGGCGGGCAAGCGCGGGCACATTACCGCGCTGCTCCCAGACAGCACCTTGGATGATGATCGAGAACAAGCTTCGGTAGTAGTCTGTCAACTGGCCGGACGGGTTGGCTTCCAACAGCGCCGAGAACAGCTGGAAGATGTAGGGTGAGAACTCCTCGATGCCCTCCGATAAGCAGGCGGCAAATGGTTCGTAGAGCTTAGTCTCGAATGCCTCCGGATGGTTTGGTGCAGCGAAGCGGATGAGAGCACCTAAACCCTCGAAGAGATAGTACTGGAAGCGGGGGTTGCTAGGGTTGTGCCTGATGACCTTGATGATCGCGATGAAGTTCATCAGGATGTTCTCGCAGATTGGCAGCACGCCGTCCCGGATGAAGATGAGCACGCGCATGACGCATTTCATCAGGAACTCGTTCTCCTGTATCTTCTCGGGAGCCGAGTTCTTGGTGATGAGCTTGAACAAATGCGTCAGAAGGTCCCTTGAGGAGCCTACGACATCGCCCTTTGGAATGATGGGTTGACGGTTGTCGTCGGTCATGAACAGCACACGCTCGACAGCGATCGCAGCGTATGTGTGGATGACGTAGTTTTCGTTTCCGAGGTTATTGACAAGGAGCGGGAACGCAGCGCGCCACAGATCAGGCGAAAGCTGACTGCGGAAGACGTAGAGGTACTTGATGGCGTCGACCTTCAGGATTGCCTCTGCATCGGCCGCTTGCAGCTCTGCGGCGATGTGCTTCTGGAAGAAGTCCAGGACGTTGACGTTCTCGTTGACGCTGAGGATACCCTGAGCAGCAGTCGCAGTTCCTTTGGCCGCAATAGCAGTGAAGAGGTACACGGCCGTGTCCTTGGACTTCCAGTTGTTTGCAGGGTCCTGGGCGTAGTTCTGGAGGTATGCATCGACATATGTCTGCGAAGTGCTGGTGACCAGGCCCTCGAACTTGGACATGAGCTGGCGCAGGAAGTTGGTGGCAGCTCTTCGGCGCGTGTCGTTGTCCGAGCCTTCCAGATCTCTCCTGATGAACTCGATGGGCTCGTCCTCGAACAGCTCCACATCCGACTCGCGCAGTGTCAAGTTCGGCAGAATGACCTTCTCGATCACCTGGACAAGGACCGACTGGTTGTTGAAGTTCTCGGCGTGTTGCGTCGATGCTACTGCGGTGAGGAACTGAAGCGCTTTGCTGACCAAGATGTCGTACTTTGTCTCCAGCCCGACTGTCATGAGGAACGACCAGGAAGTCTCGATGAACGGGCCGAGTTGGGCTCCAAACGCATCCTCGTACTTCTGAATGTACAGCATCAGCGCCTCGAAGATGCCAGCCCTGACGTACTCCTGTGGCCCCGACTCGTCGTCGTCGGACGTGTGCAGCGCAGGGTCGTCGTAGGTCAGGTACTTGTGGAGCACCGAGGAGATGGCGGCCATGTTGTCCTCGAACACGGGGGGCAAGTCCTGGCACGACAGGTCGTAGAAGAGCTTCATGATGAGGTCAAGCGTTGTGAAGGCACTCTTGAGGGCCTCGGGGCTGCCCTGAGACTGTGTGATGAGGCTGTCGGTGTTCTGGAGCAGCGTGAGGAACGGCGTGCTGAGCTTTGACAGCACGTGGTTGATCTCGGTGAAGAGCTCGTCGGAGCGGAACAGCGGCCGCCATCGCTTGAAGATGGAGTGTGCTACGCGCAGGACACCGTTGTTGACCGTCGAGTTGTCAGCTGTGAGCCGAGAGATGAGGTCGTCGACGAGCGTGTCCCACCGTTCCCAGAAGTCGCTGTCGGCGATGGCGCTGATGGCCTCGCCGAGCTGTGCCTGCAAGCTGGGCGGTACCGAGACCATCAGGCCAATCAGCTCGCGCTTGATGGCGACGACCTCGTCCTGGGGCAGCTTGTAGTTGCCATCCTCGTCGACCCAGTTGCGCTTGATGAAGTTCTTGAAGTAGAGGGCGCTCGCCAGCCGTATTGTCGGGGGGAACGAGGCGGTGGCGACGATGTGGAGGAGGGAGAGGGAGAAGTTGGGCTTGGTCTGCTCGTGGGCGATGGCCTGCTCGGCTGGTGGGGTGTCAGTACGGTGCAGATGGCAGACATGCAGCATGTGCAGGCAACGAGGGGCACTGCGGGACAACGAGTAAACAGAGGAACAGCCACCCACCCTGCTTGTTCTGGCGGGGGTCCAAGCTGGCCTCGAGCAGCTTGGAGAGCGTGGGAATATCGGCAGCCATGATGACGACCAGACGGCAAGACGGCAAGACGGCAAGACAGCAAGCGGGAACCGATCAAGGGGAGAAGACGTTGCTGGGTTGCTGTGCAAAAAGCTTCAAATGTTTTGGCGCGGGTTGCTGGCCGGCCGGCCGGCCCACTCTTTGTTTGGCGCAGGCGCGCGGAAGTGGAAGAGCTTGGGCTAGCGCTGCCGCAACCCCAGATTCTGGCAAGCTTCGCTGGAATTTTCGCAGCTCTCAGCCATCGTCTGACTGTCCGTCTGACTGTCGGCAGCCCCGTCTGCTGGTTCGCGCGCCGCCATGTCTGTCCTGCGCCTGTAGAACGAGCCGGACTGCCTCCAGCCCACCGCCGCGCCCGCCCGCCCGCCCGCCCGTCACGCCAGACCGCACAGTCAATGGGCACCCGCACCCGCACCCCCGCCCGCCCTGCCCTCCGCCTGCCCTGCCCTCCGCCTAGCACCCATGACCGACACCAAGCACCCATGACCGGCACCAGAGCGCTCGCGCCACTGTTGCGACTCCCTCTCCCCGCTGCCCCTGCACGCCTCGCCGTCGCAGTAGAGCTGCCCACTCCGCGCGCCCACCACGGCCAACGTGGCCCGAATGCCTTCACCCGCCGACCATGGCCCTCGCACGCCCGACCGCCGCGCCTCGTCGTATGACATCCTCAATGCCTTCCGCCGGCTCACCGGGAGCAAAGCGCGCGGCGAATCGCTTCCTCCGCCTCCGCCTCCGCCAGTGAACCCTGTGCGGGCCCTGTCCGTGAGCTCCCTCCCGACGCCCTCCACAGCGAGCGGCCCTTCCGCCGACGATACTCTGCAGCGCATCACCCAGGTCGCCAGTGACACAGTCCGGCCTGACGTGACGGGAGGGCCGCCAGAACTCGCGCAGTTGGTCGAGCAGTTGGACAAGAGCCGTCCGTTCCTGGAGAGAGCAGATGCCGTCGACAAGATAGGCAGGGTCCTGGAAGAATACCCCTTGCAGAACATACTCGGCCTGTGGTCTGTGGCCAGTGACCTGATCTTGCTCGAGCAGCCGGACGAAGTGGCCGAGGCAGGGTACAGGCTCCTGAGGAGTATCTCGCTTGATCCCAAGCTGACGCCGGTGGAGCGCACCATCATCTTCGACGCAGCTGCCTACCGCCGGACCACGCGGTGCTTCCAGTGGCGCCTCGAGATCATCTCGACGCTCACAAATGGCGGGAAGAACATCGCTGCCTGCGAGTCGGCCATCGTACCCTTCATACTGAACGCGCTCGATGTGTGCTTCAAAGCCAGCCGTGATGCCTTCAACTCGAACCGGAAGACAGCCGGCAGGCGCAGCGTGGACAAGCCCCTGCAAGAAACCGAGGACTTGGGTCGCATCTTTCAATATGCCACCGACGTCTGCAAGTTCAACGCTAGGATCCTCACCGACAGCGATCTGGAGCAGATCCTCGAGCGAGCCGTGCACATCTGCCAGAACACCACCCAGGAAGGCGACATGGAGAACTGCATCAAGCTCTTTGACACCATCATCACATATGTCCACGTTCCGATGAACGTTCTCAGAACAAGCCTTGAAGTGCTCTGTGCGATCCATAGGCAGATTGCCAGCCTCCACGACCAGACATGGAACACACTGAGCAACCTCTTCAGGTCTCACATCGGCCAAGCTGCCATCATGTCGCTCCTGCACACCCTCAAGGATGGACCGTCTATCAAGAACCGGCAGAGCAGCCTGTACAGGGGGACCATGCAGGTCCTGCAGAAGCTGGTTATAGAAGACGGCCGCAGCGAACTACCAAAGGTCCCCATGTCGCTCATCTTCCCCGCCCTCAAAGCTTCGATCAAAGAGCCCCATGCGACACAGGAAAAGTTCGTCGTCGATCTCGTAGACTCGATACTGTCGCAAGACACCATGAGAGATGCTCTGCTCGCTGAAGCAGACCTGAGCGATATGCTGGACATTATTCGTGTTTGCGCTGAGCGAGACGACGACCGTCTCCGAGCAGAGTTGACTGGATCTGGGGAAGCGTCGAGTACTGGCGACAAAGACTCTCACATCTCAGCCAAACCTGCGTTGGAGAATGGCAGCGCGAGGATTGGTTAGTGTCTCCTTTACATCCTTGACGTGTGTACCATGCTGACTTGATCAGGCAAAACAGACCCAGTTGCGTCCCCAGGAGGCCACGAAGAAGACATCGGTCCACACACTGACATCCCTACCCAACGACCGACGGGGGCCGAGGCCGTTCGCCGTTTCGAGCAAGATAGCATCTTCCAAGTGCTCGTCAAATTGGACCACATCAGCAGCGCAATGGATCACGTTCAAAGGGAGGGAGTTATGGAGCTGTTCCTGCACTGCGCGAATCGCCTGAGCGACACAGTTGCAGAGAAAATGATTCAATATTTTGCCGAAGAGCGGTTCCTAAACCCATCCAATAGCGACTGGTTAGACGTGTCTCGTAACGTCGCAGCTGGGACGCTGCATGACGCCACCAGGCCGAACGTTGTCCGACTTCTGGCAATCAAGACCTTAAGAGACACTTATGATGCCGTAGAGTTACTCTGCGCGAGCGATGTGGCAGCTCAAAGTGCTGCAATACTGCTCGATAGGATTGAAGGCGAAGACAACATCCAGATCCTGGAGCCGCTTGTGGACTTTGCCGTCGACGTCGCCGGCAGAGCGCCATTGGACAGATTCTCCGAAATCTTGGGATTGCTACAAAAGAAAATGGATCAAGCACGGACATCAGCCGCAACATCGTCACATTCTTGGGCATCACACACCTTCCTGCCAAAGACTGATGTGCAGAGCGGTTCTCATTGCGACGTTGTAGCCGTTGCCTTGGTGCGTCTGTTCCTTCGCAGCTTTACCCACGCGGCACAAAAGACACGCATCCTGTACAATGCCATACGAGGAATCGCAGGCAACGACAAGTACGATAACGAGTCCAGATTGACCGCCCTTAGACTACTCTTCAGGTTGCGCGCTGATTCACGCCACGCACTCACGGTCAACTCCTCCTCAGAAGGCGAGCGAATAGCAGCCGAGCTGTGCCGTACCGAGGAGACAGCTATCGCGACCGAGAAGTCTGATGGATCTCTCTCAAACGAGCATGGACGATCTGAAGACGTATCCTCGTGGCGCGAACAACGCAAGATCAGTGGTTCCAGCCCACATGCTTCTCTCAATCGGCAAACAGGTCGTGCAACAGCTGCATCTGGCCGTGTTTCGAAACCGATTGCTCCGTTGTGGATGTACCCTGGACCTAAAGGTCTGCCTGAGGAACCCCTCTCCGAACCTAGTCGTGTCGTGTTCTCTCACATCGACGCCAGCAAATACCCACTTAGTGACGACATTCACGACATGGAGATTACCTTGTGGCTGGAGCTGATCATCTCTTTACTGCAGAGGCCGCCCGACTGGGAGATATATAGCTACGTACTGGTTCACCTGGGCCCACAGTTGTCAAACCAAGCTTTGGTACGAAGCTGCGTGGTGCAACTGCAAATGCTCAGGAACGTCCTCTGCGAGCAAGTGCGCAACTCCAGCTTCCACGAACCTCCACCACACACATTACTCAAGAAGGCCGATGTAGCAGTCTGCCTGTACCATATCCTTACAGTCATCATCAGCTACCACGAGTACTTCGAGAAGAGTGAAGAGGATGATATGGTCAAGGCTTTCTTGCAAGGCATCGTGCAGTGGGACAGAACGTCGAAGTGGTGCATTCATGCGCTGTCTGTCTGCTGCTGCGAAGTCCCGCTCTCTGTCAGCAAATCTCTCGACACTATCATCCAGAAGATGTCACAGATCGTAACGAAACCGGCAACCGCAATTCATATCCTTGAGTTCCTCACAAGCTTAGCGCGTTTGCCAGAACTGTACAAGAACTTCCGCGAGGAAGAATTCAAGACAGTGTTTGGAGTATGTTTCCGCTACTTGCAACATATCAGGGATCAGCGCAATAGAGCGGCTATGCCGAGCCTCTCACAGAGAGGTCACAGCTCCTTGCGCCATAGCGGGCCTGGCAGGGACTCTACTACAACGCCGGACAGCGGCTCCAGGAGGCCACATTCAGTCGAGGAAGACCTGCCTCACTACCTGTATTCGCTGGCGTTTCATGTCATCACCTTTTGGTTCATGGCGCTGAGGATGGAGGATCGACCTAAGCAAATCCCATGGATCACCAAGAATCTCCTGACTGTGGACAGCGCAGGAAGGCACAGCATGGAAGAACAAGGCCAGGTCATTGTGGATATCATGAACATGGTGGCCTACACGGATCGAGATCACACTGTACGCAACAAGAATTTCTCGAAACCTGGTGACGGTGAGGTTTGGAAGAAGACGTGGATCGTCAACAACGGTCTCTTGACGATCGAGACAGCAGCAAGGACGGGTGTTTCTCAGGTCACATCCCGTCGACCCGTATGTATACTGTCCTGAGTGTGTTCATTTCGTACTGACTTGATCACAGTGTGGCACGCGCTTCTTCACGTTGCGACCATCGCTCGTGCAGCCCCCGCGCTATCAGGTGCCAATCAACATTGGGCTTGCGGCTGACGCCTTTTACTTCTCCTCTTACGTTGGTATCCTGCCAGAGGATATCTTTCAAAGCTTTTACGCGCCTTTGGATCTCGCGAACACCACCATCGCCCTTCCGGATGATGATATGACCAGACGCGCCATCGCCACATTTGACAGAACTGCAACTGTCGATAGTCACAAAGTAGGAGTCATCTACATCGGCGAAGGCCAGACCAACGAGCGTGACATCTTCATGAACGACATCGGCTCTCCGGCTTACACCTCCTTTGTCACCGGCCTGGGCACATTGAGTCGTCTGAAGGATGCCAAATTCAATAGCGGTGGCCTCGACACTCGTGGTGATGCAGACGGAGAGTTTACCTACGTGTGGCGTGACAGGTGTATGGAGCTAGTCTACCACATTACCACCATGATGCCGACGGACCCCAACGACGACATGACGTACCCCAACAAGAAACGTCACATTGGCAACGACTTCGTCAACATCATCTTCAATGACTCAGGTCTGCCCTACAATTTCGACACCTTTCCGGGCGCCTTCAACTACGTGCACATCGTCATCTCACCCGAATCTCGAGCCAGCTTTGTCGATCGCCGCACCGACGCAGACCCTGACGGCAAAGACCGTTACTACAGAGTGCAGGTCGTCACAAAACCTGGCTTCCCGGATGTGTCTCCGGCCGCCGAATCGAAGATTCTTGGTGGCAGGCACATTGCTGCTTACTGCCGCCTCATCGCTATCAATGCGTGCGTCTTTTCCGACGTTTGGTTCCAACGCGAAGGCGGAGAGCAGATCTCATCATGGCGCAACCGACTTCGCGAGATTAAGCGCCTACGCGAACGCTACGGAGGCAGCATCACCGATCAACAACCTACCTCTACCCCAGCATCACCCGGGGGCGCCAGTCAAGGTCTCTCGAGTCCGCCATCTCGAGACCAGAATGGCATCGCATCACCCTTTCAGCGCTCCAGCATTGCCACGTTCATCACTGAGGGCACTAGTCGCAGCTCCATCAGCAGCTCCTCTCATGACCAGTGATTCTCCACTACACATCCGCAAGCCCATCTTTATCTCTGGAGCCGAAAAGTCGCGTTTACATATACCCACTTATCAATACCCACAAAAGTTCGTCGTTTTTCATCAGGTCAGTGTTGGGATGGATGCATCGCAAGGTGTTCAGGAATGGATTGAACACCCCACAAAAGTTTTGCTTGGTTGGAGAGTTTAGAATTCATCTGCATGGACGGAAAATAACGTGGGCGCAGAGGAGCATCGGAACGGACGTAGTGTACATTAAATAGCTTGTGCCTCGACTCATAAAAGGAAGCGCTCGTACCCATATGACTATCGTCCACAAACTCATCGCACAACGTCACATGCCATCCTCGACCTAGCACGTGGAAGTGGAGCCTTCAGCCCTACAACAGATCCCGCGTCTAACCGTCATGATGGTTTGTTCTCCGATTACGATTGAGTTATCCCTGTCCAGCCTTGGCACAATGCAATCCAACATGACAACTTCAAACAATGTCTCACACCTCACACTCTAAACCCTCCACAAAATGGCCGCTCCTCGGCTCCCCTTTCTATGGCCCATGCTATGGAGGCCACAGAATGCGCCCCGTACGCACGCCCGCACACGCGCGCCACATTCAAAACGCACACTCGCAACAACGTCATACCGCTGCGTCGAAGCTCCCATACAACGATACGGCAAGGCACATGAGCCTGCACCACATTTGCGCGAAGAGATTGAGAAGAAAGACCCTATCCCACCAAAGATCCCACACGACCCAGCCAAAGACGTCGAAGAGGAGGACGACGAACTCGACACTCACGTCCCCACCGAGACCCCATCTACACCCTCTCAGACGAGTAGTGTAGACACACCACCACCACCATACACACCCCCCGCACCTCTGAAAACGGGCGACGCGAAACCGCTGGACAGCGTGCTGCACATGCCCGGTCCCTCAGACGAAGCGCACAAACCGCCGCACCTGAAAACGCCGCCGTATGTGCACCATTTTGACACATACGGGCTGGTCAGGCAGTTGGCGAAGAGCAACTATACGGATCAGCAGAGCATCACATTGATGAAGGCCGTGCGCGGCATATTGATAGAGAACATGATGCTCGCGCGGCAAGGCCTGGTGTCAAAGTCGAACGTGGAGAACGAGACGTATTTGTTCCGAGCGGCGTGTGCGGAGCTCAAGACGGAGATTGGCAACTCGAGACGCGGCGAGGTTGAGCGTATGCGCACGGAGCGAAACCAACTACAACACGAAGTCGACATCCTGGGGCAGAAACTTGGGCAGGAGACGGGGAGTGTGAAGGATGAGCTCAAGGGCTTGTTTGATGACAGGAAGATGGCGGTGCGGCAGGAGCAGAGGAGCATGGAGACCAAGGTATGCATGTCGCTTTCACCATTGAGCCTCACGACTGGGTTTTGTTGTGGATATGTGAGTGGAGTGTAAGAGTGCTAATGCGAGACAGATCCAAGAACTCAACTATCAGATAACCGTCAAGTTGAACTCGGATGCACGCTCCGAAGTCGAAGGGCTAAGATGGGTGCTTACGAGGCGGATAGCAATGGGTATTGCGACCATGGCCATGATGGTCATTATACTGCTACAGCTCAACAGCAGCAGAAAGCATGAGCAGAAGGAGGAGGAGAAGAAGAAGAAGAAGGCCGATGGAGCGAACAAACCGCCCCCGCATGAGCCGCAAAATCTGAGCATGAGCAACATCACCTCGGTCAACACGGCTGGGCAGGAGGAAGCACTCGGTGGGGAGCTGTTGGCTACTGAGGGCGTGAGCTTGGGATAGTGTCCGATGTACAAGACCTCAAACGTAGTCGTGGTCACATCAAAGAGCAAAAACACCTAAACAAGACACCATTCCCATCTTTCCATCTTTCCACACTTCGCTCCTCTACAGCTTATGTTTCTTCTCCCCAGACGCAATCTTCCTAAACTCCTCCTGCGGCACACCCTTCAAAAACCTGCTCAAACCCCCAAACACTTCCTCCACTCCCTGCCGATCCAGCGTATCCATGTCCGGCTTCCTAATCAGCGCCTTGATCTTGACCAAACTCTCTCCATTGAGGTGGTCGCCCAGCCGGTCGTCGACCTCCTTGAGCACCTCCTCCAGGAACTTGGGGCTGTGGTTCGACCCGACATCGAACACTTTGTTCACGAAGCCGGTTTGCACGAGCTCTTCGCAGCTGATGCGTTTCGACATGATGAGCGCCTCGTTGGCTTTGGAGATGCCGAGGCGCTTGACGAAGGCGAAGGATGCGTTGCCCTCGGCGACCAGACCTAGCGAGCTGAATGGAGTGAGAACGTAGGCGTGTGGTGCGGCGTAAATGAAGTCCGAGAACGCGATCAAGGCAGCGGAAAGTCCGACGGCAGGGCCATTGAGCGCGGTGACGAGGATCTTGGGGTGCGTGTAGAAGGCGTGGGTGATGTGCAGGTTGTTGGAGACGAAGTTTTTTAGCCACATTTGGCGCTCGTCGATGTCGGTGGAGGACTTTGCGGCGGCGCCGAAGGTCACGTCTGCGCCGCTGGGTGGATGTTAGTATAAAGTACACATTCCTAGGTGTGTTGGGGGAGGTAGGTTGTGTGGAAAGACGTACGCGGAAAAGAATCGCCCCTTGCCGGTCAAGACGGTGATGAAGACCTCATCGTGGGCGGCGACTTCGTGCATGGCGCGCGCGAGCTGGTAGTAGAGGTCGCCATTGAGTGCGTTGAGTTTCTTGGGGACGTTGAGGGTGATGACGGCTACTTTGCCCTTGTATTCGACGAGGATACCTGGTTCGGACATATTGACGGTCTTCCCAAAACGATTCGATGTAATTAATGTTGGTGATGTCGATGTCTCTGGAGGTTTGCCAGATGCTTCGTTATGTTACGCAAGAGCTCTGAGGTGAGAGTCGCAGATGTCAGATCAGTAAATCGAGCCGAGGCTCAATCGAATGCGGAGAGCAGATATCACAACGATCGATAGCCGACGCAGCCCTACAACCACGGGAGATGGAGCACTGGTGCATATTGTGAAACTCCTGAGTATTTGGTCTTGTGAGTGTGAGAGTAAAGCCGCGCTGCAAAGAAGTGTCGATTTGGCTTGAATGTGCCAAAAGATGGGGTAGAAAGGAGGCGCACGTAAGGACATGAAGATTGTAAGGCGCGATCTTATCGATACGGAGTGATCTCCAACTTTCGCGCGAACAATCTCCATAAATATTTTCGACCTCATCAGTCCACCAGCCCTGCAGTATCACTTGCGCCCGCGCAACCCCACACCTGCACCTCCCAACTCCCAGCTCTTGCGCCAAAATGGGTGGTCCCAACCTCGAAGTCGCCAAAGTGCGTTCTCTCTCGTATCACTCACCTTTCCACCACTGACCCACGCAGTTCGGCATGTACATTCTCTTCCCGATCAGCATCATGTACTACTTCGGCACAAACCTCGATGGAAAGTTCTCGGTTCCGGACTTCTGGCCCAAGCCTGAGCAGACACATCGTATCCCGTACGAAAGAGAGGAGATTGCGAAGGAGTTGGAAAGGCTGAAGGCGAGGAATCTGGAAAACAAGAGGCGGAGGGAAGAGGAGGAGAGGAGAATGGCGGCCATGGGTGTTAGCAAGGATGAGTAGAGTGGCGATGCGACTGTGAAAGTGGTGCGCCCGCGCGCAAATACCGCTACGCTATGATCGAGGATGGGGAGGCAGTAGGTCACAAGAGAGACGAAAGACACCAATGCATGGAAGGCGTTCAGGAAGAGGCGTTTTATCGCCAATGGTGTACACTACTGTACAGTGTTGTATTATACATCTATATGCACAAACTTCAAGGACATCTCATACAGCGACCTTGCTCGACAGTTCCTCCCAAATCTCGTCTGATATCGCTCCTTTGCTCCAGTTCGTGTATACGCCCTGTATCCCCTGGACGTCCTGCAGCTTGTCCAAGAAGCGCTCACTCAGTTCTTTCGCCGCCCCCTCGTCATCGAGCGGGATTTTGGTGTCTTCGTTAGGGTCGAATATAATCTCACTCTCCTCGATCTCCATTTCCAGCTCCTTTGCTAGCGACTCAGCAATCTTGTTGGTCTGTGCCGGCTCAGTGAACAATACCACGCGGCCCTCCTCGTCCTCGAACACGTCCAGCGCACCTGCATCCAGCGCAGGTTCAAGCACCTCGTCTACACCAACATTCTCCTTCTTCCTGAGTATTATCCTGCCCTTCTTCTCGAACATGAAGCCAACTGTCGAAACCTGACCACCCGCTTCCTTAACAATCAGCCTCAGCTCTGCCAGCGCGCGCAGCTTGTTGTCTGTCTGGCACTCTATAATGGTGGCAATCGAGGGAGGGAGAATAGCTTCGAGGGTAAGGTTCTCAAGCGCTGCGCCGGTGGCTGAGAGACCTTGGCCTCGTGCTATGGCGGCTTCGATCGAGGCTTTTGGTACGGCGCTCTTCTTTGCGATAGAGATTGCGAGGTGGAGACGGGCGTTCATGTCAGGGTTCGGGCCGCCTAGCTTTACGGCGTTGGTGATGTCGCGGGTCATGAGGGAGCGTTGCTTGCTCTTGCCGGCGTCGTTTTTGGCTTTGTCATGCTTGATGGTCGCCCATTTTCTGGTATGATTAGCATACTGATTCGGAGAGAAATTGTGTCTACACCCACGAGTGACCTGAGAAGTAGCTGGGGGTGCTACTCAAACACCGCACCTGCACTTTCCGTGGCCGTGAGGCACGACGGCAGGCGCATTGAGTGGCGCCTTTGACCGAAAGTGAAGCGCAAACTGCGCGAGCGAACGGTGCTGCCATTGGAAAGCTTTCGAGATTTGATGCTGTAGTACAAAGTGGTCTGGAACAAAAGTTGAGCCTCATTTCACGCCAAGACAGACACCCCCGAGCTCCGCAACATGGTCCGCGGCTCCACCTCTCCACAACTGACAGGCAAGCTCACCCCGCCATGTGAACGAGCTGCTCAGTCCTACTTATCACCGACACATAGACAGGCTACGAGCCTACGAGATTACTAATGGCGGCGTCCGACGAACAGCCTGCCAGGGAGGACCCCTCGAACCCTGAGCTCGACGTCAAGAAGCTCCACGCGCTTCCCACCGAACAGCAAGATCTTTACCTCCTGACCTTCACGTCCGATCTTGCACGCCATGTTGATTCACTCGACGCCGATGGTGCTTCGGCGCATCAGATATACATCAAGAAGGAGCTGTTCCAAGTCATCAATCTGGCCTCCCCCACGCCCACGCGAGTAATCCGAAACAACTTGGGACGAGCGTTCTCTGGCATATTTGGCAAGGGCGACCGCAAGCTACTCTTTGAGTCGATCAACGAGTGTAACAGCATACTCAATGGAGCAGGCAAGAATGAGAAGGATGCCAGGGCGAAGCACGCAGCGGCGCATTGCTTGGGCTGCATATTCGAGGCTGCAGGAGACAGCGCCCAAAACCTGGCGCCGGTAGCTGTGATGTCGCTGTTGCGTCTTATCAAATTCGCGCAAAACTACACCGGGCTCAGGGCGACCGTCTTCAGGGCAGTGGGCAAGATATTCAAGGGCATTGCTCCTTCGACAGAGGAGAATGTCGCAAGAGATGCGTGGAAGCAGGCACGAAATGCGTGTGCTGGAGATAAGTCGCTACTGGTGCAGTCAAGCGCGTGCTTCTGCTTGGAACAACTGGTCAAATACACCTCTCTGTTTGACAACGCAACCGACTTCGACAAGCTACAAACTGCGGTGTGGAAGGCGGTCGACAGCAGCTCAGCTACGCTGCGCCATGCCGCTGCGTTAGCTATCTGCGCTGCCCTAGTCAAGAACTATTCTGAGACTGCAGCCGTTGAGGAGCCCATCATGGGCATCACGCGCGTTGGCACAGGCGCTACGAAGAAGAAGAATAAGAGGATGTCTACCATTGATACTGGTGACGATGCCATGGAACGTCCCGAGTCACCCGCGCCCAAGAAATCGGCTGCGAAGATCACGTTCACCATCTCAGCTATCCTCAGGCTTCTTTCAACTCAGTATTGCCGAACCTCTACAAGTCATCGAGCAAGAGCTGGCATCGCTGTCTGTTACATGAAGGTGCTGCGTGGTCTTGGGGAGCAGATTGTCGAATCCAAGTACAACGAGATCGCACGAAGTCTGTTCACCGACATTCTTAGCAACCAGGTCATCATACAGAACCGGTACCGCACGCTCAGTGCTCGCAAGTATGTGGCAGTCATTCTGGAGACTGTCATTGGTCGTGAGATGCTTGGAGAATCTGGACAGCTCAACGCTGCGAGATTCCTCGTCAACGAGATCCTGAAGGATTATCCACAAGCCCTGAAAGAGCGACCGGAGCCATCAAAACAGACTCTCATCGGAGCACTTAGCACGCTATCAGCTCTCTTCGACAGCCTAGGATCTGCCTCCAACGTCATTGCCGATCCCTCTCGAGATGCGCTCATCCAGATCCTGCAGCATCCCAGCTACAGCGTACAAGTGCATGCATCGTCTTGTCTACGATCCTTCGTCCTTGCGTGCCCACTCCAGCTTCTGCCGTCGGTCACGATATGCATGAACAGCGTGAATCGAGAGCTTGGTTTGCTTGGGACTGGACGACAATCACCCAGGAAGTGCGTAGGTCTTGCGAACGGGCTCTCTGCAGTATTGAGCACCTCGACGTCCCAACCGTTACATGGTTCTGTGGATGTGAACTCGCGAGTCTTATCACAGGCCACCACGTTACTGAAGTCGGCTGGCAACTCAGATGTGAGAGTCTCGGCAACTCAGGTCCAAGTTGCTTGGATTCTGATCGGAGGGCTAATGACTCTTGGACCAAACTTCGTCAAGATCCACTTATCGCAGTTGCTTCTACTCTGGAAGAACGCACTGCCAAAGCCGCTCAACAAGGACAACATGGTCCAGAGGAACGTGTTCGAACTCAGCTATTTGTCCCATGTACGGGAGTGTGCTTTGGGTTCGATCTCAACTTTCCTAGAATTCAACAGCAGGCTTCTGACACTGGACGTTACGAAACGATTAGCTGCGATGCTCCAGAACACTACCATGTTCCTGAACACACTACCAGCCAAGAAGACCACCGATGACATCTCGCAAAGATTGTCGCCTGCGCTGCAGCTGCACGACTTCGATCTCATGGTCCGAAGGAGAGTGCTGCAGTGCTACACTAAGCTCGTAGATCTCACACCGGCGAGTAGCAATGAGGTCTTGCTGCAGACTAATCTGCTCTCTTTCGCCGTTGCCAACTTTGCGGACCCTGACAACTACACCACCAGCTCTTTCAGTACAGCCATCGCAAGTGCTGCAGGCTCATTTGAGAGCATTTGGGAAGTAGCTGATAACCATGGATTTGGCGTCACTGGTCTCGTACGAGGCTTCGACATTAAGTCTCTACCAGGAGAGCACGACAACAGTACTGGACATCACTGGTTAGTGAGGCATGGCCCCGAAGCTACCATCGATCGCACAGTAAGTAACGGTGTGAGACTCGAAGTATTATGTAACTCACAATGGTCAGCTGCTCTCACCGATTTGTGGCGCACGCGAACACGATTCTATATCGTTATATAATCCATCTCATGACTCTGCTGAGCTTCCAGATCCTCCTGCCACAGAGGTTGTGAACTCAGCTCTGCAGCTTTTCGCGATCTGTCTGCCTTTGCAAACACCAAAGGTTCAGGAGAGTATTTTGGAGCAAATGACATCGTTCCTGTCAGCTGGCAGTCTTCAGCGTGACATCAACAGAAGGACAGCCATGATGGTCAACATTGCCTATGGACTCTTGTCTGCACTCAAGGTAGCTGTGAAGGAGACGCGCTCTGCTTCTGGTAGTTTGAAAGGAGCAGCAGTCGAGAAGGTCATGCAAGAGCTTCTACATGTGAGTACATCAAAGCTTCTCGTCGACTCCTGCTGACATTTCGCAGATCTTCGTGATTCTACCTGATCCATTTGTCCGCAGACTGGCTGGTGAGGCCCTAGGCCGACTTTGCAGCAGCTCAGGGAATGCTCTGACCGGCAGCGAGGTCAACTACCTAGTTGATCAAATCGTTGCGAACCGTGAGCCATTCGCTCGTTCGGGTTATGCATACGCATTGGGCTGCATCCTGTCGCAACTCGGGGGCATGGCTGCCAGCTATCACTTGAAGAACATCCTGGGGATACTAATGTCTCTGGGCAACGATCCTCATCCCATTGTACACTTCTCGGCTATTGACAGTCTTTCCCGGGTGGCAGATTCAGCTGGCTTGTCGTTCTCAAGTCACGTCACCGGCACCCTTGGCATGCTAGCACAATTGTATGCTGCAGACTCACACAATGAAGAGGCTGCATCGCTAGCCTCATCAAACATCGAGATCGACCTGCCAACCCCGGCCACCGTCGCACGATGCATAGACAGCACTATTAATGTTCTCGGACCTGATCTGCAAGAGATGGCAAAAGCACGAGACATGATCATGACACTGATCGATCTTTTCGAGAAGGAACCTGACGAGTTGGTGCGGATTGAGGCTCTTCGTTGTCAGGAGCACGTATCGTTGTACGCCCCAGGCCAAATGCGGTTCACAGACTACGTGAAGCACTTGCAGGCGTCGCTGGACAGCCCCTCTACACAAATCCGCGATATGGCGGCTGATGGGCTGCATAACCTCATGAGACGAAACACCGAAGAGATCATCCGTGCGGGCGATCCTGGATTGGAAGATGCTCTTTGGCACGTACTTGACAGACAGCCTGATCACAAGGTTGTTCGAAACATCCTGCGCAACTGGCTTCACCAGACCGGACTCACTGACACTGCGGCATGGGTACAGCGCTGCCACTCAGTGCTCACGAAGACCAAGAAAGTGGAGACACAAGAAGTAATTGAGATCAAACCAACAGCTGGCGCAACGGACCTGCAGGACGAAGAGGTTGCTGGATTCGCTGCCGCCGCGAATGCACCTGGCGCTGAGGTTGGCCAGGCTGGGCAGACAAGTCAAGAACTGCTCAAGTGGCAGGTCCGAACCATCGGTATGGATCTTTTGAGCGAACTGGTGGCTATGGTGAGCAAGGAAGCTACTTTCCGAGAGGAGTCCCCATGCGTTCTGGCCCTGCAGCACAGGGTTGCTGATGTCGTGCGCATTGCCTTCTCTGCATCGACTGCAGGCGTCGTTCAGCTTCGTATCCGTGGTCTGAAGATCATCGATCAAGTCCTTAAGGTAAGCAAGTTTCATTGTCATGTATGCGTGTCTGACACCTTTCCTAGCTATTCGGCAAGACTCCGGATCCCGACTTCGCAGAGGCTACCTTGCTTGAGCAGTACCAAGCGCAAATTGGTTCAGCACTTACCCCAGCGTTCGCGGCAGACTCATCGCCCGAGCTTGCAGCAGAGGCTATCAATGTGTGCGCAACATTCATTGCCACGGGTATTGTTACGGATGTAGATCGTATGGGTCGTATCCTCAAGCTTCTGATATCGGCGCTTGAGAATTTCTCAAGTAAGTCTGAATGCTATGAAAGTACAAATAACCAAATCTTAACAAGACACAGGCGAAACTGAAGCTGCCGCAATTGGTGACTTGCGAGGTCTGAGTTCCAATGCCGCAGTCATGGTGAAGATGTCTGTGTTCTCGGCATGGGCAGAGCTCCAGATTGCAAGCGCTGAGCAGACATACTTGGTTGACGTCCTGAGACCACACATCGCAAAACTTACACCGTTGTGGCTTGCATCATTACGTGAGTACGCTCGTCTGAGGTTTGAGCCTGACATCTCGTCCTCCATGGGCTCGGCTTCCCTATCTGGCAGTCTCGACACCATATATGCTGCACTGAACCGCGAGACACTGATGAAGGTATGTCATAACGTCTGGAGCGCGAAAGAACCATCTAACAAGACATAGTTCTACCAAGAATCTTGGCTCAACCTTGTCGATGCCATTGCCAGCTTGATTGACGAAGACAGCGAGTTCGTTTTCGATGCCCTCGACGGCAAGACGGAGTTCTCTGAGCTGCAAACACCTACCAAAGCAGACCATATCAACTATCGAGATGAGCCTGTGGCCTTCTTCTTCGTCCTGTTCGGTCTCGCATTCGAGGCTTTAGCGGGACGCCCAGGTGACCTCCAGGCTTCGAAGGAGCAGATCCTGGAGATACTGCAAGCCCTCAAGAAGATCTTACGTCCATCAGTGTCTGGTCAAGCCATCTACCAGGAGGTCATCTTCTCGGAGACGATGGACATGTTGGACCGTCTGGTGCTGACGGAGGGTCTGACCGTGCAAACAGTAATCGTAGAGATCGCCAGGAACCTGTGTCTTGGACACCCATCCGCCCGGAGGGATCAAGGAGCACCTGGGGATGATCACCTGTCAGAAGACATCGATCAGCTGTTTGAACTGACGAAGATCATGGTATTGGTGCTCTCTGGGTTGGTACCTGGTCTAGAAGACAGCAGCTCTAAAGCTCGACATGAGCTGAACGAAGAAGCCGTCGCCCTTCTAACCACCGCGTTGTCTGCATTAGTCGATGCTGCTCAGGTCTTCCCTGCAATCATCAAAGCCGATCTGCATGCTTGCATATTACATATCTTTGCCACCATCTTTGGCACCGGAGCTTGCCAGGCGACAGTCGTGCCGCAATCGCTTCCCATCTTCAAGCGCTTCGTCACCAGCCTAACCCGCGATGCCGAAGCCACCGACGACACCAGCAAGCAACTACGCGCGACATTAACGCGCTTCCTGACCATCATGAGGCACGCACAACAGCGAGAGTTCGATGCCGCACTTGCCTGCGAGAAGAACATCATCTTAGCAACCACAATCCTCGTTAGCTCTGCAGCATCAGCCTTCGCGCCCAGCGACCCACTCATCAAGCTGTTCATCGACAATCTCTTCGACTGCCTCGGTACCGTCACAACCTCCAAGGTTGCTGTCGGCTGCTGTCGGTCGCTCCTCCTTCTCCCCAAGAAGGGCGCCGTCGAAAGTAGCATCGCAGCCCTCATCCTCCCCCAGATTCTTTCCTTCCTCGCCAACCCCTCTGGTGTCGAAGGCCTCGAGGAGTCGCGCTCGTTGCTCGCACAGACCCTCGTTACCTCCATCTCTACACTACCGAAGCCGGAGCAGAGGCAGCTTGCAGTCAAGATCATCATCCCGGCACTTCTTGCGAGAGTGCAGAACGATGCGAAGACTAGTCAGGAGACGGCAGGTAGGCTGCTGGAGATCGCGCAAGCGGACCAGGAAGCTTTTAGGGGGGTCGTTGCGGGGCTGAATGCGGAGCAAAGAGATTTCTTGCAAGGTGTGTTGAAGAGTGGGCAAGGGCCGAAGAAGGAGGTTCGCAGAGAGGAAGAGGGCGAGCCGACGATTGCGTTGAAGATGAACTTTGGTTCTTGAGATCGGGGTGAGAGATCGGTCAGGTGTTGAAGATAGAGGGGGTTGTTTGTAATATACCCTGTTCTTTGCGTTTGCATTTGTGGCTCACACGCGTCTACTGTATTCTGAACTATAAAACTGCAGTGAGACCTCCACCATTCCTCTGAGCAGTCACATTTCCTCTTTTGACTTGCCAAAAGTAGTTCTGATACTCTCGATCAGTGGCAACAAAGTGTTGTGGTATTAGTCGGTCCATACAAGACCCTATTACCAGCATGTCCTGTTGGTTTTCTTGTTGTGCAAAACCGAAACCCACTGCAGAACGGTTCATGTAGAGGTGTGAGGCAAGCGGAATGAACGCACTTACCATGCCATGCTGAGTACTCTGTGAAACCGCCACGCAAAAAGGGAATGAGGCGTAGGTAACGTGAGATATGGAAGGTCTTTGCAGACTGGAATTTGATAGTAACAGCTCAAAAATGTATTGATGCAAAGTTGGCCGTCCACTCAGATAATAGTTACTCTACATGGGTACCATTCAGGGAGCAATGCAGAGTGTTACAAGAAGCCAACATTCTCCGTGCCCACACTTTGCATGCCTCCCGCAAGAGTTGCGAACTCAAGACTGTAGCTTCAGGTAAACTCGGAACATCCGTTATCATGTCTTCCATGCGACAAAACAAGAAACTACTTCTCGTGTTTTGCGACCCCCGAGTGCTTCCTGAGGCGTCCATTTGATTCCTTTGTACGGTCGATCGTGTGTTCGTCGCTGTCAATCAGTTTGAGCTTTAGCTCTTCCTTGAACATATCGTCCGTCTCATCCAATTTCTTCCAGCTGTTGCTCCTGTTGCGATCGCAATGATGCCTTCGATATGCTGTTGTATTGCTGGCGCAAGTGCTCTTGTAGTATTATTGAACCAACGTTCGCAATACATCGTGCATGCAAAATCTTTCGTAGAATACAAACCCCTCTGGCTCGCAGGCCAGCTTCGAAACTCCAAATATGCAGTCTGGCTAACAATGCCTACCCAAGCGCGTATTAGAACGCCATGAACTCCAATACATAACCTGCAAGCATCGCAGAGTTTGGCAGAGACGTTCACCGCCTGCCACCGCCCTGTCTTGCCTTGACTGTCTTCATGATATCTACATCCCTTCGTACGTTGTTGCCTTCGTTGAATGTGATATTGGCTCTCGGCGCAACGGTGTACGTCATACGACCAGTCTCCATGCGAGCACGCTGGAAGGAGCGCGGGACCTCCAGAGCTTTCTTCCTCTGGGCAGCTTGAGCGGCGGCCTGGCTGTTGGCGGCAGAGTTGCCAGTCGCAATCTTGCGTCTGCACATGTGTTAGCACCGTATGTGTAAGTGATATGTATGTGTACGTACGTAGGATCAAAGTCTGCCTGAGCGAACTCCTTCTTGCGGTAGTCGTCCGTGCGCCTGAGAATCGGGCGAGTCCAGTCTGTGAAGAGGCGCTCGGCTTGTCGCTTGATGGTCAACTCAGGGCGCTTGCTCTTAATGTAGAACATGATAACCTTGCCAATTCCAGACGCAACGAGAGTGTCCTTATTAATAGGTAGTTTGGCCAGCGCAGCAAAGAGCTCCTTCTGGATGTCGTATGCTGGCAGACTGCCATCGCTGAGGGGCTCGAGGAAGAAGCGTACTGCTTCCAGGATGTTGGACTCGGGATCTACGATAGACTCCTTGAGATTGCTCTTGTTCAGCAGGGCAACAACTTCTGGCAGAAGCTTTAGCTTGTGACGAGCAGGCTCGCCGCGCTTTCGGCCTTCGTTATCCGCCTCAGCTGCCTGGGCCATACGGCGGCGCATTTCCTCAATCTCTTGGTCGGCCATCTGCTCGAGGTCGATTCCATCCTTCTTGCGGCGGCGGGTCGAGCTGCTCTTGACGATGGCATCCATCTGGCGCTCGAGCGCGCGCTTTCGGCCTGTACATTTGTCAGTACCACCCTCCATATCTTGCCTTTGTTTGACGTACGCTCTTCGGGTGTGAGATTTGCCTCTGCCTCCTCGTCCGGGCTAGTACCGCGTATCCGGCCCTCCCTCTTGGATCTCTTGCTCTTCCTTTCACCTTCACCTAGGTCACCTCCCTCCTCGTCGCCATCCTTGTTCTTCTTGCGGCGCGGCTTGTCAGCGCGCTTCTTCTTTTTCTTGGGCTCGCCGCCCTCGCCTGCAGCTCGTTTCCTCTTGTGTACACCGATCTGCTTGACTGTGTCCTCGTCGATAGCGCGCTCTTCGATAGCGATGTTGCTGGCATCAAAGTCGCCGAACTGCTCATCGAGCTGGTCATCGTCTAGTGCTTCTGAGAGCGCAGACTCGTTGTCCGACAGCCCAGCCTCGATGTCGTCTTGGTCGGGCATCTCCTCCTTGTCTTCCGTTACCTCCATGTCCTGATAGGTTGTGGCATTGGTAGGGTTTGGCACCGAGTTCTCCTCGTCAATCTCAGGGCGCAGAGGGTCGTTGGGATCGTTGCCAGCCTCAGGCAGCGGCGAGTTGGAATGCGACTTGTTGAACTCGACGTCCTCCATGGCGAAGGTTGACTGCTGATCTTATATTGGGGTGATGTAAGGACAGGGACACGGCGCTTTCGGAGAAGACTTAGTCCGGAAAAAGCTGCGATCGCGTTGCTGGAGGAGAGAGACGTCAGACAAGGGCGATGATGTCTGCGTTGCGTGAAAGAAAGTTGCTGCTGAGCGCGACTGCCAATGACGCGCGGAGACACTATTCACCGAGGCTTGGCGCCGGGGAAGTGGCAGGCGCGGCCCAGCTGTGAAGACGCAAACTACGGTTCCTCCTCCTCACCAACCAACCTACGCTGACTTCTTACGTTGCAGCGCACACAAATTTCTTCCCCTCTCCATTTCTCTGATCCCTTACTTTTCCTCCACAACTTCTGTGACTAACTCTGCGCAACACGCGACACAGCACCTGCAGCCTTCGCAGCCGCTACACCCGTCATCAGCGGGTATTTACATCATACATACACTCTTATCGGGCGTGTCGTAACCGCACGCTACTTCGCATTTGTTGGCGAGTAGAGGAGGAAGGCACAGTGGATGGAGCTCAGTGGCTGGAGGAGAGCGAGTCTTGTCACTGTCCTGGCTGTCCTGGTGCAGTCTTCTTGCTGCAATACCCAGCGAGGTCATAGCTAGTAGCAACACAAACATCCTGTCATAACGTGTGTTCGAAAGAGAGGAAGCATTTGTTTGTTTTGTCTGCGACACCGGCCTGCTTGGATCGCCTTCTATCGACTATAAGGCATTCAGCGCGATTGCATTTCACGTCTAACCCTCACATCCCTTCCCAAAGCACACTTTTCCACTGCTCATCATGTCGTTGCCTGCTGCTGAGGTGGCCGCCGACTTTCGCGACGCTCTACAAGATCTGAGGATGAACAGCAGGCCAGAGATTAGCAATCTAACCCTCATCGCGAAGGAGAACACAGAGTATGCGCAGGCGATTTCGACTGAACTTGAGAACCACATCCGAACAGTAAGTTCATCGACATCACCATCGTCTACATGTCTTCTTCCGGTTGATTGCGCAAGTGACTAACAAACACCAGACTCGTCCAGAGTGGAAGCTCCCATCTCTCTACGTCCTCGATTCCATTGTCAAGAATGTCGGCACCCCGTACACTGTTTATCTCGGACGTAACCTCTACCGCACATTCATGGACGCGTACCTTGTAGTGGATCAGGCCACGCGTAAGGCAATGGAAGGTCTGCTAAGAACATGGAAGCAGTCCGTGCCTGAGTCGATGGAAACTCGTCCTGTCTTCCCTGCCAACGTCACCGGAGATATTGAGAATGCTGTCAACAAGATTCGTACAGTTGCCGCCCAGACACAGGTCCCACGACCGATGCATGCCCTTCCCGCACGACCACCTTCGAACGTGGCATGGAGAGACACATCAACACCACCACAGAATCTGCCTCGATACCCTGCTCCAAATGACCCTCGTCGACCAGCAGGTTTCCCACCAACTCCTCAATACGGTGCATCAATGCCTGTGGCTACACCACCCATGCCTTTCCAGCAGCAGTTCAATAGCCCTCAGCCAATGTCGTCGGTTGATCTAGCTGACCTAAAGGCCGAGCTCGCCCAGCTCGTTGCTACCACGCAGACCTCGTTTGCCCACAACCCTGCTGATAGAGACATCCAAACAAAGCTGCAGGCTCTTCTCTCACTCAAGCAGATTCTCGACACTCAAACGCTGCCACCACAGCAGCTAGAAGCTGTACGTAAGCAAGTTCGGTCTCTGGCGCCAACTCCAGCACCCTTGCCAGCATTTGCGCCCCCAACACCGCTACAAGGCTTCCCTCAGCATGGCATTCCGCCGGGCTTTCCTCCTGTCGGTGCTCTACCCGCGAGCGCACCGCCAAACATCGCACAACTACTGGCCGGCTTTAGGCCGCCCGTGCAAACAACACCACAGCCTGCGCCGACCCCGCAACCTCCAACATTCAACCTCGCTGATCTTCTGAAGCGCGTCTCGTCACCTACACAGTCATCGTCTGTACCAGCGCCCGCGCCATTTCAGCCTCCACCCTTCACCGGCTTCCCACCACCCATCACGACACCTGTTCCCGCCCCTGCAGCAGCAGTTCCTCCAGCAGCAGCGAACCCTACAGCGAACCTAGCAGCACTACTTGCACAGTTCAACAAGCCTGGAGCTGTACCACCTCCTGTGCCGGCCACACCAGTGCAGCCTATGGCAACTCCTCAGCTGCCTCCACAGTCAGCAAGTTCAGGGCCTGCGCCTGGCAGTGCGGAATGGTTGCTCGCTGCTCTAGGCGGTACGTCCAGAGGCACGCCGGCAAACGGCACTCCATTCGCCGCTCAGCCGATGGCAAGGCAGATCTCAGCGCCCACGAACGTTCTAAACGATATCGAGTTTACCACCGCATCCATGAAGAAACCTCGTCTCCACCTCATATCCCGCCTGTACGAGGTGAAGCCCAACATTTGCGCAACCTGCGGCCGCCGTTTCGAGAACACACCTGAGGGCAAGGAAAAGAAGGCCCGACACATGGACTGGCACTTCAAGGTCAAGGACCCCGACGCGGCCAAGCGTGGTGTGCATCGCAGTTGGTACATGTCAGAGAAAGACTGGATTGATTACCGCGAAGTGGATGAGACAACACCCGCCACCAATGCCGCGACGACGAACAGCGTTGCAAAGCCCAAGAGGCAGGCGAAGGATCGCTACGTGCTTGTTCCTCAAGACCCAGCACTACAGCATGCGCCTTGCCCTATCTGCCAGGAGAAGTTCGAGACGCAGTGGAACGTCGACGCGAATGACTTTGTCTGGATGGACGCACTACAAGTTGGCGGCAAGATCTATCATGCGACCTGCTTTGAAGAGTACAGTAAGGGTGCTGGTATACCGATGCCGAGCACACCTGACTCGGTCCTGGGGAAGAGGAAGGCCGAGAATGGTGTGGGGGTTGAGGGGAAGAAGGTTAGGTCTTTCTGAGCACATGTAGATAAGATCATGGAGGTTGTCAAGACGGGGATGCATAGCGTAGCGTTGGATCTTGTTTGTCGAATTACCGCGTGTGTACAGCCGGTCAATATGTTCTAGGCAGGTCGTGTATATAAATAGTTTGCACCTCAATACCAATCGTCAATCCCACTTCTTTTAGCCACCACTTTTGACAAGTTTCGAAAAAGCCCTACAATAATTTACTAGGTGTATCAAAGGTTGATCATACTACAAGGGCTTCCTTCTAGAAAAACCGGTTCCTCAAATTCATCTTCGGCCTTCTCGTCGAGACAATTATCCTTATTACGCATGTTGGAGGTGTCAAAAATGCTCAGCCTTAGTTTCATGTCCAAAGTGGACTGGCTGTGCTCGTATGTGAGCTGCCGTGGGACACACCAGCTCCCATTCATTTGGTACAGGTACTCTCCCAACCTCTATCTCTCTTTCTTATCACAGCGATCAATATGCCGGTCAATGATTTTTAAAAAAAAACCCCCCCCCCCGCACCAACGATTTTGATGGACCCCACTTTCTAAAATGGGCCTGATACTCACACAGTGGCTTCTTGGCTGCTCTCAGGCGAGTAAACTTGATGCATGTTCGTGGATTCTCTGCACAATTCTTCTAAATAAGTCACGACTCACGGCTGCACGAAATGTTCGACCTGCGATTTTATGTTTGAAGTTTTCCAAACGCAGTTGAGTGGCTCAACCTGTATTGAATCTTCCGTATTGTGTTTTCCAAGCATCATGTAGACGGCCACAATTCCAAACATGCGGCTCAGCCTCACCCTCTGAATATCTTGTTAAGCCCTCGCCCGGGGCCTGAGCCTCAACCTCCCCGTCCCTTCGTCCTCACCTCTCTCTGCCTTTAGTTGAGCCTCAACGATCCGCCCGATATTCCCTCCAGCCTTCGTCACACCACCTCTCAGTAACTCCCCCACAATCCTCCCCTTTATCACCGTCTCTTCAACCACACCCTCGACATGCTCCGGTCCCACCCTCCCATACCATATCCCACTCCCCCTCAACGCATTCCCCTCCAAACTCGGAGGTAGGTATATAATGACATTGCCAGCGTACTTGTGCCCTCCAATATGACTGATTTGCGCGACTTCTGCTTCTATCCCCCTCTTTTCGAATTCTTTGCGGAAAGAGCTTTGCAGAATGGGACCGAGGATGCCGCACCGTTGATCGCGGCCGCCGTGTCCGCAAATCAGTATTGTAGGCTTGGTGATGGGTTCGGGCGTGGGTAGGAGAGTGGCTTTCGATGTGTCGCGTGTTAAGGCGGCTTTTTGGGTGGGCGAGAGGCCATCGTGCATGGGGTGTAGCTTTGGAGCTTTGAGGTATGCAGTTGCGAATGCGGAGAAGGCAGTTGGGGTGTGCGGTATCGCGTTTATGCGCTGGAAGCTTGGCAATAGGTATGCTGTTGTGGAGTTGGGAGTTTCAGTCGCCGGTAATGAACTCGCAGTAATCAAGACGTTGGTGAACGGCTGCATCAGGTTAGCATGGCATGCTCAGATGTTCTATACCACAGCTTCCTTGAGCTCGAAGGGGGCTTACAAACATCAAACGCCTCGCCTCCCTTCCCTATCACGCCCTTCAGTCCTTTCACGAAATCCGCTGTGGCGCCCTCGTCGTCCTCAAGGTTGCTCGTCCAATCCTCTTTCCCTGTGCACAAGAGCACCTGCTCAGTATACGGCGCCATGGTATTAAGCAGTGGTGTCTTGCGGTCAATGTCGAGGTTGGAAGGCGCGGGGGCGCATGCGCATGTTGGCGATGGGCATGATTCTGTGTAGGATATGGACTGGATGGGCGCTTGGAAGCGTGAAATCGTGGTCGAGTATGACCGAAGAGCACGTATACAAGGTGCTCGAGCCTTTGACAGGTGTAACAAAGCCACAGACATGGTGTGGTGTTAGAGTTTGGAAGTTGAGTTGAAAGTCTGGGGAAATTATCAGATGCTCGGAAGGCTTCCGCGATGTGATGACGCGCATTGAGCTCGGAGGTATCGGAGAAGACGGCTCGGCTTTCGGTCGTCGTCGCACAAGCACGTCTTTGGAAGATATGCTGACTTCCTCGAGGTCAAGCTCGTAGAGGTCACCTTGTAACGTGACTATGTCGGCATGTTATAGGCCAGGTTGCACGAGGCATTTAGGACGGGAACCAGATCACATGTCTACGTTTGACCACTGTTCATTCTCTTCAAACATCTCAGACCCTATCTATCCAAGGATTACTTTCCTCTATACAGATCCAGCTTCTAGCCAGGCTAGCTCAGGAACCTGGCCAATGGCTGCTCTCTCATAGTAGCCTCTCTCGCTCATTTTTAAGAGCAAGATGTTGTAATATCCACGTGCGAACGATCCTTGTAGTACTTGCTAAAAACATTGCCTCTCAAAGGACCCTCAACGTCGCAGTTGAGTCCAAAGTTATCAAAAGCACTCACGCACGGCAGCCCTCGGTACTCTGAAATCGATATGAACGCGTATTTATCGGTCAGCCTGGGACCAAGGGATGTTCCACTTAATAAGAGTATGCTAGCCGATCCATGTCCATGTATTCATCGAAGTCTGCGATCTGGAACAGAAACACCGGACAATGTGTGACTATCAACATGCTCGGCTTCGAATGTGGCGAATCCTGGACCCGGAACTGTGTCGGCCTCAGAAACGGAAAGGTTCGATATGCCGCACAGAGCGAAAGGTACAGTGTACGGTTTGGTGCTTCCGACCTTATGTCCTGTGTTTCGCTCTTTCACAAACGTTGATGCTTATTCCGAAGTTACGTACCAATGGTGCGCCCTCAAAGAAGTAATAGCGTACACCATCAGTCCCATCCGGCCCACGACCAGCTCGGGAGGTAATTGCTCGAATCGGTTGCATAAGCTCGCTGAAGTGCTGGTGTCGTGCTTGTCCAGAACAAAGCCTTATGCAGCAAGCGAAGGTAAGCCTGCTGCGAATTGCCATTCCCACTCTTTCCCCAGGCTACCAACGACGCCCGCAAAATCATCGAGAAGATTGCCAGAATGAGACGTAATCTTCTTGCTGTATTGCTCAACAAGATCCGTGTATGCGCCGTATACCTCCCACAACGAAAGGTTGGCATTACCAACCACCGAAGTCCTACTCGTAGAGTACGGAACGGTCTTCGCTCCGAGTAGCTTGCTAATACTGGAAAGAAATCTGCTCGTTCGGGAAATAGAAACACCTTCAAGAGACAACATCTCCCTGAAAGGTCCGGGCTCTGGGTTCCTGAATCGATGTCTCGCACGCGCTGGCAGGATCGGATCGACATCGACTACTTGCATACCCGGTAGTGTTGAAGAGGGGATCAAATAGTCCGCGGTTGAGACTGCGGAGCGACTTTTGTACGGCTTTGCTCCTGCGGTGTCATCAGGCGCGAAGCCGAGCCATCACAGTGGCCTGAGAAGGAGGAGATAGCGGTCCGTGAGCCTACAGCTGTCGTAGTCAGGTCAATGCGTTCGCTCGCATTACATTCCCATACCCAGGCCGAACAGCACGCCAGAAACGATCACTGCGATGACCATCTTGCCGACAGGTCGTTCAGCGGAACCTGCTTCAGATGCTGCCTGCATAGGCTGGTGTTCTGCAAAGGCGTAGGAAGCAACTGTATCTGGAGCTGCAAAGGGTTTCTGAGCTGGATGGTCCTCCCGGGGCAAATCCTGTGCCCCTGTCAGTGGGATGCAGCAGAGCACAGGAACTGCAGGTACGCACCTCCAAGCTAAGGGTTGTGCGCATCTCAGGGTCCACTAGCGCCAATGTGCAAGCTGCAAGGAACACCATCAAAACGGCGTAGGGATGCCAGGGAGAACGCATGTTTGCTCAAAATTATGTTCAGGGGCTTTTCGGGTCGAGCGTGCGATCCTGCAGATGCATGAGGGTCCCGACCATCAAGTACCCCGGATCTTCGCGGCCCCCTCCCTGCGTCAGCCTGCATCTGACAAGTGCTGACAGACCTTGGTCCTTGTACGACGTGCGCGTGACAGGCACGCATCAGTGTTGGCGATGAAAGCACATGACGTGCGAGGCCGAATGCATCCAATCACGGCTCTAACGTACACTAAGCGTCCGTACGGTGCTGTTCGCCATTCAAGCGGGTTCACGCCAACGTGTCTTAGGGGTACGCCAGCGCGTCGGGGGCTTTCCGCGTTGATCTCCCATATGCCGTTTCCACATGAATCGTGGCATTGCATTGAAGTTGACTTCGTTGCTTTGATAGTAGGATGGAGGCCAGTAGGAATTGGATGACGTCTCTTCCGGTGCGTCTTGTAGGAGTTCTGGTGGCTTTGGTGAGCTGCTTTTGCCGAGCCAAGAGCCTCCTTCGCTGCGCCAACATACGACAGAGCGAGCATTGCCTTCGCCGTAGACATGAAACCCATCTTCATTCGTGGGCTGGCTTGAAGAGACGTCTGGTTCGTCCCTCCAGATCTCGATGCCATCAAATACGTCTAGCTTCTGCGCAAGCTGTGCGACTCGAAGCGCCTGCTCAAGGTCTGCAACTTCCAAGAGAACGATCTTTGCCTCAACTTCTTCTGCAATCTTCAGGAGTCGTGGGTAGAACATGTCTCCTTGCTGCCGGTCGTCAAACTTCGACTTTGGTGGAGGTACAAGCGCCAGCTTTGGCTCGAAACCGCGGACCGATCGCGTTGTGGTCTTCCAGTAAGCCGAAGGCGAGATATACGGTGGATTCGAAATGAGTATGTCCCAGAATGGCGCCCATTTGTTATGGTTCAACATACTTCTCACAGGTAACGGTGCTCCTATGGTCAGGTCTCCGAATGGATCTGCGAGGACATCTGCTTTCGCAAAGTTTGTCATGCCAGCTCTTGCTTGTATGATTCTCTCGTTTTTGAGTAAATTGTAGTGCGCAAGGCCTATGCTCTTGTCTGAGATGTCGATACCGACGATGCGCAGATCGAAGTCCTTTCGATTCGAAGTGAATTCATGGCGGAAGAGTAGTGGGATGCAACCTGTGCCAGTGCAGAGGTCCAGGACACGTAGTTCAGCGGGCAGGTTTGGCGCAGTTCGAACAAGTTTGGCCAGATGTGTGACTGAAGCTGCCGTGTCTTGTCTATTCATGTAATAAGTCTTTGTGCCTTCCTGCGTGCAACCAAGCGCATCTTACCTCGGTATAAGTACCCCAGGCCTGCACTTAATCTCCAGATCTCCAAAGTATTCTGTGCCCAGTAGATATTGCAATGGCTTCCCTTTCGCTCTTTCCCTGACCAGTTGACCCAGTAATGCGCCCTTAACCAGCGTGTCTCTTTTCGCGCGACGCGCTTTCGCAACTTTCTCGACGTGTTCGCGGAGCCATCGCAGCTCGTTCTGGGCGGTGTGAAGGTCGCGGCAGGGTGCAAGGAGAGCGGGGAGGAACGCGTCTATCGTGCGCGCTTTGCGGAGGAGCGCTGTTGGTATGCGTGGCATGATTTCTGCAGATTCATATTGGTGTTTGGGGAAGGCAGTCACTAGCGCGAAGATGGAATCCACAAGTTCGGTTGGTGCCGGTGATGGCTTCGCACAGCAACAAGGTACGAAAGAATGATCTGCATCAGGAAGCTGTCAACGTCATAAATTCGGACATCATTCTTTGACTGTTCACGTTATATCACTGACTTGCGTGATCTGGTTATCGACTTCCGCACTTATGCCTATGATCTCCATATCCACAGCCATACCAGATGCACCTGAGCGGCGTAGTGACACCTGAATACCTATGGCCATACAAAGAACACTGGGCTTCAGCGCGACAAGGTTACATCAAAGTCGTTCATCGACCGTGGTAAACTGGATGTCCTCGGGTCCAGCCCTTCGGTCGGCAGAGATGCCACTGTCTTTTATTAGCAAAAGAATGTACTCGAATGACGATCATGGAAATACTAACCGTATCAGTCTCGGAGGTATTCTGACTGCCTCCAGACATACTCTGATCAATACTGGCATACACCGTCCAGCCGTATTCCTCCAATGTCCCCAGCATGGTAAGCAACAACTCCCTAGCCCTCATCGTCTCTTTCCCAGTCGGAGACCAGGGATAGCCGTGCAATTTGATCTCCTCGATGCCAGGCGCGTACTGGCTTACCTTGCTCACCCACTCTTGCCCCAGCCTAGCCGGTAGCGCCTGGCACACCTCAGGACCCGCGTCAACGAGACGAATTCTGTCGCTTCGAGAGAAGCTGATACTGCACCAATCGCACGGTGCCGGCGCAGGGGACTGATAGCGGAAGAGGAGCGTGTCTTTGTCGTTGGGGCTCTTGCTCACGTCTGTGTTCAGACTGAGAATCCAGCCCATACTGTGCAGTGTACCCAGTAGCGCAGCGATGAGGCGACGCGCTTCCATCGCATCAGAGCCCATGGCGGACCAGGGGTAGCCTGAGAGTTTGAACTCTTGCGAATTGCCGTACATGCCTTCACGCTGGATGCCGCCTCGCCAGACGCTGAGTATCGTGTTGCGGCATTGGTCCACTATCTGGGGTGGGAAGTGCAGGAAGCGCAAGTCATCTGTTGAGTGCATGGACATTGATGCGAAGTGCGTTTGGAATGGTGGAGGTGCTTGGTAGGATGATGCCGATGCATAGGCGGGCGCAGGTGCAGATGCTTGTTGTTGGTAGCCATCGAAGGATGGTCTCTTCTCATCTCGACCGTGAGCCTTTTCGCGCAGTCTGTCGAACATGTTGCCTGAAAGTTTCTGTCGATGTGTCGAACGGAAGTTGTTGTGATAGCTTGACGATTCAAGTGATAATTATAGAGGGGCTCTTCTACGCCGGCGCGGGTCGCCTTATGTACTTTCTGCAGACCATCGTATTCGCGATAAAACTTCAGATACAGCCTCGAAGATGTAATTTCTTTCGTTGCTTGTTTGGGCAGAAACGATGGCCAAGAGCACGATTTAAGGAATCGTGAATGAGGCGCAGTTGCCCTAGGGCGCTAGTGTCTGATGTCATCTTCCTTTCGAGCAATCAACACCAACGAAACTGCCAGATAACACCGAGGGTATGTGTGTCAGCAGCTCAAGTGGAGCTTTCACTTACATAGTTAATATCGGTTGTCGACGGCTGCATCAAGATACACCATCTATAACAAATCCATTCCCAATCGCAAGCAACCACAACTTCTCTCATGACATGTACTTTGTCCTTGCGGTTGAGTCGCCAGACACGTGCAAATTCATTATTTTCAGATTCACTCTTTATCCACCATATTCGCCAGATGGCCACTTCCCCTTCTTATGCCCCTTTTCACTGCGCTGGAAGAGAACCTTGATCCGCCTGGGTTCGCCATTCGGCATATCCTCATAGCCATATATGATCTTCCTGTAACGCAACTTTGGATGATCTTTGATCTTTTCTCCGCTCATGGCCGTGAGCCCTGGCTCATCTCCAATTTCTTCAAGGACAGGTTTCAAGAGCATTGCGGTGCTGAAGAAGCTTGCATCTCGAACGATAGCGCGGTTTGCCCTTGCGAGCAGATAACACAAGGCCCCGAATTGAATTAACCCTATCGCGGCCAGAATGCTCGATAAGTATCGCCAACTGACATTTAGCCGCTGACTGTCCTTGTTGCAGACCTCATGGTTGATGGTGATGTTGTGCCGGATGCCATGATCATCGAATGCAGCTATTGCACCAATCGTGAAACGCATGATAATATCCTGGACCTTGGCGGTGTCGACAAGTTCCCTGGGAGACCACGGCGTACCTTGAGGATACGCACGAAATTGTAGGTCTGATATACCAGATTGAGTAACTCCTGTCCAGCCGATTGCACCAGCAGCAAGCTGAGCAAATGTATCATTGCTGTAGATGCGCTGATCGTTGACATCGATGCCGGTATGGTTTATTCCTTCTGTATTACAGATTGAATGTACAGTGTTCTTGCATCTCCATAAGGAGGTCTTTGTGACGGCTTTATTGTCCGCATCTTCTTCGTCTTCATACTGGAAGACGTCGATGGTTGAACACCGGGGGGCACAGCTTTTCTTATGCGATATATATGTGATCATACCGTACCCGTTCAATGGTATAGAGACGTTATCCCAGCTTTCTGTTCCTCGTACTCTGGCGACGACGTGTCGGGCTGGCTTGGCTTGGATGGGCCCCTGGATGTCATACTCGTCACAGGTCGCCCTAGTCTGTATGCAACGATCACTTTGCTTGTAGTCGCTGTACAGGGAGTTTGGGTTCCGATAGAAGAAACGGTATTCGTAGGAAGAGTTGTCCAAGGCCTTGTATACTGGAGTTCCTGGCAGCTTCGAGAGTTCCGTGTGTGATTCGTTTGCAGGAAACCATGGCCATGACTGAGCGTCCATGCCGTACGTCCAGGCTGTAATCTGGGGGCTCACATTGTCTGGATTGTCAACCCAGCCTGATAAATCCGCCACGGCCACTTGGCCATACTTCGTGAGCTGACATTCATACGGCTGCATCGGCCAGAACAAGCTAAGTGAAGCGACCAGAACCTGACTCCCGATGTTGACAAGCAGCCACACCGCACATGCGTACACGTACCAATGGTTCGTTCCAGGGTTCATGTCTACATAATTTCGGGGCTTGCCTATAAGCCACTTCCGTTTGCGCAAGCTCGGCAAGGACAGAACCATTAGCTTAACAACATTGGTCAACTCATCAATTCCCAAGATGAGATCGAATGCCTCCATCGACACGTGTCGTTTAGTGAGTATCGCCCAGCGAAGGATGACGGCGTATCGCCTAAGCGAGGATAGAAGATTGAGGCCCAGGCAAATCGAGATCGCGATAGTAAGAGCGTTGAAGATCCGAACGTCGTATACAGACAGTGCGAGAGGGTGGCTGAAGCCTTCCCAGGCTTTCAGACAGATGCAGAGTATACCGCCAAAGAAAACGGTGACCATAAGCTTGATCGTCCCAACCTTGACAAGTTTCACCCAGGAATCCATACGATCGTAAACTTTTGAATGTCGGCGATTGTGGCCACGACGTTGGCTGAGCAAAGATTGGCCATCGTCCGCGTCCATCTCCAGTCTTGCTGTCGCTGATGAATAATTCTCATTTCGGTCGTTCCTGGAGAAGTCGTTCAAGAAATCCGCGGAAGGAGAAAAAGTCGATGACCCTGGAGTCCCGAAGCCGTGCAATGCGACATCAGGCGAGTGAGGTGTGGTGGGTTGATTGAAGCGAGGAAGTGGGGAAGCATCTGGTCTCAAACTGGTGTCTGATATAGTGGGAGATGGAGATCGACTCATGTTGGTCGAAGAGCTGGTTGCGCCGCGGACATATAACGTATGTCGATGGATGGACGAACAAATGCGTGGTAATGGGAACTGAGATCGGCGTGTAATACCCACTTTAATCTGAATGCGCAAAGTCGATGCTTACGGGATGGCACAAGGCTGTGATTTCACACCACGGCCGGTGTGGATGCTCTGACAAGACCCGGTCCCATGTGTTCTACAAAGTTGTGCAGGGTAAGCCACCGCAAGCATGGGTGTACGCAGCCATAGGCTGGGCGAACATGGGACGGGCCGCTAATAGGCTAAGGTTAGCACCAACAAAGCGACTGACGGCATAGACGAGGCAGAGCGTGAGAACTATGCTAACAATTTAAAATCGATGGATGAGTGCCCAGCCATCATCTGGGGCGGTAAGGCTCACAAACGATTCAGTACTGCCTATGAAGCCGCGGTAGTTGGAAAACGGGCGGCTTGTGGGCAGCACGCGATCAGGCTGAACGCCACAACGCAAAAGGCCCCCAAAGATCCATGCTCTTCTCGTTGCATACGGCATAAGCCTCAGCCTGATGGACTGACAGCGATGTTGGGGGTCGCGAATCCTGCCAACAGTGATGTCGTAACTAGGCAAATCCGCACTTCTGAGTGATACGTTGAGCACTGCGGGTGGTCTGTTGTAGCTGTTTTGTTGATGCTCTGAGCAGTCAGGACTTATGATCTTCGATTAGTTGGAGTCCAGCAGTAATTGTAGGCTCAGCATTGGTCTACAAACAGCAGCGGCCTACCCTACTTTAGCAACAGATGCCTCCAATGCATTCACATAGCCTGGTTACACATGCAGGCGAGATTCGCTTCGTGACGAGCATCCAAGCTGTGTTGCGGAAGAGGTCATCTGCTGATGGATTGTCGAGCATAGTGGGGGCCAGAACAGCAATATAACGTAGACGCTCCAGACCTATACATAGTGCTGAGATACACAGACTGCCGGTAGCCGATAAGACTTGACAATCTACGAGCCTGGTCGTCGTCTGCATGTTCCAGATATGACAGACTCCACGAAGACCTCACGTTCTCTGATGCTAGCTCTGGTTAGAAGCTCCTCAAGGCCCCCTCTTCGTTCTGGTCCGTCACGATTGAGCCACAGGAGAGCAGAACAGCATCTTGAGATTGTTCCTCGAGGGTGGGTGTCATTCGATCACATGTGTTCGGTGTGTGAAGAAAGTGATGTCGGCCGGGCTGATCGAGGTATGCTCAACCTAGCGCGTGGAGCTTGGGCCACCACGAATTCAAGTTTCCCCAGCTCCGGAGAATGCCGGCGTCATCCTCGAGACACCTTTATACATTCGCCTTGCATATTCGCTATGTCCTGGGTCAAGCGGCGGGCTGGTCCCCTGATCGTCCTCGGAACATCTGCAGCTGGCGGCGCTGCGTATCGCTTCTTCGGTCCCTCGAAATCGTCCGATGCGTCGCTCAACCCTCACACGTTCACGCCGTACACACTCGTCGACAAACAACCTGTATCCTCAACCAACGCTATATTCACGTTACGAAATGCCAATGGCGCACCAGACTCACAGAGTGTGAAGGAGGTGGAGAAGCGCAGCGTGTGGAGCGTGCAAGTAAAGCAGCCGCAATTGCAGATTGCACGCGCCTACACACCACTGCCTCATACGACCGATGGCAGGAAGGACGAAAATGCACCTCAGGACATGAGGCTTTTGATACGACAAGAAACTGGAGGAGAGGTGTCAACATATTTGCACAGATTGCCAGAGAAAGCAACAATAGAACTTCGCGGCCCAAACGCTGAGTTTGAGTTGCCTCGCAATGTCAAGGAGGTCATATTCCTGGCAGGAGGGACAGGCATCGCACCGGCTATGCAGGTTGCGCAGGCTCTGAGCAGGAGAACAGGCAGTAAAATGCATATCTTGTGGGCAAACAGGCGGCGAGAAGAATGTATAGGCGGTGTCAGCGACGACCAAGGAACCCCGAGCACCTCACAAAATCGGTTGGGGTGGTGGAAGAGCGTTCTCATTGGCTCCAGCGAGACTGCGACGTTGGTTGGGCTCTCGAAAGACGACCCAACTGAAAGTGAAACACCTCAGGACAAAGGCCTCATTGTGAAAGAGCTGGACGCGCTCAAGGCGAACAACACGGTTGCAACACATGGGTTGAAGGTTCAATATTATGTCGACGAAGAGAAGAGTTTTATCCAACCCGACGACGTCACAAAGAGGATGGCTAGCACATCGCAAGAGAAGGGATCGAAACTCATCATAGTTTCTGGTCCTGATGGCTTTATCGAACATTGGGCTGGCAGGAAACTTTGGGCTGATGGCCGGGAAGTCCAAGGCCCACTTGGAGGTGTGTTAAAAGGAATAGATCTAGGGGACTGGAAGGTCTTCAAGCTGTAAAAGTACGTGTACGTTACCAGAATGATACCCATGTTCGCACCTTCTTCCATCAACAGCGCCCTTACTCCCGCTCGTGCAAGATCCCATATATATGACGTCACTTCAGGCCACGCGATCTCAACAACGAGGGCACTTCCGAAGAACGAAATAGAAAAACACTGCGACTCAATTGCGTGCCGTCGCAAAACATTGCCATTTGCGAAGGGATCCAGTCCGCAAAACAGCACTCACCGAATCCGGCTTAGCAAGGGTCAGGGTGCGGCGCGACTTCCGTACCTGAATAATCAAGGCTGCTCATACTTTCACTTGGCTCTCAAAGCTTCACTACTTAATTGTATTACTGCCGAGCTCCGCAAACATGTCATAAATTTGCACCGCCTCGACTCGTCGCACCACCACTCCCGCCACCGAAGATGGCTACCGATCCTGAGCTTGGCAGTCGTCCATCAACACCAACCAGCAACCGCGACGAGAAAGATCCCAATGCGCGACCAGCATGCTTCAAGTCGACACTCCAAGAATGTCTGTTTGTACTGTCAGTCACAATGGCAGTGGCCATGACAAGTGTTCTCACCGGATCGATCACGGTTATGAGCTCTTTCGCAGCAAAAGACCTGGGCATGACTAATGCACAAATCACTTGGATGAACGCTGCATGCTCGCTGTCGGCCGGTGCGCTGCTTCTCTTCTTTGGCAGCATCGCCGATCTTTTTGGCCGCAAGTCTATGTTCATTGGATCGATGTGCCTCTTCTCCATCGTCTGTCTGGGTACTGCTTTCGCAAAGGACGGCATTACAATCGATGTCCTCTGCGGCGTCCTAGGTATCTTCTCAGCATCCGCTGTTCCACCGGCGCAAGGCATACTCGGTACGATTTACGACAGGCCGAGTCCTCGTAAGAACAAAGCCTTCGGTTGCTTCAGCGCTGGTAACCCGCTTGGCTTCGTTTTCGGAACTATTTTGTCCGGACTCTTCACTCAGATCTTCAATTGGAGGGCTGGTTTCTTCCTAATCGCAATTACATACTTCGTCACCTCGATCGTCGCGGCATTGACAGTGCCTGTGGATACAATGCCGAAACAGAAGTTCGACCAGGAGACGCTGAAGAAGTTGGACCTACCGGGTACAGGTATGACTATTGCCGGTATTGGAATGTTCTGCGCAGCCCTCAGTTTGGCGGGTGACGCACCGGACGGCTGGAAGACGCCACATGTACTAATTCTGTTGATCCTCGGTCTACTGTTGATTGCTGCGTTCGTTGTGTGGGAGCTCAGGTATCCCTACGCTATTGTTGATATGAACGTCTTCAAAGACCGGGACTTCTCCTTAGTAAGTATGCAAATGAAACTTCAGTGCGCTCACTAACTGGCATAGCTACTGCTCATCCTGTCGTTCGGCTTCCTCGGCTTCCCAGTATTCTCGTTCTGGCTGGCGCTCTACTTCCAGACCGAGCTCGGCTACAACGCCCTCATGACCGGTGTGCATATGCTACCCATGGTCGTAGTGGGTTTGCTTGCGAACGCCATCGCCGCATTAATCCAACACAAAGTCTCCAACAAGCGAATTATGGGCATCGGTGCGTGGGCGTACGTGGCCGCGTTCATTCTCGCTGCTGTACAACGATACGGCGACTCGTATTGGGCTTTCTCGTTCCCTGCTTTGTGTCTGTGTGTAATCGGAGCGGACTTCGAGTTCATTGTCGCCAATGTAAGTGCTCGGTGTATCTGACGCTTCTTGTTGCTAACGTCAGTAGATGTACGTTCTCTCCTCAATGCCCGCGAACAAGCAGTCGATAGCAGGCTCGCTGCTCCAGACTCTGACTCGACTCTGTACCGCCGTCGGCTATGGTATTGCTACCGCCATCTTCGATGCTGTCGAAAGAAACCCGCCGAAGTCTGGATATTATGCGAACAATGTGGTCGCACCGTTTGCCGCCGTGTTCTGGTTCGCCCTCGGCGTTTCCTTTATTGGCGTGCTCTTCGTCCCCTTCCTTCGCATCACCACTCAGGGCCACAAGGGCGACACAGGGCGTGTAAAGCAGGATGGCATCGAGGACCACGTTGACAGGGCTATAGCCCTCGATGATGGCCACGCTGTCGCTGCCCTGAGCGAGAATAACAGGCATATCGATGGTGGAGCAAACCCAAAGGTATCTTGAGTTTTGCCTACACTGTAGAGATTGGTCAGCCACATATAAACATAGAAAAACGAAGCACACAGACAGAAATCTAATGTCTGACCTCAACAAGAGAATAGAACTAAAATGTACAAGCCATCACTCCTCTACCATCACCACAAAGCAGTGCTCCGGCAGAGCATCGTATCAGCATCGCTCTCTCCTCGCAAATCACCCCCCACCCCCAGTTCCCACAGTAACCCCATTAAGTCTAGCGAAGTAATGAATAGCCCTATTTGGCCTTTTTGCGGTCGAAGGATCCTCGTTACGACTTTTGCGTGCCTGCTGGCGAACCCGAAGAAACCCGCGAAAAGAACATCGAAAGTTTCGTGCTTCTCAAACCTTTGGCATGACCAGTCATCTAGGCCCAGCTGCCTGCTGATAGCTGCGTGGTCGGTCTAAGCTCACGCGTGGTCATGCCTGGACGGCGAGAGATCCCAAAGTGGACGCTACAACGGTCCAACAGTGCCCATGGGGGTTTGCGAGGAGAGGGTGGGTTTGTTCTTGCGCGCGAACGGCAGACGAGTATGGTATGGGGGACTCGGTGTGGGTGTTCGGTGCGCTGGGTGGAGGGGAGGGAAGGAAGATGTGCGCTGGGAGCGGATGAAAGGGGGACTTACCTGTTGATTATCGTGGGCACTCTGCGCTCATTTCAGCCGCGCCAATGTGAAAAGCGAGATGTCTGTGACTGGATGTATTCTGCAGTTTCGGCTTTGGGTGCTTAATGTACCAGACGAGTGCCGTGATGAAGAAGTCGTGCGCGATGAGAGGTCTTGTTTTTGGAGCGCTGTGAGTCAGATACGTTTACAACAAAAAGGGGAGTAAGATTAGTTGGACTGATGATAATCGTTATTCATTGTACAAGTTCGGGTCGCGCTACCGAAGACAGTAACATGACGTGAGTCACCCCAGAGCCAATAACAAGCACGTTCACCAGGCAGAAGCAAACCAGCCAGGAAGCACATCATGGCTTACATTGTGCCTGGTTGACGTTATGCCTGTTACATCGGTATGCGCCTGAGTTGCGACGCTCGTTGTCTCAAGCGCATGAACCTCTCCTAGATTCCACTACCATTTCCAACCTTCTCATTATGCACCCTGTTATTCTTCTCCATACCCAGTACACCCGGTGATGTACCAGTGACTGAACTCCTCCTCCTCTCAGCATCTCTCGCTTCCTCAGTGTCGTTGTAGTCGATGAGCAAGTTACCGCGCCTATCAAAGCGGTGCGGCAGATCTTTTGCGATCTGGACGCAGTTGAACGGGTTCGTGGTCTTGTGGAAGATCTCATCCATCTCCTCGAGCGAACGGCCGGCGGTCTCAGGAAAGAAAAGGTACACGCTAGGTACCATAGCGGCGTTAATAACAGCGAAAATGATGTATGTTCGCCACTGAATATTGGCAAAAGCAACAGGCGTCACCATCACGACCATGAAGTTGAAAGCCCAGTTAGCCGTGGTGGCAATGGCGTTGGCAGGGGCACGGATCGAGAGGGGTGTGATTTCAGCGGGATAGAGCCAGGTCATGCCCAGCCATCCGATGGCGAAGAAGGAGTTGAAGACAAAGAGCATGACGGTTGCGAGCAGAGCGCAGGACTTATTGTCGACGTTGCTGGTGGCTCCCGCGAGGATAGCCATGGTTGCACTCATACCAACAGCACCGAATAGCATCAATGCGCGGCGTCCGAATCTTTCGATGGTGAAGATGGCGATCCAGGAAGCGATCCAGTACTCCGTTCCGTTACAAGCAGCGAGCAGACGACTCAAGAAAGGCGAGAGACCGAGTGATCCTTCGAAGATAGTCGCTGCGTAGTAGGTGACCAAATTGATTCCAGAGATCTGGCATAGGTTAGCGCATCTTCTACGGGGTGTAATTGTGGACACTTACCTGCTGGAACATCTGGTTGACGTAGGCAAGCGCCGTACGGTGGAAGTTCCTGTTGCGGTTGTTCTTAAAGCACTCTCTGAATCCTCCTCGTGACATCTCGAACACAACATCCTTCACTGCCTGTAATTCTGCAACGATCTTCTTGTCCTCCATCGGGAGATCGCTCAGGGCGGCCAAGACCTCCCACGCCTCATCATCTCGTCCTTTCAAGACAAGCCAACGGGGAGACTCGGGTAATCCAGGAATCAACGCAAGAATGAAGACTGCGAGAATGATCTGGAAACCGATGGGGAAGCGCCAGGCGATGGAGCTCGGCTCGAGGAACGAGAATCCCAGGTCAAGCCAGTAACTCAACATAACACCGAAGACAATGAGTGAGCCCTCGATCATGACCATCTGTCCTCGCCTGTGGGGTTTGGAGGTCTCAGACTGCCATGTGGGAACCGTGCTGGTGTTCATGCCATTGCCAAAACCGGTGATCCAACGCCCAACAATGAGCTGAGCGAGGCCGAACGATGCGGTCTGTATCGCAGCACCAATGATCATGATGATGCTGCCGATGAAAATTGTCTTCTTGCGTCCAAGCATATTACCAAGCCAGATGGTCGCAACAGCACCGAAGAAACATCCGAGAGTGTAGGCGCCCACCGTAATTGCTTGGATGGTTGCTGTATGGCTTGCATCGCCGCCAGGTGGGTTAAGAGTGTCGATCTCAGGGAAGTATCTCACGAAAGAGCCCAATGTGAGCAGACCGCCCATAACACCTTGATCTGAACGCACAGTGAGCGACTGGAAGAGCTGCATTAGAACGAACGTACCATAACCAAAGAGAGCGAAATCAGTACCCGCGACAATGGCAATAGCAATGTTGAGCTTGGTACCCGTGAGACCGTAAAACTTCTTGCCCATACTGATATCGATACGCGTCTCAGCGCATGTACAAGAACCAAGACAAATTACAAGAGACAGTCAAGCCCCAGCCAAGCCTTGAAAGCAAAGTAAGTGCAACGGCAAGGGCAGAAGGAGTGCTGTCCGGCCTTATGAACCATCGCCCTTCAACCATCTTCCCAACAATGTAACCAAGTCCGTCCTCACATCCAATTCCACTAGCGCGCAATTGTCTTGTGGCACCCGTAAGCCACGGGCATCCTTCAGGCTGTGGAGAGCGATGACGTCGGTCGCTGAGCCGCGCTGTGGAGTGCGGGGATCAGCGCATCATTTGGGGATGGTGCAGAGGTGGAGATCGAGAACGCTGCAGGGCGAGATCCGTGATTTGCTCCTCCACAACGGCCGTGCTGCATGCTGGCCGGGAACTTGAGACGCATTGCCGGATTGAGTAGTTCCGGGGTCGCGTGAGGTTGATGAATCTTCGGCTCTTCTCTTGAGACGCATCGTGTCGAGGCGGAGCAGCGATGGAGTCAAGCTTGTGCCGGGTTAGTTCAAGCCGCAGAAGGCCCGCCGGCGTATGAGCGTGTTGCTTGTCAATGTTTCTTGGTTTTCCCGGGTATGTTTACTGAAATTTACATCACCAAAGAGAGATCAACAGAAGGGTCACTGTTGTCAAGCCATGGCGCTGGAAGACAGCGAGCGCCGTTGGATTCGTACTTCCCAGGCACTTGGTACTCTTCAGGAACTTCCACGAGGTGTTCCAACGTTGCGCGACAAGCATGGAGAGTGGAGACATGACTTCTAGGCTTGACAAACTCGGAACGTCTTGGGCCTAACGCTTATCCGAACAACACGACTTTTCCCGCCTCATGTACCAGTGCGTTCACCGCACCCGTGAACCCTTCTGCGCGAATTACCGAAAGTGGAGATGCCGCATCACTCAAGCCTCCTGTGTCGAGAACGCGGACATCCGGATATCCAATTCCTCACCATTCACGCGAGGACCTCCAAGACTTTTGTCTGCTACCAACAAATCGACACTGTTGACTTCAAACAATGATGAATCGGAAGCGAGCCTCACAATGATAACATACTCACAACACACAGATTCGGAACCAAGCTCACACAGTCACTATGTCAATTCACCTCATCACTAGAAACACCGCCTAATAGCAGCTCACCACTCCAGCTTCTCACGGTTCCTCCTCTCCGCTCCCCGTCTGGGGTTTCCCATCTCCATCCCCTTGCTCAACAACCCATATCCCTTATAAATCTCTTTCTCAACGGCATACCCTTCAACTTCCTCGGGGAATATCATCCATTGATCAGTTGCCCTTCCCAGGTACTCGCTGCTCGGGTCCTCGCTTCTCCGCTCAACCTCTGAGCCCATCTGTTCGCCTTTCTCAGCTACGGCCTTCTTTCTCTCATACTCGCGCTCCCTCCTGCGACGTTCTATCCGCGATCGGATTGCAAGATGAGCTTTACAAAACGGGAAGGAAGGAGCAGGTAAGGTGTACACAGAGCCTCCAACCCCGACGCCTTCGAGGAAGTCGCAGTCCGCTGGCTCTGGGACACAATTGATGGGCAACACTGCGGTGCAGAGGTCGAGATGGCGAGAGTCTACTTTGTCGGCCGGTAAGGTTGAACTGTATTGATGAGGTCCGCCAGGCTTTAGTGAGGACACTTGCTCAGCAGTAGGAACCTCACCAGTCGGATCCGGATTACAGTTCGGAAGAGTGAGCACTTCCGTCTTGGACACCACTCCCGGGCTGGACAAGAGCGAGTCTGCACGTTTGTGCGTGTGAGATGGTGGAGTCGTCTGCATTGTGGAATGAGTATGGGTAGGCCAAGTGCAGCTTGGGAAGTGTAGGTTGAAGTATTGTTAGCCGCTGATAGGGGGGTAATGGATGGTATGAACAGGGTGTGGGACACTGTGCACACACTTCGTCAACATGGTGAGTTGCGAGGTTGGTCGCTGGTGATGAGCTGCGGATACCCGGAGGGATGCATCAAGGAAGCGATGATGGCAGCACATAATGCCTCACCACCTGTTTCGATACCACAATATTCACACTCACTATCAACACCACTATGCAAGAAACAGCTTTGATACATCTACGGGTCTGACTTTGTCGCTCACTGGTACAAATAATCCCACTCCCTCTTCAGCCGCCCAAACCCAATCTTCGGTGCGTACTCTTCCACTTTGCTCGCGCCAAAGTCAAACACAGTGTAATATCTCTGCAAGAACACCGCTCCGATCAAAGCGAACCCGTTTTGTCCGCTGTTGTCGATAGGGGGCATGCACTGCGCTCCCGGCTTCGTAAATTCATCACCCCTGATACTGAAACTCACATCATCTTCCTCAGCACCCTCACCCAGCGTGAATGAAATAGCCCACGAGGCATTGAGATGCTGACAATCCATGCGCTCCTCGCCGTTCATAAGCTTGGTCACGTTCCATCCGAGATTGAAGTACACGGCGTCGATGATCTCGTCCGGGACGGAAACGCGGCCTGCGCCGGTGTCGAAGACGGCGGCGCCGGAGCCGTACATGCTCCATGTGACGTTGGCGTGTGACCAGATGCCTTCAGCGTCAGTCGTGTCGGGCAGCGAGCCGGTCTTCATCGTGATGGTGCTGTTCTGCTGGCCTGCGACCAGGACGTTGACGGAGCGCAGGGGTGCGCGCCAGAGCTGGTATGGATCCTCTTTCCTCAATGGCGCGTATACGACGTCGCCGTCGACGTATTTCTCTTCCTCGCTGCCGCCGATAGTCAGGACGCCGTTTTGGCTTCCAGAGTCCTTGAGGTTGGTGCCGTAGAACAAGCCGAAACGCGGCTCATCTAATTGCCCATTCCAAAGCAGGGTCTCGACAAGCGAAGACGTGTTAGTCTCTGCAATGCTACTGAACCCCAGCCCCAAAAAGCCATCAGCCGTGATCCAACGCCAGCTACTCTCGTTCGTGGACAGGAAGGTCTGGTTCCACTCGAAACTACCATCCCTGGTGGAGAAGACGTCGAGGGTTGCGGCGCCGGCGATGCCATCACCGTCGATGTAGGGGATACGGGAGAAAGAGTGGAGATCTCGGGAGGTGGAGGAGGCGTTGGCGGAGTAGATAGTGCGGTTGTAGGGGCGAGGGTTGGGACAGGAGGATTCTGTGCAGGCGGCAGAAGTAAACCAGGTGGTTGAGGAGCCGGTGTCGAAGAGCAGGCGGTAAGGCTCGGGAGGCATGCCGGCCGAGAGTTCTACGGAGGCCTTTAGATGGTGTTAGTTGGACAGGTTGGAGGGACGAGGGGGACATTTACGTAGCTGTCCTCAATACGAACTGGTAGTTCGATGACAGAGGCTGTAGCTGCTGCGGCAGCAGCTAGAAGGCTTGCAGTCTTCACGTTGAAGACCATAGTGAACGAGCGAACGTGAAGCGAATGATGGTCGAAGACCTGCCTTGCCGGAAGAGCTGATTTATTAGACTGCTTGAACGCCATTGATGTTGAAATGAGCATCGTATGCACAGAAGCTCTCGAAATAGAAATAGTGGTACCTTACAGGGAAGGTTAATAGCTGAAGAGGCCGGGTGTGCCGTACGATCGGCAATTTGCCCAACTCAGTACCCAGGTACCCAACCGATGCACGGATCTCTAGTACTGATGTTTCAGGTAGCCTCGCGCATTGCGACCGTCAATGTGAAGAAGAAATTTGAGCTGAGCGTTGTACATAGATGTAGCCCTCCGGCATATAGATTTTGAAAATCGTAGTAACAGTCGCAACACAGTCGCAAGATGTGCGTGCTGCGCAACTTTTCCATGCCTCTAAGATGCTGAAACTCCTTGCCGAAAGCGAACGCCGATGCTGTGAACATGAAATGTAGGGTATTAGTTGCGCAGAGACTCTCTCGCCGCAGGCTCTCTCTCGATTTCGTACTCGATCTCGCGCTTCGCTCCCTTGGGGTCCCTTGAGGGCTTCTTCTTCGGCTTGGAAGGAGGTGCGGCTGGGCGTTTCCTCTTGAGGTTGGCGAGTGCCTTCTTGAGTGCTTCGTTGTCCTCGCCGTCAGACTCATCTTCCTCTTCACTGCCACTTGCGCTCTCGCCGTCGTCGCTGTCGTCCCCTGAGCCCTCGTCTGGGCTCTGTCCACCGACCCAGTCCTCGAAGTCTTCCATCTCGTCGTCTGACTCGCCCTCGATGTCGCTCACGTACTCGACTTCGCCGACACCATTCTCATACTCGTACTCATTCTCCTCCCCATCCTCCTCCTCCAATTCACCGTCGTCAAGATCCTCGTCGCGCTCGAGCTGACCTTCCTTCTCCAGGCCCTTCATGACTCGCTTCCACACGTTCGGCTCAACATTGAGCGGGCGGTCTCCGTAAGCACCAGAACGAAGACGGTCGATGAGTACTCGTTCAATGGAGCGCTCGACCTTTGCTGCAGCCAGAGCCTTCCTTTCCCTGGCGTCCTCTCGTCTCCTGACCTTGGGTGCCAAGCGGGGTACCAGTCTCTCACCAAGCCGCTCTTCTTCCTTCGCCAGCTTGCGGATGCGAATGTTGACTTGCGTCAGTCTGGTCAGACGCTGCTTGTTCTTGTGGACGAGGAACTTTGGAAAGTACTGCAGATGCGAGTCGACCATTTCAAGGGCCTTGGTGTAGTTCTTGGGCAGCTTTATGCGCTCCCACCACTTGTTCGGCAAATGCGCGCGCTCGATAGCCTTGATGTACAGGTAGAGTTCGCCGGTCTTGGGGTCGGAGCGTATTGTGGCATAGCGGGAGTTCGCAAGCGGACAGGACTGCTTGCTGCAGAAACCAGAGACATTGTGCTCATTGCGACAAAAAGTCTGGTCCTTGGTCGTCTTCAACTTGTAGCTGCAAAAGTCGGTTCCGATGATGGACCACACGATTTCGTCTGAACAAGTCAGTACTGGTAAGCAGTCTAGTCACCGTCCCAAACATACCGGAAGCCATTTTGTTCTGTGTCAGGTCGTTGCTGTTGTTGGCGAGAGCAGCGGGCGGCGCTCAAAAACAATTTGGCGGGAATCCAAGATTTCGGTGGGTCCGCGGCGCAGGGACCACTTTTGCGGAGAAGGAGCGAACCACGACGCCCGCAATTCACCACCAGCAACATGTGACCGTCCAACCTCGCGCTCTCGGCATGAGAGCTGTCACCTCGTCAGTGAGAAGCAGTCGTCATGTTCTGCGACAGAATTGTTGTCCTCCCACTCAGGTAGCTGTCCGGCGACTTAGTACATGCCTTGCTAGACATGACATCTCCCATCCTTTGCACCGGCCCGTGACCCTCATTCAACATCGTCAGCTCCATTCGCACCTTGGTGAGCCGACTATCTATGCCCTATCCACAGCAGCTGGAAAGGCTGCGATAGCCGTCATTCGCATATCAGGTCCAGCATGTAGACAGGTACGGGACAGCACATTACCTACTTTGCTCGCTGGTGTGCTCAGGCGCCTTAGATATACCAAGGCCTGTGTCCCTCTACGGCCTTCCCAAAACCTCGATCTGCAACGCTTCGCAGGCTCTACAGCCCTCACCAACCGCCCTCGCCCGCGACCCTGCTCGACTCCGGCGCACTCGTCCTCTACTTCCCCAGCCCAAACACAGTCACCGGCGAAGATCTGCTCGAGCTGCATGTGCATGGAGGGCCTGCTATAGTGCGCGCAGTACTAGCTGCCGTACCTCAGTGTGCTGTACCGACTGAAGGTTCTGCAGTGTCTGCCGTCCAATCGATTCGATATGCTGAACCCGGAGAGTTTACCCGCCGCGCGTTCGCCAACCATCGCATGGACCTGCCCCAGATCGAGTCGCTAGGGGAGACACTGTCTGCTTCGACCGAACAGCAGCGCCAGATCTCTGTCCGGGGTACAGCGTCGTCGCTGGCTGTGCGCTATGAGCAGTGGCGCATGCTGTTGCTCGCAGCCAGAGGGGAGCTGGAAGCCCTGATCGACTTCTCTGAGGACCAACACTTCGACGAGTCTCCGGTGCAACTCTGCGCGTCTGTTGCCGAACAAGTTCAAGTTTTGCGCGCGCAAATGGAGGCACACGTAGCCAACGCGGTTCGTGGCGAGCTGCTGCGCAACGGCATCAGCATGGCTCTTCTAGGAGCGCCCAATGCTGGCAAGAGCAGCCTGCTCAATCGCATCGTTGGACGAGACGCTGCGATTGTTTCACAGGAAGCCGGCACGACTCGAGATATCGTGGAAGTCAGTGTCGACCTGGGTGGTTGGCTGGTTAAGATCGGCGATATGGCGGGCTTGCGCAGGGCTGGTCTGGTAGGAGCAGACATCGTTGGTGCAGTCGAACAAGAGGGCATCAAGCGTGCCAAACAACGAGCGCTCGAGTCAGACGTCCTTGTCGTGGTTCAAGACGCGACAACAGACATGGACCCCGAGGTCACGGAAACGGCGAAGCAATGCGTCGAGTCAGGCATCAACGTCGTTGTCGCAGTGAACAAGATCGATCAGTTCTCGTCGACAAGTGGCGCCGAGGATGCATGGAAGGCAAGGATCCGCTCGACTCTCGGCATCGCAGAATCGCGCATCTCCTTCATCTCCTGCAGAGAGGCCTCAACCGCCGTCCCACTCACTTCCAAGAACACCGACCCAGGAAACATGCAGTCCTTCCTAACCACCCTCATGCAAACTTTCCGCGACATGACCGCCGCCCTCGTCCCCGACTCCGACCCCAACCCATCCATCTGGCAAGAATCCCTCGGCGCAACCGAACGCCAACGCATCCTCCTCTCCGAATGCCTGACACACCTCGAAGCCTTCCTGACAGCCGTCACCCCCGAACTCACCGAATCGCACTCAGCATACGGCATCGAGCCCGACGCAACAGACGACATCGACATCGACATAGTCCTGGCCGCAGAGTCGCTCCGCAGTGCCGCCGACGCACTGGGCAAGATCATTGGGCGAGGAGATGGCGGAGATGTAGAGGAGGTGCTGGGTGTTGTTTTCGAGAAGTAAGTGTTTCTTTCTTTGGTTGTGGTTGCGGTTTCCGCCCCCGGACGCCTCACGTCTTACGCTTGGACCGCTTTTGGCCCCATTGCTGGAACAGCCTCGACGGTTATAGCATGGCGTCTGACGACGACGGGTCAGGCAACTGGAACCTTGTTAATACGTTGTGTGGGGTATTACGGCCGTGTTTTTGGTGTTGGGGACACTTTGCTAATAACTTTTGTGCAGGTTCTGCGTCGGAAAATAGACACATACCACCGCGCCTTTCAACATCCCTTCAGTGTGCTTCTTGCCGACGCATCATTTAATGTTGCCTTGTACACGACTCCAACGCACAGATCAGATGTAGGAAACGTAATTTGATATGTAGAGCTACCTCCATGGCACAATCCTGTCAAAACACAGCAAAATATTGAGCAGAAAGCCGTCTGGTCTAAAACGCAGGACCCAAATAAACCAAAACACCACTAAACACCGTTGAACACCGTCCCATGCTGTCGCTCAATGAAGAGCATATCCTGTCTTCTAGGTATATTGAACTCCGTGTGTATCAAGACATCCGACAAACCAGAAACTCCATCGCTTGCTCAAATGCTTAACAGAAAGACGCAGCTAGTGTACAAAAACAATAACGATGCGGGTACAAGTACATGGCTGAAGCCGGATGATGTTGAGTGTGTCCCAGGTTGAGGGTCACGTTCGCCAGCGTTCGGTGCGCCGCTTGCGGAGGGCTTTGATTGTTGGGTGGTGCATAGGTGCCATTGTGTAATTTGGGTGGCGTGAGGTGACGGTGGTGGGTATTGCTGAGATGTCGTGAGATGGAGGCAAGTGAGATGGTGAAGGTTGACAATTCGATGTTTGGAGAAATGATGGGGATATGATAGGTGAGGTTGATGCGTGGTGTGCGGTAGTGGGGTGTCGAGGTTGTGATGGACTACCAGCAGTCCATCAGGACTAGTTATAGCCTCCGCGTCCGGTCATTTTGAAATTTTGGTGTTGATATAGGTTCTGAGTCGGCTTGGATGCGGAATATGGATGTGGTGTGTCGAAGGCTTAATTGTATCCTCCACGGCCGGCCATTGTGAAGGTGGGTTTCTGTGTTGGTTTGAGTTGTTGAAGGCGTCTCTTGATTGATTCGATGATCGATCGAGTTGTTCGAGGTTGCTTGTGGTGCTCTTTGACAGCTTTAGTTGTATCCGTCTCGACCCATTGGTTTGATGAGATGAACATGTATTGTGATAGCTGGTGGTGTTGGTATCGTTGATGCGGTTGTGTTTGCTTTAGTTGTAGCCGCCGCGACCCATTGAGAAGATGTTGGAGGATTGAACTTGAAATTGTAGGGGTTCTAGAGAATCGAAGATGCTAACACAAACTTGTGAAGACGATGTTGTAGAAGAAGCAGACGATGGAAGATGAGATGAGCCGAAACTTCTGAGAAAGGAAACAGACTTATAGGAAAAGAAACTGGCGGACTGCGAAAGGCCTCTCGTAACTGTGAACTGGTGACTTGAATGATGCCCCTACCTTTTGCCTAGGCCAGGCATCTTTATACACTACCCACGCGTTCCACCACTCCTGCCACCAATCTAGCGGCCGCATTCAGTGGCTTGCCCCTACTAGCTTCCGGTATTGCAGTCAGGCATCTAGTCAGAGTGTGCAAAACCGCTGCGCTACTCGTCGTTCGTCGGAGCATTACAAGCTGCGGCGCTGCGCCGTTGGTGGAGACTAAAATGGGAAGTGTGCTCTGCCACACTTTGAGAAGGGACGTGCCCCATGCGGCTGATTATGGGAGCACTCGGACCCTGAGCTCTGTTGTGCTGATTGGGAAATACAAATGTAGACGGATGAGAGGTTGCCGGCGGTACTGCGGTTGGAATGGAGACAAGACAAGAGGTGCACGACGTTATTGGTGCTGCATTGGAGTTCTGCAATATTGTGATGTTGGCCTCGGGCGTCGAGTGCTGCCTGCACCTGCAGAACGCGCTTGACGATTCCTCACGAACACGCGTTCAACAGCAGTCGTCACTGCTTTGTGCTCGCAATTCCAATTCCCTCAAGCACACAAGTTTCTCTGACAAGTGCGCTACACAATCTCATTGGCCCTGCGCGGCACAGTCATACAACATCGCCCTGCCGAGCACCCTACTTACCCTCCCGCCAACAGGACGTCCGTTTCAGGTCTGCTACACACGTTTCTATCCTCGTGTGGGTGTTGCGCCCTTCTACTCCCGGCGGCGCGGCGATGCGGCGTTGACTGCGCCGTTGATTAACGAACAGGAGCCGCGAACCGGAATCCAAGAACCGCTGCTTTGGAATTCTGGTGCTTGGAACTGTAATACCGGTACTGGGCATACGATGTTCAGTTATCGCTGGTCGTACAATTGGATCTTTGACTGGTTGTCTCTGTGATGACGAACACTGTGCCCGCCTAAGGCCATGTGCAGAATTCACTGGAATGACACTGTAGTCTTGTCAACCAGCTCCAGAGGCCGCCCCAAGGCTGAAATATTTTCGATCGACAAATCACCGCATTCCTCACCATGTTCTGAGTTTGAGGGAATACAGCGCATGGCAGTGCACCGAGCGTTCTTTCTCCAGCATTCAACGGACAGCGATGCGCATGCCCTGTCTCTGACCCAATGGCTCTCCAACCTCTACGCACAGCACGCGCTACGTCGCTGCCTGGACACCCGGAGACGAAAGGCTCTAGTAGCATTGCATATGCGACCACGGCGACTTGTGCTGCAAGTGTTAACGATTGATGATGCGTTTCAGCGCACATTGTTCAGCTGTGCCTCAGGTACCCGCCAGCACCAGTCACAGCGCACCCGGATTGGCATGGCGGCCGCTGCAAAATGCAAGCTTGGACCGGAGGTTGTGCCGCAATCGTAGACTGGGTTGTGCATGTCTAGCTGAACTCGATGATGCAAACTTCAAGTTTTATGAGTCGAGGCTCACAGGCGCACGTCTCGAGTCACGATTCTGAAAGCTCAACGTCGCCGTGCTTTCATATGCAACTACGACTGTTCAAATGACCATGGCCGTCACCAGGACTCAACCAATCAACGCCTTCACAGGGCCTGTCGTTGTCTGTCTTCAGCAGCGCCTCGTTTGCTTGGGAGCGTTCCAATACGACAATGAGACTGTCGATCAGTCTTACCGGGCACATTCGTCAAAACTGACTTTGCAACGTCGTCCCACGGTGCCGAAAGAGCGTCCCCGGGACAGCATTGGCTATTTCACTATTCGAAAGTCGACATGACATAGCCAAATACTACGTGCTTGGGACTACAGATATATCGAGAGGGCACGACATCCGCAGAGCCCTTGGATTATATTTGGCATCCCTAATCTCAGTATACTGGTGTTACATACCTCACATCGCAAACACATCTTCGGGCATAAGAAGGATGTCCATAATTACAGACGGGCCTGGACACTGCACTTCAAGACGGCCCCCAAAAATAGGCACCACATTCACTTTCGATCCGATCTCACACGCGACAAGCGCGTCATTAGCCTGGATCCTGCGTAGGGCTGACGCCTTGGAACTGCGCCGCGCAGCCTTTTTCTTAACAGGGTTAGCGTGGTGAATGCGCTCAGCTGAACTTCGTGATTGGCAGACAGACAGTGGTACTAATGCTATATTTGCTCCATGTCAGATCGAATGGGTGTCTTTAGCGGTCTTGTCAAGAGCAGGTCAGATTCGGTGATTTTGGTGCTTTTCCCTAGGGCCTGTGACCGCCCATGCTCTCATCCCGAGCCAACAGACCTTACCACTCCTGGCCTTTTGACAATCACGACTAAAATGTCTAAACATGCATCGATCAACTGCGTAGAGTTGCAAAGACTTTGCTCTGTGTTAGGAAGGGCGAGGACGTTATCGAACATCTCACGCAATCCTTTCTTCGACAGCCACAGCGTTCGCTGAGCGTTGACAACGGCTCTCTCCATCGCTCACAGCACTCTCTCGCCCTGGCTTAAGCAGCCTCTCGCAAATTCCAGCACCAGTTCGTTACAGCTAGCTAGTGAGGCTATCGCTAGGCTCGTGGTCAACCCATCCTTCAAGAGTGTACTTGACACGATGAACTATGTATGCTCCTTCCACCCTTGCACAGTTCTGGAGAGGAAATATTTTGTGGGGTTTCTATGTGCTCTGCTCTTTCCAAGCACTCTTTCGACTTGTGTGTAGCAATTCTTGAATCAGAAACTTATTGGTGCGGCGACCATTACCACGCAGTTTGGGAACGTGGCCAGCGCCGTTCTATCTTGGAGCCCGAGATTGATATCGATGCCACTCATCTTCTGAGTAATCGTCGAAGTAGTTCAATGCAGGCGCTTTGGGTGTGGCTTCGGATCCGCGTCTACTACTTCTGTTGCGGTGTATATAACCTTTAGGACCCGAGGGTCAGAAAGGTCGGCCTTTTTGTATCGCTGCGGGGCCGCGACAACTTCCGGTGAAGGCGATTGCCTCGCATTATCGTATGCCGGATCTCGTTTTCAACTATCATGGTTGTAATCATTATGGTCATCTATGTACTCGATAGAGTGCTGAGAAGGATCGTTTCCTGGTGTTGCCGTTACCGCAGCAGTTGAGCTCTCATCGTCTGCTTTCTCACCCTCTTCACTCCGAAGAACATATTTCCAAGGGTTACGGTTCTAGCCGGCCTGGCGATGTCGCTGCGGGACCTGGATCCGAACCTCCTCCTGCGCACGAATGCATACTCCTTCTTCCCACGGCGATCACGGCCGTCTGCCTCGATAAACAAGCGATTCCCATGGTTGCTGCGAAGGCGACGAGTGTGCTCAAATAGAATTTCCGTCTCTTTCTGACTCATTTCTCGCAGAACGACGATGTAGTTGGGATCAGCCACGTAGTGATACGAGATGTCGTAATAATGGAGGGCTTCGATATCGAGGTACTGCTTGTGAATTCTCGCATATGTAGGTTGTGGGGCCATCCAGAGGGGGTTGTGAGGTGTTACGCCGACCTGCTGTTCCAGCTTCTTTTGTTGTTCAGGATAGACTATAGCCTGGGTCTGATCTTTCTGAAAGCCAAATACGCTTGACTTCTTCGAGCTCCATCTCTTCTCTCGCCCTCTTAGCTAGTTCTTCCTCTGTCGGCTTTGGGCTCGCCCTCTCAGCCGCTTCCGTTCTCGCTTGAGCCTCTGGCACGATACGCTTAGCTTCCTCTTCTCTGGCCTTGGCCTCATCTTCACCTTTACGAGCCTCCCTCTCAAACTTCGCTTTTTCCTCCTCGATAAGGCGTCTACGCATCGCATCAGCCTCTCTCTGTTCTTGTTCTGCCTCAGCAAGGATTCTCTCATGCTCCCCTTGTTCATATTCATGGATATTGCGTTCGCGCTCTTCTGCAGCATCCGTCTCTGCGTTTTGATCTTAACCGGGTTTTGCCCTCCTGGCCTTTTCGGCATCGAGAAGTGTCTTCGTTCATATTCGTAAACGATGCGATCGCGCTCTTCTGCAACATCCTTCTCTTCCTGGGCCTTCTTCTTGTTACAGGCGTCTACTGCTGCCTGTTGAACTGCCTTTGCCTCGCGTTCCTGTTGTTCGCACTTGGCTCGATCTTCTACGATGATTATTCTCGCCTCTTTCTCCCTGGCTTTGGCTTTGGCATCCTTGTCGTCCTCACTGATGGTCCACTCTCCGGGCTCGATCGTATTGGTGATCTGGTCGTTCTTGAAGCCAAACTGGGCAAGACGCTTACACATCACTTCTTCGAGCTTGCTCTCTTCTGCATCCCGTTGCAACATCTCCTTCTCGGCTAGCTCCTCGCGCTCCCTGGTGTGCTCCAGTTCCAATTACTGTCTCATGATATCTTCCTGCTCTTGCTTGTTGTTAAGCTGTGTATACACCGGAGGAGGCTTGCCTTCCCTTTCTGCCTTCTCCAGTTGTCTGCGTAGAAGCGCTTCATACTCTTCTATGTCCCGCTACTTTTGCTTCGCCTCTTCAATCTTCATCACCAAGACGAGCTCTTCACGTTCTGTCTTGGCAAACTCCGCATCACCAACTTCCTTGCGCTCGTACTCATCAAAGATGCGCGCCCTTTCTCTGCAGCGAGTCCTCCTAGAGGGCCAAAAGTTTTTCTGTCTCATATTCATGAACGATGCGATCCCGCATCTTAGCGGCTTCTTGGTCTGCCTTCGCTGTTGCCTCGGCATAGTAATCAACTTTGGCCAGTTTCGTAGCTTTCCTTGAAGCATGAACCTGCATCGCCTTCGCAAAAGCACCATGGTCATCTTCACTTTCGCCCTGGGAGTCGCTCTCAATCATATGATCAGCCAGCTGCTGTGTGGCATCCACGTTACGATGGAAGTCATGCCCTACGTCTTCAATGGACTCATTTTGGCCTTCCCATATGTCAGCTTCGCTATCCTGCAGCGGGGGGTGAACGTTGACTGTTTCCTAATGGCGTGGGTATATTGATCAGTTTTTGGCTCCACACGCGGCCCCTTTGGAAGCATTCGATTTCTACACTTTCACCCTCGGCCTATTTTAACCTCCAGGCACCCGAAACAATGGCTCTATTTAAAGTAGCATGCTTAATTGACCTGAAGGTATGAACCACGCGAGCTGCAAAAAAATGATTTTGGAATGTGATTGGCTTTGAAAAAAGCAGAATAACTATCGTAATACAAAGGCGTTCTTACAATGCGAGTTACAACGAAAGAGAAATCACGAAGGAAAGGATTCCTGTAAATCGAAAATAAGCATTCAAAAAAAAAAAGCGAACACAATCAGTGGGCGAAACTTGGGCGTCGCATAACAACGATTTCAACATGGTTCACTCCTGCCACACCCACTTCTCACCATCCCACCGTCTGTATCGCCTGTGCCCAGCATCCCAAATCCACTCAGTGGCCGTTCCTGCGGGTTGCGCTTGGCCCTGTTGTGATGTCACTTGTGCCTGGGGAGGACGAGCAGCAGCGAATCGTAAGCCAATGCCAAAATTCGGTGGGTCTCTTTTTGACTGGACGATTTGTATTGCTGATTCGTCAAGGTAACGGACAGCAACAAGACGACGAACGTTGGCCGGCCTGCCCAGGGTAAATGATGAGGAATATAGTGCGGGTAGACATGTTTGTTAGATGATGAAAACGAAGTTCGCGAGATGTGCGTGCGGGAATGTGGGACTGCAAAGGAGATGCTGAAATGTTGATGTTGTTTAGTATGGTTGGAAATCACCATCGGGGTACCTTCAGGTTACTTATACTCAGAATCAAGCAACATGATCAACATCTCTAGTTCAACCTCATGCGCCGCAGTAAGTCCCACAGCCCATCGTTAGCCGCCGTTAAATGCAATTATTCGTCCTTGTAGCCACTCATTCAATTTTCATGCTGTTTGCTTGACACAAAGGTGGAGAGTCTAGCTGTGTCCCATGCAGCGATACGCTGTAAGGGCGCGAGCCTCCCGAAGTAAGTTAGCCCGAGAGATTTTGGGTGAGCATGAGACACGAATAAGCTGTACAACCTCCAAATTTCCGTTTGAGTGATGCAAACTAGGTTGAAAAAAATTAGCGGGTTGCTAATATGCGGCGTAGTCGGCGCGTGAAGACTTCAAGCGTAATGCTACACCCCAAGGATGTACGCGCCGGTGAACTACGCCGTATGTTAATTATCAATAGCATGAACCGAATATGCTATGGTGCTCTTCGAATAGAAGCAAGACGACGTTTCCATCGAATAAAGATGGTTTGTTTCTGATTTTCATACCGAGAAAGCTGGAGCCTGCACGGTCGTATGGTTGAAATATTTCCTCCAATTCTGATACGTTACTCATACCAGTCAGCTCCTCTTCTTCTTTCTCATGCATATCCTCATCCCCCAGTATCGAGTCTTGATCTCCCTCATCTAGGTCGTCTTCAGTATCATTCAGGTTTGCTGGAAGACCAAACAGCGCGAGTTATTTCTGGTGATGACTCAAATGCTTTTGCATGGCGCGAAGCGTCATACGTTTTTAACATAGTCTGCAGGTTGCCATCTCAGTCAATCCAGAGGTCCTAACTGAACTCTTGAGTGCAGAATAGATGCCTGGTGCCGCAAGATGGTCATGTTCGGGTTTAAATTGAGCTTCGAAATCCGATTCTGTCTGAATAACTTTGAACGACCTTCGATGCATTGAAAGGTGGAATGATGGGCTTCGAGCTCGTGCGTGAACCAAGCATGACGAGAGTCATAGAGCCTGTAAGCAGTTGCGCAGTCTTCTAACGTACATTAATAGGGGTGCAGATCTTGATAGAGATTTCGTCTAAGAACAGTCAGGTGAATCCTCCAAATTTCAAGATTGAAGTCCCTTCCAAGCTGCTGTTGTATGAATCGCTACCAAGCCGTAACAGAGAGAGCAGTTGTAATGCTCCTTCTCACGAGCTTCTTTAGGCAAGTTTGGAGCCCTCAAGGTGGCATTGACCGATGTCGCCATCATCCATTGTTGACGCTGTCGGCCCGTTGTAGCCTCATTGCTTCTGTTGAATTGGTCGTAAACTCGGTTCTAACTACTTCCAGACCTAGTTTGTCAATATCTTTTGCTAACTTGTTATGATGCATCTCCCAATACGTGAGGTACTGCCATCGACTGGTGTCACGGTTTGGGGTGCTCCTGCTGTTGTACCTCACCTCCATGAGAGTGACTGCCACGTCACACTAGCGTTGTTTACAGCTACTCACCTATATATACTGTTCGTAGCTTCACCCAATACAACCCCAGTACAATCCTCAAATTCTTCCCTTTGCGTACAGTTCTTCACTGAACTCTGACAACTGGATATGGCCCGACCAAGCCTTTCGCTCAAATACTGCGGCGCAGAAGGGAACTTGGCTTGGATACGCGGCATGTCGTGCTGCTCGAAATGGGACTTATCGATACTTCTTGCCTGACGGTTTGGCACCGGCTCTCGTGTGGCCATAGATATCCGCATGAGCGATGTTATGGCTGATTTTGTGCTGGCGTAAAGTTGCTTTAGCTCAGTATCGCCCTGCAAATCGTGGACGCTGTCATCATCAGTGTCATAATCAGAATCAGAATATGTCTCTTCGTCCCAAGGAAAAACTCTCATCTACGACAATGGCGGCTGCTGTTACAGTTAGACCTAGGAACTAGTTTCAAGCACCGGAGCAGCAACGCACTTACCATTGGACAGCGCATTTGAGAGTGATGTGAGCAGACCGTGGGTTTCGGCCTTTAATTGAGCAGCATCTCGAAGTCTGTACTTGAGAGAGCGGCGGCCTCTGATAACACTGTTTCAGTGTGGTATTTGTCATTCTGCGGCCTCTAGCGACACCATGGGCCCATGGACTGGGGGCGAGGCGGACATCCATGTAATTAAAGAACATCCAGTGTCGACAACTGCAGCCACAGTATGTGGTGTTCACGCAGGCAAAGGCGTGCGATTCTCATCGCAAGCCAAGTGACGCTCCCTCGATCCGTGTGGAACCTTTGTTCCTCTCATACCAATCTTCGCCTCTTGTTTGTGCGCCCGTCTGCACTACTTTCCGGCCTTCCAGAACAAACAGAGATCCAGTTTTGCTCTTGCAACGCTAGCATCTGGCGATAGTGTTGGTGACAAGCGCGGGCTGTCGGGTGATCCTCTCCAAGAACGGTGTTGTACGCAGCGCATGCTTGTTCATACAGAAAGCGAGAGTCATCGTAGCGGAGCTGTTTTGTAAGAAGGTGAGCAAGGCTGTACATGCTCATCAGCGTGTCTGGGTGCTCCTCTCCTAACACCTTCTTCCTCAGCCCGAACGTCTCGCAATGCATTTTCTCTGCCTCAGCGTACTTTCCCTGATCGCTGAGTGCTGCCGCTACGTTGCTCATGCTCGTCAGCGTGTGTGGATGGTCCTCTCCTGACACCTT